GGGTGCCAAAGAGTCTGCAAGTGACAGTGAATCTTGGTATGGTTCCAGAAAAGAGAGAAAGTTGAAAGAGGGAGAGTCGGCGGACAATGATACATTAATGTCGAGAGGCACACTGTGCCGTGGTTTAGAAGCATCGTCTGGAACATCAGGGAGCTCATCCAGCGAGGGTGCTTCGGACGGAAAACTGTTGATGCTCATCGGAGAACTATGCAGCGATCCGGGTGGTGATTGCGAGTGATGCATGTATGATTGTATCCGGACAGGAGACGTCGATTGTTCCGTTGTGGGAGGTGTCGGAAAACTGCCCCCATTGACCTGTTGAGTGGGCGGGTTGACTGCAAAGTGTCAGTGTACGCCAAGCTCGACGGAGATCAGCCTTACCCTTTTTGGCCTTGGGAGGCTTTCCCGGAGCCAAGTTGGTCTCCTCGAACGGTCGCCATTTGAAGTCTTTTTTGTATCCTCCGCAGCTGACTTTGCGCCGCTCGCACTGTTGACATGTTGGCTTGGTTTCATCGCACTTCAACCGCTTTGCCTTGCACGTCACGCAACCTATAAAGTGGAGACGGTCAGCGCTGTTGATAAGAGCCTCCAACTTGCTCTGCTCATCTCTGAGAGACTTCACAGCTCACCAAATGTCAGAGGTTGCCTGAAGATCTCATACCATTGCGACTCTTTGTTTGCTTTGGTTTCTGTGCGGGCCTCCTCGGTGACGGGGCGTTTCCCCGCGCGGATGAGACGTCGGGATCTGAAGTGGACGGATTCTTATTGCTTGCCATACCCAGTTGATGTGTAAAGCCCCGTTCGCAAAGGGGCGATCAACGATATAAAAAGAGGAATCACAAAGTGTGGAAAACAAAGATAAGAGAGAGCGAGAAGAGCGAATGGAAAGTGATAGGGAACGGACGGAGATAAGCCTCTGCGGGGGAGATTCTGAGGGGACAATTCTGGCCTTCGACGGCAATCATCAATTCGCTGGATATTCGGCTGGTTTACGATGGTTTACGATGGCCTTGGAATGGGAAGTAGACAGCCAGCTCGGAGAGTTGACCACGGTTCGCCAGATCCTATAGACCTTTTAGACCCGTGGGTATCACCAAATCCCCCAGGATACCTAGGCATGGATATCGATGACAAAACACAGCTACTGGTTCGCTGATTATCATTGCGTGCGGAGACTTTTACTCCAATTCCGGGTGAGAACCGACGTGCTGAGTCGCCTTGATAGCAGGCTGTACTTTGGGCTCTTCTGCTCAGCCATACACCACTGTTCGAGCTTCAGTAAACACAATCTAACATGGCTATTGCCCACGTCACTGGCGACATGGGTCAAACCACGTGTGGCGTCCCAGCTGCAATGGAAATCCGAGCCTGGGATGAAGCCTCGTGACTCAACCCGTTCGATCTGAAGTCGAAGCCTGCAAAAAACGTGATCGGCTCCCTGCCGTATCTCGGCTTCGAGCCGAGTGTCGACGTGCATTTCTCCCCTGCTACTCTTTGGCACATTTTGTATTGGGAAACATCGCAAAAAGCCATTCGATGCCATATGCGGTGATTTTTCTAGAAATGAGCCCTTGGAAGAGTGGAAGGCGGATGACTACTCAGGGACAACATTGAAGCCCGGGAGACGGGGAGATGATCTGCTTACGAGTCATCTTGAAACCTTGCAAAGTGCGGAGAAGGGCTCTATTCCTCAAGTGGCGGTTTCTGCACCTTTCACCGGAGAGAAATTCATTCGAAGCAACATGCGGAAGTGCTCCCTTGCTTAGAACCCCGCCTCTAGGCTTACAGAATCTAACCCACACGCGGGAGAGGGATTCAGCTGAGGTGACAGTTGTACTTGATCATTGTACAGTAGACGCGAGAAAAAGCAACGAGAATCCGATCTAAGTCAGATCTAGCGACTGATAACAAGACGCCTTCTGCTATCCCCGGTTGTTTTGTCTAAAATCTTTACATCTCACTATCGACATAATTGCCTGAGGCAGCCAGAGTCGCGTAGTAGAGATTTGTCTCCGCGCAGATGACCATTCGGCCGTCGCCAGCGAAATTGAAGTTCGCCGCTGTTGATCCAACGTAGATCTTGCCGATGAGCTTGCCAGAGGGGTTCCAAACCTGGACGCCATCACCACATCCGGCGTAGACATTACCTTCGGAGTCGCAGTGGATACCTAATTACAATTTAATATGTCAGTTGACATCTATCGTTGAATGTTGGAAATATCTCGGAATTGGCAATGTAATTCACTTACCGTCCGGGGCGCCGGAGTTAACAAATGCGAACGTCTTGCGGTTTTCGAATGTGCCATCTTCTGTCACGTCAAAGCGATAGCTATCATCATATGGTCAGCATTTGATAATAGAGCATCTCGCTCTGGGATGATAAACATACACTGAAGCTGGGCGAGTAAAGTCCAGCCCGAAAAATCCATAGTCGATGCCGGTATCGGTGACATATGCATGCTTACCATCAGGCGAGAAGGTCAGTCCTGCGAAATCACATTAGTTTGAACGAACTGGCAAAGCTTCTGTGGGCTACACACCGTTGGGGTGATCGAAGCCATCCGCCGCGATCGTGACAGCTCCGGTATCGGGGTTGAAGCGATAGACTTGATCCTGCAGGCCTGGCGCAGGACGGAAATCTTGCACGTAACCGTAGATCGTGTCGGTGAAATAGATGTCTTTGTTCTTGGGGTGAATGGCTACATCGTTCAAGGAGTTGAATTGGCGACCGAAGTAATTGTTCAGGAGAACTGGTGAGCTTGGTCAATTGTGCATCTTTTAGGGGCTTGCAGTGGGAGTCGTCACGAACCGGTCGTATTGTATGGCTTTTGTGGGTTCATTACCCACAGTGCAGGAGGAGTATTGTTCCCTTGGCCTTCGCCGGTGAAGATGATCTCTCCCCGATAATTGGTTGCTCCTGTTTACTGTTAGTTCAAGCGCAACTTGGTGATATCTGTGAGCAATATGATAGCTGACCATTCGGATTAATCACCGTGGGAGACGAAGAGACCGTAGAGATATCCACCTCGCCTGCAGCATCACTCTTACTAGAGACCGCGGCGGCGTCCGCTAGAGAGATCTTCTCGATTATGGCCGACTTGTGCAGGCCGGTACTTGCATTCTTTGCGCCTGCATTCTGAACGAAGAACACTTCATCTGTCTCCTTTGACCTTTCCTCCCAATTATCAAGTTAGTGCTGCAATTCCTCCTATTGAATCGGAGCCACGTACCAAACCACTGCCTCGTGGTATAAAGGATCCTTGGGGGAGTGCGCAATCCGGGTGAGAGTTGGACTTTTGCCGATGATTTTCAAGAACTCCTCATCGTACACATGGAACGGACGTTTAGTCAAACTGTCCTCGGTATGTCCAGGAGGGACGAAAAGCTGCAACAAAAAGCCATTGGTAAGCTAAGACTGGCGATGAATATGGATGAACATGTCTGTACACTTTTCGCATTGAAACCGCTTGGCGGTTGAGTTGTATCCAAGACATTGAATGCTTTTTGGTCGATCACCTGTGCCTGACCAGGAACATTGTTAGCCTGAACGGCAGGCACCAAGGATTGTCCCAGGAACGCAAGGGCGACGAGCGCAACAGATGTAGCGGGCATTTTGTGATGATCCCAACGGGTGCAACTGTACAGTCGGAGCATCCCGAAATCCCCGGGGATCTAGGCATTTATTGCCAGTTCTCACGGGGGGGCGTCGACGCCGAGGGGTATCCCGGGGTGGGGGGCAGAAGCAAGACCCCAGTGGAGAAGCGGCAGGGCAGCTATACATTATTGGAGGAATGCAGGTTGTAGGGTCTTGTATGCCCTTGGTATGCTCTTGGTGTTCTGATGATCTTTCGGAGTTGGTCCGACCCCCACGAAATCGTTTTTCCCCAGAGTTGGGAGATCTCAACGTCATACTACATATGGTCAGTGACTTGAGCGTCATGCACTAGAATGACATATCCTGTACCTCCAATCTCCCACGGCGGGTTACACCACCCTTGCTATGTGTTTGGTGATGGTGTTAATATGCATTGTTACTGCCATCTGACCTTGCGATGTTACGCAACCGCAAGTTCACCGTATGTTCCAAGGCACATGGCTGAATCCAGGGATATTGAAAAGGCTCGGCCGTCATTTACTAATTCAGAAGACCAGATGAATTCTTATTTATTTCAAATGAAATCTCAGCAATTTGCAGACAGTTCCATGGTTTAATGTATGCGTTGGATGCTATCAACTCCCTATGACTTCCTCGAGATCACCTCTATGCTAGAAACGCTCGATCGACTGCTCGCCTCAGTCCGCTATTTGAACAGAAAGAAAAAAGAACACTGCAGCCCGAATCATGGAGACTATTCCTGTGAACTGTGCTAAGCCTGCGATTCTGCAATCTTTTTCTTCACGGAAACCCGCTTGGTTGACCGGCGAGTTCATCGGTCAATACCAGGACATTATGACCACAAAATGTCAGACATGCACCAATATTCCCAAGTTCACCACGGGGGGTGATATATTAGAACCCAAACGCCAAGTCCGATCAAGATCGGCTGCTCCGCCAAAAGGACACCGCTTCATCCCGCCGTGCACCGAGCAAAGATCAACCGCCCAGCCAATCAAGCAGAGGAGAGGCTTGCTACCGGCTTTAACGCCGCATCAGGCAGTCGTCCGCGCTGGGGCTCCAAGCAAAGGAGAGATGGGATTTTATGCCCCTCAGTGGAGATATGCTGTTGCGAGGGCAGCTTGATGAGCCAATCATATGTTAAGATCGAGGGGCTTCCACCGATTTCTTGCTATTGAATTCTGCCAGTCCATTTGTTAGGTTTTACTAGCTAACGTTATTCAATCCGCTATGCGTTAGTGCAGGCTGAACACCATGTCATGTAGACTGCGCGGCCCCCTATCTGTAAATACTTTTTGATGGCGTTGCAGCCCCGTGACAGATTAAATGAGTCATTTTGTAGGGATAAATACGAACAGCTCAAGCAATCTATAGGTCCGAAGCCAGTGATTATTTGCAGCTTGTAGCCTAATGGATTTAAGGTAGCGGAAACTCTCATATCTCCGAGTTCACCGCAGATAAATACCTCGGTCCCTCGCTCTCGCTTGTTGTATGACGTCGCTCAGGATCGCTTTTATATCTTCTTGAACAAATTCAACTTGTTTCTGTGCCAATACACATCATCTTGACAGCCTCCATACATATACACCTACATACACACACACACCAAAATGCCATTGACTATCCATCACCTCGGCCGCTCCCAATCCGAGCGCATCGTCTGGCTCGCCGAGGAACTCGGCATTAAATACGACTACGTTTTCCACAAGCGCGATCCCATCTTCTCCCCGCAGTCGATCAAAGACCTGCACCCCTCCGGTACAGCCCCCGTCATCGAAGACGACAGCTCGCCCTTCACAAAGAACAAAGTTGTGCTGGCCGAATCAGGCGCTATCATCGACTACATTATTGCCGCGTATGGCGAGGGTCGGCTGGGACGCACACCCAAGGACGGCGAGGAATATGTCCAGTTCCTGGAGTGGTATCACTGGGCCAATGCTTCCTTCCAGCCGGCTCTCTTCCGTGTTCTGATGACTCGCCGCTTGAGTAATGACCCCGAGTCTATGCATGTCAAGATGGGTAATGCCAAGTTTGAGCGTGCGCTTTCGATGATTGAGAACAGGCTCGGGGAAACGGGGGCTTATTTGGCTGGAAATGACATCACTGCCGCTGATATCATGGCCGTTTGCACTTTGACTACCATGCGTGGCTTCTGTCCCATTGACTTCGATGCTGAGAAGCATAAGCATATTTTGGCTTATCTGGCGCGCATTGGTGAGCGTCCTGCTTATCAGAAGGCGATGCGGATCTGTGAGGGTGATGATTTCGTCCCGATTCTTGGCCCGAAAGCGCAGCAATTTACCTTCCCTTATTAAGGCCGAGAGTTGAACTTTTAGATGTTAAGAAATCATCGAGTGTATATTAGTGCAATATAGAGTCAATCGCAACTCAATCTCATGGAAAAGACCACAGACAGAATTCACAACCCCATACAGGATCGGAAGATTTGATTACCCGTTCCGTTGGCAGTTGGTAGCAACGATAATGTATGTCCACAAACTTCGTCCACAGGCATATCGGAGCCACCAAATAAGTTAAACTTCATTTCTGGGGCCAGTTCCTGATTGTCTTCAATGATGGCACCAACAGCCGACCGCGTTGCTAGCATCATGCTGTCGTGGCACTCGCTGGAGCTCGTCAACTTCAATACCCTACAGACCCTGTGGGCAGGATACGGACAAATATGTGCCATCACTGCCAGAGCTTCCACCGACAGCGCAGCAGAGAAACTGGACAAGCTTTGTGGGACCGAAAATGGTGCCGCTGGGTCAACCTATCCTCTTATCCTGAAGCTCATCTCGCCCCCAACCAAAAGCGGGAGCAAACAAGATGAAGGACATCTTCGAAAGATGCTAAGTTATGAAGTGGAGCAGCATTTCTATAACCACTTGGTCCCATTGTTGGGTGAAGACATCGGTATTGCCAAATGTCTTGCCTCGACCAAAGGCATGGACGGCCAGGATGGCGAGCAAGAACTCAACGGTCTCATGGCCACAATCATGGTCAATCTGCGCCAAAGCTACCCAGTTGCAGGCGAGAAGAGGAGCTCATTAGACCGCGCACAAGTGCATGGGTCGTTGGACTGGCTGGCCCGCTTTCATGGCCGCACGCGGGATCTGCTGCAACAGGGCCTGGACCTTGGTACTCACGTCTTGCCACCTCTGGATGAATTAGTAAGACGGCAGAAGGTAGAAAACAACACGGCCAATGGACTGTGGCTCAATGGAGGATACACATACCTCGCAACACGGCGTACAGAGTACGAGTCTCTTTTCGAGGACGCCAACTCCGAGTGGTCCGAACTGCTGTGCGAACCTTTCGAGGGATCCTCATTATCCGTGGCGGAGATGGCTGCATTATTCTTGATGCCATCTGGGAGGCCAGTGGAGTCGTATATTCACGGAGACGTCAAGTCAGAGAATCTCTTCACGAATCGCACCGGAGAGAAGGTCGCGTTCTTTGACTTTCAATATGTTGGACTGGGTCTCGGGGTCTGTGACCTCGCCAAACTGTTCACCTGCTCAGTGCCTCTCCATATGCTAGTTGACGATGTGGAGTATCTGCCGGTGGAAATTGCGATGTGTGATGGGGAAAGGCGTCTTCTGAGGCATTACCGAAAGAGTCTTCTCTCGGATGACCTATTATATGACTGGGACACATTCAAACTACACTGGGAAACGGCCCTGGTAGACTGGTGTAGGTTCCAGGCATCTTGGGGCTTCTGGGGAAACACGGAGTGGCTTGAGGCTCGTGTGAGATCAATCATGGGTGACCCGGAGTGGAGGAATTGGCTGCGTCGAAATTCCAGCAATGAAAGCAGTAGATGATAGAGTGTTAGATGGGGAGTTTGGTTCCTGCATACTAGCGGGCGTTTTACAGTCGACAGCCACCAGTAGAGATCCATACTTTAGGGTAGAATGGCTTATTAGTCACCATGTGACGAGCCAATCTTGGAATCGATAGGATGAACCTGTCCCGATTAGTGTTCTCTCTATATGCGTCTTTCCCCCCCCCCCCCCCCCCCCCCCCCCAATTCCCCCACCCCACCTCTCGTGAAATTCCTTCTCTAGTCTTTTCAACTCACATAATTTTCCCTATGTCGCGCCCACATCGTTAACTCTAGACTAACAAAATGAGGCAACCCAGGCTGGGAGTGGCGGTGGATCGGTGGCTTATCATTGGATGCCCCCCACCGAGCAACACCCGGGAAAAAAGTCCGGCCACTTAGATCGAATCATCATTCAAGGTTCTTATATATCGTAGTGCCCCCCATCATTGTTTTATATTCTCCTGCATACTCTATGTTGATTTCAACGGAAATGTTCTGCAATGAGCCTACCGCTTAGGCCAATAGCTCCTTACCCGACGGGGTCCGGTCAGCGACCAGAAGTGAAGATGCGCAAGAGAGAAAACATATCTCTCGCATGTAATGGTTGCAAATCGCGCAAATCAAAGGTCCGTCACATTGTTATACCCCCCGAGACTGGTTCTAATTCTACATCTTTAGTGTGACGGGTCGCAGCCTTGCCAGGCTTGTAGCAAGAGAGCTACCGAATGTGTTTACGATGAAACAACCGATAACAGACGTCGAATTATTCTAAAGCGCAAAATGGACGGCCTGGAAGATGACCGAGAGCTGCTTCATCAACTTCTCAACAATCTGCGGGATTTGAGTAAGGGTCAGGTCATCCAACTGCTGAATGTGATTCGAAGTAATGCATCCTTGGATGAGATCAAAGATTACATGGACAGAGGGATACCCGACGAGCTTGAGACGTCGCCGGAGCTGATCGATTCGACGAGCCATATGGCAGACAGCAGTCAGAGTTCGCGACGAACGGTTATGAATGCGAGACAACTGTCGGATGATCCGCTGTGGGATGTTCCTGCCAAACCCTGGACGCGTTTGACAGATGACGATGGGTTTGTGTCTCATCTGATTTCGCTCTTCTTCACGTGGTTTCATCCATACCTGAACTTCATGGATCGCGACCGTTTCATCAAGGATATGCAGTCCGGCGATCCAGAGAATTCTCTTTACTGTTCACCTTTCCTTGTCAACGCCATTTTAGCTGATGCTTGCGTATGTTTCTAACTGTTGTTCGATTGGTTTAGCTTCACACTTACACCTTTTAGGCCTACTCCGATTACCCAGAGGCCTTTTTTCGACGAGACGACATGACATCCAAGGGACAGCATTTCTACGAGGAAGCTAAGAAACTTTATGGCGATGAAGATGGCAAAGCCAGGTTGCCTACAGTCCAAGGCTTATGTATTCTTTTTTCGAGGTGCACAGGATACCACTTTTGGCAGGTAAATACTAGCTAACATGCCGCAGTTCTTGCTTATATGGCAGAGATCGGCGAGGGTGGCTTTACGTGGGCCAATTAGTCTACGAGGCTCAGGACCTACTCGATGAACACGAGCTCAGCAAAGAATCGAATTATGAACCAGAAGTTGTCAACAACGTGGTCTGGGGCCTCTACAATATCTTGGCGTTCGATATTCCGACCCAACATGCTATTGATCGGTGCTAACTACAACAGGGCCAACTCTCTTATCTTTCACAAGCGAATCATGGTTCGGGCCCCAAAGATACCATGTCAACTACACTCAATCCCGAGGCTCGGGCACCAGGACCTGTGGACCCCTTATCCTTCTCTTGTCGGTGCCACACCGGCCCATACTCAGCATATGTTGAAGGCATATTCAGACTTGAGTGTTACAGTATTCGAATCATCCTCTTGGTTTTTCCACGATAGAAACTATCTGGAAAACATGTCCTTTTTAGAATTGCGAGACGCGGCAGATCAATTATACGCTCGTCTCAAAGACTGGAAAACGAATATCAATGACTGTATGAAAGAACAGAACAACAGAACACCCCACAACCTGGGTTTGCAGTATGTCACCTATCCGCTCTGCACTTGAGGATAATGCTGACACCCAAACAAGCATGTACTGGAACAAGATCGTTATGAAAATCTATGGCTTTGTACAGAAAAAGGCTGATCAGGAAAGTCCAAGCCCAGCAGAGTATCAGTCCGTGAAAGAAAGGAGACTCACAGCTGCGAGAGAAGTCGGACGACTGGTAGCGGTGCATCTATCTATATGGGGAAACGACCGATTCCCAGCAGCAAACATGCAATCCTGCGCAATAGCAGAACATACTCTTCTTGATGATCTCGACAACCCCGAGAGCCGAAAGGCTTTCACTAATCTCTGCCTCGCTTCCAAGGCCACTGCACGTCGTTGGCCATTAGGCAGGGCATTGCTGCACGAACTCCATGTGGCAGCAAAGAAGTTGAAAGTCACTCTTCCGTCCGAGACGGATGCCTTGTTCTCGGATATTGAGGACAACTGGTCCATCCGGTAAAGGATATGAACAGCGAATATCCAAATTCTGCTATTTATTTCAGGTCCAAGAGATCTAATGAACCGGAACTGGACACGTTTTTGAAGATGGCAACATGAGACTTCACCATTTGGGTCGATAGCTACCCGTGTCCTGGGATCTTTCTCGGTATCGCTCTCCCTATTAGAGTCTAGATTGATCCGATCCATCTATTGCTGCTTAGCCTTGGTTGGCGTGCATATACAAGCCCAGTGACACGTCGAGGTATGCAATATGAAGCTAGTTGCCTTCAATTCACCCTTCTCCAGAGTGGCTACATTAAGATTTGTTACACCAGGGACATGATCCGAGCTAACTGCGAACACCTCACAGCCATTTAGTCTATGCATTGGATCAGTTGTTTCTTGGGCTATTATAGACTCCTAGGCCAAATTGAATCCTATCATTTCATCTAATGGCCATTGCCATTATCAGAACTTACGGATCAGACAAATCTTTGCAAGATGTATAACTTAATTGGTCTCTGGGAAACGACTATTTGCTCCGCGGTGTAGTAACCCCAGTAAATAATTCACAGTATGATCTCACAAGTCGACGGATGTTCTTACATAGGCTTCGTCGGTAGCAATTCTATCTCATCTATACCAAGGCAATGATGTTGTATCATTGCAGACATATACCAGGTTGTTGAAGGATCCTTTGGTTTGCCTTCCCTGGTGAGAAAATGGTTAGTCACCCATCCTTGATACCTAGACTGTTTGGGGTTATCTGAGACTTACATGGTCTTGATGTCATAGTTCCATCTAACACAATTTCTGCGCAGGGTAGGTGCTCTGCATGACAGAAATTCCCAGGTGTCCTCTCCATGTGCCGCTTCCATGTTGCATTGTCATGCACAGTGCCGAAGTGCTTCCCAGATCTTCCCATGCATTGTCGAGAGCAGTGACCATTGTCTTGATCTCAGCCGTGGTATCGCAGTTACGGCCTGAAGCGTAATAGTAATAGGAATAGCTCACTCCGTCAGTGTCTTCCAGGGTACCTGTCACAGCCTCACAGCTTCCGAGTTGGCTCTGTTGATACATCTGGCCCGCAATTTGGAGAATAACTCCCTGGGATTTGTTGGGCGCGCTAAACTTGGTGGTTCCAGATTTCTCGGCGGACTTGCTGACGGAGATTGAAGCTCTCTTAACAAGTCCAACTTCACTCGCCTTTGTAGAAACCATTTCCTCGAGCTGAGGAAGGCCTTCCACGCTTCTTTTAGCGCCGTTATGGTGGCCAGAGCAAGCTTTTTGTGGGTCAATTCCAGAACTGGCGGTTGCTAGGCCAAGAACTCCGTGCCAAGTACCATGGTGATCAAAATCAATGCAGACTGCGGAGGCACTATCGGAATGCAATTCGTTGAATGCATTAGAGAGACTGTCGGTGATAGTCTTTGCTCGCTGGGTAGTGTCACAGTTTGAGCCGGTTGTGTATGAATATACATAATATTGATAGGCGACACCATCGCTGCCAGTGATGTCGACAACCGCTGTCTTTCCACAGATTTTACTAGCATCTGGTTGGTTAACGTACCAGGTGACAAACACAGCGGCAACACTGGTGATCAAGACGCCAACTGCAGTAGCCGATCCGATGATGGCTCCACCGCTCCATTTGTGGACGATGGTATACTCATCGGAGGTTCGAACTTCCAGCGCCGTGGTCTCACTCTTCTCGGCTTGGCTCAAAGTCTGGTTTTTCTCAACTACAAGTGCCGAGCAAACAGTTTGCAAGGAAAGCAAAGTAACGAGGATGGATCCAAACTGTTTCAAGATATTCTTGAACATGATTGCGGTATGATGAACAAGCGTTAACAGAATATGGGGGAAATCTATGCCTGGTTAGCACGATATCAGAGACTCAAGGTAGGATAATTGAAGGATGCATACTTCTCAGATGATGGACGAAAATTTCAAAATAACAGAACGAGAAGAGGATCACAAAACAGAGAATCACAAAGATCATCAGCTTCTCGATTGTCTCTGATACATTTCGTAGAAGACTCGAGGATCGCTGCCTTCTTATATGTCCAGGGCTATACCACGCTGATGTCAAGCACTATTCTTTCGTCCGGTAAGGCACCCACTTATCTCTAGGTATCAGAAAAATGCCTCGGTCCCGTAGCACTATCAGCATATCTATATCCAAATCCACAAATAAAAGCATGCTGATTCGGTCGAGACATAGGGCTCCAAATTGCCCCGTTGTGGATCGAAAGCGAAACTTGCTGTTGCTGCCTCTATATTTCGGGACGAAATTTGTACAATGTAAATGTCTATTTCTTTTTCCTTCCCTGGGTATACCAACGATAAAGCAGCCGAGGAGATGAAGAGTATACTGAGGCAATACTAAATCTACATAATTGCCCACAGAGCCGCTGTTCTTCTTTCAAGCTTCAATATGCATATGAAGTGCAAGCGTAACGTCCCAAGTTCCGCTGCTCCGAAGACATGTAGAGAGCAGCGCCACCGACAAGAGGCCAGTGGAGACAAAGTGCAGTGGATCCCGACGGTGGCCGGAAAATCTTAGCCTGCTCTAGGGCTTACTAGGGGCGAGACTCACTTCTGCAGAATTCAAGGCCTGTAGCCTCACCACTTGGTAACACTCGCTTTCGAAAGAGCATGAAATATCAGGGTTTCTTTATGGTGCACCTTCTACTTGTGAGACTCGAAAGTGACCATTAGATCCAGTAAGTCATTCCATTGTCGGCCTTGGATCGAACAAAAGCAATGAGGAGCGCATTCAACCGTCTTGCCCTGACGCGTTCTATCCGAGTCTTTTAATTTGTAAGATTATAGGCTAAATAATCACCTCAGGTTACTGCAAATGTAGCACCCTATAGAATTGATGCGGAGATTATTGAACTTCTCGTTCCTATCATGCCCCACATAGCCTGCAGGTTCGCAGAAACTATTCCACGCTGAGTATAGATCGGGAAATACGGATACTGTCAGACCATCCGCCGCTTGTTCCGAGTCCAATCATCTGGCAGTCGGTCCCCTGGTGGCGCTCCTCATTTCTTCAGCCACTTAAGTGTCATCCGTATCCGAGACATTTGGACGCCCTGTAGGCGTTGATGTCTTGCCATCCGAGGCTAAGCATTGCTTATATTGGGGGCCAAGAAAAGGGGTCTTCGTTTTTCGGAGTCAACCCGATGCCCTCGAAAGTCGATATGGTGGTTTTCAGGCTGCCTTTTGACTCTGTTCGAGGAAGATAGCGGCTCTGTTTTCTTCATTACGAGGTTCTCGGAGCCGAGAAATTGTATCACACGATGAAGAAGTACGAATCCCACATTCGAGCCATGGTTAGCGTGACGTCTTTCATTCTTGTCAGTTGCCTGCCTGATTGATATCGGACTGATTCCTCTCGTATCGGCCGTGTTCGTTAGTAGATCCTGGTGTCAAATATTGAGGTCCATTTTCCGAGATTTGTGGTAACCTGGATTGTGTCCCTGGTTACGATATGCCTGGCCGTTAGATTCTCGATTCAATTAGCATCTCTGTTTTCATTCATGGTTCCATACTCTGCCACATGCTCCAACCACATGCCCCGACGATCAATCAATCAATCAAAGCTCAGTAAACTGTTGCAGCATAACTCATATTGTAATGGCTATGCAGGCGCTTCAATTCAGTTGAAGTAAGAACTTGACCACACGCCTGATAACAACGCAGAAAGAGAGCTGGTCCTCAAAAAGAGAGACTGAGTACCAGCTCGACATACATACGAATCCCATAATCCAAAACATAAGAAAGAACATGGTGCCGAAGGCATCCAGGTACAAAGAACGTTGGCGGATACACCATCTGCCCTTTCACCATGTCATCCCAGTTTCTCTCTCAATGCCTGCATCCTTGTAGACAGGCCCCGTTTTATCCTCACTTCAGCCTCAATTACTGCTTTGATTGTTCATGACCGAAGGATTTTAGACCAATTCGGCACCGTGTAATCCAATAGCGAGTTGAGGGACGTAGTCTCTCCATCCTCAACCGTAGTCGCAAGCATTGGTGAATACCCAGCGTCTTCGGGACATGCTCCGACTAGATCCCATAAAGACAAATAGCTTTTGTGTGCACATGAACTTTGCATTTGGTCAATTATTTATGGATCTTCCTGCTGGCTCCTAGTTAGTTTTCTGATTTCTTCTTCGTGTAGTAGAACATGCAGGTGAAGATCAATTCCATGGGTATCTCCAAACCGGAAGTGAATGCATTTCTAGTTGAAAATACACATGGCTTTCTTCCCGCCATTATTAAATAACATACCGGAATAGCTGGCTACCAAGTACGTTACACAGTCCATGCAGCTAGCTCTTTGTGTGAGCTTCTGCGAGCCAAAGTCAGTATTGAAATGCTTCCCCGGCTCAGCTTTGATTTTTACGACGTAACGTACAGTGTGCAAGTGAGATGGTACTTGAAGCCTAGCTTTTAGGGTCTCTTTTCCTCTTCTTTTTGATCTTAGTACAGACTCGCCACTCTTAAAAAATCGACAGGATTTGAATAGCGAGTGGATCTAAGGATCTTTATTGGATCTATAGACTACAAAATTCTTTCACTGAATGTACATACAACTTGACATGGGCTCTGCTTTAAGCTGAGCAATACGGATGTTGTCGTATCACTTGTGAGCAGTGGCCTTCTCATCGAAACCATTAAGATGAGCTTGCTCTTAGCTTCTTTGATTACTGTCCTGGTACGTTTTTCGGTTGGCATCTAGAGAACTTTTGTTCATATTTTCAGTCTGATTGAATATGGAGAATTGAGTAGGGGCAGATGTTGCTTCAGGAAGTGCGAGGAAATACTCCTGATTCCCTGAGGTCCTAGCCTTTATTCGATCAACACCTACCATGTTGACCAAGTGATATTCGCACATCGCCTTATATTTTTCAATATACACGGGGCATTCAGAACAGGGACACCAGTTCATGAGGCCCATCAATGTCCAAAATCTTACAGTGTGATACTATATTTCGTTAAGATCGATATTGATAGTATCCTCGTTCTGGATATATATTGTTGCACTTCCGTCGCCGCTTTTTCTCACCAGGCCTCTGTTCTCGTATCAATTATCAAACATATCTAAGCTTGTCAATAGGAATCAAATATGATGAACATGATATCTGCCTGATCTCCAAGGCTGAAGGTCACGGATCCGCGACATGACAGGGAAGCACTAACCGCTTTGAGTAAAAACATCCTCTCCAATATACTTGCACCACAATTGACTATCGAAGATTTGGCGGAGTGGGCAAGAGAGATCCAATAACTGATAGAATTCGATCAATATCGTGAGTTCGCCTTCACCACATTGGTAGGCAATGCCCCATAATCTACCTCTATCAGACGCTTGATGGTTCCCCTCACTATCTCTTTCAAGTTGATGCCCCTCACTTTGGTGGCTTACGATCCGATCTCTTCTGGCCTGCCTAGTCTGTACATGAGATCCGAGTCAGATCCGAGTCCAAGGGGGACTTCTCCCAAGGACGTCCCCTCATCTGAGGTGTGGTCGATAGACCGGGGAACCCGTATAAAGGCAGCCATCTGCTCGAGCACAGCAACATTGCTAATTAAGTTACCTCTCATACTCGGATACTATTTACAATTTGCTTGTACAACAATTCACCCAAGCATCCAACCATGACCGTTCCCTTCACCTACCACGCGAAGGCGCAATCCACCTTTAAGCCTCCCCTTATCGCCAATGAGAATGCCTTCCTGGGGGACGTGCAGTCGAGGTATCTGACCCACCTGCGATCGATTTCTGATATGGTCACTGACTCTCCATAGCGAGAACGAGAATCCAGACAAGCCCATGTCTTGTGGGTTCTACCGTCTGGAAAAGGGCACGCCTCTGGTCTACACCTACACCTACGACGAGATGAAGATTATTGTCGAGGGCCAGTTTGAGATCTCCGATGAGACTGGACAGAAGGTGACGGCCACCCCGGGGGATGTGTTCTATTTCCCCAAGGGAGCCACCATCACATTCACGACGGAAGACTATGGATTGGCATTTTATGTGGGTACCCCTACCCTGCGGTTCAGCTCGACGCTAACGACAATAGACGGGACAACGGAAGCAGGGAGCGGCCTGAAGCTGAAGCTGGATCCTTTCTTATAGTTCGTATTTAGTGTCTGCTGCGGTGAACCGTGGACGAGATCAACAATTATCGGGGCTCCCCGTGCCTCATTCCATGGTTCTCTCTCCGTGTTTGGCCACTAGACCCAATCTGGTACTATGCTTACGACCTGATCCCTGCATGGATGACTGGACAGGCCCAATTATTGAAATAATCCCCGATGCATATGCTGTAGAAGTAAATGTGCGACATTCACTAGTCTCCTTGACAATTATAGCCGAACTTGTCCACCACTCAAGGTTCCAGTCCATTCAAGCCCCCCCCCCCCCCCCCATATCAGGAAGAGGGGCATATCAAATGAAAACCCACACGTTAGGGCCTCTTGGGGGCCGATCGGAGGAGGACCAGGGCCAGAACCGGGATTGGAAGTGGACTCGATTCAGCTCGCCTCGATCAGCTCCATCCACTCTGGCGGGTTTGGCATGAAACCAGGAGGACACAGCCTGTATGACGTGGGGGGAGGTTGCTAGGGGCAACAGTGAAACTTCAGCCAAGGGAGAGATCGGAGGGAGCAGTGGACAACAGTGGGCAAGGGTGGATTGTGGAAAGTAAGAAATCAAGATCATATCGATCGTGTGGAGTGATCGACTGCAAATATGAACCATCTTTCTTTTGGATTTTCCCCCTAACAAAGACATTTTGCCTCTTCATCTCTCATTGTTCCCTTAGTGCCAAACGCTTATCGGCCCAACCAAACCCCTCTTCAACAACCATCATGGCCATCGGTTCAGAGGAAGGGCTTCGTCTCCCGAATCCGCCGCCATTGTTGCATACGCGTCTGGAAGCCTTTGACCGTCCTTCGACCCCCGCTGAGCATGGCTTCACCAGTCCGCCCCAGACTCCCCAGGGCAGTCCCAGCAAGTCTCGATTGCCGCCTGGCGCACTCGACCTGCCCAATGTCTTTGATAAGGCCATGAAGCTGACACCCACCTCCCCCTCCAAGTCGACCTACAACCATTTCAATCATCCCATGTTCGCAGGAAAGGGGGAGGACTTCAACGAGAGCGTCATTCACCAGGCGCCCTCCAGCCCGACGCGCAGAGGAAACAAGGAGAACACACCGCCAAACCCACGCCTAACCAAGGACTTTGGCACCGCTCCAGCAGCTGCAGCTCTGTCGCGCCAAGCCCCGTATCAACAAAGCGATGCCGAGACAACAAGACGCCAAGTGCAGATGCGCGGGCTGACACCAGAGGAAATCGAGAAATTAGCCCAACCCCGCGTCAAGCGCCTGGTCAATGTGACCCAACTGTGTACGTCCCCAGTCAACTGGGAAACCCCCCCTCATGCCTCACCGCTAACCAACATCAGATTTCCTGGACCACTACTTCGACCTCCTCAGTTACGTTCACAACCGTCAAACCCGCCACACTCAATTCAAAGCCGCATACCCTGATCCTCCCGCAACCCCAGAAGAGGAACACGAACCCGCCCTACTAAAATACCTCGGTCGCGAACGTGCCCATCTCCGCAAGCGTCGCACCCGTCTTCGCCAGGGTGATTTCCAGATCCTGACTCAGGTCGGCCAGGGTGGTTATGGACAAGTGTATCTGGCGCAGAAGAAGGACACGCGCGAGGTATGCGCGCTCAAGGTGATGAGCAAGAAGCTGCTGTTCAAGCTGGACGAGATCCGGCATATTCTCACCGAGCGCGATATCCTCACAGCCGCCAAGAGCGAATGGCTCGTCAAGCTGCTCTATGCCTTCCAGGATGACACCCAGATCTATCTGGCCATGGAGTATGTCCCCGGTGGCGATTTTCGCACATTGCTGAACAACACCGGTGTGTTGCATAACCGACATGCGCGTTTCTACATCGCCGAGATGTTCAGCTGCATCGACGCGCTGCATGTGCTGGGTTATATCCATCGAGACTTGAAGCCCGAGAATTTCCTCATCGACTCAACGGGCCACGTCAAGCTGACGGATTTCGGCTTGGCGGCTGGTATGCTGAGCCCCGGCAAGATTGAGTCCATGCGCGTCAAGCTGGAGGAGGTGGGCAACACGCCTGTTCCTTTCGGTCGCCCCATGGAGCAGCGGACAATGGCTGAGCGGCGGCAGGGATACCAGTCCCTGCGCCAGCGCGAGGTCAACTATGCCAAGTCGATTGTCGGTTCGCCTGATTACATGGCGCCCGAGGTTCTCAAGGGTGACCAGTATGATTTCACGGTCGACTACTGGAGTCTGGGCTGCATGCTCTTCGAGGCCTTGGCTGGATACCCGCCCTTTGCAGGTGCGACTGTCGAGGAAACTTGGCAGAACTTGAAGCGCTGGCAGAAGGTGCTGCGCAAGCCTGTCTATGAAGACCCTAACTATTTCCTTTCACGACGCACATGGGACCTGATTACGAAGTTGGTTGCCTGCAAGGATACGCGCTTTAAGAATATCAAGGAGATCCATGCACACGATTACTTCTCCGAAGTTGACTTTGAGAACCTGCGTGAGCAGCGCGCGCCGTTCGTTCCTGAGTTGGACTCCGAGACCGATGCCGGGTACTTTGATGACTTTAGCAGTGAGGCTGATATGGCCAAGTATAAGGAGGTTCATGATAAGCAGCGCGCATTGGAGGATATGGCTGATCGCGATGATAAAATGGGCAAGGGGCTGTTTGTTGGCTTTACGTTCCGGTATGTATTGTTCTCTTCTCCAGTCCGTCCGGGGGAATATTCACTAACAGATTCTAGTCATCGCAAACCAGCAGTTGACAGTGGCGGCCGCAGTTCCCCCCGTAAACCGATCGCCACGGATGGCACATTCGGGACCATGTTTTAGCTTGGTTCAGCACTCGGCCTCTTTTCTCTTTTACGTTTCGCTGGTGCCTGACTCCGAGCTGGATCTTGGTTTCCTTATGCCCCATGTCCCAGTATTGAGTTTAATGGCGTATTTCTATCTTCTATCTTCCATCTTCCTTCCTGCTGTTACATTACCTTCCAACGCGATATGTCTTTCTCCTTTTCTTTTCCTCTGGTTTTAATTTCAAGGTCCATGTCGGAGGTTCCAATTTGATTCTTGTATGATACATGCTTAGACCGACAGTTTTGTCTGCTGTCGGTTATTGGTGGACTGTACTGATAAGGAGTTATAACATTGATCTTTTACATGCGTTGAGTAGCTTGCTTGTAGTATTTCATGACAGTTACCACATCCCCTTAGTTGACGGGAAGCTGGCGCACCATACGCAGAATCTCGGACTCGGCATCCCCAATGACAGCACGGCCATTGACCCAGTCGACAGTCTACCCCGGAATCACATTAGCAACCAGTCCAGTCATGCATTCCAGCAGATGAAAAAAAAGACAGAGAGAAGAAAGTAAATAACATACCACAGGCCGGGTAAACGTCTCATTGTCCTCCTTGAACTTCTTGAGCGCGTCCTCCGCATCCCGAGCCCCCTTCACCAACTCGGCAACTCCATACGTAGTCTTGTTGCCTTGACCGCCGACTCCGCTGACAGGGGAGATATAGTCCAGGATACTGCGCAGCTGGTCGGTTGTCGGGGGCGAGGTGGTCACCTCGAGCTCGAACTCGCCGCGCTGCTGCTGGGCATGGGTGGAGTGGTCGCTGGCTTGGTCTTCTGTGGCGGTTTCACCAGCTGATGCAGAGGCTTGTTTGAGGATGTTGAGGGTTCTTGTTGAGGCTGCCAACTTGGGCGAGTGGAAGAGGGTGATTGGGTCGAGGGTTTTGCTCTGCTTGGGTTAGTTTTGTTTGCTTCGTTTGCTCTGTCTTGAGGACTCTGTTGGGCGAAGGGGTGTTCATTCGGGGCATTCACATACAAAGCGGAACATGTTGGCGGTTGAGGGTTGTAATTGGGGTTGTGTAGGTGGATTGGAGGCGGAGGTGAGGTGGAAGAAGCTCAGTTCCTGGATGATGTCATGTGCTCGGGTGCTGTCGGGCCGTGAGTCAAGTAGTCGAGTAACAACCTTGGAAGTAACTTACAGGGTAGGGCTCATTCTGATTTTAGGTAGTCCAGACTAGTCAATTGCATGAAAGGGTACCTCGGTGCTCTATACATACCTTTGTCATTGGATAGTTTATCACTTTCCACCTTTGCGCGCTGTTTGTCCAGATGATCTGCGATTCTGTCTACGATGAATGCCCTATCGCTCTCTTTTACATGTATACAGTATTCCCTTTAAATTATCATCTTTAGGCCTAAATTGCGTCTTTGTTGCAGCGTAACCTATTTGTAACCTATTTGAGCGCCGAACTCCGATCCCTGCAACGCTAAGCAACATAGACCTTATCATGCTTACAATTCCCTTCATCCCATATTCCCTCGCAATTCAGAACCTCATACATCCCTACAATGTGGAAGATCTGGACCACTCTATTCAGCGTGACCTACGCCTCACAAACTGTCCTGCGTGAGCCATTAGCATCCGAGTTCACGACCTTCCAAAGCCCGAATTCACCTCACTCAGTACGCATTCGACAGCAAAATGAGTCAATCTGTGCCACAGACTCAGCACAGTACACAGGCTGGCTGGATATTGGACACAAGCATCTATTCTTCTGGTACTTCGACAGCCAGAACGATCCCGCCAACGATCCCTTGACGCTATGGACGAACGGTGGACCAGGCTCATCCAGTATGATCGGACTATTCCAAGAAATCGGCCCTTGTTTGATCAACGAGTACGGTAATGGAACGGTTTCAAATCCATGGGCCTGGAACCAAAATACATCCCTGCTTTTTGTTGAGCAGCCGGTTGGTGTGGGTTTCTCATACATCGACGAGGGCTATGATGTTCCGCGCGATTCGAAGGAAGCGGCTGTTGATATGCATCGCTTCCTTCAGCTGTTCATCACTGAGATATTCCCCGATAAACAATTCTCCGATGTCCACCTTTCGGGCGAATCCTACGCGGTGAGAAAGGCTTCCACACGAGAGTGTGCATCCGACTAACGAAGTTCTTAGGGCAAATATATTCCCTATCTGGGCGCTGAAATCATCACTCAGAATGAACGATATCCGCAGGAGACCCAGATCAATCTGAAATCATGCCTCGTCGGCAATGGTTATATGTCTCCCAAGGATGTCGCTTTCGGATACTGGGAAACTCTCTGCACGACCAACCCTGGTGTGGAGACACCTGTGTTCAATAAGACTCGATGTGATATCATGGCGACTAATATGCCCCGGTGTATGGATGTTGCTGAGACCTGCATTCGTAACCCTGATACTGATATCTGCTACACTGCAAGCTCTATCTGTATGGACGGTGTGATTTCCTGGTACGATGGTGAGAGTGGGAAAGGAGGGCGCAACCGCTTTGATAGTGAGTAACTTGTGCGCACCTCAATATCCCCGGCATTTTAACTGACTGGAATCTTCACAGTCACGGCGGAGTGTGTGGTCGATGACTTTTGTTATAAACAGTCAGAGAACATTCAGCAATATCTGAATTCTGCCCCTGTCTGGAATGCCCTCTCGCCCTCTGACGGCCTGAAGGAGTATCAAATGCAATCAGACGCCATCGCAAAGTCGTTCAATACCACACCGGAGACAATGACATTGTCATCTGATGCTGTACTACTACTCCTTTCTCGGGGCGTCCATTTCTTGGCATATCAAGGAAACTTTGATCTTGCCTGTAATACAGCTGGAGTTCTCCGATGGGCCAATGCGCTGTCTTGGAGAGGTCAGGTTGAGTTTTCGGCAAAGTCTCTCGAGCCTTGGACTTCGAATGTGGATGGTCGTGACCAAGTGGTCGGTAAGACTAAGGAGGTACAGGTGTACTTCGATTCTCATTCGAAAACTACATCTCGGTTTGCTTTGGTGACGGTTGATGCAGCGGGCCATTTAGTAAGTACTGACTTGTGCTGTCAGAGTTCACCAGCAGCTGATTTGGCTTTTAGCTGCCTCAAGATCGCCCAGATGTCGCATTTGATATACTCACGCGGTGGATTGCAGGTGCTTCTTTCGTTGACTCCTAGGCTTTCTAGAAGGATATACTGTGGGATCAATTGTGATCAAGTCGATGTATGCAGTATTTCCAACAGACAAAAGCTAGCAAAGACTTCCCATCACAGTAGAACTGTCCAGTCTGATCATGAGAACCAAATATCACAGATATCCAAACACCATCCAAACAACTGAGAACCCCAATCAAGAGTAATACCGTCTAACAATATTCCGCTTCTTCGTCTGTAATTGATACTTTTTCAAAATCTTCCTAATCTCAGGGTACGCATACCCAGGCTCACACGCATAATCCAAAGGTGACTTTGAAGAATAAGCCTGCCCATTAACATCAGCACCATGAGCAAGTAAAAGCTCCACAATCTCAATATGACCACCTATAGTTGCCGGCACGAGCGGCGAAACACCCGCATGTTCCGGACAATAAGACCAAATAGGCGGTTCCAAAGGCGACCCATGCGCAATCAGAAGTTCAACTAGCTCGGTAATTCCTGTCATCGCAGCTTCGAAGATGGGTACAGTTCGGGGGACCTGTCGGAGGTTGCGCATCTTGGCGCCTCCTTCCATTAACAGTTGTGCGATAGCGATGGAATTCTTCGATGACGGTGCTGGCCATGTTTGGCAAGCTAGATGCACGGCGTCCACGAGAGCTCGACCTAGATGTTCCCGTCTGGAACAGAAGATTCCGTTCGTGCAGGCTTTGATTGCTTTGTGGGCTACTGTGGTGTTCCCGTTTTTCAAGGCCCAGTCTAGGGCCAGCCCCCAGTTCCGTCTGTTGTTTAGGATGTAGAGAGGGGTTTCTAAGAGAATGTGGAGGTTTTTGTTTACTCGCATGAATCTTGGTAGGGTTTTTTGGTTCATGTATTTTGAGATTTCGAGAAGGAGTTCATTAGGGAGAGATGGTAGGCTTGGTTTTGGAGATTTTGTCATGGACAAGAAGTTGTCAGTAAGCTTGGATAGCTCCTCGAGTGACTCTTTGCATTTGGAGTTTGCCAGAGCTGTACTCTCGTTGGTCATTTCGCGAGTGAGTGTATGTTTCATGGCTTTGGATGATAGCCCAAAATATCTAAATAACGACATCAAGAGTTAGCGAGAACCAGAAGAGGATTCCTGGGTGCTCATTCTCACGATAGGGTTGTCCAAATGAGCTCGGTGGTATATTTGGAGAGGGATCTTTGGGTGAAAATGACTTTTAAATAAGACGTGGTCGCTGAGGAAGCAAGATAGGGTAAGAAGGAAGAAGGGAGGAACGCATTGTTGATTTTGACTCATTTCACGGTTGAAACTGACTTGTGGTAATCCAAAAAAAATACAGAATGCTAAACATGGCAGATGTATGAAAGTTTGAAGTTTAAGGCTAACCTTCGTTTATGTTTTCCAATTGCTTCCCCCAGTTCGAACTGAGGTCTGAGTGAGAACCAAGGATAAACTCACGGTAACAACATTGTATTGATAATATTGTTACTAAGATATTACTCTCAATTTATGGTATCTCTTGCCTCATGAAATTTCTGACTATTAGTGTTTCAATGATCAAACGTTATATCCGTGGTAGCCGTAGATCTTTGCTTGACTTTGTTATTAATCGAGAAAACGTTGTACATATGATGAAGCATTCTTCTCTGGAGTCATTGCTGTTTCCAGAACTCCGTGATAAATTCATATAGTTCTAGACTTCGTTATAGAATTTTGTATTCCCTGGTCATCTCTTCTGGTATGTCTCTTTTTGTGAAGTTGCTTTATTTACAGTTCTTATAGAGTTCCTCAGTATAGGTATTTGTATACACAAAATCTTCTATCTAAACTCTATTTATAGTGCTATGTGAAAATTATACTTATGTGTAGAGTGTTATGCAGATATTGGCTCTGTGTGGTCCAGTTCTTTCCTACCACTTTTCGTGTTGTCTTCCAACGTTGTTTTTTTTTTCTTACCTTAACAGATATATTGATAGATGAAACTTTGATTGATCAAAATTCCCCCACGAAGGCACAATTATAACCCGATGAATTTGGAATCAAGGGAAATGGGTTATGAAAAAAAAGACCAGATAAAAGAGGAGCGAGAATTCTGCATGAAGCTGTAGCCTTGCTTTGATCAATAGTCTATCATTTACACTTTACACTTTACGAGGACCCTTGTCGAAACTTTGTTCAAAGAGAGAGAAGAGTTAAATTGAGTAAGCGCCCACTAAACTCCTTGCCATGCACATAACAAAGTATCAGTATCATAAACATCATAGCAAAGCTCCCCCTCTTTATAGCCCAAAGTTCTCGACATGCAAGTAAATGCCCTGTGCGCCAGTTCCCTTGTGAACAGCCCGTTCATCACTCAGGGAAACAACACTGCGGCGCACATCATCTGCCAGTCCGCGGGGTCCGCACACGACGACCGCACTTTCGCCTTCGGCCTTTTCCAAGACCTTTCGAATGATGATGCGGGGGGTTGGACGACCTGAAACCATGGTGGGATGGATGATATTGGACTTTCCAGATATACTCGGCTGTATCTCGTCTTTGAAATTTGAGCTGACTTTCTCGGACTGAACAGGGCCGGCACAGGTACAGGTACAGTTGGCAATCTCGTCTTCGTCTTCGATTTGAGTTGTGCAACAGCATCCTCCGCCAGGAAGGCAACCAGTTCCTGTGGGCTTGGGCTTTCGCTCCGATGTGGTCTGACTGGAAATGGAGCGGATGGAGACATGATCTGCTCCGGGGTTCTTCTTTTCGTCAAACGTGGAGGCATCTTGGGTGAAGCTCTGTGCTGGTACCGAGGGAGCTTCCGAAATAGTGGGCGGGTCCAACTTCTCATCACAAGTAATGTAGATACTCACTTCGAGTTCTTTGTTAAAGTTGGGCTGTGACTGCCGGCATTCATAAACATCTGCTAGCAGAGATTGGAGCTGTTCCTCAAAGTAAGACAGCTGGGCACGAGATTTGATAACCCAGATGAATCGTACTCGCTTAGTGGCAGCCAGTCTCGCGGTCTGACTTGAAGCTGGTTCAATGCTTTCCGTTTTCCACGCAGAGACTACGTCTCTGAGTAGGGGCATGGTGAATGTCGCACCCATTCCACCTGCCAGTAGAACAACGCTGTCAAACTGGCGCAAGGGGCGCATACTTCCGTACGGCCCTTCAATGAAAATTGTTCGTCCGCGCGAAGCTACTTCCCTTCCTCCCAGGACACTGTCATTCTTTGACGCAAATCGGAAGAACCTCCTTGTTCCTCCATTCTCTGCACGAATAAGAAACTCCATCTTGTTGTCCTCCGGAATAGAAGCAATAGTGAAAGGATGGCACTGCAGTGGAACGATGGAGTGACAAGTGAGGAAGACGTGCTGACCAGGTTGCCATCTGATACCAGGATTCAAAACAGTCACGCGAGTGACATTTCCTGGCAGTGGAGTGAAGGTTGCAGAGTGCGCCCAAAGCGCATTTGGACTTGTTTTCCGATGGAATATGGCCAGGTTGACATACGCACCCCAAGCGTAACGAGCGACGCGATCAAATACCACCAGGCCAATGGGTACCCAGACCCAGGTCTTGACCTCGCTTGGTGCATGCATCCATACAGCAACAAGGAACCCGACAAATGTGACCAAGTGTTGAATCACGAAGAATTCATAACTGAGGCGGCGAACTGGGGCGAAAGAGCTGATGACGATGAAGGTGAGGATAATCCAAGCAGCGAATCCACGCATGGTCAAAGGATCATTCTTGAGCTGGTAGAGGATGTAATGCCAGCGATCATAGTCACGAAACCAGAATCCCATGTGAATAGTAGCTGTCAGCCATAGTGTGCGTGAGATCCAGCGGTGGTACCAGTTCAGACTGGCGTAGCTCATTCCAGCCAGAAAGCCAATGATGTTCTGTCTACCTGCCAGCAGGAAAATTAAGGGCAGTTGACAGATGGCAATGAACCCGGTGCGGTAGCCGACTTGTTCCCATTTCCATGGATCAAGCGTGTCGAGTTTGTAGAAGCATAGGACCATGACTGTAATCAAGTTGGCCAACATGATCAGTACGGGGCCCAGTGGCGGGAAGTGGAGAGTCAAGCCTCCGATTTTGAGCGGGTGTGGTGTTGCATAGCTGACTTCGCGCACTGTCGCTGTGATAGTCGCATAAAGATTAAAGAACAGCGATTTTGGTTTGGCGGGGGTGAGCGAAGAATCCCGTAGGCTGCTTCGTGTTAGATTCAATGGTGATCATGGTCATGGTGTTGTTGGACATACCGATGCCGAGAAATAATTCGGTCCAGCACATTCACGATGGTTGCTACGCCGATAGCACTTCCCACGACAGCCCAGTACATCTTCTGTAGAGTGAATAGGCTTGGGACTCCATCTCCCATGTCCATGGAGCCCGCGGGCATATCACCCATTGACATGGACATGTTGATCAGATGGTCATGGTAGATGGAGAAGGGAAGATCGGAATTCGGCGATACAGTACACAGAGAACTCCAGAAGTAATAACGCGATTAGCAATAACTTGCTCAAACCCAACGTGGGACAGACCCACCTGCATCCATGGAAAGTGAGGACCCACAGTGGACCCGGCCGTTTCCCCAAAGTCCCAAAGCGTCACATTCCGGACATTCAACTTACTTGTTTTCTCTGTTTCTCCATCCCAACCTTCTCAACTTCCTTCCTCAACCTCAGTTCATCATGGATGGAATGGATATGGGCAGTAGCACCAGCTCAAGCTCAAGCTCAAGCAGCATGAGCACCTCAATGACTATGACATTCAAAAACTCTCATGACACCCCACTCTTCTCCCATACTTGGACACCTTCGTCTTCCGGTGCCTTTGCAGGAACATGTATCTTCTTGATTGTTCTCGCTATCATTGATCGGTGCCTGATCGCGTTCAAGGCTGTCATGGAGCAACACTGGCTCGCCGCTCACCTCAACCGTCGCTATGTGACAGTGGCTGGGAAGAACACCGAGTCTGGCAATATCGAGACCGACGCAGACGCGAAGGTCGCATCACTGATCACTGCTCAAGGTGTCGAGCAATCCGTCAAAGTGGTGCACAACCTCAGTCGAGGTCCTATTCCCTGGCGCTTCAGCGTTGATCTGCCACGGGCACTGCTCTTTGTCTGCATTGCTGGAGTCTCCTATCTACTGTACGTTTTCTACTCTGGTCGAATTGGCCTGACGAATTGGCACTCACAATCCTTTAGCATGTTGGCAGTCATGACCATGAACATCGGCTACTTCTTTTCAGTGCTCGGGGGCGCTTTCCTCGGAGAATTGGCGGTCGGACGCTTTATTCATTGGCCCGAGCACGGGCATTAATTGCCGTGATGATAACGAAATCTGGGTCATTTTACTTAGCATATTTATTGTTCTTCTACGCGTAATGGCGTGCATCTGTTTGGCGTTGGTGGGGGAGTTAATATCTTGGGCTCACTGGAAAGTTGAGCTTTCTGGCCTCCATGACCACTTTTTCGCTTGAATCATTGAATCTTCACTCAATTCTTCATTTCTGCCCTATGATTGCATGCAACCCGCTTGAGAACATTTGAGCGAATTTCTAGCCGAGTTGGGATTAGTGTTTCGGGTAAGCTCCACTAGCACCGCTAGTGGATTTGCGCTACCCGCATTTGGTAACTCTTCATCTCTGTACCAAACGGGTAGGTACATGCCTACATGGAGAATCTGTTGAGAATGGTTCCTAGAGACGCGACAATTAGAATTGACGGATAAACTATTGCAGTGAGGTAAATTGGGAGGCTTGAAATAGACGCAAATTACAGGGGGCAGAGACTGAACCCAGAATATAGAAAACACGAACAGTCGTGTAATAAAATGCGCTCAATCTGCCTCGAAGGGCTCAAAGGGTCTAGAAAGCCGATGTCATATATCCTTTAAGCCGCGGACCCTGTCTTAGCTCCGGCATTTTGAACGCTACAAAATAATCAGAGATCTTTCTTCTCGTCTCTCGTCTCTCCACATTTACCTTTCTTCCCTTCCTTTCTCTCTCTTCTCTTCCATCTCTTTTCACTTCCTCTCCGAATTCAATCACCATGAAGTTCTCGATTCTTGCCCTCACGTCCGTCGTGCCCATGGCCGCGGCCCACTTCAAGCTCATGTATCCCACCTCCCGTGGTTTCGACGAGGACACCATGCCCAACTTCCCATGCGGCGGCATGAGCCAATCCTCCAACCGTACCAAGCTCCCATTGAAGGGCGGCTCCTTCCCTGTTGCTTTGGAAATGCACCATGCCCAGACTGCCGTCGAGGTCCTCCTCCTCTCTCGGCAGCAACCCCGGTGACGACTTCAACATTGTCCTCGAGCCTACTTTCCAGGTCACTGGACTCGGCGAGTTCTGTTTGCCTCACGTCACCATCACTGAAAAGCTCATTGGTCGCAACCTGACCGATGGCATGAATGCTACCCTTCAGGTTCAGACCAACGGTGATCCTTCTGGTGGTCTCTACGCTGTATGATTCCTTTCTTGATTGATACTTTCGGAGAAACTAATTTTTTTCTGTGCAGTGTGCTGATATCCAATTCTCCGCCGATGTCACTTACGAGAAGCCCTCTGCCTGCAGCAACAACACCAACCTTGCCGCCTCTGCCTTCCCGGCTTCGTCTGCTGCTCGCAATGCCAACGAATCGACTGCCGAAGGTAAGGCGCAGAGTGGCTCTTCCTCCACTACTACCTCTGCTTCCTCCACTTCCACCTCCAAGGGTGCTGCTGTGCCTATGCAGACTGCCGCCTGGGGTGTTCTCGGTGCTGCTCTTGTGGGTGGTCTGGCTGTCCTGTAAATGTTGAATTTTCCTGTTCTTTTCACGTCTCTTTGCTTTACCGGAGTTAAGCGACGGATGCATAGGAATGATTGACGATATCTTGCATTTTCTGGCTCTCTACTTAACTCTATCATTACTCTTGCTTCTCTGAATGAAACTCGTCAATAGTTTATTTCTCTTTTCCCAACAAAAGTAATAGATGAACGGTTCACTGCTGGGCTTGTGTCTCTGCCGGCTCATACATCACGTGTGCGGGTATATGCAGGTAATTGAGACACTAAATGAGTCCTCTGAATGGAGTCATCCATACTGTGTTCACTCCAACTTCGAGGCAATTACACAAGCCCCAATCGACAGTCTTGTGAGTTTTACCTTTAGTCTGTAGCTAACCTATGATTGGGCCAAACGTCAACATTGTTTATGCTTTATCCAGATAGACGTGTATAACAGCCACAACTTTCCTCCTTGCATCATTCATACGAGCTCAAATTTCTTGGTCCTGCAAGCTTTTGATTACCTTTTCAACCCTATTTCAACGGGTATCATAACCATCTGCGTTCCATGGTATACCTAGTCAAGACCCTAAGTGATCCTGACCAGGTTTCGGATAAGCGCGGGACTGAACCTGCCAGATACAGTGGAAACACCGCCTGTGTAGAGGTCGGGGGTTCAATAGTTGCTCGGTGATCATGGGTTCGGACACCATCTACCGGAATTTGTATCCTGGTGGAAACGACATTCAGGTATCACCGTAAGAGCAGTACCTTTCTCTTGCTCGATCTATGTTTCTTGTGCCTCACGATTAGCCTTGACGGTCAATATATTGAGCATGATATATCTGTATAGTTCGGGTGTGAAAGAGCGTCAACGTGAAGTAATCCGATGTGACGTGCACGATCCAATATCAGAATGGTTTGGATTTGAATCATGTTTGAATCATGGCTGTGACTGAGCTTCAGACAGATATACTCTGCTTCATGTTATATAGAAACAAAGGTGAAGAAGAAAGAAAGAGAAGAGAAACTCCTGTCCAATGCGGGGGGTGTTCCCTGACACCGCCTGCCGTTTTCTCCCTTAGACCTGCCAAGATAGGAAAGCCGCATTTGGCAGAGGAAATCAAGTCCGAGTGGCTGCAGATGGATTTGTCTGCACCCCCTGGAGAGAAATATTTTGACGTGTCACACAAAAATGGACCAATTTGAACGACTGCGTCCAGTCGGTGAGTCGGAAATGGTTCCAAGGATACACAATTGAACCCTGTTCACTAACACAAGCAAGGTCGACTGGAACAATATTCAACAGCGCGGCATCAAGTGGGATTCTATCTGAACGTGGCAGTATCAGCAACATACAGCCTCCCAGATTCTTTTACATCCCCTATCAAGGATTACGTGTATCAAGCATGTGAAGCTGCAATTACAGAACATCCGTCACTCTCCGCCATCGTGGCTGATGATCACACTCAAGACCCGTACTTTGTACGACTGCCCCAGATTGACCTAGATCATGTTGTGTCTTTTCAGGACCGGCAACTAGGTTTGCTCGGTACAGACGCTAATGGTGAACCAACCCCTGATTTGGACCTGCAAGCCCTTCTGGCAACGCAGCACAACCTCCCTTTCGAGGCGCCGAATCCGTTGTGGAGATTGTGTATTCTCCAAGATACCGAAAATCAACAGCACTTCACTGCTGCCTTTGTATATCATCACGCCATTGGCGATGGAACTTCTGGGAAAGCATTCCATCAAACTCTTCTGCGAGCCTTGAGCACCGTTCCATCAGGGGATCCGAAAACGGTTATCCTGCCACCGCAGAGTCCTCTACTGCCCAGTATTGAGACAATTCACTCGATGAATCTCTCCATGTGGTATCTCACCAAGAAGCTCTTCCAGGCGAAGATTTACTCGCGAAGAGACGAGGCATTATGGACAGGCGCCAAGATCCGCAAACCAACTCAGACACGGCTGAGACTGGTTCCGTTCTCTGAATCTATAGTGACGGTACTGAGGGATTTCTGTCGTCAGGAAAATACCACTATCACTGCATTCCTGCAGACACTCGTTGCCCGCTCCCTCTTCGCGCATCTTCCAGTTGAATCCTCAAAGCTGAATTGCAGCGGGGCATTATCTTGTCGGCGCTGGTTACTGAATTCCATAACTGATGACTGCATGGGCGTCTGGGTTCAGGATTACGAGGAACAATACACCCGCGATGCAACGATCTCTTCCTCGGACAATACATTCCCGTGGGCTGAAGCCCGACGATCTCGGAAGACGATCAGTTCAGTTTTGAAGATGAAAGGCAAAGATGCGAGTATTAATCTGCTTCAATTCGTTGATAATTTCCAGCAGGAATTGTGCTTGTCTAGAATTGGCTTGGAACGCGATAAGTCTTTCGAGGTTTCGAATCTTGGGGTTGTTCCCACACAGACAGATCCTGATATCCCTGCTATTAGGGGTATGGTATTCTCTCAATGTGCTAGTGTCATGGGTAATGCGCTTCAAGTTTCTGTTGTTACTGGTGGTGATGGGTGCTTGGTGCTTGCTGTTTCTTGGCAGGAGGGTGTTGTTGAGGTGGATCTTGTGAATGCCTTCATTGAGTCTATCAGAGATGAGATATATCACCTGACGGGGCGATCCTGATTCAGTCCAATGGTGAAATAATGTTTAATATTCTCTATAGAGGTGTGTATAAGATATAACGTTACTAGAATTCTTGCTGTTCCTCGGTGGATAAGGCGGTGAAACGGCGATAACGATATAGGCAGAATTGTGGTGGAATAACAGATTCACTTCTTTCTGCTGTCATCCTTTTTCCTTGAAGATTGTTTCATAAACAATTCAAGATGGTTGCACGTCCCTTTGTTGTCCCTGCGCTCAAGAAGCACACCTCCACAGTGATCATGGCCCACGGGCTGGGAGACACGTAAGACAGCCTCCCCCGCGGCAACATGATAGCATGTACTAACCATATTTGATGATAGTGGTGCCGGATGGTATGTCTAAGAACGAGTCTCCCGAGTTGAGGCAATGCAAATATATCTGACTTCGATCCTCGAACAGGATGGCTCTCGCCCAGAACTGGCGCCGCCGCGGCAAGTTCGAAGAGACTAAATTCATCTTCCCCAATGCCCCCGATATCCCTATCACAGTGGTATGTCCAAGTCACCATATCTACTGACACAATGGCTGACTCCACGACAATAGAACTTCGGCATGGAAATGCCTGGCTGGTACGACATCACCAAGCTCGGCCGCGACGTAAGCCCGCCCTCAATCCCCCGCGACTCACGAAATATCTACTGACGAGTCCTGTTCTCACAGTTGGACTTTGAAGAATCTGTCGCCAATCAAGATGAGCCCGGTATCCTCCGCTCCCGCGAGTACTTCAACGGCCTTGTCAAGGAAGAGATGGACAAGGGTATCAAGGCATCCCGCATTATCCTGGGTGGATTCTCACAGGGTGGTGCCATGTCTGTGTTCACTGGTTTGACCAGCACCGAGAAGCTGGGTGGTGTCTTTGGACTTTCCTGCTACCTCCTTCTCAGTGACCGGATCAAAAACTACCTGCCCGAGGAGTGGGTTAACAACAAGACGCCTTTCTTCCTTGGTCACGGTCTTGACGATCAGGTTGTTCCTTTCCAGTTCGGACAGAAGTCTGCCGATATGTTGAAGGAGCTTGGTGTTGAGGATGTCAACTTCAACCGTTACGGGTATGTCATGATAGTTTTGGGTCTTCTGCGTGGTTCGTGGTGGTTGCTAATATTTTATTCATAGAGGTCTTGGTCACTCGGCTGATCCATTGGAGATTGATGACCTGGAGAAGTTCCTTGAGAAGCAGATTCCCGCTGAAGCCGATGGCCCTGCTGCGGGTTTATGACTTGACCAACGAGAGGTCCGGAGTGGGACCAGTGGAAGTAGTCAATGGGTAATCATCTTAATTATTGGGGTTGCATTGCTACTTGGTGCAATTGCATGGTCTAGATATCAACCGAGACGGTTAAAGTATACAGAGAAACAGCATTGAATTATACCAGCCCAATTGGCTTCTGATACCTATCGATGCATTGAAGTATGTCTTATACCTTGGAGTTACTGACAATAATAGCCGATGCTCTTTGATCTTGAGTCGATCCTCCTACCCCCGCATGGCCTTCTTGACAGTTTCCTCAATAACTCTCACCATCTCCTCAGTATTCCGCATATCAAACGGAACCATGTGCTTAGACCCATGATCAAAGAAAGCTGCATTCGCCGGCTCACACAATTCAAACAACCGAACACCATCCCCATAAAGCGAGTCGAGCTTTCCAACAATATTGGCCGTGGGGATCTGGATCAAATACGTATCTGGCTTCGGCAAGATGGGTTCCATGCCGGCACTATCCCACGGCGATACACCACAAATGAACACTGCACAACGGAACAAAGGCTCGCTGCTTGGGTTTTTCTTGCTGTGGTTGATTATCATGGATGCGGCTAGCGCTGCGCCTTGGCTGAAGCCCATGACAGCGTCGAAGGGACCCTCTTCTGACATAAATTGGAGTGTGTGGTCGTATGCTTCTTGAACTGATGAGGCTGGGGGGTTGTCGCCTCGTGAATAGTGATTGTAGAAGGGGCCGTCCACCACGCCTTCGAGTTCTGAGGTTGTTAGATTTGTTTGGTCTTGGGGTTGGGTTGGGGGTGTTTTACCTTCTTCTACTTGGGCATCTTGTTTGCCATTCATGAATTTGAAGCGGTGGCCATTCTTTTCGAGTTGTTGGCGTAGACCTCCCGTTTGGATTTCGAAGATCTGTTGATTGTCAGTTTGGGATCATTGTGGTCGCTCTGGATGTGTACCTCGCTGTTGGTGCTACCACCGTGTAGACAGAGAAAGCGCATTTTGTACGAGAAGGGTGAGAGGGTTGAGTAAACAAGACTTGGTGTTATGGGAAGAAAGGAGAAAAGAGACACACTTTCGGGGAGTAAATGCAGGGAGTCAGGCGCTACTGATTTGTTTAGTAGCGGGGGTAGGGCTGGGGCTGAATGACTTGGCAGGTGATATGCAAGTCAGATACACAGGATAAGCTATGGACTCGAACAGTTCTTGGTCTTTTCTGCAATGGGAACTGACAGCTTCTTCACTGCTTGAGATTCCACGTGAATGGAGCCTAGCATGTGAGGGGCTCGGCTGAACCTCATGGGAAACCCTCTCCTCCCTTCCTCATCACCCAATGGATCTTCGTGATATAGCAGCAACGACAGGCTTTGCAAGCTATAGCTTGCGCCACCCTCGCGAGGCCCTCTCCAGCTTCGGTCCAACCGTGAACGAGGCAACCTTTGGTTTACTTGGGGCGTCCTTCAAGCCAGATCGCGACATCCGCAATCTCGATGGCAAGGTTGTCCTTGTCACTGGTGGTAACTTCCTCCTGGACTCTATAGCTTCTCAGGTATACACAACTGACACAATGTATCTCACAGGTAACGCCGGTATAGGCAAAGAAACCATCCTCCAACTCGCCAAGCACCGCCCCTCACGAATCTACATGGCCGCCCGCACCGAGAGCAAAGCGCGCGAATCGATTCAATCCCTGCAAGACCAGCTGTCCTCGCCAGCGGATATTCGCTACCTTCCCCTCGACCTCTCCTCCTTCAAGTCGATCCGTGCCGCCGCAGACCAGTTCCAGGCTGAGAGCGATCGCTTGGATATACTCATCCTTAATGCGGGGACTATGGGGAACCCGCCTACAAAAACGATGGAAGGATTCGAGGTCCAACTCGGCACAAACCATATAGGACACTTCCTATTGACCAAATTGTTGTTACCGACCTTGCTGCAGACCATTGATCATGACCGTGCCAAGGGCGATACCCCGGATGTGCGCGTCGTAACTGTAGCCTCGGCTGCTCACGCGGTCGGGCCGTCGACATTTGAGGACATGGTTTCTACGCCTGGACTGTTGGCTGGCAGTACTTGGACTCGGTATGGTGCTTCCAAAGCGGCTAATATATTCTTTGCAGCTGAGTTGGCTCGTCGGTATCCAGATATCTTGTCTGTTGCTGTGCATCCCGGGGCTGTTGATAGCGGCCTATATAGCCATACCAAAGACCTGAACTGGATGATGAAGTACAGTTTAAATGTTACTGGTTCTGCATTCTTCCGCACTGTCACCAGTGGAGCGCTCAATTCTCTTTGGGCGGCTGGTACGCAGAAGGACAAGCTGATTAACGGTGCTTATTATGGACCTGTAGGATATCGTTGCGGTGGCACTGCTTTTGTTCAAAATGCCGATGTTGCTCGCAAACTATGGGATTGGACCGAGGGCCAGGTTTCGAAGCACTGAACCTCTATGTTTGTGCCATCCATGGGCCATCTATATACGACAGAGTTCACAATCCTCGAGGCGAGTATATCGTTTGACTTGTTTTTAACTTGACCTCGCTGTTTTTCGCGCCTTTTGGATCAGTTTCGACAACCAGATCATTCGAAGTTGGGGTTTAGGAGACTTGTAGTCTCTTGTACCATATTGTACCATTTATGTAACATCTTTATCATGATTGCTTTTCGAGCATTTATCGGACTATCTGCCATCTACATCACCCACGTTGCCATATTTGCGTCTCCGATACGCATGGAGTTCAGAGGCAAATGGCATCATGATGAGCTCGATCTCGGCCATAGTTCCCGAGTGCCATGTCTAACCCAGCCACACATATACTACAAAACACACTCTCTCATTCATTTTTCGACATCAAAATGGGCCGCATCGTTGTAACTGGGGGCTCAGGTAAAGCCGGTCAATTCGTCATTGCCGAACTCCTCTCAAACGGCCACAAAGTCTTAAATCTAGACCTAAGCCCAATGGACAACCCAGAAGTTTATACCCTAAAAACCGACCTAGCAGACAGCGGCCAAGTCTTCAACGCCCTATCCGGCCAATGGTCCCTGCAAGAACCCTTCCCAGAAGGTCTGCCACCACGCCCAGACGCTGTCATCCATCTGGCCGGGTACGCACGCAACATGCTCGTGCCGGATAACGAGACCTTCCGCTCCAACACGCAGGGCACCTACAATATCATCGAAGCCGCCTGCAAATTGGGTATCCGCAAGATCATTCTCGCAAGCAGTGTCACTGTCTACGGTGTCTCGTTTGCACAGGGCGATGCCAATTTCCCTTCGTTTCCTATCCACGAGGATCTGGACGTGAATCCGACGGATACGTATGCCATTGCGAAGCTATGCAATGAACGTATAGGGCGGGGCTTCGCTGAGCGCTTCGGGGTGGATATCTACAGTCTGCGCATTGGACGTGTCATCCAACCGGATGAGTATAACGATGAGATCTTCTACAGTTATGTCCACGAACCTCATATGTGGAAGGTACATGGGTGGTCATACATTGATGCTCGAGATCTGGGTGGCATGTGTGAAGCGGGCTTGAAGACTTCTGGGCTTGGGTTCCAGGTGTTCAATGCTACTAATGATCACATTACCAATTTAAGTCCCACCAGGGAATTTTTGCAGGCTCAGTCGCCTGGTACGCCTATTACGCGTGAGATGGAGGAGTTTGAGGCGCCGTTCTCCAATAGTAAGATGAAGAAACTGCTTGGGTTTGTTGAGAAACATCCCTGGAAACTCTATTTCAAGCATTGGGAGAAGAAGGTTGCTACGTGAGGGTATCCGAGGACTGAGTGTGAGGCTGTCCATTTCCGTTTTGGGAATAGCTTGATATAGCTGGGATTGGATTGTGAGGTTTGGTTGGAGACGGAAAAGTTATAAGCCAGATCGACTCGGAAAGACAAGAGTTGGAGCGGCCATTGAGCTATTCGACTGCATTCTCTCTCCCAATATCCGTCATGATCTCTAGATCCGTCATTCTTTCTCTCTCCCTGCAATGTCTTCTCTTAGGGTTTAGCCGAGTATCTTCACAATCCTCCACTTCCCACAAACGCACAAGAGAAACAAAATCCTCCCATCCAGACCAGAAACACTGTAATCTCGTAAAAGACAATTAGAACGAAAGAAACCACATTGTTGTAGTTGTAATCCAGCTCATCACCCCCCATCGCATTAGCGAAGCGATTTTCCCCCACACAAAACTCTCGGAGCATCATCACTCTTCCACTTCCCATCTCCCCCCATCTCACATCCACCTTTTATTACCGGTACGCTCAAACTTCACTGTTCATTGATTCCTTGAATTCTTGATCTTTGAATTACCTCGGATTGATCGGCTAATACACCTCAGGCGATCACCCCTCACCCGACATCATGGATCAGGCAAAGTTGGCTAGAATGCAGCAGAGTGTGCGCATTGGTATGTTCATCGTTCCTCGAAGGCTTGGGTAAAGCTAGAAGATGCAAGCTGGTGTCAGCAGCAAGCTTCGATCCTGCAATTGCGTGGGAGCTTGGTGGGCTGCATTTCATCTTTGCTCTTCAATGCTTCCAGGCTCTACCGGCCATGGCCGGACCGTGTGTGGGATTTGATAGCTAACGACTTTCTCCTCAACAGGGTACGTATACATGATTCCTTGACATCAACATCCGAAATCTGCAACACCTACACACCTCGATGGAATGGGATGGAATGGGCGCCGGAATGAATTTTCGACTGGATTTGACTGCTTGGAATCGACTCGATTGGCCGTCAGATGGATTCTCGATTGCCCTGCGATGACCTGCTTCGTGCCTGAATTCGATGCGACCGACTTGTATCCCGCGCCTGGGTTGGGAATCTGTTCTGACGACCGAGCCACCTGCTTTCGATTTCTCATCCGTGCCAGAAATTCCCCCCACTTCCATTTCCATTTCGTCGAGACTCCGACCGATTCATCCCACCATCAACACCCATGATTCAATATCTGCAACATGCAATATCTATGTACAGCTGTTCACCACTAACTTTTTCACAGTGGCAAGGGTACTCCCCGCCGCAAGGTCAAGAAGGTTGTCCGCAACTCCGGCGCCGACGACAAGAAGCTCCAGGCCGCTCTCAAGAAGCTGAACGTCCAGCCCCTCCAGGGAATTGAGGAGGTCAACATGTTCAAGGAGGACGGCAACGTCATCCACTTCGCCAACCCCCGTGGTAAGTGGCAGCTTCCATCCTCCCGTCCATCCTCCCGTCCAGCTACAGCTGCAGCTGCAGCTGCAGCTGCCGCTTGAACTGTGACGTCTACCCACCCGGAAATCCAATGCTAATTCATGATCCCAGTTCACGGCGCTGTCCCCTCCAACACCTTCGCCCTCTACGGTAACGGTGAGGAGAAGGAGCTCACCGAGCTCGTCCCCAACATCCTCAACCAGCTCGGCCCCGACTCCCTCGCTTCCCTGCGCAAGCTCGCTGAGAGCTACCAGAACATGCAGAAGCAGCAGGGCGATAAGAAGGACGACGAGGAGGATGATATCCCCGACCTTGTTGAGGGCGAGAACTTCGAGAGCAAGGTTGAATAAATAGAACACGCCGAGTCTTTACTTTAAAAACTATGGTCTATGATCACAATGAAATGTATTCACCTTCTTGTTTTTGCTCCTTATAAATCGGAGGTGAGATTCTGAATTGTGAGGCTGGCTTTTACGTCTTGGCTGTGGTTCTTGTGTTTATTGCCATCGATCTTTACGGGTTCTAGCCATGGATCCTAGCTACACTTTATAACCCTGAGATTGGATGTGAATTCCAAGTTTGATCGCATGTGTAACACAATGAACCGTCCTGCTGAGGACTTGATTGATAAACTAGAGTACAATGGTCATGTCTAAGAAAAATGCGTGGTTTCGAGATGGTCGCCGAGAGCGTGACTCGTGGACAAGGTGATCGGATTAGGCAGTAGAGTACTATTCAGATATCTTCCTTCATGCCGCACAAATCCGTGCCGAGGAATGCATCGATGGTGTACCAGAAACGCCAATAGGAACCGGACTTATCCCAGTCAAATGTGCCATCGTCGCAAAGCTGTGGGCCTTCGCCCACGATGTCGCCGGTGAACCAACTTAGGATTGGGATAGATCGGAGGACACGCTCGGTGAGCGTTGGCTGGGGAGGGAGGGCCTCGGCCAAGGGGCGCAGCTTGGTTCGGCGGACTGTAGGGATGTGCGTCATGAATTCGTGATCGGGGTTTAATTCTGTAGGGTTGAGAGCGGCAGCCGAGGCGCGGCGCTGGCGAATTGAGGAGCTGTCGGTTGCCAGACTGCCGCTCGTTAAAGCGCCGGTCGTGGAAGGGCCGGCTTCCGTTGGGCTTGTGCTCCAGCCGCCTGTGTTAAGCAAAGGTGTGACGGTTGCGGAGGTCACTGTCGAGGATGTGGCAGCGATGGTGTTGTCTGTGATTGTGGTGGACTCGGGTGAATTCTCTTCTGGTAGGTCCGGGAAACTGGAGAGATTGTTCATGGCAAAGGATCGTGGCAAAGTCATTCGGTCCTGGTCCTTGCTAGATCCGGAAAGGAATGCGGTCGAATGTGAGGTGGTCAGAGTGCGCGATCCCCTCTTGTGAAGGCGATCGCTTGTCGCAGAGCCCACGGGAATTGGGCTATCTTCCGCCGGTCCATGCCCACTGTACAGCTCACAGTACACCATATGTCCGTCGATCTCCTGCGGAGAATAGAAGCAGGCGCGGTCCGCAGATTGGCTCGAGTCGTAGGTAACCTTGATCCAGTGGTAGCCGCCGGCGTAGCGCTTTGACTTGCGATTCGCATCGGCGGAAAGATTCGTCCGGATGACGACGTCGCCGCCGCTCAGCATCTGAGAATACGGTGTCGCAGATTTGGGATCACTGCGCGGGTAGTCTTCGCAAATTTGGCCCTGCGAGATTTGCTCGTATTTGCTGATAACCTTCCACTCATTATCTTTGTTTTTGTATCCGTACAGTATGCACTCGGTTGCGACCTTCTCGGAAGCTTTTCGTGGGTTGTCAAGGCTGGAAGATGATGATGACTTAGGCAGGCCCTGTGTCTTCTCTACATCCTGTTGTTGCATTGAGAATAAACGATCAAACTCGGCGACGTTGGCATTTTCTCGTCGGGCCGCTGGTGTGCCAGTTCGTGTGCGCGATCGATCATTTTGGTATCGAGCGTTTCTTCGCTTGCCGAAGGGTCCTGATTCTTCTGCTGGTCGTCGAGGATTGCGGCTTTCACTGGAAATGGTCAGTCACTTGTATATAGACTGAAGCACTCAAGCGAGCTGAAAGCTGACATACTCTTTATAAACATAGCCCCAGGGTAAGAGGTTGCCCTGCTCGTCCCTAGCGCGCTCCTCCGGTGGGACGGAGTGGTACTCCATGGTGGGCGCAGTCAGAGATGATACTTTCAGATAAGCAATGAAGAGTGATCAAGGTATAACAGCAAAATTCCCTCAAAGTTGATGTGGTGCGAAAGCAAAATGATCGAAGGAGGAAGCCAAACTTTTTGGTAAACACTGGTTCGCCGGGATACGGTCACGTGTTTGCACAATGAATGCAATTCCTTTTGGTCTTTTGCCTTTGTTTTGATATTTTTGTTTGTGTTCTCAGTTTTGGCTTGAGAATCAATTTCTCAACAATAGTTTGGGGTATCACAGCTATATATTTCAATCACTATCTCGACAAGACGTCTAAGGTTTATTTTTGGTGGAGGAATGTAAAGCTTCCAATATCACCTTGTAGGCCACAGATCTCTGCAAATTCCCCTACTTCTGATTTGCGCCGGTGAACATAATTCACAAAACTAGTCAGAGGACAAGCCTCTCCGGGGCCTGACTTGCACAACGGCAACGGCATAATGCCGTCGTTGATGTTGACTCGAACATAGGGCTCATCGTTTCCGGAGCAGGACATGCGCTCAAGTGTGACCCTTGCGCCCATGGGTAATATAGAAGAGATGCGCCACATGCGGTCTGCTACTACATGGGTCGTAGGAAGATGTTCCTTGTCACTTCCAAGGACTCCGAGAGTTGTAATCAAGGGCGCTATGTCACCATCATGGACGCTAGGGATCATATTAGCATAGATCTTCTTGACATAGATGCACTTATCTCACAAGCTGAAGAATAGGCTCCCAGCATCTGGCCCATCACGAAGCAATTCGGTGGTTGCATTCAACCACAGCCATCCCATTGCCCCAGAATAGGGATTGCCTGGCCCAGCACGATAATAATGAATCAAGTCACGGGCATACTCAAAGTGTTCCCATTCTTGCTTGGTAAACACCTCACACCAAGGGCTCGACCCTCGAACCATGATCTCAAACCCACACATTTCCTGCATCGCGTAAATCTCCGTGCTAGAGAGCCCCTTGAGGCCGAAGTTTCCTTCATGGATGAGCCGGTTTGCAATGCCAGGAGTATAGCTTTTCTGAAAACGCGCGAGCATTTCTTGTCCATTGTCATGACCATAGATGATATCTTCAAGGTAGTTGTAGCAGGTATCGCCCGGGGTAAGAGTATCTGCACCCCGCTCAAATGTTTCAGGTATGATCTGTAGCTCTGCTTTATCAGATGTTTCCCAATCCAGGCCAAAGAACCCGGAGGCAAAATGGCGGGCTGTTTCAATCACGCGGCCTGAATCACTTGCCCAGAGCCGTGTTTGGATATATTTGGGTATGAGATGTTCATATCGTGTCCGGAATCGGACACCTGTTGTGAATGAACTCAAGGTACCAGCAAACGGACCTGTACGTGTTAATTCACCAAAGTCATTCTCCGGATCGTCAGTGAGATAGGTCCAATTTTGGATAAATGCAAGGGATCCATTAAGAGGGTATCCAGTGTCATGCACGCGCCTAAGAAATTTCAAATGCCCTATATTCCATATTAGTATGACTATCAGACAGTCACATATAAAGGATCAGTGACTCACGATTGCCGACAGATTGCGTGGGATATCGTTCCCCATGCCGTGATAACTTTTTGACAATCGAATCAGCAACCTGGCTCTCTTAAGAAAACTTAGAATAACATCCCAGAAATCACTGTACATACCAAGTGCACCTGATCAATTGAGCAGCCTTCCGGAGTTTCAAGACTGGAGGCCACTCCATGGTGTATGTTTTTAATCCAGGGGCCATTACCCCCGAGGTGATGGAGAATATTCCATTTATTTTCCGACGTCTGTATTGCACTGGGAAGGGCAGATTGATGAGGATTCAACCATGTCTTCCAGTTCTCAGAGTGAAGGGTTATCGGCTTGTATTCCCCAGATGGTGATATGATCCCTGGGTTTGAAGACTGCGACGCGCGATTCAAGAAGGTGAGAACTAGAAGGGCTGTTATTAACCCAGCCAGGAATGATAGCGGAGGGTGAATTGGTGTCATGATCTAGAAGCCCATGGAGAAGCCCATCGCAGGGTCAAGAGAGGTGTGGGCGGAAGGGTTTGCCAAGACACCTTCAAACATCCGTTTCTATACTGTCCTGCTTTCATACTTTTATCGAATACAGCCATAGTTACATACAAGCTCAGTCTTCTTCCTCCATCTGAACAGTTTCGAAGAAAGAGTTCTCAACCCCCCGTTCTTGTTTCTAGCCAGCATTGTCGCCTTGATACTGGCTTAAAAGTTCCTGTGGGCCTATCGACTTCGGTTTCTTGAACTATTCCACGGTTGCCGGGAGTTGTCCAGCGAGACTGACTTGCGATATGACTTTCTTGGTATTGTAAAAGCAATCCAGCTGGCGTCTCACTTTCGAAATCGCACTTCATTAGCATATACAAACACCACATTCACCAAATACGGGGGGAACATATGTTTCCAATGTCCTCTGCAACCGGATTATCTTCACCTGCGATGCAAAAAACACGAAGCATATGCTGTCCACAGTGTTGAAAAGGTTACGATGCAAGTAGGAATGATGACCGGTACGACCGTACAATATAGATAATTTAACAATAGATTACCGAGGTGTTTAAGTCTGGAGATTCTCATTTGTGTGAGAATCTCCTTATATACCAGAAAACTCTGCCTTCAGCTAGTCCTAATTAGATTTCCCAGGTGATGAATCACTACGGTTGCCGTCATGGCTCATTCATGGCATAAACCATGGCCGGCCACCATAAATCTCAACACACAGCATATGCCAATTTCTATATTTGATCACTGAGAAAGCTTTTCTTCAACAATTTCATCCAAAGGATAGATCCTTGATTTACAGCCATGTATCTCTGTTCTTTCTTTAGATAGACACTCTTTCCTCCCCCGGCGAGTCTATCGATGTGTAAAGTTTCAACCAATCCGAAGAAAAGAAGCGTTTCGTAGATGATCTGTTATTTCTCAAAGAACGAATCGTTCAGCATGGTTTTTGTGGTCCCTTGCACTACTTTTGCCCAAACGGGAGCTTTCTCCGGTCTTGTCGAAGGGCACGAGAATACGTGACACGGCATGCCACACGGCAGGTTGAGCAACGGTTCACTAATAAGGCGAAGAACGACTTGATACCCCCCGGGTCTGATCTCAATATGAAAAAATAAAGACGTCTCTCGCTGAACCGATGAGGCTCTCAGTGTGCTTCTCGCAAATGACAGCATGACCACGACGCTCTCGGGGATGCTCTTTTGTCTGGTTCGAGATGAGGATATCGTACAGAAATTGCGAGCAAGTTTCATCTCTACCGTGAGATCGGATGCTCCAACATAGTGACAATTGGAAAGTTTGCATTATGTTCGCTGGGTGATCCAAAGATACTAGAAAGCATTTCCAATCCTCCCACCCCCGATTAGATATAGAGCACCGACACTGTGCCTTGCGAAGATATACGACTCTTCCCTGTAGTAGTACTCTGTGCGAGGGTGGCAAACAAACATTCAATGTTGCCAACTGGAGGCGGACTTGATGGCAACTTACCAGTTCTTGTGTGGAAGGGAGATAGCGTGGTCTTCTCTACTTGGGCTAGACATCGTCTGGGAAAGGACCTTGGAAATGATCTAGATAATTTTCATCCTGAGCGTTGAGAGCATTTGAGTCCGGAAATTTCTGGTGTCATCCCGTTCAATAAGGGAACGAGAACCTGCCCCGGTCGTAAGTCTCTCTCTCTCTTTCTCTATCATGGTGTTGGGTCAACCATGCTGACTAGCTAGTTATAGAGCTACACTCGATGGTTGTGTTGAGATATATTGTAACTCGCATTTTTCAAACATTTTCAATTTTCTCCGACTATAATACTAAAGAATGGACAGAAGGAATTAGCATGACACTAGCGAGCGAGAATGGGGTTAAGGTTGGGTTAGAATGAATGGCTTCGTGATAGACCATTCATCATGATACAGAACGTCATATAGTCCAATTTGATGACTGAAATCAACTGAAGAGATCCAGAATCCCCTATAACCATACTCAGCCCTTCTATAAACAAACTTAGCCAGCCATCCACCGCTATACAATCAAACCAAGATCACTCACCTTCTCAACCCCCCTTGTCATCGCTTTTCCTCTTCCGAAGAAAACATCCTCATACCTCCTCGCTTCGAACGGACAAGTCTTTATCACAACCTGTCTTCCCTTCCTCGTCCAACCCCTCACACTCCTCAAATGCGGCACAGCCCGTCCAACACCACCAGCACCTACCCCGACCATCGGATCCAGAATGAGGCTAACATCCAGATTGGCCGGACTGACAGACAAGGGATCATGCAGGAAATCCCCCTCGAGTCGGTATTCCTCTTCGAGAGCGAGGTGTTCCTTCTCGGGTGTTGTGTTGCTGCGGTCGTAGGGTGACTTGTGCGCGCCTACTTCGTCATCTGTGCCTGACTGGCATGTCTCGGCACGTTGCGGATTGAGGATGCATCGTTCCAGTAAGATTTCCTCCGTTTTGGTGAGGGGTGGGAGTTTGGTTTTGAGGGGGCCGCGTGGACTTTGGTGCATGCTTAGGGGGTGGGTTGTTACTAGGGGGCTGGTTTGGAGGGCTCGGTTGAGCGGTCTGAAGGCTTTCATTTCGTTTGATCTGATATTTGTTTCTTCGTCTTGCTGTTGAATTGAAAGAAAGAGGGCGGAGCGGTTGGAGTAGAGTTGAGTTGGTTTATAAGGTTTACCCCGGATTCTAGAGTGGAAATGACATCATGATTTCGTGGGAGTGTTTGCCAGAGAACAAAGTCATGAGGAAGACTGGGATAGGTGAGTTGTTTCTTGAATTCATCTATTATCGTAATCTTGGTTGGTTGTGTCGCCTGAGATGGCATGCAATGGCTGGTATATAACAGTATGCCACATCATATCGTCCAAGGTCATCCGCTTTTGCTTAACATCCCAAGAGAAAATCTATACAGGTCACTATGATTTTGTTTTAGAGTGAACTTTGTGATCAAATCTCAAGTGCTGTAGAGGAATCTTGGGTTCCGGTCGCCCATTTCCTGAATCTCCTCTTCCGTCAACGAGGATATCTTTTCATCTTCCAAACCTTGGGCTCTGCGCTTGTTTATAAAGCGATAAAATAACCCCATGGCACCGTAGAGGATACCTGCAAAGCCCACCAAGCCCAGAGTAACAGCGTTTCCTCGAACAAAACGTGGACCTTCTGATGTCTTGTATAAAAACGGGGACATGACACCACTGATGTTGCCGAAAGTGAGTTGCAGACCCGTGGCGAAGGTGCGCTTTCCGTATCGCGGTAGGTTGGTGGGTAACCAGGCAAGGGGCAATCCGACGGTAACATACAACCCCAATGCAACCATCAAAGCACCGAAATAGTGCACACCCGACGATGAATCTGAGATCAGGATTCCATATCCGACAACAGATATCACGCTAAACAGACAGACAAACACAGCACGGTGCTGAGTGCGATCACTCAGCCAGGCAATACCCAGGTAAACAATAGCACCCAGTGCATAACAGGGGATAGTCAAGGCCTGGACCTCAGGGGTTGACCAGTTGCCCATACCCTTGATTATAGTCGGCAGGAAAGTACTATACCCGTAAAGCATAGTGTCGACCCCAAACTGACCAACGGAAAATGCCCAGATCTTCCAATCCAGCGCGCCGTCCTTGACATCCGCCCAGTGGAACTTCTGCGCGGACTCGGTCTGTCCAACATGGCGACTGCGCCGACGGGCAACGAGTTCACGCTCTTCTTTGTCCAAATAGTATGCCGTGTCCGGTTCGTCTGCTAGGCCAAACCACGTGGCCACGCCGAGAATGACCGTCGGGATGCCTTCGATAATCATGATCCAGCGCCAGCCTCGGAGTCCACAGACGCCATCCATGAACCCGATCCCGTACGCGAGCAGGCCTCCAAAGGCTCCCGCGATGGCTGCGCTGCTAAATAGGTAGCCCGTGCGCAGCGCAATCTCATGCTTCCCGTAGAAGAGGGTGAGGTAGGTCATAAACCCTGGGAACAGGCCTGCCTCGACCACACCCAGTAGAATACGGCAGGCGATCAGGCCCCCATAGCTTTGGACAATACCGGTGAGGGTGGCGATAATGCCCCAAATGACTGAGATAATTGCGATATAGCGGGATGGCCTCAGCTTTTTGATCACGAGGTTAGAGGGAACCTCGAAGAACTAGTGGGGTTAGCGTGTGCTGGAGGGTTTGGGGTTTAGGGTTGCAGGGATCTGCGTACACAGTAAGTTACGAAGAGAATAGACACGGCGATCTGGTACTGGTCGCCGACTAGGCCTAGATCCTCTTCTAGACCGTATAGACGTGCATTGCCAATGTTGACTGTGTAGGTCGGTTAGGAATTGTCCTTGTGTTCCTTCAATGTTTCCAAGCTTGCTGGTTGGGATTGAAACCAGGGAGGATTCGGACCCGTCTGGTATCACTGACCTCGATCTAGGAAGCTGAAGAGATATAGCAGCACCACAAAGGGTAGGATGTGAAGATCAATCTTCCGTATCACCGTTCGCTCGGCCTGTTCCTCGGCCTGTTCCTCGGTGGGGACTGAGTGGGACTCTGTGTCTGATACTGGCTCCTGGCTGTCAGGGCCGACATCGACCTTGGACTGGACCATTGGATCCGAGAGTCGGCGTTTACTGCGAGAAAAGTAGGAAACAGAGTGTTTTTAAGGTTGCCAAGTGCCAAGCCAATGATCCCCAGGGATTCGTGACTAAGTCGAGCATAACTAACTTACTCAGTTCACGGTGTTGTTAGTTCGTGTCTAAGTTGTCGGGGGACTTTCTAGACGAGCAGTATTGCCTAGGCCTCATCTGACTAGAAATCCGCAATCCCGTACTTTTTTTTTCGTACTTCGCCTTCCCTTGGCAGTTCTAGACTGTCAGACTTGCTCTCTCTCAAGGGGCCGGAACCGGTCTAGCCAGGTGACTAAGCAGCTTCGGTCATATTCTGCAGCAGAGCCATCTAGGAATCCAATATCTCTCCAGCTTTTGAGAAGTCCTTGCACTTCCCCCTCCCCCCTCTTTCACGGTGTTTCAATCTCACTATGAGCCTTCACGCGCTGCGCGACAAGGCTTCATATTCAGCTCCCTAATTTGCTAGTTCAACTCTTTTGCCCTGATCTCCGAGAATCCCACCCCCCCCTCTCTCTCTCTTCCCCCCCCCCCCCCCCACAATCAGAATCATCCCAAAAAATTCCCCAATTAATTCAATCCTTCCAATACTTCAATGGCCACCCCTCCAACTTCTCCCATCGGGGAGTTAGTTCTTCAAAAAACTCTCGACGGCCACACCGGTTGGATCTGGGACGTCACCCCATCCCCCAATGGTGAAATCCTCGCCTCGGTCTCGAACGACATGATGATTCGACTCTGGAACGCCGGAACCGGGCTGCAACGGGGTGCCGCCAAAGACAACGGCCACTCCAGCTGGGTCCGCGCCGTGCGCTTCTCGCCGATGGGCCGACTGCTCGCCACCGCCTCGGACGATATGACGGTTCGCATCAGCGACGCCAATACAGGCTTCACGTATCGCATGCTCAAGGGCCACACGGGGAAAGTGCGCGCGGTCGAGTTCGCCCCTGATGGACGGACGGTGGCCTCTGCCTCGGATGATTCGACCGTTCGGTTATGGAATGCCAGCTCGGGCGCCCTGCTGAAAACCTTCTCCGGCCATCTGGGCTGGGTGCGAGCTGTGGCGTACTCGCCCGATGGGAAGATGCTCGCGTCCGTGTCAGACGATAATTCGGTCCGGTTATGGGATACGGCGTCGGGGAGCCAACTGCACCAGATGAATGGGCATTCCGCGTCCAGTCGGGCGGTGTGCTTTTCTCCCGATGGGAAACTGGTGGCATCTGGGTCGCTGGATAAGACGGTGCATATTTGGGATACGGCTTCGGGGGCTCTGCTTCATGTTCTTGGTCATTCCGGTCCGTTGCGCTTGATGACTTTCTCGGGGGATGGGAGGTGGATGGCTTCTGCGGCGGATGACTTGACGATTCGGGTGTGGGATGCGTCGTTTGCATGTGTGCGTGTTTTTACTGGTTATTCGGGCTGGGTTCGGGCGATTAAACTCTCTGATGGACACATGGTCGTTTATACGTCCGATGACATGACCATCAAGATCTGGTCATAGATCTGGTGGTGATTTTTCTTGTTTTTTCCTTTTTGTTTGAGATACCCATCGTTTGTTTAATATATAATCCTTCACGTCACTGTCTATTCCATTTCCATCAAGGTGTCCACATCGTTTGGGACTAGTCGATGTGATAGCTCTATACAGGTAGCCAATAGGGTAGATGCTGCTCTCTTGGGTCTCAAGACCTCGGCCTTTTATTTGTTCGGAAGAAGGAAACTATTTGACTAGTATCAAAACAAGTTTTTGGAACGTGTTTAACGTTCCATCGCTTACAGTAGTCTCGCAGTCCAGACTGAAGTAATGAGCCGAGCAAATGCACGAAAGGGGACCAGTCAGATATCACGCTGACAATCCGGAGTAACAAATAGACCCTTTATCCGAGACAAGATTTCTATCAGGGTATTCCGACTCCTGGAGAGTAGAAGCTTATAGTAGGGAGGGCAGGCGGGTTTGGTCCAATAGTTGATAGTATAAGATACACTGTGTAATATCGAGAGAAACAAGTTCCAGGTATGCCCAGGTGAAATCTATCAAGTGGAAGATCAGCACAAGATATCCAAGCATCCACGTTGACGTTAACCGACAAAAGAAATGAAGCTGAGCGGACCTCGGCCCCCCGCATCAGCCCTCCGAACCCCGGGGAAGCTCAGTCAAGCTGACTCAAGCTCACTCATTCTCCCACAACCACCTTCGATCAAGTGACCTCCTGTATGACACAATGTCCGGCAATTACGGCAGCTATCAGACCGAAATCTACGGCAAGGGTGCCCTAATGGGCATCTTGCCCAGCGTAACCACCGACCCTCGCCTACTGGAAGAACAAGCGCAAAAGGCCCTAGGAGTGCGCGCGTTCAATTATGTTGCCGGCGGTGCGGGAGAAAAGGCCACTATGGACAGCAATCGGTTGGCTTTTCGTCAATGGAAACTGTGAGTAGGATTTCGGGGCTCGTACTTGATCTTGACTGACCACTTTTTAAGAATCCCGAGGATGATGCGCAGTGTAGGATTGTATCTCGGTCTACTGAATACTATCTTGAATGCTAATACTATGACGAGCAGATGCATGAACAAGACGTTTCAATTGAACTGTTCGGCCAGAAATACGATACTCCCCTGATCATGGCACCAGTGGGTGTACAAGGTATCTTCCATGAAGACAAGGAGACTGGTTTAGCCAGTGCGTGCGCAGAAGTAGGTGTGCCTTATACGATGAGCACAGCGAGCACGAGCACAATTGAAGAAGTGGCGACCGCAAGTAATGACGGGAAAAGATGGTATCAGCTCTATTGGCCGAAAGACAATAATGTGACACTGTCCCTGCTGAAGCGCGCCAAGGAGAATGGGTTCTCGGTGCTGGTTGTTACGCTTGATACTTGGTCCCTGGCGTGGCGGCCTGCTGATCTTGATAATGCCTACGTACCTTTTATCAAGGGGGTGGGGAACCAAGTCGGGTTTAGTGATCCGGCATTCCGGGCCAAATTCGAGAAAGAGTCTGGATGTCCGGTTGAGGAGGATATCATTGGTGCTTCGCGGGCGTGGCTCGGTGATGTGTTTGCTGGGAGTCCGCATGAGTGGGAAGATTTAGCTTTCCTGAGGGCAAATTGGGAAGGCCCGATTGTGTTGAAGGGAATCCAACATGTGGAGGATGCGAAGAGAGCTTTGCAGTCCGGCTGTGATGGGATTGTGGTTTCAAATCATGGTGGTGAGTTCGATTGGTCGTTCATGGCTGGGGGTTTGATGCTGATATGTTCTAGGCCGCCAAGTTGACGGGGCCATTGGATCTTTGGATGTTTTGCCGGAGATAGTCGATGCAGTTGGCGATCGAATGACGGTACTTTTTGACTCGGGCATTCGGACGGGATCGGATGTTATCAAGGCGCTGTGTTTGGGAGCCAAGGCGGTTCTGGTTGGTCGACCGGTGATTTATGGCCTCAGTATTCAGGGCCGAGACGGGGCCAAGCAGGTCCTCCAGGGTCTTTTGGCCGATCTCTGGCAGAACATGGGCTTATCAGGCATTCGCAACGTGGGCGAATGCGACCGCAGTCAGATTCGTAGAGTTCAGTATGGAGGAGATGTGAAGGCGATGATGTAAAGTGCCAAGTCACATGTAAATAATTCGTTGGGCCAGGAACCGACCCTGTTGATCAAATATAACTTGCTTTGGACACAGCTTCATGTCTGAACTCAACACACTCTCTCTTTCTATGCATTCATATTATCGATCTGCACTATGATTGCAGAGAACGAACCCGAGATCCACCCAACTTCAGGCGCGACGCTACTCCCACGACCAGTGGCATCGCTGATATCCCTAATCACCCAGTCAACCTCCCTATCGTTACGCCTTGGAACATTCTTTGGTGGGGCTGCCATAGATGGCGCGCGAGCTACCACTCTCACCAGCCTCGAGCTAAGCCGGGCCCTGGTGGAGGGCATCCTGACGAGAGCAGGACGCGACGTCGCGATCCGTAGTGGAGATGAACATGGCAGAACCGAGGCTGAGTCTCTGCTTGAGCGGAGTGTAGGAGAACCCATCCTGACTCTTCGTCCTGACTCCTTGCCCTGGCTAACCTTGCCTAGTTGGCAACCCTGCATTCAACCGTGACTTCGGCTTCGTTTTTCGCGGCCGCAACATTCCACTTCTCCTCGACAACTTTGGCATCCGTGGCCAATCTCTCTCAGGCTCTCTTGTCTACGTTGGATGCCATTCTTGGATCTACGGAATCATCCAGGGCTATTGCTGCTATTATCACGCTTATCAGGCGCGAGTTTAGATCTGTGGAGCCTGGTGCCAGTGCTGAAAAGATTGGTGTTGGCGATCTACTAGTTGGGTCTTTGGGCTTTGCCTTACTACAGCGATGGGGCAAGAAAAACACCGAAAGACATCTGCGCCAGAATGGCGGAGATGAAATTGTTTGGGATGTTGTCATCCTGGACAACGGTGCCCGAGCAGATGTGATCGGGTCCCATGAACTACAATTCGCCGACCCCAAGAATGAAGAGCTAGTACGGCCGGGCAACGCTTCATTCGTGGTGCCAGAGAACGGCGATGAAGCATTTGATGCAGTCAGGCGGTCCAGCATGACTGAAGCTTTGAACGGATCTCGTCTCTCTATTCCTCTGGATGGTCAGCAGCAGGTATCTGATGAAGACATCCGCGCTTATATCATGAGCCAGCTTCCTCAGGGTTGCCATGCATCTATCAAATCGGAAATTCTGACGGCACGAACCATCACTGTCGATATCTACGATGACGATAATGCAGAGATTGCAGCACCACCTGGAACAAAAATGGTGGAGGAAAGATTTCATCATGATGCTGATTACGACAATGTAACAGACGGCCATCGACGCTGCCCAAAGCATACAGTGGTATTCAGGACGGCTTTTAACAAATCCCAAAGCACTGAGCTACGACCTCATGGCAGTCCTCCCGGTGCAACTGAGTCCGATCATCCAAAACGATCGGCTGGAAAAGCATTGCCTAGTCTTCCATCAAGGTCACATCAAGATCGGTCGCGCTCGCATCCTGACATCACAAACGGGGGCTTTGATCATCATGTGACAAGTCCTGTCTCGCCGAGCGAAGCTCCCAAGCCTGCAACAGGTCGAGGATCATTCAGCAAGTTTGCACAAAAGGTCAAGCCACCTGGTTTTGAGAGGAGCGACACCAAGCGTCCAGTGAAGAAGCCATCCATGAAATCGCCCACATCCTCCACACTTCCTGTTCCTCGTCTGCCTCCCAGACCGGTAAAGGGAGCCGCAGCTGTCAAGGAGGCGACGGCACGCGAAATTTCTACCAGGCCCGATCTCAAGAAGAGACAAACAGAGCCTATGGACTATCGACCCGCGACACCTGTCCCTAATCGGGGCTTAAGGAGGTCACCGCTCCCTAGTTCTCCCCAAAAACAATCACCCCAGCAAGAAAATATCTCTCCGTCACACAATCCACACGTACAGAGAGGTCTACGAGGGCATTTCGCAGTGCGTGAGAAAAGTCAGGAATCTCTTCTCACTCAAACCGATGCTTTTTTCTCGCGTCGGACTTCAGATATGCGGCCTGGTTCACCTGCCACGTCTCGAACTCATGTTCGCAGTAGCAGCTCCATGTCCGTGAGTAGGTCCGAGACTGACGGGAGGATATCTGCAAATGACAACCGACCCGGTTCATCAACTTTGCATCACAGAAGTCACTCATACACTCCCAGTCTATACTCACTGGCGACTGCTGGGTCCGAGACATCCCTCATACTTGCCCATCGGCCTCGTAAAAGTGCCTACGGGGATACCGAAACCATTCAGGCGCTTAACCGTGACGGCCTAGTCCCAGGAATCTTCCCTGAAAGGCATTTTGTCCAGAACATCCGACGATTTTGCCGTTTCTCATCTGCCTCTTATGGTTCCAATGCCCTTAATATCATGGGAATACCAAGAGGCACAAAGACTCTACCAGCAGCCAGGTCAGACACCCACGAGCACAGCGCGTTCTCGGACCACGCCGGTCTTCCACCCTCAACAATCCTCCTTTCTTCCTTCGTCGATCCGGCTGGTGGTTCCAACGCAGCCGGCGAGACAGAAACAGGATTTCCACTTGTCCACTACCTCTCCATTGATCATGACTCCAAGGCCGTGGTCCTGACCCTCAGAGGAACATGGGGGTTTGAGGACATTCTAACAGACATGACCTGCGACTACGACGACCTAGAATGGCAAGGCAAGACCTGGAAAGTACACAAAGGCATGCACGCCTCCGCCAAACGACTCCTCGAAGGCGGCGGTGCCCGAGTAATGATCACCCTTCGCGCAGCCCTCGAAGAGTTCTCAGACTACGGTGTCGTCCTCTGCGGCCACTCTCTCGGCGGCGGCGTCGCCGCCCTCCTAGCAACCATGATCTCCGAGCCAAACCCCTCCCCGGTTGGCACATCCTTCGTAACAGCCTCGTACACACCCACCCCACGCATCCCCCTCCTAACAGCATCCCCAAACACTCCATCCAACCTCCCCCCAACCTCCCCTTTACCAATTCCAACCGGCCGCCCAATCCACGTCTACGCCTACGGCCCACCAGCCGTAATGTCCCCATTCCTCCGCCTCGCCACGCGAGGCCTAATAACAACAATAGTCAACGGCCAAGACATAGTCCCAAGCCTGTCCCTAGGAATCCTACACGACATGCACACTGCAGCAAGCAGCTTCAAGGACGATTCGACAGGCGCGAAATCCCATATCCGCCAACGTCTCCGCGAATCCCTCCGGCAAAGCATCATCCACAAGTTCTACGTGAACCAGCCACCGCTCGTCGTCAATGCGGGCGATGGCGTCGGCGAGGATGCTTGGGCGTGGAAGACGCTCAAGTTGTTGCGCGACGAGATGCGCGCGCCGAAACTCATGCCGCCGGGTGAAGTCTTTATTGTTGAGACTATGCGGGTCTTGCAACGGGATGCGTTTACGGTGCCTGATTTTGTGGGAGATGGGTACCCGCGGCTTGGGAGGCCTGCTACGCGCGTTCAGATTCGGTTCATCAGGGATGTTGATGCTTGGTTTGGGGAGTTGAGGTTTGCTAGTGGCATGTTGAGTGATCATAATCCGGCGAGATATGAGACTAGTCTTGCTGCTTTGGCTAGGGGGGTTTTGGATGAATAGTTTAGGTTTGGGTTGGCTTTGGGTTGGATATGATATGATATGAATGTGGATACGGATATACATGTAGATATGGATCTGGATATGATTTACGAGGGCTTATAGAGTGGACAATGGAGACACGGTCTGGCTCATATGGAACGTTGGGAATGACATATGTGGTGAGGCATTTAGGGCTCAGATAAGACATGATCGCCATGTGAAACTTTCATGTGAAACTACGGCGTCTAAACCAGACAAACACGACCGGTTTACCTTTGCACTACTACAGAACTCGAGGTTTATAATGTTCCCAGCACAAGTAGTCAATCATAGAATATACATTTCGAATCATAAGTTTATATAGTGTATAACGCGATCCCCATCCAAGAAAAAAACCAGGGGGAATCTTCGATAGTAATAAAAGGCAATCAATCAAAACCAAGATCCAGGGTATCACGGCCTCACAAACAACGCCAGTTGAAACAAAAGGAACACCACCCATCACAATTTTGACGAAGGAGACACATAACAAAGAAGAAAACAACAGCGAATCGAGGGAAGGTCCCAAGATTCCCTCTCCATAGCAGCGCTGCTCTAGACCACCAGTGCGGTGGCAGTCGCTGAAACGGGCCGTCCAGAGTGACATCCACGCTCGTGGCGCTTCATGTTGCTCCGGACGGAGAAGGCCTTGCCACAGCCGGCGTGCGTGCACCGGAAAGGCTTCTCGCCGGTGTGCGAGTGGGAGTGGATGCGCAGCGAGGAGGGGCGCGAGAAGGCCTTGTGGCAGGTGCGGCAGATATACCGGTCGTGGTTTTGCTGGTATGGTGCTGCCGTCGACGGGGGAAGTAGTGGTGGTGTTGCCAGGCCGGGGTGACGGGGGAGATGAGGGCGGATGAGGAGGTGGAGTTGGAGTGGGAGTGAGAGTGAGAGTGGCCGTGAACGTGGTGGTGTTGGGTTTGCACCGTGGGCATTGGGGCTGGCACTGTCACTGGCGTGGCTGGGTTGAAGGTTGAGGCTGTGGGTGGGCGGGTGTAGTACATTGGTTGGTGGTGTTGCGGGGCCTCCACTGGGGATGTGTAGGAGGAGATGCTGGGGGCTGGAGAAGCATAGGGCTGGGCGTTGATGTGGATTGAGCTGGTGCTGGAGATTGAGGAGCGGTGGTTGGATTCCTTGGTGGTCACTGGCGAAGCGCGGCTGTGACCGTTTCCTGAGCCTGGGCGGAGGGGTGGTGTTGGGGGCATCTCATAGTGCCGGATGTCATCACGGTGAGGTGAGAGACGTTGACGCTCTATTTGGGGGGTCAGTAACGGTTTGAATACAGTGCTGTTTTTCCCAGGATGCTACTCACTGGCTGAGTGCTGGCCATCGGCACCCTCAAGGAGGGCAGAGATCGAAGGCAGCGAGCACTTGGGTTCCTCGACTGGTGGAGACAGAGGAGCCGAGCGCTTATAGCTCGAGTCCTTGGGAGTATAGACAGGGTAGGAGAGGAGGTTAGCGAGATCCATGATGGGCGGAAGTGTAGAAGTCTAGATGGCGTTTCACATGGGGGAACACACGAGGTTTATAGTGAATGATCGCCGGTAAATTCCCTGATTTTCTTTATTTTTATGAGACAGTCCGTTCCAAAGCTTAATTTAATTAATTTCATAATTCCTAACTGGGAATTCACCATGAATTATTCTTTTCTTTTCGGAGATTAACGTGGGGAATGACGATGTGCCTCCTTCTCCACTGGCCGCAGCCTATCAACTGCGTGGGATGCGCACTAGCCCCAATGTGGGAGGTAAAGACCTCGGCTACGGCTAGTGCAGATCCTCTCTGCTTACCTGTCACATCGCCCCATAAACGGTGATCTGATCGGCGAACTACATAGTCGGATGGGAGAGAGAGAGAGTAAGAGTCACAGTCCAGGATAGAAAGAAATCGTCCCAAATTATGACATGTCGCGCCTCTTTCCATCCCGTCGCTTTCTCTATGAAACCTGGGGATGACACGGTTCAGGAGATCATTGTCGCGTGGCTACGGGGAACCAACGGCGCAGGGATCCAAAGGGGAAGGTGACAAAGAAAACCACTAACCCGATTGGGATCCCCTCCGTAACCCGGGGGCCAGCGGCTCTAAGCGCTGAGAAGGCCTCGCTTACACAAACCTTACAATGCATGAACTCAGTACGAGCATACAGGATACATCCTGCCTCCAGTATACTGTACTGGGTACAGTACCGCAGGCGGTACCGTACGGTGGTGGCCACCATCCCATACGGTAGGGACGAGTCGCTCATTCCACGAGACTAGCAGGCCAGGATCGACAGGCTCATCAGATAGACTCTACCTGATATCCAAACCTCGGCATTTACCGCTGCTTATAGAAGGTGACAAGGTGACAAGGCCAGACCCTGTCCTCCTGAAGATCCTCGAAACCGGATACGATCTGATCGGCGTTCTGGAACACTCGGGAGGGCCGTGCTCGGATTCTGCACGATCGGGGATTGGCCGTTAGAGGGGATCCGCGTCCCGGCCTCGTGGAAGCGAGCTCCACCCTTTAGCCCTTTTAGCTGGGATCTTCCTTTTCGGCTCCTCCCCCAACGAATATCGTCAGTTGGGATAGTAAGGCAATGGACTCGTTGGAGCAGACAGGAGTACTAGTACTGGAGGCGACACTGTTTTCTACAGGCAAATTTCTGCGCCCGGTCGACTGCATGTGATAACTCAAGCGGCATCCGCGAGGCCCCTCGGGAGGATCCTGACTGATCGACCCCCCTTCATGGTCGGTCGGCACTTGTTCGGTTCGCCTATTCTGAACTGAGTCTGGTGCCGGTCTGAGTATTCCACTCGCACTGATTGGAGCGTGCATCCGTGGTTCTGTCTAGGGTAAATGGCTATTCCCCTTTCTCTTGTCTTGCAACCGTACTCCGTATATTAAGGAATCTCATCTCCCATAGTTTCCCGTCTGAGAAGCTTTACGTGGAACTCTATGATGAAACCGGGAATACGGACTTAATGTGATCCGCCGGTATAGACTTTTCCTGAATGTTAATTGAAATGTTAATTCAAAGGTTGAGCTCCAGATCCCTTCCGTACTGTTCAAATCTACAAATTTCTGTTTAAGGGGCCGTCACACACGACTATTGCATCTACGTACGCAATCTGCTTTTCCAGTCAATAGTAGGGACCGAGCTTCTCACTCAGGGTGATCGAGCTATCCCCTTTCAGCCATAGATCCGGGTAGGCAACGGAGTCAGCCGTGATCGCTGATCGTTGCTCCCGGGGCACTGGGCCCATGCCACGCGACTGTCTCACCCCCTTTCCCAGGATTTTCCAAAACTTGCCGGGACTAGTATACGGTCGAGAATCAGTGGGGCTGGGATTCCACGCGATATAGAACACATGGTATCCCTTGAAGGGGGCTGATGGCGCATGGCGTGTATAGCGCAAGGGCCGATGGCTTGAAGATGTGTACAATGGGGGAGTGCAGAGTGCCGATATATGACCAGTCGACTCCGGTTGCCTTGCGTAAGGTAAGGTTACCGAACACATGGCACTTGCATTGTTCCATGTCCAAGCGCATAGGCTATCACAAAAGACCACATAACATGCCAATGCAGTGACGACACTCGACACACAGACCGGTGTTTAAATGAGACGCCGGAAATACTTAACCTTTGATCGGCGATTGGTAGATCCGATCTTACGCTAGCCCCTTTCGGAAGGTGCGGACTGGACGCGGGATGCATCTGAGAGAATGCCCCCCTTGGCCACGGTCGAATTATGATTTCTTTGCTTTTTCCCTCTCCCTTTTTTCTTTTTTCTTTTTTCCTTTTTTCTTTTGATTATGATTTCACGTGGCATTGGAGCCGAATCTGGCATCAAGCCCGATGCACCTCCGATCATCCGGGATATCTCACATCATTTCGAGACATATTTCTTTTTTCTTTTCCTTTTTTTTTATAAATCAGGTTGGGAATTTGGGAATTTGGGCATTTCCACAGAATTGATCGGTGGATTTCCATGTGGTTTTCTGAAATAGACCTGTCATCCTCCTTCCTATTCGGAGGGGGTGGATCAAGATCCAGGGATAACCGCTGGCCATAGCTCCTGTCCATGATCACCGCTAAGCGATGTCCGTTTGGGCAATGTCTCCGATGCGGTCCTCCGCGTAATAAATATTGTTACGCGTGGACTTCGTATTTGACCCCTTGTACACTATCCGGCAGATTGGTCGGGATGTACGGAGATATTGCATTATTAATGAAATATATTGGAGATGAATGTAATCTCCATGCAGGATCTAGGGCTGCCGAGTGGTTCATTCCCACCCACGGAATCCCGTACTGTAGTCTTTGGTCATACTTTACCTTGGTCATCTCGTAGCATACTGTACACATGTAAAGGTACATTCTAGGGTCATGATACTCGGGTTCGGATCGCATCTCGTATTTGAAAATCAGGGGGGGGGGGGGGGGGGAATGTAATAATAGAAGGCAACCCCAAACAAGCAAACATGACCCTCAATCACACCTGCTATAAGCAGAACTGACTGACCCAACGAGGGGATGATCGACGGCGATCATCTACAATCTACGGAGTACGGAGTACATCGACAGGTATTCCACATCCCAAACGGCGGATCTCAAAAGAGACAAGAAGGGGGGGGGGCGCTTTCCTGTCCACGGACTCGGGACCGAGACAACGACCTCAATAATCCAGGGCCGAACTGCCAGACTGGGGATATGGACCGTGGGCACTAGTGATCGAACTGTACGTTGGAAGCGCACTAGTCGTAGACGAGACGGTAGTAGCGGGGGAAAAGCACGGAGGATGGGCATTCGGCATGTCTTCACCCCGTGAGACGGTGAAACAACGACCTGTTCGTCAAGGGCCAGTCGATCACACAAATTAGAGCAGCTTGAGCCGGGATCCTACCGACCGCACCAAGTCCCATTTGGGTATAAACCCCGTGTGGGATCAGCCGTGGGGAAAAGGGCTTGTCTAGTTGCATGGCATTTGGTCCAATTGTAGCCTCGGCGAACTGACCTGACTTCTTTTTTTTTTCTTTTCTTGCATGGAATATAGTTTGCCTGGTTCTGACATGCCTGACTATGGACTATTTTAGGGAGGTGATATTGGATCTATCATCATCATCCCGTTCAATGGTCTGCTCTTCTCTTTTTCGACACCTCGTATACGTTATAGGTTATACGGAAGATACGGACTTGGACTCCAGAATCGTCTTGCATATCCGGTCGATCTGTATCACTTATTTCTCGCTTACAGACGCATCTCTCGCCCCTTGAAATCTTGGAATCGTAGAATCTCATGATCCGCACTCCACTTGCTGAAACATCCCTGTAGACCAAACCCCTAGTGAGACTGGAGATTGCTGACACTGGACTGACAAACCATCGACGTCTTTCATGTGTTTATTTAAGTTCACCATTGATTGCGGGCTTACCTCTTCGGGTGCCGTGCTGGGAATCCATCCAGCCACTTCTTTGTTGCGTGGCTTGGGATAGCATGATTCATGCTTCGGCCTGGATTCCACAGACTCCCAACGGTTTTATTCATGCCATGTGTTTCCTTGGCTGAATCCTGGCTCCTGGCTCCCGGATCCGGTGGCGGACGCTGCATTAATTAATATGAGCGATTAACAGTGCTCCGGACTGGAGGTTGGAGTGTGATATCCACACGCTCATGCATGCGGACTCCAATTTTGCTCAAGACTGAAGCATTCAAATGGCACTGTAGCAGATGCAGATACAGATACAGACAGATACCAATGCAAATGCACATCGCGAGGTCTGATCATCCAGCCTGCCAGCCTACATGTACAGTACAGTACCGCCTCAAACCACATGCAGTTCGGATCCGGATCACGATCCAGTCTTATACGTGTACATGCACACTTCGGTGACATAGAACAGATCCCTACAGGGCCTCCAGACCAATGCCATGTCCATGATCGTCTCACGGGGCATGGCAATAAGCACCCTCAAGTCCTCAGTACGGGATGCCTCGCATATGCATAGAGTTTACTGTAGTCCAGACACACACACACACACACACACACACACACACATACACATACACATACAGTACACACAGATCACCAACCCCTCTCCACCAAAACAGCAGGTGATTCGGAGGCCAGTGAACCCTGTCAGACACCGAGCGCTAAAGGCAGATCCCACGCTGATCGAATGATTTCCACGGCCTTGTTTCATGCCGGCAATGGGTTCTTCCCTGGTACCATGATTGGTCAGGTATTTTGGTGGTAGACCTCGTTATTACATAGGTTGCAGGGGTTGCACGCATTGCGTAGGCGATTGGACCTGGGTCTGGTAGATCATCCCACCGTTGCATTGTGATGTTGAACACTGTGGCGGGGGTTGCGTCTACAAGTATATATCTCTGCGTGGAGTTTCCAACATGGATCTATTGGGGCTGGGTGATTGGGTGATTGAGTGGACTCTGCTGGATGTGCATATGTCGACCTCATTTTCAAGAAAGATACGTAGATAGTGATGTATGCACTATGCAGTGTATACATAGGTCAGCCAAATACATGTAAGTTCAGATTTGAATGTCGGGTGTGAGATGGAGCGTGTGACGAGATCGAAGTTACACCTGGACAGAGTACAGAATAGTTGTCTAGCTATGTCCCAGTGGAAAGTTAATTGCTGTTCAGTTAGGCACTGGAATAGAACTGACCGTCTTCCTATCTTTGATCCAGGAGGGCCGTGCTAAAGCCAGTTCGCTTCCGAGGTTCGAGCGGTGTATACAGGGAACGTTTGGGGGCTTAAAGTCAAAAATAAAATCGCGCATTGGTAATATCACTGAGGGCTATCTTTCCAACTGTATATTGTATGATCATTCGTAGAATATTGAGCCAATGATCCCCATGGCGATCAACCTGGTGCATGTGCATGCTCAGCGTTAATAGACTGGGAGACTGGACTGGTGACTGGTGACCGAGGACGCCACATCCCGTAAATGCGGTGACTCAAAAGAGGAACAAGGGGAGACCACTCAAAGCTCCCCCAAAAAGCCAGGCAATTTAGAGTTGCTCTTAGCGAGATGCCCAATGTCGCCCAACGATTGGTGTGCAATCCTCCGGGGTGATCTGCGACGGAAACGCCCGCCGATCGACGGCCTGTGTGCCACGAGGATTGCTCTTCGTCCTCTCTCTTTGGCGCATAGAATATGACCTGTGCGGATTTCGGAGGAATGAATATCAAGCCTGGCTTGTTTGGTCGAATCGTCCGATCCAAGCAGGGATGTGAATCCTTTGATCGACTAAGAACTTTCTAGGCCGGAGCCCCCCGATGCTATTGAATCAGGGGAGGGAAACAAATGTCAGTGGCTGGGACATATCCACTTTGCACTTTGCATATCGGGTTGATCGACAAATGTGATCTCCGGTTAGAGCCCTAGAGGGATAGAGAGGGGGGGGGGTTAACCTGGTAAGCCCCAGCTATCTAACCCCCCCCCCCCCCCCCCGAGCACAGACACGGAGTGGCCGGTCTTGCATGGAGCCAGCGAGGAAAGAGAAAGAAGCCCGGAGCCGCAGTGTTTTGGATTGGCCCCATCCTAACGGAGGGGCAGATCGTGCGTGTGAGTCTCTGGGATTTGTAACCGCGGAATTTTAGGGTTCAATATTGTACAGGGTCGGTCAAGGTGGGTTTGCATATGGGTTCTTAATAGGTATCAGACTATGGTTGGTTTGCACAAGAGCGTATATGCACCGTGCTCCTGGCCGCAAAAAGTAACGCCGACCGTTGCCTTGTTTCCCGACCGAGAAAAGGCCGGCTTGGGTATCGCATGTAAGCACAGAACACGAAATTTCGTTAAGCGGAGATATCAACTTGGCTGTTCCCTTGGATTCCCCTCGGCGCCGCGCCGGGATTCCCCCTTGTCGCATTGATCGCCTTCATGTTGCGAATTGCCAGCTTGAAGTCGATCTTGCGATAGTCGTCGGGCATGTGCTCTCCACTGTAGATACAGAGTACCCGCATGCCAGGCTTGTAGGAGAGTCCGTTGAGTAGCTTAGGTGTAATGAGGAAGTACTGTCCACCGCCGCTACCACCGATGGGATTGCCCTCCTCGTCAGTTTCAGCATCCTCACTAGAGGCACAAGCAATATCTACCAAGCGGCCATGAACCATGCGCTCATTACGCGGGTCCATACCTTGGTTGATCTCATCAACGACACGGAACGGCGAGGCGGAGAGAGACTGAAGTGCCATGAGATAGAATATGGTACTCACGGCCCTCTCGCCGCCGGACTGGCGATGTGAATCCAAGAGCGACAGTTGCGCGTTTTCACGGAATTTGACATGGATTTGAATCGCCCACTGGTCAAAGTCGCACCCACCAACCTCGCCCTCGGTCTCAGGCTCATCCTCCACCTTGTCCAGAGTGACTTGACCAGCACATCCGATTCGATTGAAAGAATCAGCAAAAGCATCACTAATCTTCTTGATGAGTGCATCCAGCCTGGGCTCCCAGTTCTTGCGGATCTCATCAATGGCATCTCCATGTTCGGTGAGCTCGTTTTGAAATTGAGCGAGTTTGGAACGGAGCTTCTCAATTTGCTTCTCACGATCTTCGAATTCTTTAATTGTGTGGCTACTACCGCCATGGGTGAGTTCCAGACGGGCTTTTTCGGAGTCGATGTCAGCGTTGAGCTGGTCCATGTCATAATCAGCAACCCCTTCTTCCATCACTTCTTTTGCGTCCGGTTGATTGCGAGCCTCCCGGACAACGAGCTTTGCTTGTTGATTAACGACTCTGAGCTTCATCGCAGTTTCTCTGACAGTGACTGAGGCTTGATGAGCCTGCATACTTTTCTCCTCGAGCATTCTTGCACAATCATCGTTGCGATGTCGTAGGGTTTGAAGGTCCGAGGTTGCTTCTAAAAGTCGAACCTCCAGTTTGACGAGTTCCTCATATTCTTGACGGAAGGCTTCAACGGAGTCCTGCTTTTGTTAGATAAATACACGATGCGCAGACACTGTGAGTAGACCTACGGCATATTTGACAGTGGCCTCAGCCTTCTGGATGGAGAACTCGTCTTGCTTGTCCCGAAACTCACGAACTGTATCTCGTACCTTCTCAAACAGCGAGGTAATGTTTTCAAGTTTAGCCTCTTGTTGAGCTGCACGATGTTAGCTAGCTACATGGCCCTGGCCACGGGATACATACCGATTTTCTCGGGAATGGCTCGATACTGAGTATGGGCTGTTTGTTTTGTAGTCTTTTCCCTATCGATCTCATTCTATTGAATCCGTTAGTGACTGAACAGACGTGAAGAAAAAAAAGTGCAAATACCATCTCTTCTTCGTTTCGGTCAATATCTTGTCTGAGCTTCTCCATGGTAGCTCTCTCGGCTCGGAGTTGATCTTCAATCTCTCGCAATTGTTCTTTCCAGTTGTCGATGTTCTCCTGGTGTTGCCGCTTGAGACTGACATCTACAGGCTGTGACGTCCACATCTGAGCAGGTCTGATCTGTCGAACCCGGGTAGAAGTCGCGCTGGGGCCGTATTCCCTGCGTCGACTCACCTGATAGGTGTTCTCCCCGGACACCCACGAACTCAGTGCACTATTCTGCAATTGGTTGAAAACGTTCTCTGGAATATCTCTGACTCCGATGGGAGTGGAGTGTAGTAACTTTTCGCTGCATAACATGGCAATGACAGGCTCGGGGCCAGTGAGGAAATCTTTCGCCCATCCATCGAATCCCATTTGGCGAAGTTGATCGTCGGGCAAAGGGGCTTTCATACTGTCTAGTGGAATAGAGCATGTGCGGATACTGACATCATGAAGGCGCAGTTCTCCATTGAGCGCCCTCTGCAAGGTGCGGAAATCGTTCCGGGTCTGTGTAGTGAAGGATGTGAAGTCAGTCTTCTGAAGCAAAGATTCGACAGCATTGGCGAATTTGGGATCGGTGATCGAGCAAGTCACAATAGGAGGACCAAAGACTTCTTTTTCAAATCTGTCTTGGTTCTCAAGAAGCCATCGGTGAGCCTTCAGCGAATCGTGAGATGCATTTCCCAACTTGTGTTCTTGCTGACCGGACTGTGAATTGAGACGTTCCAGCTGCTGTTGGGCTTGATTGATTTTCTTTGTTGTCTCGTTGCCTTGATTAATCAGGGGTTGTCGTCGCTCTTTGATCTCTGAGGCTTGAGCTATGAGCTCGCGCTTCTCAAGTCGCTTCGCTCTCTGTTGTAAAAATGAGTGCGTTGTTCATATCAACTTGTACATGACTCTTACCAGGTTTTCGTTGAAGACATCTGGGTTGAAGTCAACAGGTTCTTCCTCCAACTTGCGTTGGAGCATCTTGATATTTTGCTGGGCATTTGCTGCTTCCTTCTTGTGCGTCACTCCAGTCTTCCTTTCTGCCTCAATACGACCCGCGAGGTCCTTGATCTTGCTGTCAAATTCATCAATTTGTGTACCTCGAGCCGTAGCAAGTCTGGATGCTCGTTCAACCGAATCCTTTCTATGGCTCTTCACATTATTCAACTGCTCAATATATGCTTCTTTGACGGTGAGTGCACGCAGCGCAGGCTCTAGATCCGCCTTGAGCTGTTCATGTTCTTGCTGCAGCTGGGCTTTAGTGACTTTCAAGACCTCCAGAGCCGCATGCCCTTCTTTGTACTCAACAATCGGGCGCAAGAACTCGAGAATTTCGATTTTTCTTTTGATCCCGGCTCTCTGGCGCATTCGCTCGACATCAGCCCTCTGCATTTCTTGACGATTCTCCAAATTCGCCAACATATCCTTGTCACCGCGGTTATCGATCTCCAGTTTCTTCTGCTTGCCTCTGAGCATTTTCAAGGCGCTATGCCACTCAATCATTTCCGGACCAGCTGCTGCCCTCTGCGTGGAGTGAAGAAGTTCGACGGGGGAAAGGGCAGCGAACTCCGCAACCTTGTCCTGAGGGAGGAATTGGCACAAATTGTCTACCTGGATGGCGAAGGACTGGGCGAGCTTGAGCACTTGTTTATTACTGGCGGACTCTCCATTAATCATGAATGTGCTCTTGTTCCCATCTCGTTTGATAGTTCGTTGAATGATGGGGTTACGACCCATCTTTGGGGGTCCGCAGAGTTCAATCTCGATCGTAGCCTCTCGGCTTCCGTGTTTCACGAATTCGCCCTGATCTTTGGCGCGCCCGAGTTGCTGTAAATGAGGTGCGATTAGTATAGTGGACATGCACATATGGATGCGTAGCGCCAGAATGAATCGTACCTGAGGTCCCCAGCCTAAGCCCAGACAGATCGCACAGACAAGCGTACTCTTGCCTGTTCCGTTTGGCCCAATAACCATGTTTAATTTTGGTCCTGGAAAAAACTCTGCCGACGTGTATGTGACAAAGTTCTGCACCTTAATGCGAACAATCGCGCCTGGCTTGTAGCCACCGGGACCTAGCCCTGGGTGAGGAGCAGGAGGGACTTGGGAGATGGACTCCTCGCTCTCCGATACCGAGCTTCCAGCTTCACTCCCATCTCCAGTCTCCGAGTCATTCTCTGATTCATTTTCATCCGCGGGGTTGAGGCGGGGGCGCTTGTTGCTTGATGATGAGGTGTACGCGGGTTCGTCGCTATCTTGATCTTCAGCATCTCGGCGACGACGCGAAACATTTGGTGAAGACATATTGGACAAAGTCCTCGAATCGACGAGGACCACTCATACGCTGTCGAATACCGTCTGTGATCGTCGTGAAGTGTCACAACGCGAGGGGGACGCGTCGGGGAAGATCAATACTAATCCTTATTTAGGAAAGCGGTGAAACTTCAACATATGGCAATAATCTGATGGCGAAGAGCTTCACCTTGATAGCAATCACCATGCCTCCTCCGAACGTCAAGCGGTTGGTTTTGACTGGAGCAGTCACTGCAATCACAATAACAGGCACGCTCTATGGTGCAGGTCTCAAAACCAATCAGGAAATTGCAGAGGTATGGCGATCACTTGCGGAGCTATCCGCACTCACACCGTGCATGTGGCTGACTCTACGATCAGACAGTAAAGCAACGCCAAGAGTCTACTTTCGATGAACAGATGAAAGCTTTGCAGGGAATGCGCTCGAATCTCACAGCTCGGAGAGGTATCCTCGAGAACCAAATCCGAGACCTTGATGCCAGGATGCTTGAGAAGCAACAGAAAGGCATTGGCGGAGACACATCACAACCGCCTAAGGAACAATGATAGATATGTCCTCAGTGCCCAGAAGGCAACTCATGCTCGAATAACATTCACCCAAGCCATGGCAAACCACCCTATACCCGCTGGTGCAGGCCTTAAACACACCTTGCATGTCGCTCGACACAAGACTGCCTTGATCCTCGAGCCCATATTACTCCAGCATAATTGAGAATCATCCACACCACAAGCTTAACGTTAGGCTGATCTCATTTGGGGTGAGGTAGTGACCTCCAGGCCATCCGTCCAACCGCGCTCAATGATAAACATAGCGAACCCTTCGGTCTCTACTCTTGAGGCAGTCCATTGATATTTGACTGCTTATATTTGATGAAACACGGAAATTGTATAATGTATTTGCCCAATCATCTGTAAATTGATATTTATTCTATCCCACCAATGTATATATATGCGTGTCTGTCCAATGAAAATTTTATCCGCAGCAGAAGCCATAGGTCCTTTTGTTTCTCCACCTTTGGATGATCCAGATAATCATCGAAGGCACTTGAAATGGAGAGAAACAGAAAGTCAAGCTGAGGTACTGCAAAGAGTACCACTGCCTCCACTGTATTTGCCTTCGAGCAGCAGGACAGCAAGAAGCATGCTTAAGCCTCCAAATTGAGTTTCTCCAGCAGAGTATCCAGTTTCTCAAGCAAGATCTGATGATTCATCGCATCTTCGTCGAATTCATCTTCAACGATTGCACCGTCCAGAGTTCGAAGTTCCAGAACGGGCGCCTGCTGCAGCATGTGTTTTACGGCAATTGGAGCTGACTGCTTGGAAACATCCAGTGCTTCAACACCTTCGGCAAGCTTCGTGATATCCTCCTCAACCTCCAGTGGCACCTCCTCATCCATCATCTCCTCAAGACCCGCATCGTCGAATCTCAATCTGAACCGTTCTCCAAGATAGAAACGGATATCATCTAACATTTCGATAGAATCGGTCTCTTGTCTCGCTTTGATACGAGATGCAGATTCTTGGATCAATTCCGCAAATTCGGGAGAATCGATGTGAGCTTCGAGGCGATATGCGAGATATCGAGCAGCGAATTCTTCCAGTCGCTGCACGCGTGTTAACCACGCAGCTCGTACAATCGAGTAGATATCAATGTCGTCCTCGTCGGTAGTTCCGCGGGTCTTTGCAGCCTCCGCTTGCGACATTCCAGCACTTCCCAGAGTACTTATGACCACCGCAGCCTTTGTCTTCAGCTTTTCAATGAAGAGCATGTCTGCCGCGAAGAGCACATCGACGGCAATTTCCAAAGGAAAATCAGCTCTTTCTGTGTACAAGAATGTAAGAATGATCTCCAAAACCTCCGGTGAGCAATCAATGTCAATAATTGTCAGGTGCTCTTTGAAATGAGCTTCGCGGAAGGCAGATGTGAACATAGTCTGGAAGAACTCGGATCGCAGAAGCATCGCCCGGTGACAAGGGAACACAACTGACTTTGATCCTTGGCCAGTTTTCTCATCCGCGACAGCTGTCGGGCCGATAGGGATCGAGCTAGGTGTTCCATTGCTGACCTGGGGTTCAGCTTCATCTTCCTCTTCTTCAGGGAGTTCGTCGGCCCTGAGAAGAACATCGGCGAAGATTGTGTTATTGTGATCCCACTTCACATCGTTCACCTTGGAAGTTTCTACCTCCATTTTGTTGCCTAGGACGTTCGTCTGGAACCATTGTTCCATTTGATCCCGACCCTTGGAGATCTCGTCGGTTCTCCGTTGCCGGGCACGTCTCTTGTCTCCACTGTCTAGGATACTATCCAGGAGACTGTGGATTTCCAGGTATTTGGAGACTTTGTCCACTCCAGCAAATGTTTCCGACTCGGTGAAGCCAGTTCCTGGACCACTTCTCAAGTCCCGAGGAGCTTCTCCAAAGTAGAGATATTTTATCGCGGCACCAAATGCCTCTGGTGGAATTGTACTGGGAAGCTTCCATGTTGCGGATTCTGGGGCCGCTGCCAACTTTCCATGGAAGTATGGGGAACGTGCAGCGAGAATGAATTTGTGCAGGTGTAAAGATTGATCGGAGGCAGTCACCACGATATCGGTTGTCACAGGAGACTCTCGTGTTAATAGGGATGTTATATGCGCGGCGAGCGGTTGCAGAGGGTCTGTCGATTTCGAGTAGTCGTATTCGAGAAGGAGGTTTCGGATCCGGTCATTTAGGGCATTGTATAGACATCTGAAAGGTCGCTTTGGTCAATTTCAGCAATTTTATGGATACTCGAATCTACAATACCTTTCTCCTTGGAAAGTGTCACGCTCACACAGTGCACCGGACTCGAGCAGCAGCTGTACGACTTCATAATGGCCACATAGACTGGCCTTTGCATGATTGGTTATTACGTAGTTCTGGGTTTGCCTGCACTTGTACGGCACTCACTAGGATCAATGGAGTGTAATCATAAGGATCACGGGCATTGACATTGACGCCGTCGGTGATTTTCTCCTGGCAAGCTTTCAGATCGCCCTGACGGCAAGCACCGCAAAGCTGACGAAATGGCTCACTGAGATCCAAAGGGTTATCATCCTTGATCGTACCCTCCTTAATGAGCTTCTTTTCATTGACCAAACTGATCTCCAGCTGGTCCTTCCGTAACACAGTCGGCTCTTCGGTATCCATGGTATCCATGGCATATGCAGGTTGCCACTTCGAGGCCAACGGCGGGGAGGAGTTATCGATAAGGTCACGTGTATACTTCAATGGGCCGGCAGAATGGGTAATCACCGCCTACCAAATCTGGCCCCGGCATCTGCACGACTTGGATATCAGGGTCTCGATTGGCATGATCGTTTTAATTGCATCCGTCTGACTTCAATATGACGATGTAAGATCTAGAAAGAAGACAGGATGAATAGATCAGGGAGAGTAGACCCATTTGTCCTCATCACGGGCCCATAGGTGACCTGTCAGTCGGTAGTTGTACAGTACTCTTCCGAAGGCTTTCGCGACAAGATCAAATCTCAAGAGAACCATCACTGGCAACTGATCACTGAACTGAAGCGCAAGCCAACTGCAACTGAAAGATCGGCAGGAACCACTACGTCCTTTCTGTAACGTCATCCCTTGAGATCCGAGACCGCCTTCCTTAGAGGGGCAAGTGCCAATAGTCCCACGGTTGCTAAGCAACAGTCAACCCAAACACTTTAATCTTCAATGCTTCCGTTTGCTCTGCTTCACACCTCCAATCCCTCAACTTTTTACTAACACAGGTCTCTTTTCACGTTCATGCATCTTTGACTCGTATCCTTCCTTTGGTCTCTAGCTTTCTGTTGTCCTCCATCTGCAATCCGTAGCCATGGCGATTGCTCTGGCTGAGGCCGACAAGTATGAAATCTTGGATAAGATTGGTGAGTGTACCATGACATGAACTCCCCCAATGCTTCTACGTCAATTCAATTCTAATGGGACTGTTTCTCCAGGCTGTGGTTCCTTCGGCATCATCCGCAAGGTCAAGCGCAAGACCGATGGATTCGTGAGTGTTGCGTGGTACAGGTTGCGTACACAGGAACCAGACAACTAACTTGGTGGCAATGTAGATTCTGTGTCGCAAGGAGATCAACTATATCAAGATGTCACAGAAGGAACGCGAACAACTCACCGCGGAGTTTAACATCCTCAGCTCCCTTCGTCACCCCAACATTGTCGCATACTACCACCGAGAACACCTCAAGGCAAGCCAGGACCTATACCTCTACATGGAGTACTGTGGAGGTGGAGACTTGGGTATGGTGATCAAGAATTTGAAGAAGGCGAACAAGTATGCCGAAGAGGAATTTGTCTGGCGCATCTTATCCCAACTTGTCACTGCCTTGTTCCGATGTCACTACGGCAATGACCCTTCGGAGGTGGGATCGAATATTTTGGGTCCTGCTCCCAAGGCGTCTGGTCTTAAGGGCAAGCAGGGACAGGTCACCATTCTGCACCGTGATCTCAAACCGGAAAACATCTTCCTCGGTAGTGACAACACAGTCAAGCTGGGTGATTTCGGATTATCCAAGCAGATGCAGTCGCATGACTTCGCCTCCACTTATGTCGGCACCCCTTTCTACATGTCACCAGAGATTTGTGCTGCCGAGAAGTACACTCTGCGCTCCGATATCTGGGCGGTTGGCTGCATCATGTATGAGCTATGCCAAAAGGAGCCCCCTTTCAACGCTCGCACTCACATCCAACTTGTGCAAAAAATCCGTGAGGGTAAATTCGCCCCTTTGCCCGACTACTACTCCCCCGAACTCAAGAACGTCATCGGAAGTTGCCTGCGAGTTAATCCCGATCATCGCCCCGACACTGCAGCTTTGATCAATCTTCCTATCATCCGCCTCATGCGCAAGGAGAAGGAGGTCGTTGATCTGGGCAAAACCTTACGCCGCCGTGAAGAGGTTGCTGTGGCCAAGGTTCGTGATATGGAACAGAATATGGCCAAACTTGAGAAGGACAAACAACAAATGAAAGCCGATATCGAGAGCACTGTTCGCAGGGAATGGGAGGTCAAAGCACGATTAGAGATTGATCGCCAAGTACAGAGCGAGCTTGAGCGTTTGCGCAAACGATTTGAATCTGAAGTCCAAGATAGAGTTGCCATCGAGGTTAAGAAACACAAAGCCAACAACAACACCTCCCGCGACGATGTTTTCCGTACCAGCACCCAGGGCTTGAGTTCATCTCGATCCAGTGGGCAGGGCTGGCGCTCTTCTCGGTCTTCGGCCAACATGACAGACGACAGTGACAGCACTCCATCCAGTACCGCTGATATCACTCAGCTGTCTCTCGGTTCACCCCCCTCGAACAAGAGGAAGCAGCCTAAGAAGGAGACTCGTACTCCATTCTGTCGCTCTAAGACTGTGGTTGACTCTCCTGTGGATGTTCAGATGGCCGAGCCTTCTCCTATCTCAATTGCATCACTCTCACTCTCTCCACGTCGTACTTCTGGAACTGGCGGCGCCCGCAACATTTTTGCTGAGGCCGAACGCAACAAGGCGAAGTGGGAGCCCACTCTGGCTTATTCCGATGACGAGGATGATACCCCCGATCTACCTTCGCCCACTCGCCCGAAGGTCAAGCCCGACCCGCTGAAGGCTCCTCGCCGACCTTTGCTGCGTCACAACACTGCCGCTTTTGTGCAAAAGCTTAGCACTCAACCGTCCCTGTTCCCATCGAGTGGCACCCGCCTGCCTCAGTCCACAAATTCATCTGCCTCTCAGTCTGAGGAGCGCAGCGTCAGTGAAAGCCGAGCCAAATCACCTCACCGTCGCCTGACCAAGATTCCCTCGTCCGCCAACCTTGCTGCTGACGCCTCTCCTACCCGCAAGAGTGCAACCAAGCAGGCCCAACCAAAGGCCAATGGTGGCGGCGAGGAAATGATGAAGGCTGTCATGCAACGCAACATGGGTGGTCGTACCCTCGTTGAGCTTGCCCAAGCTCGTGCTGGAGGTCGTCCAATGGATGAGGTTAAGCGCTGCGCCAGTGACTCTCGGTCTTCTGGTCCCTCGATGCTGAAGTGCTCTGAGCGGGATCCCCCCGCCATCTGGAATCCCGAGCTGGACGAAATGCCCAGTCCCTTCCTTGCCCGTGGAAAGAAAATTATCCGCAATTTGCGGTGATCACTTGCTGCCTCTATTTACTTTCATATTTCGTTCGTCTTTTCGTTATGGCCTTTTTGACCTTTGGTGTGCTTGGAGTTTGACATGAACTAGAGTTCATTCTGGTTGATTTTGGTTTGATTTTGGCGCTTTGGAAGGTGGTTTGATTCCCATTGCTGCTCAACCTTTTTTTTCGCTTTGTCACTTCGTTTCTTGTGCATACTTTCCCCCTACGTCACGGAGTTGGCTCTAATGTTGCGTTCTGGGTGCATCCTTGCCTACATTGCAAGTACACGGAGTTGGATACACATATGCCCCTTTACTGTGTTTCTGTTTGGCTCTTTAGCCTGCGTTGGCTACCCTGCCTCGCCCCGACCTGACTCTTTACTTTTCTTTTGTTGTTATGCCGTCATGCCCTTTCCTTCCATGAAGGAGACGATTGATTCTCTGTACATGTATTCGTTTTGCATAAGTCATGCACTGTTGATTTCTTCTTGATTCACTTAATATTTACCTGAGGGTTAATTACGCCGTTCAACGTACACCTGTTTTTCGCAAATATCCTTTGCTTGTCACATTGGATAAATTCTAGGTGCGCTTCCTGTTCGGGGCGCTTCCTATCTATCTGCTGTTGGTCAACTTAATGAGTCTTCTCGGCATTGTTCGTAGGCTACCTTTTTGACCGGAATCAAAAACCAGTCTTTATTACCAGGTTCCAGCGTAAGCTTCGATCCATTCCAAATATACTGGCTGGTTTCTGATATGTTCGTGGCCTAATTTGTCTATGATATATATCCCACCATTAGCCCGCACAGGCTGCCACCAGGTTAGGTGACATACATATCAATCCTTCACTTGCAGCCACATCGTAAGTTATACCGTAACTGATTCATTGGGTAGATTGAATAGGATTAAGCCCAAGATTCCTCATCCTCAACTTCCTCCATCTGCACCGTTTTGAGTTCGCGGTTGAATCGCTGTTCCTCCTCCTCCAACGACATCGCCACATCTTGCTCCGAAACTTCAGGTACAGGCACAGGCCCTGTGGAAGCATTGTACCCAGCCTTCTCCAGCCGGTCCATTTCCTCAGGCTCCAACAACTTGCCCTGGCCCTTAATGGACTGCTGTTTCATTCGAACAGCGGCAGGAATAAACTTATTCGTTGCCTCCTGCCGCAAATCCCGGATCTCAGGCTTAGCCTCATAAACCGTCCGGGGCGCTGCGACGGGTGTCGGTCTATCTGGTAACGCATGAGGACCACGCCGCTCACCAGCGTCTCCCCGCGCATGCTCTCCGCCCCGTTTCCGCTGCGGACGTGGAATAGGCGGTGGTGTATCCTTTGGCATAGGTATCCTCCTCACATCCTCGTCAGTATCGCTGCTCTCATCATCGGCCGGCATGCGCGTCTCGTCAGACCCGCGCCTCCGCTTGCCCAACACCCCCTCTCTCCCTCCTCGTCCACCCCCCTGTCCGTCGCGGTTGTGATCATGGAATCGGGGTGCTTTGTCGCCGAGGGCTTCGCGCGCTTTTAAGACGCCTCGTAGATCTTTCTCCAGAGCCTCGAGGATCTCTTTGTCGCGCGGTCGTAGTTTCTGTCCTGATTCTTCGGCTTCTTTGAGTTCATTGATCTGTCGTTGGATTCGGTCTGGATTGCGACGCGCGAGCTTTTCGTTTCGTCGTGCTAATGCTTCTGCTTTGCCCTTTTTTAGGCTTTTTTGTTTGTCTTGTTTCCGTTGCGCGGCGGCTGGGTTCACTGAGCGCTCTTTGTCTTTGGCCATTGTGTCGGTTTCGATCTGTCTGGATCGGGGACGGTGATGAATTGATCGGTTGGATTGGCTGGAGATGGATATTGGGTATTGGGTATCGGATATTGGGTAGGTATTGCGAGAGCTTGGCCTTTCGCGTCACGAGGTTCTAGTTGGGTACCGGCACAACGGGTCTGGGGCCCTGAAGCAGAAGAAATCAAGATTGGGAGCGACAAGGGGCAAGTAATGGCAGAGGAACAGAGGTCTAGACTGTCCAAGCGTCGGGCAGGTGGGAAGTCAGCCTCACGATTTAGGCGAAATCTGGCAGAAGCTAAAGCGGAGTGGAGAGCTGTTGGATCCATGGTTCGGACGCTTTTATACTTGGGCTTCACTCGGTCGATGTTAGGGCTTGAGAGGTGTTGGTGAGAAGGGCTACGTGAGATATCACTTTATTCAGTACAGCCTACAGTAGTTCACATTGGATTGCATATATTACATATATTTTACTATGCAGATTGATTGGTGTATGTTCTTGCAGAGCCTCCCCCCCCCTTTCCCCCATCTTGGGCCAGGTGCATTTTACACCAGATGCAATGCAATATCAGTAAAAAAAAACAATCACAAATTGCTTCTTTGGACTCCTTCTTAACCCCCTCTTGAGGGGTGGGGGGTCCGAGGTATCAGGTTTGCGCCTGAGCTTGTGCTCCGACCAAGCATATAAAACACTTGAAATCCCACTAGACCCTTCGGGTGTAACTGGACTTGAGCCGTCAGTTGGCGCCGATACCCCCATCTTCTCTCCTTTTCAAACTAGGCTATACCCCCATTTTCTTCCCTGGACACTGGACTGTCAAAAAACACACACACCATCGCATTCCGGTCTGACTGCGCACAGTCTCTTCTTCCTCTCCGCACCCTCCCCCGCCCATCCTCCATCATGACCTGTGGTCCATTCAGTCTCACATCGAGTTTGATCGGCGCCTCGTAGACTGTCGCGGTCGGAGCATGTCTCTGCCGGGACCAAATGTCCGTCTCAGCCTCGATCCCCGACACTTCGCTTGGCCTCACCTCCTCCGAAATCCAGATCCTCCGACAGCAGCAACAGATTGCCTTGCAGGGCGGCCATGCCGGCAATGGGGTTGCCAGGGGCCGGGGAACTGGGAGAACCAGCAACTCCAGCTCACGCGCTACCAGTGCCGCCAGCAGCCAGGGTCGCTTGCTGTTGGATCCGATGAGTCTCCGCGCGTTGTCGCACCAGCTCGACGGCTTGCAGGCTCAAATCCATCATCGGATCGAATATGTATGTGCCGCCTAGTGGAGGAGGCCATCGATCCCGGGAGTGATTGTTCTAACGTTGATGTGATAGCTCGAAGATCAAATGCAGCGCTCCATCCAAAACACCTACGACCGCGCGGGAAACGTCATTCGCAATGCGGATGCGGAGATTGCCCGCACCCGCGAGATTCTTGCCTCCATCGACGAGTTGGATAATGATTTGGCCAAGATTGCCCATATCCGTGAAATCGTCAGAGGTTTCCGTGGCCGCATCGAGAACTTGGATCACCGCATTGACCAGAGTTCCCGACGACGGCGATGAATCGACTCCTATACTTCCTGAACACCTTCTTAACCGACAGACCAACAGCCCTTGCCATTGCATAAGATCATGAATCCTTCACTCCTTCATGTCTCTCTTCTACTCTCTACTCGACCGCTGGATGGTCTTACTGATACATCAATTCCTCTTCGCACAATACCGGAATGAAGGCCGACAGAACAAAAAGAAACAAAAAACTATATACCGACCCCGTCCTCGCGGACCACTTATCATTTCATTTGTCTGCGCGTCTAAGTTATGAACAATTGGATAAAAGAACTGCATGCCCCACGGCACTGTCGAGACGACTCAATGAGAATACGACCTCGATAGGATAGCAGTATATGATGCGCTGAAGTTGGATTGATGAAGGCCAGACTACGTATCTTGCTTGAAATCTTGGACATTTGATGATTATGAAGGATTTTTAATTTTTCCGAGTGTATAAACACGACTCTTTCTGTCTCTGGTTTGATGCTTCTGCTTTTTCCACTGTTTCGATTCCCCTCTCTGCATTTCTCGTGTACATTGCTCTGGGCCTTTTCTGCGTTGATTTTAGCCGTTATGAGGATATCATAGTAAGGCTTGCAATTTTCTTTTGGCAGTATAATTCCGCAGTTTCACAATTCCATCGTTCTTTCGGTTGGAGAATTCGGTTCACGCATCAGTCCAAATTTAGGTTGACCGTAATGGGAGGAGACGCCGTCGTCGGATGCGGCATCCACGAAGTTTGCTCATCTTTGCTTGGCAGATTCTTGTGTATCTTCAATATGCTCATTGTCTGACAATCATGTCCACGAAGAGTGCAGCTTAGTTGCCACGAGCATTTCAATTCATGTTTGGACCAGCAGCTTATATGAAATCGAAGACTATTAGCCTCCCATGACCATAGATTCAAGACGATGTGGCCATGTCACCGGTTGTACCATGTGATGCGATATGTGTGACGACAAGTTAAATCTGCGCAGAGTTGACCGGGCTAGGAATGAAGTTGTTGTCATCTCGACTGCATTGATCATGTTGCCGTCTCCATGACATCCGCAGTTTTCACGTCCGCATTTGTGGCAGTAGCTTGACATTGTAATGCTGATTCCTCACGACGTTGTATAAGCTTTTTTCCACGCTTCTCTGTTTGAGGAAACCGCTTTTCGGTTCCGCACTTGAAGCAGCGGACGACCAGTACATCGGCCCATGGCTTGTTGCCGCCACGACTCGCATTCTCGATCTTATGTGAACAGTTTACATCAGGCGCAAGGAGCGTATCACATCGCTTGCAGATAGATCTCTTTAGTGCAACCGGCAGTCGGATTTGAGTCTTTAATGCCACGCCGCGTAGATGAGAAATGCATACCCGGGAGAGGTTGTCCATTGGTTCTTTCGTCTTTCGAGAATTAGAAGGGTCCTTGATACGCTGATTTTCAGCAGAGATGTTGTGTGTAGATTGAGTCATAGCAGAGGAACCGGTCTCCTCAGTGTTCACTTGGTGGGCTGTCTGCTGTTGCACGTTTTGCAGATAGACAGCTGCTTTGTGAAGGTAGTCCAGTCGAGCTCGAACATGACCCTGCAAATTCTTGTTGTCTTTCTTAACCTTGGCCTTTGGCCCATTTTTGGCCATGTTCTTGGTCACGTTCTTGGCCATTTGCGCTTGAATGGGACCTGACTAGTTGTTGCTGCATCTCAAACTTGCATGTGGAAGCTTATGCCGCTAGTCCCAAAGCGGTGAGACTGATTATCACGTGATTCAGCCAACCTCTTCTCATCGCCTTAACCTTCGCACCTTTGTACGTCGACACGCCCTGCCATTCAACCAGCGTCACGTCCTGATTCTTCTTTTCATCTCTGTTGACTCCATTTTCTGTCTTATTTGAAATCCCAACACAACTACTTTACAAGTCACGATGTCTCACGAGGAAGATCTCATCGATTACTCCGACGAGGAGCTGCAGACCACCACTCAGCCCACCACCACCGCTGCGCCCGCCGCCGCCAATGGTGACGATGATAAGCAGGGTGATCTTACGGTCACTGGTGGTCGCCCCGACAAGAAGGGCAGCTACGTTGGTATCCACTCGACCGGTTTCCGCGATTTCCTCCTGAAGGGTGAACTCCTTCGCGCCATCACCGACTGCGGCTTCGAACATCCATCGGAGGGTTAGTCTAACTCATTTCCCACAAGCGTTCCTCCATCTTTCCAAGCTCCAACGTCCGTCCATCCTCGCGGCAAGATTCTTCGGTCGGTATATCTGGCAGTCAGCCCTGTTTCGATTCTGCAGACGACATGAGGATACGCGCTTTTGAATAAAAAGACAATCTCCTTATTATATTTATGGTCGGAGGTCCTGAAACTCTTGCGCAGAGCTCAGCCTCTATCACGGACCACCACATTCTTCGTGGGGATTGGCGCATTGGTGGATCGTGCGTGTTTTAGCGCTGTCATTATCAGCGTCCCTCATGTTGTCTGCAGAGCAGGTTTCCTATGAATCTTGTGTATTTTTGGGTGGCCTACAGGCACCGCACGTTGATGAGGGGGATGAAGATGACCTCATGGCATCAATCTGCGCGATCCTATAGGATGGACGGACCTTGCGAGACGAATTGCCTTTGCTTCTCATTTCATCGAACACAATCTAACATCGGCCCCACCCCCACAGTCCAGCAAGTTTGCATTCCGACTGCTATCCTGAACGTCGATGTTCTTTGCCAGGCCAAGTCCGGTCTCGGTAAGACCGCTGTCTTTGTTCTCACCACTCTTCACCAACTGGAGCCCGTCCCTGGTGAATGCCAGATCCTGGTCATGTGCCACACCCGTGAGCTCGCCTACCAGATTAAGAACGAGTACGCCCGTTTCTCCAAGTACCTGCCCGACGTCAAGACCGCCGTCTTCTATGGTGGTACCCCTATCCAGAAGGATGTCGAGACTCTGTCCAGCAAGGAGACCTATCCTAACATCGTTGTCGCCACCCCCGGTCGTCTGAATGCGCTCGTTCGCGACAAGAAGCTGTCTCTCCGCAATGTCAAGGCTTTCGTCCTCGATGAGTGTGACAAGATGCTTGACCAGATCGGTACGTTCACGGAGGAAAACCCCCCCCCCCCAATAACCTCACTAATGTCTCTCAGACATGCGCCGTGATGTCCAGGAGATCTTCCGTGCCACCCCCGCCGATAAGCAGGTTATGATGTTCAGTGCCACTCTCTCCCAGGAGATCCGTCCCATTTGCAAGAAGTTCATGCGCAACCCCCTCGAGGTTTACGTCGATGACGACACCAAGCTCACCCTTCACGGTTTGCAGCAATACTACATTAAGCTGAGCGAGCAGGAGAAGAACCGCAAGCTGAACGAGCTTCTCGACAACCTTGAGTTCAACCAGGTCATCATCTTCGTCAAGAGCACCCAGCGCGCCAACGAGCTTGATAAGCTGCTCCGCGAGTGCAACTTCCCCAGTATCGCTGTTCATTCCGGTGTCAGCCAGGAGGAGCGGTATGTTCATCTCCGCCCGCTATTGTCGCCTCTTTCTAATTCTAATTCTCCCACAGTATCAAGCGCTACAAGGAGTTCAAGGAGTTCAACAAGCGTATTTGTGTCGCCACTGATGTCTTCGGCCGTGGTATCGATATCGAGCGTATCAACCTTGCCATCAACTACGATCTCCCTGCCGATGCCGATTCCTACCTTCACCGTGTCGGTCGTGCCGGTCGTTTCGGTACCAAGGGTCTTTCCATCTCCTTCGTCAGCAACGAGGACGACGAGAAAGTCCTCAAGGAGATCGAGAAGCGATTCGAAGTTGCCCTCCCGTCAGTTCCCCCAGACCCCCAGGAATTTTATGATCAAGCGCTCACATCCCCCCAGTGAATACCCCGAGGAAGGAGTCGACTCCACCACCTACATGGCTTAAATGCCCGGTGAAAACTTTTTTTCCAATTTTTCTTTTCTCTTTCCGATTGTAACTGGCGCAATAGCTCGGGCTTTGATATCATTTTTTCTCGTGGGGCACTCTCTCTGCCCTTGCTGCAGAGTGAGGCAAACTCTGTCATGTATTTGAAGATAGCACTGGAATCAAGAATGGGTTGACCCTGCACACGCTTTGTCCGTACCGTGATCGTGTCGGAAGAAAGACCTCTAAATCCGACCAGGTGGTCAAGACCCTGCCAAGTATCCGACCCAGTTAGAGTGGATAAAAGACATCTAATCTCCGAATCGATCATCGCCATCCCCATCTGCTCTGGGGTCCAATCTGTAGAGGTCCACAAATAACCACGCGCAGAACTCCGTCGAGACCTCGCCTATATATCCTCAACTTGAGCAGTAGTCTGCAGTCGAGCCCCCAATCTGACTTGCAGAGCTCTACAGTACATGTGCATTGCAATTTCCTCCACTCGATACCTATTTCAGATGTTGTAATCTGACTGATCCAACCCTATCTGCCCAGTACTGGATATGTATGGTATGATATGATATCGAGCTGTACATTGTTTGCGATATTCGCCGAATCAAAGTGAATCCGGTCGGTCTGTTTCATAGACTTGCTGTGCATAATCTATTTAATTTCTGCTCGTCAGCTGCTCCCTCGAATTGAGAAAACTTTCCCCTGCCTGCAGCAGTAATGACCATGAAAACCGTCGACCACATGGATCCGGGATGGAAATTAGGATATGCTGGATGATCTGCTAGATGGTCATGGAATACGTCAACTCAATTCCGCCCCAGACGATCAATTTAATCATGTTGGTCCCAAATCTCAATTCTCCATCCCTACCATGGGCATTTACAGTATCACCCCGACATGATATATTATACGAGCCCTGGAAGCAACATCAAGGTAATTCCAATTAAACCAAACAGCTACCGATAAGTAATCCAGTCAAGGCTTAAGCCACACAACCGAAATGAAGAAAAGTGGCCCAAAGCACCCACTAGTAGACGTTGAAAAACGCTGGTTGGCCGCCAAAGTCCACCGGCCCGATCGACTTACAGGCTTAGCGTCCATCCGCAAAACAAGGCACAAGACAGCTAATCCTCCCAAGCCTGTCTCGGGGGTTTCTGTGTCCACCAGAGGGGCAGATGGTTTCGTTTCAGCGGCACTGAGTCACTTTAGTCTTAGGGATAGAGATGCGAGTACGAGAACGGTGTTCCCGGGGGGGGGGGGGGGGGGTTCATTGCCACTGCCGAGACATGATCGTGCACCTTCGACTGAGTTTTCCAATGAGAGACTTCGAGCCTCTTTGGTTGTCAACCTCCGCTGAGTCAAGTACAACGGGCGTGAACTAGCGTGAGACAAGGCCTTCTCGATGCATCCGCGTGTTTCCGGGTTTAGGGCTTGGGCCCCTGGTACAGATTAATGGAGTTTCAGGGTTAATTAATGGCAAACCGGTATTAAACGAGCTAAATGAACTAAACTAAGGGAATTAATGGCTTTGAATGACATGTGTGGCTCTGGGATTTTCAATAGCTTTCCTAGTCACATACCTTGATACTGGTTGCGGGATGCTGCAAACGTGCCCCTAGCTCTTCTATTTCCGGCCTGCATTATTCAAGTCTGGATTTTCGGTGTTTATGTGGTGGTGTGGTGTACCCAGTATACAGTATTCTATTGCTCCACAGTCAAATCCAGGTCTGGCCTTGAACATCCTCTACGTTCTAGCCCCTTTCTACTGGCTTTCTACCGTATATCGCCCGGATGACGGATTCTGGATTACTCTCTGCGATTGCATAGTCCACGTTCAATATCGTAAATCCCCGATATCAAACTCCCGAGTCAGGCACATCCCTTGATTGAACTGCAATCGGAACGTCGATCACTGTGGCATGCTGGGATTATCAACACCGCCCCCTTCCAGCCGATCCTGACCATCCCTTGGAACTTTAGCCACTCAGCCTCCATGCAGTAATGCTAGATGATTTGTTCAGTAGCGTTAGTGTTCTTCTAACGGCAGAGTGCCAGTGAACAAAAGTCGCTGTATTTGTAATTTTGATTTGCTCTCTGTCCCTCTTTTGCTGTGTTTTATGCGACTACCGACATCAGAGTAATTCCAAGCCCTCAATTGTTCAAGGTTCACGAGAATGTCGGATGTCGGAGTGGAGGGAGCGAGTGCGAGGGGGGGGGCTCCCCCTCTTGTTTCCCTCTTGTTTCCTTGTCGTATGACAGTCTAGTTGTTAATTTTGAATGTGGTCGAACCGACAAACGTCCATGCTGTACTTTGTACTTGGCTGCCGGGTGACCAGCACGTCTATGTCTGTGTAGCTGTGTCCCTGATTGCGGTTGATATAGTTCCAGGATGCTCGTGTCGGGCTGCATGGACACTGTGTTTGTACCAGGATTCACTTGCAGCTTACTATTGAAAAACAAAACACAGTGCCGAACAAGGTTCTGTGTGATTCATGACTTGACAGGTCTGCATCTCGGCCACGAATCACATAGTGGGTTTCCGAGTGGATGTAGTGACGGAGGCCAGCACGCGGCCGATATCAAGGACGCGTCAATCGTTGGGGAGCTATTGTTACGTAGACTGACTGTACTGCTGTACAGCTTTGGGATATGCTATTTGGCTATCCTGCTACATACTGTGATTGAAGTGTATACTCAGCTATCATTCCCGAAGTATGGAAGTGTGTATGGTATTGTAAATAAACTGTATCGGGAAAATGAAAAAAACAAAAAAAAGGACGATAATTATAGATATGCCCTCCACTCTGTGCATACCAGGATAAACATATCCCATCGACTTCACTTCTAGTTTTACAATCTCTAGGGGGAAATCATATTTCACAGTGGAAGCTCTCCCATTTTGAAAATTGAAAGGTTTTCAAAGTTCTCAAAGTTCCAAAGTTCCCCCGAATTAATTGCGTGGCCATAGATAGGGCCCCCATTGTGAGAGAGAACAGGGAACAAGAACAAAAATTGGGAAATTAGGAGTCAGAGAAGAGGGCACAAAAAGGAATTCACATCAGAACCAACAGGAAATCAACTCCATAGACACGCAAATCCAGTAGATCAACCACGAGATAGAGACCAGACAGGCACAAAAAAGCAAATAACCGCATCCAGACTTATCATCCGTTTCCGGAGGGGACGTTGAATCGAAAAAAAAAAAGAAGCTTACGAGCGCGTACAATCTTCCTTTCTTCCCCAATCCGACACTTCAAAGGACATCCAACGTGCCCCCTCTCTCTCCATCTTTCCTCTCCTCCCCTTTTACGCTTCTTCCTTCCTTCAACTCTCCATTGGCCCTCCGTCAACTTCACTTATAGGCGTCACGCCTTCTGCTCCCCGGGTCACTCCCGCCTTCCCTCGATGGCTCCTCCTCCACGTTTGCGCATTCTGTCCGGTGAGCTTCACTGTCAACACCCCTCGTGATGGGCAAGCTAACGGTGTGTGCAGTTGGTGGCAATGCGATTTCTGCTTTCCTGTCATGGCGTCTGCAGGCCACAACCTCCTGCGATGTCACTTTAGTCTGGAAATCAGGCTTTGACGCTGTATCACAATATGGTGTCTCATTCAAGTATGTGGTCTGGTTCTGATGGTCAGCCAGATGGCTAATCTCCCTGCAGATCCAAAGCATTCGGCAACGAACGATTTAAGCCCCGACATGGTGAGAAGCATCCCCTGAGGCTCTCTCGCCCCCTCTTCGCCACTGGCTAACTGGTCTCTAGTCGTTCGTGCCCCCGAAGATGCCTCCTCTCGTGAAAATGCCTACGACTATGTCATTCTCTGCGTGAAGGCCCTGCCCGATGTCTATGACCTAGCGTCGGTCATCGAATCCGTGGTCACTCCTCAACACACATGTATCCTGGTCAACACCACAAATACCCTCGGGATTGAGGCTCATCTCGAGCAACGGTACCCTACCAACGTCATCCTCTCCCTCGTCTCCAACGTCGAAATCTCCCAGACTGGCCCCAGTGAGTTCGAGCATCTAAGCTCGAGCGAGATTTATGTGGGCGCAACCAACAAGCAAACTTCCATTCCCACCTCCATCCAGAATGACATGGCCGCCGCATTGGCGATGACCCTGAATTCGGGCCAGGTGGACTGCAAAGTCTCGGAGAACATTCGCCAGGAGCAATTCGAGCGAATGATTGGGTGAGTTCTGTCCGATTCAGCGTCAAACCCGTGCTAACAAGTTGCAGCCCGATCGCGTTCCATCCCGTCAGCGTTTTGTTCGAAACCCCCAACCACACACAGCTTCTCGAGAAAACCGGCGTTCGTCAAGTGATAACAGGCGTCATTGATGAGTTGATGGAGCTTGCCTCGGCCCAAGGCTGCTCGTTCCCCAGTGATTTCCGGGAGAAGACGATCGAAAAAATGATCGCCACGGATGCTCCGACCATAATGTACCAGGATTTCCAGGCCCGGCGCCCGATGGAGATTGAGACTTTCCTCGGATCCCCGATCAAGCTCGCTCTCGAGTCCAACACTCGTGTTCCCCGGATTGAATCCTTGTACGCGATGCTGCACCACGCCAATATTATCAACCAGAGCAAGCCTCGACAGGAATCTCCACCTGCATCAGTGATGGGCCAGCCCCCTCCACGATTGTCATCCGCCCCTCAGCAGCGCCCCATGATGAACGGCGGACCCATGAACGGTGGACCTATGAACGGCGGAGCTATGAATGGTGGACACCCGGCTATGCGGGCCAGCCGCACACCCTCCGGCATGGGCATCCCCCAACAAAGACGCGGCCCGCCTCCAGGCATGATGCGTGGGCCTCCACCAGGGGGTCCAATGGGACCCAACCGGATTCCTCGCGACCCATCATTGGAAGGGCTCGAAGAGTTCAGCCATTTGGTAGTATACGATGAGTCCGGCGAGAGCATCCCACACCAGAACGGGAATGGCGCCCTTGAGCCCGGATCGGCGCCAGCTACGGATATCGCGCTGCGGGAGCGGGAGTTGGCCCTTCGCCAACGAGAGCTGCAGCTCCGGGAACAAGAGATGGGTATGCGTCGTGGTCCCCCTGGCCCTGCGCGCCGTGGACCTCCCTCGCGGGCCCCGGCAGCATTTGACGAAGAGGACGAGGACTACTTCGACCCCATGGACAGCATGGCCATCCCTCACCTCGATCCCGATAGTGTGGACATGATGAGCATGACTTCCCGCCGAGGCCGCAAGGGTCCTTCCCACAGTCAATTCCGCAAAAACCCTGAGTTCTCTATGTCCGCCCCGCCCAGCCGACCCTCCTCATCCGCTTTCGGGCGCTACTTTGGCAGGAAGCGTGCGAGTGATCGTGTGATGCAAGAAATTCCGGGTCTCCACGATTCTCTAATGGACAACCCTATGATGAGCTACTCCTCCAACAGATATGGTGCCGTTGACCGAAACCAGATGAGCATGGACTCACGAGCCAACTCCCTCACGGCCAGCCACATGGGTGACTACCCACCGAGGCCCTTCCCGACGAGCCGGCGTAACAGCCAGTCACCTGGAACTCCCCTCGGCGGACCACCCGGATCCTCTGGACCCCATGGCCCTCCTGGGCCAGGACCCCGAATGGGTAGACCCCCAACTGCACACGACCATAGCTTTGGACCCCCTAATGGACCTCACGGTCAACCGTCGCCCCCTGGTAACATGCGAACGCCGGTGCCGCGGTATCCTCCTGGACAGGGAAACGCGGTAGGGCCGCAGCAGGTTGAACAACACTATGGGGTGAGCAATACGTTTCCTGCCAAAGGTCCTCTTAAAAACAAAAGTCTGACCGGAAGTGCGAGCGCCAGCGCGGAGAGTGGTGATAGTGGAGCGAGCGCGAACCTCGATTCTGAACCTTCATCTCATAGCAGTCAAGTCAGCCTGGGTCCCGGAGTCACAGCACCTGTTCGCTGAACCCATCCCGATGCTTGACTCAATTTCCTTCACGTTTCATTCGGCCTGGACGAACTCTCCACCGAATCTTGGTCATGTTTGGACCGTTTTGCATCACGGCGTGTCAATTCAGCGGGAATATCATTCTTCGGTCCCGAAGGAGGCACCGGTTAATACTGCTGTTTCGTTTCTTTACATATACATGAGGGACATAGGGGTCTTCATTGCTTTACTTTTTTTTCTGTTTCCGGAGTGGATTGGGATATGGGTGTGTGTGCGTTTTGCCTTTTTTTTTTGTTTCCGATTTCCCTCTGCATCGATACTCATCTTCGCGGCATTATCGATTTCTAATGAGGCTGCGCGAGCCAATTCGGGTCAATTATCCTTCCTCTCTCACACTCTCTGTCCTATCTTTTTTTGTCTTTTCGCAGCATGTCGATATAGCGTCGTCGGCAATCTCACCTGCCCATCTTCTCATCTCTCTGCATGACTGTACACTACTCGGGCCGGCGCATTCCTTTTCTGTGGACTCGTATACGCCTGTCTTTGCTTTGTTTCCCTTACCTCCATTTGCTGGGCACTTCCTTCCTTTGCTTTTTCCTTGTCTTGACAGCCCTACGATTTGGGCGCATTCCAAAAGAGCTGGAGGTTGATTTATGTTGAGTTGCCTTCTGGGTCTGCGCTTTGCTGGGCATTAATGAGTGTGACTGTTCGGTCTGGACAGACTGTATCCTTTTGAATTGATAGAGCTTCCCTTATATCATCTACATTTGAAATAGAATAAAACTTCGCTATAAGGTAAACCTTGGAACTTGGTATTCACAGTCTAGTATACGATAGCGTATCACCACGTGATGTAAACATCCCCTCCAACAATCAATCAACAATCAGCCAACAATTCCAATTCAGCACCACAACAACCTACCACAAAACGACCACAAAGCCGCCCAACATGCCCATTCCCCCAATCCACCGTCGCCAAGACTCAACAACAACAACCTACAACCCCCGTCCCTCAATGCCCCAAAACACATTCAACCAAACCCAAACCTTTACCCAAACAACCAACACGCAACCCCATATCCCCTCCTCAACACCCTCAATGTCCCAAGCCAAAACCCGCCAATATGCCCACCTACACGCCCAACTGGCTCAGCTAAACGCTAACCTGGCTGATACGGAGAACCTGCTTCGGATGACTGCCGTCCAGGCTGGTGATATGCGTTTCTTGGGTGGGTATATGGGTGCGTTGTTTATGGGGTCTGCTAAGATTCTCGGAGAGGAGGGGGTTCGTGCAAATGCCGATTTAGATTCGAGGGATGGAGCTGTCAAGAAGGAGGGGGGTGAGGATGAGGAGTGAATTGATTGAGTTGGCGGATTATTGAATTTGGGGTTTTGCATGGCAAGGGTAGATGGACCTGGATCCAGGATTGGTACTTGGTATGTGACTGGATTGAATTCTATATCTATGAATATTGCTAACTTTGTTCACATCCAGAGCTCCGGTGGTGATATTTACTTGCTCTGTCCACCTGGACCTGGACCTGGGCATCGAGTATCGCACATGGTACACAAGTGACCAGTGCAATCAGTCAACAACAAACTGCCCGCCGAGAATGATAGCCGGCTCATTGATACTATTGTGCTCGTAACTGCGGTCATGTCAGCCCTATTCAACCTGCCTCTTCACATTTCTTCACGCATTACACGCGGACAGTTTCGCTTCTGTCAAGGATATTCAATCTTACCTGAGAGTGCCGATACCACCGGCCTCCAGAATCAGCGATGTCTCTGTCAACGGCTTCCCAACCCAGCGCATAGCAAATGCACGCAGGATATGTCCATGCGCAACGACAAGTACATCACCCTTGGTATCATCGGACTTTCCAAAGCAGGAACTCTGGTATTTCGTCCTGATGTCGGCGATCAGAGCGTCAAGACGGCGGATGACATCTTCGGGGGATCTGCGGAAGGCAATTGGATTAGCATACCCAGTAACTTAGCCGAAATGCAATGCAATCAAGGACCCTAGCATAAGCAAGGAAACAGAAACAGTAGAGAGAAAAAAGAAAGGTACAACTCACTCTCCACCAGGACATCCATCTGTCCAGATATTCCATGGCCCCTCTCCCCTCTCAGCCCTAATCTCCCGAATCTGCTTACTAGTCAACCCCTCATAATCACCGTAATCCCACTCGCGCACAGCATCGGTGATCTCCACGCGTGCCTCAGTCCGAATAGCTTCTTGCTCTTCAGACTTACGCTGCTCGGTCCAAGGGAGTCGTTCACGACAGCCAATCTCGAGGAGTTCGAGGGTCCGTTGGGCGCGGGTGCGGGGTGAGACGAAGCTGTCTTGTATTAGCTGTGATCTTGCTCGAGGTATGTTATAGATAATTATGGTGGATTGTGAGGATTAATTACTAAGGTAGGGATTATAACATACATATGTGCCAGCTTCTTGGGAACAACAAGTCTGTCATCACCGAAGAGTGCTTTCCCGGTTGCGCGGATACGCTTCTCGCCGTTGGCTGTTAGCGGGAGATCCGTTTCACCGGTGTGTCGCCCGTTGAGGGACCATTCGGTTTCGCCGTGACGGATGATAAAGCAGCGGGGTGGCATTGTGCGGAATTGGACTTGTGAAGGTGGGATTGAGTGAGATCTGGAGAGTAAGCTCTGAGACTGGATTTCAGCCTTTCGTCATGGTGGGTCCTCTCCAACCTTGGAAGAGTTAGATAATCCCTTATATAAGCCCTTATATAATCCTGTACATAAGCTTGGAAGCTCGGAATCTGGTCTTGGCCATGTCTGATCCATGTCCCAAAGTCTGATATTCCACTAACTCTGTCGGGCAAACAGGCACCAGGAACTTCCCCGTCACCGGAGTCTCTAGCCCATCATCGTCCGATTTAGGGAATATTCACCCGCGCATACTTCGGTCCGTCGAGATTCTCCGCCCCAGCCGAGATGCTGATTGGCTGAGCCAACTCTAGCTCTAGCCTCATTGGAAGGGTCCATACTCGTGGCTATGGAGAAATGAGGAGAAATGGGGAGAGATTAGGAGTTGGGAATTGGGAATTGGGAATTGGGAATTCCTCGTCAATCGAACGCCAAAAAATGTGTACTCAAGGGGCGTGGTCACTCTCGCGAGTACCAGTAAAGCCCTCGCCGCGCGCAATCCTTTGGAAAGACTGTAAGAGAACAAAGAGTGATGCCGTGAAGCGGAAACCACAGCTCAGAATACTGGGATAATGTCCTGATCGCCACGGCAAAGCCCCCGCAACTTGTCTCCATGCCGTCTCCATCTGGGGTCGGGATTGTCTGAAGCCGAGACCGGACGGTTCGTACCCCAAGGAGGTATATAAGGCTTGTCGCCAGCATGCTTCCAGTCACCCTTCAATCTGTCTCGGTGTGGATACTTCTACAGTTTCGTCTCAATTTCTCATACATCTTCGACTATGGCGCTTACGAAGAAGCCTTATCTCGGGTTGACTGGAGGATGGCTTACCTTTTGGCTCACGGTATGTCTTCTGCGTCTATTTACTACCTCAGTTAAGAGGTGCTAATAGGAATGGCATTTCAGGTAGCATGTGCTACCGATATGATGCTCTTTGGCTACGACCAAGGTGTCTTTAGTATGTCCCCTCCCCTGCCCTTGTGCACTGAAATATCTTGAACACTAACAGACTGTTCTTGACAGGTGGTGTGGTGGTAACTCCTGACTTCCTAGAACTCCACGATCTAGTTGGCCCCTCCAAGACCAAAGTTCTCTCAACAGTCGCTGCAATCTACGATATCGGTTGTTTCTTCGGTGCGATACTTGCCTTTACTGTCGGTGAGCGACTCGGCCGCAAGAAGTCTATTATTTTGGGCACTGTCATTATGGCCATCGGTACCATTCTCCAGGCGTCATCTTATAGTCTGCCACAGATGTTCATCGGTCGAATTGTGTTAGGGTGAGTAGATCAAGTATCTTTATCAAGCCTACCTACTAACACCGTATCTAGCCTCGGAAATGGAATCAATACAGCAACAGCGCCCATCTGGCAAACGGAAACTGCGCAAGCTAAATGGAGAGGAAAGTTGGTTATCCTTGATCTAGGACTTAATGTTGGTGGATACTGTATTGTCAACTGGATCAACTATGGGCTTTCATTCCATGAGGGTCCCATTGCATGGAGGTTGCCGATCTCTCTACAGCTAATCTTCGTCATTGTCTTGCTTATTACCGTTCCATGGCTTCCTGAATCCCCAAGGTATGAAATGAAATATTGACTATGTCAAGAAATGGCTCTAACGAAATTCTAGATGGCTTATGATCCAAGGCCGGGAAGAGGAAGCAATGGAGGTACTTGCTTGTGTCGAGGCATTACCCAGAGACGATCCTGTTGTTATTACACAACTCGATGAGATCAAATTTAGTATTACCTATGAATTTGACAATACTGTCCGGTGGCGAGATCTTTTGCGCCAAAGCAAAAGCAATGATACCAAAACTCTTCGTCGATTGCTTCTTGGTGCCGGAACGCAGGCTATGCAGCAGTTCCAGGGTATGTTGTTGACCACGCCCTGTACAATTATCGAGCCATGATCACTGATGAGATTTATGCAATAGGCATCAATATTATGAGTTACTACCTCCCGATGGTTCTCATAAACTCGGTCGGACTCTCAGACAAGATGGCCCGTTTGCTGACGGCGTGCAATGCAACTTCTTATTTTGTTTTCTCGTGTCTCGCAGCCACGGTGGTTGAGCGAGTCGGCCGTCGAGGTTTGATGATGATGTCTGGGTTTGGTCAATTCGTATCCTTTCTGGTTATCACTGTTTTACTCTACATGGCCAAAAAGAACACAGTCTACGCTACTGCTTCCGTTGCCTTTTTCTTCTTCTTTCATATCGCTTTTGGAATGGGCATGCTGGGGGTTCCATGGCTGTATCCCACTGAGATCAATTCACTTCCCATGAGGACGAAGGGGGCAGCTATCTCGACTGCGACGAATTGGTAAGCTAATAAGACTCCCAGACCGAATTTGACCATGATGCTCATATTCTCCTTTTTTCAGGATCACCAATTTTGCCATCGTTGAGATTACCCCCATCGGAATCCAAAGCCTTGGCTGGAAATTTTGGATTGTTTGGACGGTTCTAAATGCAGTCTTTCTGCCAATCATTTATTTCTTTTATCCAGAGACAGGTGTGTTAAACTCAACAATTTCTGCTACGATTAAATGCTGATTGATTCTAGCAAACCGCACATTGGAAGATATGGATGCGTACTATCGTTCCAATCCACCCCTCATCGTTGCTGGAGACGCAGATGCCATTTCGACTAAGAGACCACTTCAGTTTGTCTGTCATGAGGACGAAGAGGTTCAGAAGAACGCAAAGGAGGCTGTCGTTGGTGCTGGATATGCGGAGCATGTAAATTAGGCGATGTCATTATGGTGATGCTACTTAAATGGTGATTGTTGCATGGCTTGTTGGTCATGAAATTCTTCGTTTTTTATAAAGAATACATAAGGAGGAACATGTTTGCTGTCCCCATAAGCATCGGAAGTTTCCATAGGAAAGCTTTGAAGTAGTTTCCCTCAATCAAGTGCTCTATATCTGGAGAAAGAGCAGGAAATCCCGGTTTCCCTTGAGATCAACAACTAAGGGCATGGTTTGTCAGGAAAACAAAATCAAGTCTGGAGACTATGGGGTTCCAAAGCGTATACCTAGCGTCTATCCAGATACAATTCTTCGTTGACCAACCCAATCTCTCGGATTTGCGGACGAAACTTGCTCAACTCGGCCCGAATCAGGTAATTTATGGATTCGCGTGCAACAGAAAGCCACCAAAACGCAAGTCGTATAATGTCTCTGATTCGCACATCAGAATTCAGTCTCGCAAGAAGTCCACTTAGGCCGACCCACTGTGGTAGAGTCCTGTTGCTAAACGCAGCTTGAGCGACATCGTCGTGCATTCACACGTTGATTGGGCTGATGTGATCTCAAGGGTTCTCGCTGTATCTTACAACGAGGACTTGAAAATATCTTCATTGAGCTAGGATATTATTTACATAGCAACACAACAGCAAATTGAATATACGTCCGAATACTTAAGAAGCTGGATTCAAACGCATTTTCCTCATGGCTTTCAGCGCATTCACCCGAAGATCATCGACTGACAGAATCAACCCACCAAAGCGGTTATTTTCAGCTCCGAGGACTTCAACTCGAGTGAGTGCGATTCGTCGTTTTTCGGAATGTTGCGGACGCGGGAAGATGGGCTGTGTCGAAGTTAGCATCAAACTGAATAGTGGAAGATAGCTATTTTGACTATACCTCTACCTGAATGTTTTTTGTCCAGCGTCGAAAGACACGAAGCTGTCCTGCCACTGTGTCTCTTGAGAGATTCCACCATTCAATCAAGATAAGCACTTGGAGATTTGGCACAGCATCCAGTAGCCATAGAGTGGCAGCATCTGAGGATCGGGGGATGGACCACCTCGATTCGACGATGACTCGCGGAAGTGTTCCTTTCGGACATGCGATTCCTATGTCAATATCTTTGACTGCGTACGAATAAGGCTTTTCGAAGCCGACAGTTGCTGTGTATGTTTGTCAGCTTATATTCTGAAGAGATGGCTTACTCTGAACCACCCACTGTGGCCGTCATATATGTCAAGTTTCTTCTCCTCGGCTTTCGTGACAAACCCTTCTTCGCAACACTCATAAAGACTGCTGATGAACCAAGTTCGGTGGGATTTATGGAGAAGTGTGCGAATAACATTGACACGGAACTCTTCTTTCCTGGGACTATAAGATAGCCTAGAGAGGGGAGAGATGACATATTAGCCAAAGTGGTGAATGGCGAGAAAATGATGTATGCGCTACCGTGCATCGCGCTGGGCCAACGTTGTACTGTAGCTGAGCTGGCGGGCAGCTAAAAATCCCGCCTTGGGTGTAATATTCTTCCAAAGAAATTCTTGGGGCAATTCGGCTTGTTCTATAGCAGTAGTGATCTGCTCGATCAACTCATCGTCGGAAAGACTTGGCCGAGGAGTAAGCATCACACACAGACGGGTCGGCTCACATAGAGGCATTGTCATAGGGATCGGGTAATCATTGACATGGAAATTCAAGCAGGGGAAAAATGGAATCAGGCTGTAGTTAGAAGAACCAAAAATGTTGACTCCGAATCACAAATACCAAACAGTGTTTCGGAAGTATCTTCGGGTCATACTTCAGTCATGTTGAGAGACAGCAAATGAATTGGTCAACTAAAAAGCTTGTTTACCAGCCTATTTGCCTTCCTTGGGGGCACATAAAGAGCTTCGTAGTTATCAATCTCTTCCTTCAGTCCACCGAGGCTTAAATCTGCGGTTCCCGGCCACACATATTTGGTTTTGAAGATCAGCTTCCATCCAACAAAAGCAATGATAAAAAACCCGATCATGCCGTAGTCCAAGAAAAACCACATCACATCCCATCCACCCTTCAGAAACAGATCATATCCACCTGCCAGAACCATGAAGCCCGTACCGCCCATAGCTAAGTAAGAAGTATAAGGCTGGAATCGACCCTTGTAAGGAAGACTGTCACGGGAAATCCCCTGCTTGGCCAGCGCAGAATAAAAGTGTCGATACGTGAGGGCCGTGAAGCCATAGTTGATCAACTGGCAACAAGTGACAAGATCGACAAGATACGTCATGACTTCAGCAGAGGAGCTGTTGACTTGCAGAAAAGCGAGTAGACAAAATGACAGAGAGAATAGAAGTGCCCAAAGAGGTACGCCGCTTTTTGTGCACCAAGAAAAGAACCGAGGAGCATGACCTTGGAGTGACATTCCATGCAGTGTGCGAGTCGCCGCAAATAGTAGGCCATTCCCAGCACTAAATATGGATGTCATGATAAGTGCATTAACGAGATGTGGTAGACCATTGATTTTAAGTCGTTGCATGGAAATGACATAGGGTCTAAGCCGGTGTTAGTGAACCACATCTCGATGCGGAAGAGGCAACCTACGATGCTGCACCTGTACCGGATCCAGAGATATCCCCTCCTAAGATAGAGAGCAGGGTAGAATCATTATATGGAATGACGATGCCCATACAAAGAGCAGAGCCCACAAAGAATATCAAAATACGCCAGACAAACGATCGATAAGCCGGAGGTAGAATCTTTCGAGGATTCTGGGCTTCTGCAGCGACCATAGAGATGTACTCAGGTCCACAAATTCTTAAATAGTTAACAATTAATCCCTCATAAAGGTGTAGAGTACTCACGAGAAAGTAGCTTGATACACACAAGACAGAACCCCGAGGAATCTACCGGTTCTCCCGGGAATAAGATGATCAACGAATGCACCAGGGTTGTCCCAATATCGGAATCCGTATCGATCGTGCAATGGGTTGCCACCTAGCATAGTAACAAAGGTGAAACAGAATAACCCAATCATCAAGATAACTTTGAAGATTGACAGGTAGAACTCGGAGATACCAAAATATTTCACACTGATTGCGTTAAGTAAAGCATAGAGAACAATCATCGCAACGATGATAGCCTCGACGGGTACCTTGTCTGTCCAGAATGTGATCATAATGTTCATGGCCACCATTTCGAAAGGAACAAGGAATGCCATGTTCAGAAAAAAGTTCCAAGCCATGGCAAAGCCCAACGCACCATCAACCCACTCGCCTCCAAACCGAATGAATGGCGATGGTACTGGTAGATAGGTCACCATCTCGGCGAAGCATTCGTTCACTGCCCACATGACCATTCCCCATAGAATGAAGGCAATGAAGAGACCAGCAGGGCCTCCCTTGGGCAAGGCAGAGCCCATTTGGACATATAGAGCTAGTTCTTCAGTCAGCTTTATTTCTGAAGGACAACCGTCGACTAACAAGTTCCAATTGCTCCACCAATTGCGAATAGCTGCACTTCTTTACCGCGTAGTTTTCGATGCAAAGATTGTGAGCCGGCGGTTATGTTTGAGACAGTTCCAAGGGTCGCATCATCCGTGGCATAGGGAGTAGATTCACTGCACAAGGATTGCCCCTTCTCGGAGTACTTAGTCGTAGACATTTTCTTGCTAGTGTCGAAATCACAATAAATAAATAAAATCAATAAATGAAAGATGAGACTGTGTTTGTAGTTCAACTAATTTCAATACGACAGCAGCAGTTCGCGTTGACACATTCCGACGCGCTTGTGTGTATCTTCAAGTAACGTTGGCATTGCGTCTGTTTATAAAAGTGCTTATCAGTAAAGATTTTAGGCCTGAAACTATGATTCCCGGGGGATCAAGAATATCCACGCTACTAAAATTGCTAGCAGTAGTGTCAAAGCCCAGTAGACTTTCTCATTGGATACTCTTGAGGAAACATCCTAGAGTCAGTCGTCCATTCAAATCAGAAAGAATTATCGTACTTTCGGAACTGCCGACAGCCTATTCGCACTGCCTTGCTTACTCGACCAAGAAACATAGCGGCTCGTCCGATACAAATTTATTTCGTTCAACCTCAGCTATACTGCATAGGAAGGGGTAAATTGGAATATTTGGTCTAGCAATCCTTTCCAGCTGTATGTGTATGAATGATCCAATTTATCGAGTCTAGGACATTGAGTAATCTATAGTCTCCGTGATATGTACCTGAGACGTGGTTGCTAATTCTTGAAATTTCCCTTGCACAGGTAATCCTCGTAATGATAGTGAGGCTGAAATTCGGTGAATAGAGTCTCCTTTGCTTTTATTAGTACGACTTCAAGGGTTAGGGTTGAAGATCAACTTACAGGAGTACTCGCCATCTTGAAATTGTAGGCAGCCTCTTCGTCGCTCACAATGCTCTTCTGCAACTCCATTCGATCAGTCAGCAGCTGAATCTTGCAACTTCTCTCCATGAGACAGAAAAGATACGCTGCCTCATCAACTGTAGCTCCGACAGTGAGAAGTCCATGGTTCATCAAGATGGCCGCTTTGCCCTCTCCCAGGCTTTGGGCAATCTTCTCTCCCTCGGACGACTCATTTGCGATGCCTCCATAATCGGAATACACAGAGTGGGCTTTATAAAAGTAGCAAACATCCTGGTTGATCATATCAAGTGGCTTTGCGAATGCAGACCAAGCCCTTCCATACATGGAATGTGTGTGGCATATAGCATGCACGTCTTTCCGAGAGCGATGCACCGCACTATGGATCTGAAAGCCAGCAGCATTGATAGACCCGGCCAGATTCCCATCCACAATATCTCCCTCCAAAGTCACACAAATCATGTCGCTGGCCTTGAGCATCCCAAAGTGAATTCCCAGCGGGTTGATCCAGAATCGATCTTCGAACTCGGGATCGCGCACACTGATGTGCCCTGAGATGCCTTCCGCATAGCCCTCGCGTGCAAAGACTCTGAACGCGCCCGCCATGTGCTCGAGCTGCCACTGTCGCTTCTTGTCACTTGAAGCGAACTCGGGGGGCCCAGGAAGTGCTTTGCCTCTATGGGCCATGGCGGTCATCGCATCGACGGGTTTGGAGCTGGCAGAAATCCCAGAACGGATATCTGGTTGAGCTACAGACGGTGCCATTGTGATTGATGTGAGTAGTTGTGACAATCCAGAGGAAGGGTAAAGTGATTCAGGGCGGGAGATCAAGTATGCCTCTCAACTGAGCCCATTATAGACCATGTTGATATTTTCTCGCCACTTTAAACTTCCCCCCAGGCAAACCTCCCATGTACTGAAATCGGCCCGTCCGATTTCGCATCCAAAGCAACAAATCTCCAAATCCGCTCAGATGCCAAGAGATAAGAGGAATGTGGCTGCAATGCGGGGTCTCCGACGTGAGGTTGAAAAGCGAAGAAGCGCGAACATCTCAACTTCAACACTCAACTCTCTTCAAACGGAACAGAGATGGCCGGAAGTCTTTTCTATAGGGGTGAGCGGAGATAGCCCTATCAACGACTACTAATGAACACTAACATTTACAGTCTTTGAGGCGCTGTTGGAGAACACAGGATACGTTGCAGTGCTTATTCTATCCTCTTACGTTGTCTACCAACTAGTCTACCAGCCTTTCATTGTCAGTGCCCTGCGAAGAATCCCTGGTCCAAAGACTTTCGCTGCAACCAAATGGCGACTGGCCCTTGCCGACTACCATGGAGTTAGAACCCAATGCATACACTCTTTGCACCAGCAATATGGCACCGCAGTGCGTATAGGTCCAAAGGAAGTATCCTTCTCTTCTCTCTCCGCTTTGAGAACGATCTATGGTGCAGGGTCAGGGTTTGAACGAACCGAATTCTACAGAATGTTCGATGTGTATGGACGACAAAATCTTTTTACCTTTGCTGGCACCAAGCAGCATGCAGAGAGGAAGAAGATTCTTGCTCATGCTTACTCAAAAAGCGTGATATTGTCACCAAACGCGATTGCAAAGCCCTTGATAGAGGCGAATGTGAAAAGCTATTTGGACTTGCTGGAGGATGAAAAAGACGTGGCTGAGGAGATCTTCCAGAGCCTTCATTGGTTTAGTCTGGATAGCATTACTGGCTTTCTCTATGGAGATCAATACGGAGGAACGCATGCGCTTAGAGGAAATGACTCGGACAGGAGAATGTTGAGTGATATTATCGACCCTAGTCGGCGAAAGCTTAGTTGGTTTGCGGTACACTTGAAGCAATATACGAAGTGGCTCTATACACGGACGGGAACCATGGAGAAAGCCATCACACAACTGGGGCTACTGCCTATGCAAAAGCCTGCAACTTATACGGGCATTCGCGCACATGCGCTCCAATCCTGGTCTGGTTTTGAGACTGCTGCGACGGAAAAAGATTTGGAGCCGGATTTGGCTATCATCGATAAGCTGTGGCGGCACAATAAATCTGGCAAAGGATCTCGCCTCGATGGTCTTGACATGGCCTCTGAGCTGGCCGACCATCTACTAGCCGGCATCGATACAACAAGTGATACCCTGATGTTTGCGATATGGGCCCTTTCTCGACCTGAGAATGAGCCGTATCAGAAAAGATTGATACAAGAAGTTGATTTAATCCTGAACACGGATTGCAACCAGGACGGTATTCCACTTGCCGAAGTCGCGGACCGACTGCCTTACCTTGATGCTGTTCTCAAGGAGACCCTTCGATTGTATGCCCCTTTACCAGCAGCAGAACCACGATCTATGCCGGTTGATACTATAATTGACGGGCATCTTGTTCCAGGCGGAACAGTTGTGAGTATGTCACCGTATGTGCTTCACCGCAACCCTGATGTATTCCCGGAACCTTTAAAGTTTAACCCTGAGAGGTGGCTCGGTCAATGGGTAGATCTTGCAGAGATGAAAAAATGGTTTTGGGCATTTTCTAGTGGAGGTCGCATGTGCATTGGCTTGCAGTAAGTTTGATTCTACGAACGTACAAAACGTAATTCGCTGACCACACTCTTAGTCTGGCCATGGCGGAGATGACGACATTGCTTGCTGCTATCTACAGGAAGTATACTACTAGTGGATATAAAAAGCAGAAAGGTGTCAGTCCTGGGATCACCAGCAGGTTTGAAGTCTTCTATGACGAGACCTTCCCTAAATTTGAGGTACGTCGTTGCTGCCCACCCAATGGAGATTTCGATTTTTAACCGTTCCTTGTTTTAGGAACACGAATGCTGGATCAGTTTCAAGAACCGTGAAAAGTCCGCCATTGAGTGATTTGATCTGCGGAGAGGGTGATATTTTTGGCCAACATGGATGCTTTTATTACTTTGTATAGTTCTTCTATAGAACAAGAACCTGAAAATGAGTATCAATCACCTCAGTAATGCAGTATCAGTGGCATGAAAAGATAACGAATCCCCCAAGTCACTGGTCGAAATACAAACCTTCCTGTGGAGGTGGAACACCATACCAATCAAGACTCAACTTATCCTCGGGGTCAGGATCAGTCATTTGATAATAGCCATCATAGCGCCACCAAGTGCGATCTTCCCATACATCTTCGATCGGAAGAACACCTTCCTGCTTCATCTGATCGCGAGTCTTTTCTACCTCTCTCCATACTCGCATCAAATTCTTGCCGGCAACTTTGGTCAACTGCTCTTCAGTTGCACCTCGATCTAGAATGCATTGCAACAGTTTCGGGTAGCACCTGACATCCTCTAGTCCCGGAATAACGGAGGCAATGCCATCAAAATCTGATCCAAGGCCAACGTGATCCCAGCCAATTCGGTCTGCTATGTGGAAAAGATGGTCTAATATGTCCTCCAGCTTTGCATCTGCCCGTCGTGTGGCTACATGCTCTGGCACAAACGTCACCATTACTATGCCATTATTGTCTCGAACCATGTCGATTACATCGTCAGGGACGTTACGAGGACAATCAAACACAGCTTTCGCGTTGGAGTGGGAAAACATGACTGGGGCACGCGTCAAGGCTAGTACTTGTCGAGCGCATTCCTCGGATACGTGTGAACAATCGATGATCATTCCTGTTCAGCGTAAGGAAGACGTTCACCATATCATCTCGTTGGACTTTGACATACCTAGCCTGTTCATCTCAATAATGGCCGATCTCCCCAGTCGCGACAGACCACCGTGAACAGGGCCAACTTTGGATGTAGAGCTATCGGCGAATGCATTGTTACAAACATGAGTCAAGGTGCACTGAGACTGAATTTAGCGGCTGAATTTATTTTGAAGAATTCTTTTGGACTTACGTATCGAACACCTAGTCGGTAAAAGGCTCGGATGATCCCAATACTATTACCAGCCATATGCAATCTGTACCGCGGGGATTAGTTGGAGTATTGATGAACTTCGAAAGATAGTTACCCTTCAATTCCAATTGAGCAAGCTATCTTGCCCGATGCGTAAATATCCGAGATCTCGTTTGGTCCATTGACAAGCTGGAAGACATTCGGATAGGACTCAACCAGACGAAGGGTAAGATCAATCTGCTCGATGGCATCTCTTGCCATGTCTGAATATTCAGGCGTCGAGAAATTTTCAGCAGATCTTAGACAGGGTACACACACAGACCAAAATTGTCCACCTACGGCACCTAACTATAATGTCAGCTCCTGACTTATAATTGACGGATGGAGGAGTCTTACCTTCGCGTAACCGGGGAATATCTGTCATACCCCGCTCAAATCCAGCTTCGAGATCAAATTTGGGATTATCGTGAATTTTGCCATGAAATATGGCTCTGGGTTGTTGGGGCAGATCATTATGTCCGTCAATCAAGGGTGTTTTGAGAAGAACTCGTTTGACACGCTCGTCAATATCGAGCAACTGGTACGGATGTGTGTAGCTCATGGTGACGATAATCATTGAAAGGGTGCTCTTGACTTAAATATTAGTGATACTACTGCTTTGTAGATAGACAGACCAGACTTATCACTGAATATCTTTGGCCGCGGGATTGGCCTCGCAGGCCACTCACTTGTCGAGATACGCGGCAAATACTTTTCCGGATTAGCATGAGTATCTTTTGAAATTATGAGGAGTAATTTTAACAATTTGAAGAAATAGAACTGTATTTATAGTGGCCATGATATCCCAGGGTTATTGAATGTTAATATTTTTATATTCTTACAGTTTTGATGAAACATTGAGATTCCGCTTACCATGTCCGATGCTAAAAAGAACCTCAAATCTGCCGACTCCATTGATGAGCATCATGGAAAGACTCTTGATCTAATACATGAAGGCGAAGTAGAAGTTACCAACGGGGAGGCACGCCGACTTCGATGGAAATTAGATTTACGTCTACTTCCACTATTGTGTCTCACCTATGCCCTTCAGTCTATCGATAAGACAACGCTTGGATATGCTGCTATTTTCGGTCTGGAAACAGACTTGAAGTTAGAAGGGTCCGAGTATTCCTGGCTAGGGGCAATCTTCTATTTAGGGTATCTGATCTGGGAGTTTCCCACAAACATCATGCTACAAAAGCTTCCCATAAATTATTTCATGTCTACTACGGTGAGCCTGCACACTTCTTGTCATACTAGAGCTTTTACTAAAAAACTACTTTTTAGGTTATCATCTGGGGTATCATTCTCATGTGCCACGGAGCCGCTCAGAATTTCGCCGGAGAAGCGACAGTCCGCACCTTACTAGGCATGTTGGAGTCTTCAATCAATCCAGGCACAATGCTTCTATTTTCTATGTACTATGTGCGTCATGAGCAGCCTTTACGGATGGGTATATGGATTGGATCTGCAGGTCTCGGCTATGTAATTGCAGGCATTTCTAGCTTTGGCATTGGTCACATCAAATCATCCATAGCTAGTTGGCGATTACTATACATCATATGGGGAGCAGTTACTGTTGCATGGGGGCTCATTTTATTGGTTTTGTTGCCAGGCTCACCTCTCACGGCAAATTTTTTGACTGAACGCGAGCGAGCTTTGATTATTGCTCGAGTGAACGGAAATGGAACTGGGCTTGAAAATAAAAAGTTTAAATGGTCGCAGTTCAAAGAGGCAGTGTTTGATCTCAAGACATGGCTTTTGTTTCTCTATGCGGTGGCTAGTAACGCCCCAAATGGAGGGCTAACAACGGTACCTCTTCCTTTCTCCGACAAGAGCATTCAAATTACTGATTTCACCTGCTAGTTTCAAGGACTGATCATCAAGGGTATGGGATTTTCGACTTTACAGACCACCTTAATCCAGATGCCTTCTGGCGGTGTTCAGCTGATTATTTGCTGCCTTGCTTGGTACGAAGACATCTTTTCCTTGGGTATGATTGGGTGCTGATTTGAATGTGAAACCAACAGCTTCTTTGCTTCTCGCTACTCCAATGCCCGTATTTCTATCATGATCATCTGCATTATCCCATTTCTTGTCGGAACCATCGGACTTTGGACAATCCAAAAGTCAAATCCGTACGGACGACTTGTATGCCTCTGAATTTGCTTCACATATACTGCCTCGTGGACTCTGTCTATGTGTGTCGCGACGGCAAATACGGCAGGGCATACTAAGAAGATCACCACAAATGCCATGCTTATTATTGGATATTGCTTGGGCAATCTTGTTGGTCCTTTCTTTTTCAAATCCGATCAAGCCCCGGAATATACACTAGGTGTTGCAATGATGTTTTTTTGCGTCGGTGTTCAAGTCATTACCCTCATTGGCATCTGGGTTCTTCTTTGGATGCGCAACCGCTCCAGGCAGCAGCTGCATACAGGGGTGGAAAACAGAGATTTTCAAATATTGGTCGCTGAAAAAGCATTGATGGATGAGACTGATCTTCAAAATGAGTATTTTCAGGTAAGCCTTCAAAGTTTTGCAATGGTGCATCATGAAACATGACTAATGAGGAGATACACCAGTATGTCTATTAGAGAAGCGCCTGCATAGCCATTTCGATACTATTTAGGCTGCATTAGATTAATTGAACTTCGATTGATAGATTGAAGAGATACAGGGAAATTTATAGCGTGTTTCTACGTAGATTGTCCAGATATCTTTCATACTCGTGAAGAGGCTAGAGGCATTCAATTTAGGGCTTCTTCCAGTCTGCACGTGATGGGTTCCCCGCGGGCAACCCCGCGGGCACCAGCATCGCATTATCTTTTTCAGCGCAAGACCTGTGCTTTGTCAACATACATTCAAATGTCACAGTCTTCTAGTCGAGCATTTGAAAGTATGAACATGGACGAGATAGATCACCGGTGCGAATCCAGACCTGAAGGCCGGCCCTATCGGTCACATCTACATCCAGCATGCTTCTCCTGTAAGAAGCGCAAATCCCGCTGCAAGACGCAAAATCCCTCGGAAACATGCATGATGTGTCAAGCACATGGTACAGAGTGTGTTTTCCCTCGCCCCAACGATGGATATCAGCATCGAACCCTTGTTTCACCGCGGAGATCTTCAGCCAATGCGAAACAACGATGCACACAGCGGGCCATTGAGCATACACGATCTTATCCTAGACCACAATTCATATCACGACCTGTGGAGCTGAACATTATCTCCACTGGGTCGGGCCCGGAGATATCACCTGCCTCGGGAGATCACCTGAGAGCTGAAGGCTTGCCCGATCTTGCGGGCATTATTGCAGAGGCTGAAGACGATAGCTCTCATATTGTTAGCCCTGCAGTTGCAGATGATAATGAGATATTGGAGAGTTACTTATCTGCCGTCCCCGCTACTCGGAGAGGTCCAGTACGCACAGGCTCGTCATCGAATCGACCGCTGAGACCTGTACGATTCAATATTGTGCCGAGAAGACCATTGGGCGTTACTGGTGGTCAATCTCTTGCGGCATCAAAGTGTGAAATCATTGAGAGATATATGGATCCCCATATTGATGAGTATCTCAACTTGTGAGTGTCCATATCTATTCTGACTATAATCTTCGTCGGCTTCAAAGTCTTACGTATAGCATCTAGGTTCTTTGAGAAGGCCAATACATGCTTTCCAATTTTTGATGAGGCTTTATTTAGAAGTGCTTACTTCTCCCATAAAGGCAAAATGTCACATTCTTTACTATGTAACCTGTATGCCAACTCCCTGGTATATTGGAAAAGCTCCCCCAAGCTATGTTCTGGCCGCGTTCCTGATATCCGGTTTATATGGAACCAAGCGAATGAAGCACTGCACTCTGAACTCTTCTTATCTCCTGGCATCTCAACAGTGATGTCCATCATTCTCAATGTGTGTGGTAGACCAAGCACGTCAATGTTTGGAAATGGCGGGATGGTCGGGACTTCAGTCGCTTTGTCCAATGCACTTGGTTTAAATCGTGATCCGTCAGGCTGGGATATATCGCCACTGGAGAGAAGTCTCCGGATCAGAATATGGTGGCTTGTTGTCATTCATGACCGCTGGTGTAGTTTGGCTTACGGGACACCTCTGCACATTCACCGAGAACAGTACGACGTGCCTTTCCCATCAATAGATGATATGTGTTCTACTGGAGGCTCTCTGTGTCAAAGGACAGCGGCTTCGATTTTCATCGCCCTCACAGGATTAACAGATGTTCTTTCTCGCTTCTTGGAGCATGTTTACAGTGTCTCGAAGGAATCAAGGCAGTCAGAAATGTCTGCAATACAATTGGAGAACCTTCTCAATGAGTGGGAGGAATCTCTGAATGGAGACGTCCGTCGCCTTGTTCTTCGAGGAACTGACTTACAAGGTCCTGGGGCTGCAAATCTCCGTCTAGCCTATTTGGCAGTACGACTACTTTTAAGACGGATTCAGCTTGATATCAACAAGAGTATTGTACAGCCTGAGGACGACACAATTTCTCCCTATTATATGAATGCCCAACGGGCTGCTGAGGATATCGCACATCTAGTGCAAGAGCTGGACGAGACACAACTTCGTGGATTCTGGATTCCAGTGCATGCATTTTCTATAAACTCAGCGACTATGTTTCTGCTTCGAAGCGGTCTTCTGATGAGGCATCAAAGTCGCAATACGCCACTCAAGACTGCAAATGACATAATTAACACACTCCAGTCCCATCGTCGAAAGTTTGATTGGGATCTTGCAGATAATTGTCTTGATAATTGTACGGATTTGGTCGAAAAGATTGCCCTCAGCAACCCGCAAGTGAGTACTGATCTATCCCTGTCAGAATTTCCGGATCTCTCAGATGATTTGGAAATAAATACGGGTGTTTTCGATGACCTTTTTCTCGAGGTACATGGGTTCTCGGATGGGTTTGATTTATAAACGCATTTCCAGCGAATCTGTGGTTCATGATATCAATGTATCTTGCATTCATCTTCGCAAGGCCAGTATTGCGTGCAAGAATGTCATTCAAATTTAGCTTAACGCTTCAAATAGATACTATAGATAGATGTGCAGATCTTGCTATCTGATTGTTCTCCTATCACCTTGTCCTGCTTAGCATGCGATGAATCCTTTGTTTGACGGTCTTGTCTCCGGTCAACCTGGCAAGGATTCACCACTTTGCCGCGGGCACTTCGGCCTCGGACAATAGCACTAGTGAGAAAATTGCTGTAGGGTCAATATATAAAGCCATTTGAGAGATGCTTTGTGGTTAACATGCGCTTTCGAAAAACACCTTCCTTTCCCACTTCCTCTTTACCTCTCCAAAATGGGCTCTGTTGACACCACCGCCGCCTTCTTTGCCAAGGCCGACAAGTACCTCGCGACAACAGGCGTACCCTTTTCTCCTGTAATTATCACAAAGACCCAGGGTACTCGACTCTATGAAGCTAGTGGCCGATCAATACTCGATTTCACTTCGGGTCAAATGAGCTCACTGCTTGGCCATTCCCACCCTGAGATTGTCGAGACCGTTAAGCACTATGTCTCCGAACTCGACCATTTGCTCAGCAATATGATTACCCACCCTGTCGTCGATCTTGCGGAGCGTCTTGCGAAAGTTCTGCCTGCTCCGCTTTGTAAATCCTTTTTTCTCAATACTGGATCTGAGTCGACCGAGGCCGCCATCAAAATGGCCAAGTGCTATACTGGCAAATTTGAGATCATCGCTTTTGCTGCCAGTTACCACGGCCTCACTCAGGGCTCTGGATCCGCCACATACTCAGCCGGTCGTCAAAGGGGCGGTCCTTGCATGCCCGGTCAACTCGCCTTCCCTGCACCCTATGCATACCGCTCTCCGTTCCGCAAGGTGGATGGATCCTACGACTGGGAGACCGAGATGGACTTTGGTTGGTCCATGATTGACCGTCAGAGTGTCGGCTCTCTTGCAGCATTTATTATGGAGCCCATATTGTCCACCGGTGGAATTCTCGATCCACCCGAAGGCTATATGCAACGCATGTTCGCAGAGTGTAAGAAGCGCGATATGCTCATCATCATGGACGAAGCTCAAACTGGTGTTGGCCGTACTGGTCAGATGTTTGCTTTTCGAGAGAGATGACATTGTCCCTGATATTCTTGCTTTGTCCAAGACCCTTGGCTGTGGTCTGCCTCTTGCATCTGTCAGCACCACCGTTGAGATCGAACGTGGCTGTAAGGAAGCTGGCTTCCTTTGGCTCACTACTCATCTTAATGATCCATTGACTGCTGCAGTTGGTAATAAGGTGCTTGAGATTGTTGAACGTGATAAAATCTGCAAACGTGCCGCTGAACGTGGTGCCCAGCTCCGTCAAGGTCTCATTGAGCTTCAGCAGAAGTACTGGTGCATTGGTGACGTTCGGGGTCGCGGTCTTCTGCAGGGCATCGAGATTATCTCCAATGCTGAAACCCGGGCGCCTGGTCCTGACCTGGGCCAAGCTGTTTCCGATCGCGCTATGGCCTGTGGTCTTTCCTGTAATGTAGTCAATCTTCCTGGAATGGGTGGTGTTTTCCGTCTTGCGCCTCCGGTAACTGTTACCGCCGATGAGATTGAGGAGGGTCTTACCATTCTTGATGAGGCCTTCGGGCATGTTTTGAAGACCATGGGTGCATAGCTAGATCTGTTTTATATTATGCCGGAATTGGTTTTTTGAGAGATTTCCAGTGTCCAGTAAACTGATATAGGGTCACGTGGGCTCCAATACACGTGGTTCATGAATACTTTCAGGCCACGGAAAGATCTCAACCTACAAACATTCTAAGACCACTGGTGGCTTTGCATATCTTATTGTGGAAGACTGGGGATCCATTTCAGCCGCGCATTGATCATCTCTTCAAAGACCAGCATCCGCCCGCAATCCAGAATCCACTGGGACGAAGAATTGTTCATATACCTCAACGAGAGAGAAAGCTTTCCATGTCCACTATTTCTGGCTCCAAATTGCCAAATTGGGCTCAAATTTCAAAACCAGACAATCAACATGGCATTTCACACGATCCCATCGAAACTACCTACCATCGACTAAAGCTCAAATATGCTCAATCATTACGACAAAACTGGGTTGAGAAGCTCGAACAGCCCAAACAGATATTAGAGCAGCTTTACTTAGCTGCTTATCTGATTGAACTATGGAGAGGCATGTACGGCACCATTCCAGCAGCAGAACAGAAACAGCTTCAACAAAGCAGCAATGCGCCATTTGCGGGATTTGTGAGTCTTGCTTGTGGAAGCGGTATCCTGGTATACGTACTTTGTATGGAAGGATACAATGGGTCCGGCTTTGATGCCTGCCGTCGCAAAACTTGGGAGACATATCCCGTCGATGTCCAGACTTGTCTGGAGGAAAAAATGTACATTCCTCAGCCGTTTTTGGATGCCATTGGGCCACAAGATTTCGAAGCGAAGATACACACTGGCGACTTTCCAGCTGATACCTTTATCATATCTGACCATGCCGATGAAATGACTGTATGGACTCCTCTAATGGCTGCCCTGGCTAGTCCCTCGTCTCTTTTGCCCTTTCTTATTATACCCTGTTGTTCTTGTTCGCTTTCTGGGGCTCGATATCGATACCCCCCGAGAATACGCATGTCAGAAGGTACGAGTACGGATGTCAATACTAGTGAAAATGTCGAAAAGTGCGTGGAGCAGAACCATCAACCCGCTTCTGGAGATTTGCGATCTCTTCGAGCCACCAAGGCTGAGCAGAAGACTGGCCGTGGGTTTGGAAATTCTATGATGGGGTCACTTACTGCTAAGACAAGAGACATCGCCGAGGAGCTTGGTTTTGTGGTTGAGGAGGTATGTTTGCAGACTCCGGGTGCTTTCTCCCGGGCCTTAATTGGAAGAAAGCAGCAAACGAAAGATTTGGCCGACGCGAGCCCTAGCCAGACGGCAGTGCTAGCAGATAAGATCGCCAAAATTATTGAACGCGAATGCGTTAAAGATGGAGGAATTCAGGCTGCTGCCAGGCTCTGGATTGAGCAGGCAAAGTCCTTCCATTTGGAACAAAGATAGTGACAAATAAGTGGATATCAATTGGTATTTCGCTAAGTGTGCTCTAGGTCTATTCACACCGAACATGTAACATGAATCATGGAGAGGGGATATAGAGGAAGGAGTGGGTAATGTACAAAAATAATACAATGCTCTTCAACTCTGTTGCTGTAGTTGAAGATCCAAATTCAATTGCCAGAGAATTTGCGAGGAAGCCTCGAAGTCCGATATATCGTTGGATGTGATAATGGTACTTTGATCACGCAGCTGAGCCTGGCTGAATATTTCCGTCGCGAAGAGCAGCCTATTCCTTGTCGGTTCCCTTGGCATCTTCTGCGCAATGCGTGGTGTGAGGGGCTGGGCCTGAAGATTGTGCTGCTGCTGCGCCAGGGACTCCAAATTTGGTATTCCGGGATGCAGCCTGAGCAGCCGCGTGCTCTCTGAGGCGCTTCATACGCTCGGGTCTGCCTTCACCTGGAAGGCTGCCCCATACAGGTTCAATCGAATCAGCGCGCCAATTATTACGGTTCACGCCAAATGCACTGCGCTTTGGGGATAGCGGAGCGAGAGGAGAAGTTCCTCCCACACCGGCTTCACCCCACATGCGGACACGCTGGAGTTTGCGAAGTCTGGCAAGTCCATAAATGCAGACAATGCCGGTAAGGGTGAAGCAAATGACTGAGACACCTCCGAAGCCGAAGTCGTTTTCTTCGATGAAGTTCTTCAAGTTCATTCCGTAGAGAGCAGAGAATAATGTTCCTGTTGCGAGGCCGAGTGTTCCAATGCTGAACTTGAGGTCCATAAGCATGAGCGAGTTGCGGTTGGCATCGAGGATAGCTTTGACTCTGTTTCTTGTTAGATCTGAAGGGGGTTTGGGAACAAAAAAAGAACGTACACTTCTTCTGTGTTGCGAATATTCGTCACAAGGTTGCCACTGGCCTGAACGATTTCATCGCAAACCTTGTGGTATGACTCCAGGAGCATTTCAACTTCTTGGTGATCATCCTCTTCTCGCTCCTTGCCTTTGGATCTTTCAGAAAGATACATAGCTGCCAGATCGTCGTCTGCTTCTAGCAGATCATCAATAGCATCTCGAACCAATCGAGCTTTCTGTTCGAATGTACCCAGTTTCTTGGAATATATCAATAGATGTCGGAGCTTGTCACGATCAATATCCTCCTCCAGCGCACGTAAAACACGCACGACCGGATCTCTCACGCCATTAAATTCCTCCTCGAGGCCACTTGTGACACTGATGAGCACGGCTTCCAGCGCACGGAACTCATATGGGAGTGACTGGCTGAACTGAGAGGCAAGCTGTGATTGCTTTTGGCGTAGCTTTCCTTCTAGATCGTAGATAAACAACGATTGCATGTATGAGTCTGTTGATCCATACGCGTCGAAAACGAGAACTCGATCCGCTTTGATGAGGACTCGCAAATGAAGCAGGTTGATTAAAATGGCTCTCGGTCGTACCAGAATATGAGGGAGAGTTGAGGAATCGATCTTGCGCAGGTCTCGAGGAAGAAGTCCGTACTATATCTCAGATTCTTCGGTTAGCGAAGCTCCAGGCCTAGGATTCGACTTGTCATACTAACCTTTGCAATCAGTTCCAGTTTCCGGAACTCCCCATTAACAAGTGTGACGTCCCCATTGATATCAAACTCGGTACACCGAATCCGTAACTCGTTTGAAGCCTTGGCGGAAAGACTGCGACCAATATTGAATAAACCCTCTGAGCCTTCGTCCATAAGCCCAGATCCTGCAGGCCTTTGGTTCTGGTATTCCGATGCTTTATTCCGCTTCAAATCAAACAGCCGTCGGAGGAATGGGCGGCTTTTAGTGGATGCGAGACGCGAAAATGTTACCTGTAACGGCATTGATGGTGGCACTAATGTCGGCCTGGTCGCGCTCGGTCGAACTTTCGTGACGCCATCATTTCTTGTAGGACACGGGGTCGTGAGATGTGTCCAGCTAGGAAGTTTGGAGGTTCGTCCTGTTGAGTAGGGTGTGTCACGACCGAGGCATTTTGGGCGAACGCATGATGGAGTAGTCGTAACCCCAGACTGTCTATGTAGAAAGCGCAAAAGTGAGGCCGAAGGAGCAGACAGCTTTGGGGACAGCATGTCTGATTGTCGAACTGTAGTTGTCGCGATGAGATCAGATGCGCTTTTTTCCCGCGCTCGGGGTAAGGTTGATCCGGCAAACCATACGCATAGGAATCCAGCACCAGATGGGAAAGTCTTAAGCAGAGGATTGAATTTCATGCATTGTTCTTGCTATGTGGAACACAAGCATCAGTTCTAGTTTGTTGAAACAGGACAGATGGTGACTTCACCAGGGGAAACTTGGCATTGGCATATGAAGTACCGGCATCAGACAGCCGCTGTACATCTACGACTTCCCACTAAACTTAGCCGTTCGCACTCTACCATGAAAAGCTATGTACAAAAAGCATTGCCTGACCTCCCACTGAAGCGCTCTTAAAGGGAAACTTTTGGGCAGAAAAAAACATAATGCTCGATGCTTGCAAAAACGCAAAGCCATTGGTATCTTGAAGTACTTTGAAGCCACCGTGAACTGCTCACCAATCGTCGTCGTTGTCTTTCTCGTCATCTGCAAGAGGAATTAGTTAGAATATAATGTATTCAACCGACAGACTTTCACATACCACTTCCGCTGACCCTCTGTTTTCTCTTGTTGAGAGCATCTTGCAATGCACCAGCTAGACCACCCTGAGGAGCACCTCCTCCGCTGGGACTTGCGGCAGACTCGTTAGCACCACCAGGGACAATAGCAGCACTTCTATCTTTCTTATCAGAGGCCTTGACCTTGCGTAGGCCACCACTGCCAGAGGCTCGGATGGAGGCCAAAAGATCATCGCGTCCACCGGTGCTTTTGGGTAAGGGTGGTGCAGCACCTCCAGTCGGGGGAGGCGGAGGTGGAGCACCGCCAGATCGACCAGGTGGTGGAGGGGGGGTGGTCCTCCAGGTGCCCCAGAACCTGGTGCAGGAGGAGGCGGTGGAGGAGGCATCGAAGGGCCACGCCCTGGGGGAGGAGGCGGGGGAGGGCCACCAGGTGCCGCAGAGCCGGGTAGAGGAGGTGGTGGAGGGGGAAGGCTTGGGGATGATGCAGGCATAGAAGGGGGCGGAGGGGGAGGAGGCGAGATTGGGCCTCGGGGCGGTGGTGGTGGAATTGCTGTAGAAGGCGGTGGACCTGGCACAGGTCGAGGGGGCGGTGGTGGAGATACAGGTCCCCTGGCTGGGGGAGGAGGAGGAGGGCCTGTCATCGTAGTTGTAGCCGGAACTTTGGGTGGTAGTTGAGGTGGTGCTGCTGCTGGACTCATCGTACGAGGCGGCGGCGGGGGAGGTCCACCTGGCGCAGGGCTACGGCTCGGTGGTGCTGGTGGTGCGGAGACCTTACGATCCCCAGAGAATACCGGCGGCACCCCGAAACGAGATTGGCTGGGCTGATGGTCTTCCATTGGGGTCTTGGGGGGACGCGGCGGCGGCGGAGGGCCAGGGTTGACATTCGATGTTGCGCGCGGACGTCGCGGCGGGGCAGGGCCAGCTGGCTCTGCAAATTTGCCTGCGTCTGCAAGTGGAGGAGGAGCGTTGAATCTGCGAGCAGGAGGAGATGGCTCACGAGGAGGAGGAGGAGTAACTGGCTCCTCTGCTGCTTCGGGGCGTGCCTTTCGGGATGGAGGGGGTGGTGGTGGGCCACGTCGACTAGACGAGCTGGATCCTGTGCCTTGAGGGCTGATTGTGTTCATCTTTGGAGCAGGAGGCGGAGGAGGGGCAGCTTTAGGTTTGCTTTGTTCCTCAGGTTCCGATTGAGCTGCCGCTTGCTTCTGATCAATGTACATTTGGATGAAATCGGAGTTCTCGGCGATTTGGTCTTCGGTGATTCCCATCTCCTTAAGCTCGTCCAACAGCTTGGCATCGAATAGCATTTCTGGCTTAGCTGCTGGCGCGCTTGGGTGCGCGCTTGGGGCCGCGCTTGGGGCCAGTGTTGGGGGATGAGAAACCTGTATTGAGGGCGCAGGTGCTGTCGGAGGCGGCGCACTCGGCGCTGCGCTCGAACGATGCAACAAGCTTCCAAATAGAGACCGTCCAACCTTTCCGTTGGCAACGGGAGCTGGTCCTTGTCCCCGGGTCGAAGCGAACGGAGTCTTGAGTGTTTCTTTGCTCGCATGTTTCTCGCGCTCGTGCATCTTCTTGAAAAAGGTCTTGGCCTCCTTTTCATCAACGAAGGATAATCCGGCCGCGCAGTCTTCGAGCTCGAAGGTATGGAAAAAGGTTCGGTCCTGGTTGTAGTTGAAGTTGTCATAGAGCTCCTGGTCCCATATCACGCCTCTTCCGGCAGGCTTCAACGTCAAATTGTCAGCACTCAGCTCTTATCTCCGGAGTCAATATGCAACACTCACCGAGACATCGACCATTTTGAGCCAAAAAGTCCTTCCCACAAGGTCATTGCAGATGACTGCAGCTCCCTGGATGCCGGTAAACGACCATCGCTGTCCATCGGGGTAGGCAACGTAGAGTCGTGCGACAGCTACGGCGAGGATCTTGTTGGCGGGTTTGGGGACATTCCGCTTGACAGTTTCCTTGTCGGCATCGCTGAGAATAGACGGCATAGTGAATTTGGGTGATCCCACAGAGACGAAGAGAGGAAGGGTGTAGTTCAAAGGGTTGCTAAGTGAGTAAATTACACATTGCAGCCGGGCGGGTATCTTGATAAAATGCCCAATACACCAACTAATAGGATAGCGGCGGGGAATGCGAAGTATAGAAAGGAGATTGAGGTAATCTGAATAGAGAGAGGTAGGTGAAGAGGGGCCGACTGGCGGTTGCCTTGGGGGGAGTTGGAGAGTTGGAGAGGGAGATGAGAAGACGTAGGCGGGGGGAGTAGACCGGAGTGAGCTGGGCCTTCCGCCGCACCACAGTGGCACGTGGTACTTTGGGTCTACTATGTATGAGGCTCCCCAAGGCTGTTTCGACTTCTCTGATATTAAATAAAGTAGTATTCTCATTCAAATTTATTGCAATATTATGTAGCAAGAAAAGTGCTGTTGGCATGGACATTATGTGCAATGACGCCTTTCGGGATGGGGCTTAGCGCGAGGTGCGAGTTGTATCTAACTTAGAGGATTTGAAAAAATATACGAATTCACATTGTTGGCGAAGTAACAAGAAGCCTGGTCTAAATGGCCATTACTTGGTGATCTTCTTAGCTTTATCAAGTACTTTATGGAGTAGCGTGCTCATTCTAAAGCGGTGCATGAACACCCACACTAGAACTGGTTTATAAACTAACAATAGGGCAACTACAAGGCAGTTCTATACATTACTTATGCTGCTTGGTTTTTGTTTGCCAGGCCATGTCTCTAGATTTTCGTACCGTGCAGGACCATGGCCTAATAACATCTTCTTAAACACTTTGGTCACCTAGGACAAGCACTAGCTGATGGTGATTCATTAGAACACACAATTCGTACATTAAGTGGCGATAAACCTCTTAACTTGAAACTATCATCCAGTTAGGTATTTAGCATAAGCAGGCCTTAGGTCTCTAAAAGGTGACATTGAGCATTATTGGGTAGATACGATGACAGTCGAGATGTAAGTCCACGTTGACGTTAAGTTGTTCTTCATACTTCACGTATATGGAGCAGTAGCACACGAGACATGTCCTAAAACACCTGAGCAAATAGTTACATATCATAGCCTTACCATGTTTCCGAATCAGTTACCTTATAGCTGTAGAACCCATTATCTATCGTCAAATTTGCACATGTCGCCTTCTCTTGAACATGCCAAGAAGAGATAAAGGTGATATAAGCTATACGTAGTGAGGTATACCATTCCATATGAACATACAATAAAACTTGTATTATTCAAAATGAAAGAACCAATCATGAATCATAGTTGCACCTAACATTGTAATGTGTTGCCCACCGACGTCATCCCGTTTAAGATCTATAAAACTGACACTTCCAACTCCCGTTTCTCCTCTTTCCACGTACGACTTCTCTATCCAAATTCTGAGAGCTCTTTTATCCCATCATGCCTGTCATTCCTGAATCTTCGGACTTCCCATCTGTGCTCAAAAGGGAGACAACGAGTCTGAGAAGAAATCAAAGGAAGACACCCAGAAGGCGTCTGCTCAAGACTTCTTGTCCAAGGGCCCTCATATTCCAGATAGTATGTAAACTCTCATCAAACTCATATATCCCATGACTAACACTCAGCAGACATGCCCCCCAAGGCTTCAAAGGAAGAGCTTGAGGCTCGTATGAAGGAACTGAACAAGTGACCTTAAGGATGCTCTCACTTCTGCCATGAATTACGTATCTCTGTCTCTATTCCCGTCATATTAGTTCACTTCTTGATTGTCAGTACGGGGAACCTTGTCCATTTAGTGTACACAGGCCATACAACTTAGCCATGTTCAGATTTCCCTACGTAATTTGACCTCAGACGTAATAGCTCGTATATTGGCCTGATCAAAACTCCTCAGTAGTTGTGCATAGACTTTGACATCAACAATGAGACAACTCAATAGCTCTGCGTTTCACAGCTTCTGGAAAAGCTTTCCAGTCTAAAAAAGACATTGTCTACTATCAAATATCTATCTGACTCACATGTATTATATGGCACGAAGCACTATAAATAACCTATTTAGTAGCAGTTCAAATGTGCCAAATATCCTTCATGCTTCGAGGCACTGGAGGTATCACATTACGTCATATATCATGACACGTGACTGCGTGGCATCTTCGCTGACAGGACAGTCCCCTGTCTCAACGCGTCAGGAAGTGTTCCCCATGCCTCCAGAACGGAATAATGTGCCGGTGAAGCTTTCCTTGCCGCTGGTAAGTGACCAAGTACCTGATAAGGGACGATGCAAATCATCTGACTAACTTCCTTGAAGCAATACCAGCAGGAGCTCTTCACCGAATTACGCGCCGAAGATGAGCTTGTCGTACTGGCACGTGGTCTTGGATTACTACATCTGATCACCAATCTTCTTCATTTCTATGATGCAGCTGGAAACAACTTAGTCTTGTTGGTTGGCGCCGACGAACGCGAGAATGAGTGGATCGGAGAAGGTAAGTGGAGTGGACACGAGCTGGGTACGGAATTGAAGGCTGATGGGCTGGGTATAGCATTGGCGGAGCACTATGCCACGAGCAAGTCGCCCCTTGCTAGGGGTTTGAAGGTCATCAATACTGAGAAGGCTACGGTGCCGACGAGGCGGGTACCTTGGATCTACCATGTGGTACTGGTTACTGACAAGCTTCCAGAGAGAGAATATATGGCGAGGGTGGTATTCTGAGTGTAACATCCAGAATATTGGTTGTGGATTTGCTGTCAAGTATGCAGGCCGGTTATTCTTTCTCTTACGCCTACTGATTCTTATAGAACTGCTTGATCCTGAAAAGGTCACTGGTATGATCATCTTACACGCAGATAAGTGAGTGACACCGAGCGATCAAATCTTATACGACAACTTACCCATATATAATAGGGTTGTGGCAACGTCGCTCGAGGCGTTCATTGTCCGTGTCTATCGGCAATCGAATAAGCGTGGCTTCCTGAAGGCATTTTCGGATTCTCCAGAGCCATTCACAACAGGATTTGCGCCCCTTGCCAAGATGCTGCAGAATCTCTTCCTTCGTAAGGCATCACTGTGGCCTCGTTTCCATGTGTCCGTTGCAGAATCACTGGAAGGAAATCGAAAAGCAGAAGTGATTGAGCTAGAAGTTCCGATGAGCGACAAAATGAGAGAAATCCAGAATGCAGTCCTCGAATGCGTGGAGATCAGTATCACTGAACTCCGGAAAAGCAACACAGGGCTGGATATGGAAGAGTGGACTTTGGACAGTGCCTTGCATAGGAATTTCGACGTTATCATCCGGCGTCAGCTAGATCCAATCTGGCATCGTGTCAGCTTCAGGACACGGCAAATCGTCAGCGATCTCACAGACCTTCGAGCAGTTCTTCAGTAAGACTTTCCATCTGGCTGTTCTTTGCATGCGCTAATAAACAACAGTGCATTGCTTACTTACGATGCTGTCTCTTTCGTGAAATACCTTGATACTATCGTTTCTGCTCATTCTCCGCCTCCCGGCTCTAACAAATACAATTACTCACCGTGGCTCTTCCTTGATGCCGCCCATGTCCTTTTTCAAACAGCGAAATCACGTGTCTATGAAGGCAAGCTTAACAATGAGCTCACTCGCCCCAATTCATACTCGACAAACTTCTCTTCTGAGTTGAACCCGGCTCTCGAGGAGCTTCCGAAATGGAATGTTCTATCAGAGGTTCTTGGGGAAATCGAGCACGATGCCTATCTTCATCCTCAGAGTATGGATCTATCAAATAGCACTATCTTGATAATGTGCAATGATCAACGGATTTGCCGGCAACTTCGTGAGTACATTGGCACGATGCATGCCAAGATTGCCCGTTCCGATTCCAAGGAAGACGACGAGATAGATGAGAAGCCTTCTGCAGAGGTCATGATGCGTCGCCGACTGCGGGACTACCTTAATTGGAAGCGATCTTTGTCAAATGTGAATCGAAACCTCTCAGGCACAGTGGAAGACGATAGGTCTGAAAAGTCTTCGGGGTCACCTGCAGCCCAGAGCGCGCCTCAAGGGCGACCTCCACCAAATAAACGTCGTCGAGTACGTGGCGGTGGTGCGGTTACCTCTGCTGCCGGGCGTATCCCAAACAGCAGTGTTCAGACTGATGTTGAACTGCCTGCTCAGGTTGCCGGCTTGCTTAGTGAGATTCAACCCACTGAGGTTGAAGAAACACATAAAGAGGAAATCATCGTGGATGAATTGGAAGATATGGATGATTTCTATGAATTATACGATATGGATGATCTGGTTATGATTCATCCTTACGATGGTGACATGGATGAACACATACTTGAAGAAGCGCGCCCACGATACATCATCATGTATGAACCGGATGCAGCCTTCATTCGAAGAGTGGAGGTCTATCGCAGCTCCCACTCAGGACGGAATGTGAGGGTGTACTTCATGTATTACGGTGGTTCGGTCGAGGAACAGCGGTATTTAAGTGCTGTCCGTCGAGAAAAGGACTCGTTCACCAAACTGATCAAGGAGAAGGGGGTATGTTACTTGCTCGATCATCCGGAATATCTGCTAACCCATTTTTCAGAGCATGGCGGTCACTTTGACGCATGATAAAAAGGCCGATGACCCGCAAGAGCAATTCCTCAGAACAGTGAACACTCGTATTGCTGGAGGAGGACGACTGGCTGCTACTGCCTCCCCTCCACGGGTGGTGGTTGATGTGCGAGAATTCCGGAGTGCGCTCCCATCTTTGTTGCATGGCAACAATATGATAGTGATTCCCTGTCAGCTCACTGTGGGTGACTACATTCTCACCCCGGACATTTGCGTCGAGCGAAAGTCGATCCGTGATCTGATCACTTCTCTCAAAAACGGCCGGCTCTATAACCAGGCCGAGACTATGCTTCAGCACTATAAGGATCCATTACTTCTGATTGAGTTTGACCAGAACAAATCCTTCACATTCGATGCTTTTGCCTCCGTTCCAACAGGTACCACCTTCCTGACGGACTATGGCTTCTCATCCTCCGGCACTGCGACCACCACGAGTAGCAGCTCCCTTGCCAATCCCTCTAATCCCAAGTCCGCTCAACATCTACTTGTCCTTCTTACTCTTGCTTTCCCGCGACTGAAGATCATCTGGTCCTCTTCCCCCTACCAAACAGCTGAAATATTTTCCGAACTCAAAAAGAACGCGCACGAGCCAGATCCCCTTCGTGCAGTTCAGCTGGGCCTTGATTTTGACATCTCGTCTGGATCTGGTGATGTCATGGCGGCTTCTGGTATCGAGCATCGGACCTTCAACCTTCTTCCACAGGACCTGTTACGAGCTGTACCGGGTGTCACCCCCCAGGCCTTCGAGCGACTGATCATTGAAACGGACAACATCAGTGACATTGCCAACATGAGCGAGGAACAGCTAGATCCCATGGTTGGCAAAGAGGCCGCTCGAAAGATTGTCGGCTTCTTTCGCAAGAGTGTCTTTGATTGATGCAGTGTTAACGAATATACTCGTAAAGCTCCTCAGACAAGTCAAGAGGATGGTGGACGTGAGTCTACGTCAACCAAATGTAATGTGTAACCGATATAATCACCTCTATATCACTCTATCATTCTATCACACTGTGTTTCTCCCCAAGTATATCACCGAGACATCCGGATTTCTCGATATTTATAGAATTGCCAACTCGCCTACCCCATAATATTCTCGTCTTGGCGTCGATCCTGCAGATCACCTAAACGCAAGGGATCCCCTGACAGACTTCACCCCTTGGCCGTTAACGTGATGACATTTGACGTCTTCAACTATCCATCATGCATCTAAAAACTGTCTCAACAGTCGCGTGGGCTGTTGTTAGTGCCGCGAAGATTACAGATGTTGAGCCGTGTGCGCAGGTTAGCCAGTTGGTAGCTGATGCCAACCAAAACAAAAGTGAGCTCTCCTCTTACTTCCTCTTTGGAATGTAACTGATAGTCGCAGTTAATGCCATTGTGCCTCATGATCTGGCTCATCAGTGTTTACTGTCGATGCCCTTTGACTCGGATCGTGCCCTTAATTTCCTGAATCAGGTCCGCAAGATCCTCGAGTTTCAGTCAACCATTGATATTCTGAAAAGTAAGTATATCCAACATGAAAATCTCCTTTTTATTCCTAACATATCTAGATCCCCCGTCCGGATATACTATGTCTTCCACGGATATCATCGCCAGAATGGACACAATTCTGGCCAAGGCAAAGGGAAATGGCTTTTCTAGTCAATTCGACATGGACCTCGAGGTGAATAATGTCATAAAATCTGCACATGATGGACATCTTGCATTCCAGCTATGTTCACAATCCATCTTCACCTATGGACTAGACCTGCCCCTGGTATCAATCTCAACAGATGGTCTTGCCCTTCCGCAAGTTTACACTTTAAGTATGTCCAGCTTAAATCGATACCTAAGCTTCTACTAACCACCATCTTAGACGATGCCAAGTTACTGGAGACAAATTCAAAAGCTGTCTCGCCTCTGAAATCTATCAACGGCACCGATGCAGCCAAGTTCCTAGAATCATATGCCAGCGGGCAGAGTCTCCAAGACCGTGATGCACAGTATGTACCTTTCTTTCAGTCACCAACCGACTAAATCTAACAGCCTCAGGTATAACCGAGTGTTCCCTGCACTGGCCCGCAGTGTTACCAATACTCCCACCGACGCCAACGGAATCTGGGCCTCTATCGGCGACTGGACTGATGGCGCCGAGCTGTCTCTCAAATTCGCCAATGGAACAGAAAAGACAGTGCAGAAGACGGCCACACCAAGCGAGCGCTTCTTCGCCTATGATGATGGAACCCATCTCTGGAACACCGAGTGTATTCCTCGGGACCTGTCCACGCCCTTGAGTTCATCCTCCGGTGCAGAGAAAGCATCAGAAGTACCAGGACTCCCCAGTACCAACTGGCGCACCTCGGCCAATTCAATTGCAGGATATTTTTCCAACGTCACAGATCTGCAGGACACGGCAATCATCTTCCTACCTACATTTTCATCGAGTGCATCAGAGGTCGCCAAGGTTGCCATCGATTTCCTGCAGAATGCCACAGCGGCCGGGAAGAAGAACGTGCTCATTGACGTCTCTGCCAATCCAGGTGGATACATGTCCATCGGTATCGACTTCTCTCGTATCTTCTTCCCCGAAGCTACCCCATACACAGCGACGCGCTTCCGGGCACACGATGCCGCGAAGTACCTCACTAAAGCATACTCGAGGGATACATCTACCGATTCGAGTAACGTCTTCGCGTATAGGCAGATGGTTCAGCCAAACCAGAAGACAGATTTCAGCTCTTGGGAGGATCTTTATGGCCCGCATGATATTCTTGGGAGTTCGGCTTCTAGTCTATTCGCTAACTTCAACTACACGTCAACATCTTCGGATGTCTTTCCCATCAATGGATATGGTTCTGTTCCGTTGAAGCCGAGCAAATCATTGTTCCCAGCGGAGAATATCGCTATCGTGAGTGCATCCGTTTCTTTGTAATACTAACGAGTTACTGATTTTCTCTCAGATCACGGATGGCGATTGCGTCTCAACTTGTGCATTCTTCGTCAAATTAATGAAACGTCAAGGTGTGCGCACTGTCACATTCGGCGGCCGTCCCCAAAAGGGACCTATGCAAGGTGTTGGCGGCGTAAAGGGCGGCCAATCGCTCGGAATAAACTATATCAATGGTTACATCCAGCAAGTGAACCAGCTGATTAGTGAATCGATGAATACTTCATCGCCATTGTTGACGGCGTCCGAGTGGAAGGCTTTCAATGCCTCAAGTCCCAGTACTAAGGCGACACTTTCTTGGAGTGGGAATTTGAATCTCAGAAATGAGTATGATCCCGAGGACGGGGAGACTCCGTTGCAGTTTGTTTATGAGGCTGCTGAGTGTCGCCTCTTTTACACTTTGGATAATTATTTAGAGCGGGAAACCGTTTGGCAGGCTGCTGCGAAGGCTATGTTTGGAGGTGGAAGTTGTGTGGAGGGTTCGACTCAAGCTAAGGGGAGTCTGGATGCTTGATTTCATGTTGAATATAGGACTCCTGAAATAAATAGCGATAGACATAAGTAGATAGTCCAAAATGTACATCTCAGGCTATTTGCCTGTATGAATGAGCACTACAAGGTGGTCTAGTATACATTTCTATAGAAGAAACTTGACTATGTGTCATGTCTCCAAAGGGAATAAAGTATGTATGCATATGGGTAATATTTTCAATTCTCGTGGCCCATTTCATGAGTCTATCATAAAAGAACGAAGAAAAGCAAGTCGAGGTGAACAGAGCAAATGCACAGCATGCAACGCAGTGCAAAGAAACAAGCACACAGGTTCATCATGCGTCTTGCAACCATTTTGGGTCTCTGTATCTGATCCTAGGTATTTGCAAAAGAGACAATGGAATTGAGGATCCACCAAAAAACCAGAATCATCCAAGACAAAACCCGAGATTCCTCTGTTCGATGGCTTTAAGCCCTGGAAGATTGTCACAGTAGCGCCAGTGTGTGGTTCCCTTGCCTCATTCAGAGCCGGGATTGAGAGGAGCGTCGAGGGTTGAGAAGTTTGGGATGCTCTTGATATTCGTTCGAGCGAATGTACAGAGATAATCGTAAACCGAAGGGTCTCGCGTGGTAAGTAGGCAGAGATAATCGGGATATGATAGCCACGGCACTAAACCAACAACGGCGAGTATAAGGGGAGGGGTTTGGCGAACATGGAGAACACCGAGAGACGTTTCCGGGGCATTCTTGCAGGGTAGAGCATCGAACTCTGGGGGTAGCAAGGGGTGACCTCTAGAGGTCGTCGACATCGATCTCCTGGTCGTCCTCGCTCTCGCGGTCCTCGTCGAACTCGACGTTGTCCTCGATACCCTCAGCGCCGTAGGTATCAGTCTCGTTGATCTTGGCGTGCTCAGGAAGCTCGCCGTAGGCCTTGAGCGAACGGGCCTCGTCGGCGGTGTACTTCATGATAACATCACCCTTCTCGTCCTGGTAGTCACGGAGCGAGAGGAGAATAATGTCACCCTGGTTGATCCAGACCTTCTTGCGGAGCTTGCCACGAATGTGGGCCAGACGGCTCTCGCCATCGAAGCAGACGGCCTGAAGACGACCGTTGCCAAGCATCTTCACAACCTGGGCATACTCCTGGCCTTCTTCCTTGAAGACGAGCTCACGCTTCTCGTTGTCGTTCTCGTTCTTACCGCGACGACGGTTCTTACCACCCTGTAGTCAGTTGTTAGCATATTGCTTTCATAATGTTTCCCACACATCAAGTCCACCCGGGTGCCACCTCATAACTCAGGGGGTCATCCCAAAATGGTATTAGGTCAGAGTGGCGGGGAGGAAATTATCAAAGAGGGGCTGGAATTTGTGATCTTACTTTTCCCTTGTTCTTGGGCATGGTGGTTATGGGCGACCTTCACCTGGGTCGTGTCTCACTTGTTGAATTTTTTTCTGCAGATCACTCAAGATCTTAAGAGGCCTAATCGAGGATGACCAGGGAAGCGAGGATGGAAGAAAGAAAGAAGAGTGGGGGATTGTGCCCGGGTCAAATCTTGCGCGTTATGTAATCAGGCACCTTGCGTCAGTTGCAGCCTGAGAGTCAAGGTGTCTGTCTGACCGCCTGGGGCAAAAAAAAAAGATGACGAGTTTGAATGTTTTCCAGTCTCGCGATGTTAAGATTTTGAGTGATTTGGAGGCCTTGTGATACTGTGGGATTGCAGGCTGGTATTTATTTTCATCACGTCTGGCCTGGTTGCCTCAGCCCCGGTCATCCCGAGACTAGCGATTCCTACTCTTATTGGGCCACCTCAAGCGCTCACAGCTCTCTTTGTATCTCAGTGATATGTCTATTGATTGAATTGCAACATCTCGATAAATACGAGGCCTAGGTGCCTATCGCTCTTTGATAAATTTCGCTGTCGATTCGCCATACCAATGAGCTACGAGTCTCCCAACCCTCTCTTCAACTCTCTTTCTACACCAACGATCCTTGCAATTGTCGACACTTCTCGGTCAGAATGTCTTTATTCAAGGGAGTAACACCTACCAAGAGCATTATCATGCGATGGGCTCCCAAAAATGTTCAACCTCCCGTCGCAAGCCGCTACCTGAGAGCTCCCTCCCACCCAATCCGACCCAAGATCGTCCATATATGCGGCCACCGAGATCGCAATACATTGTGGTGGCGGGTGTCGGTGACACAGATCCAACAACATAAGCGTGTAGTTCGCTCCTGGTGTGCACGTCGAGTGCGTCTAGCTATTGAGCTGGCTCTCAAGCAGCATGGGCTGGACACCTTCGGGAAACCGCTCGACTCGGCGTCTGCTCTAGGGAAGTCTGGTGTGACGGGAAGTCTGGAGGTCCTCGTTCAGCCACCGTGTTTGGCCCAGAAAATGGGTTCGCTTCAGGAAGACGTCAACAATTTAATATCTTCGTTTCTGAAACATGAAGCAGCGGTCCCTGAGCAGAAGGCTAAATCAAACTCGAAGTCCAAGGCTGAACGACGACCATCTTTGACCCCTTCATAGGGGCTGTGGTCAGTCTGTACAATACTTTTTCTTTCATATTCGTGTACTATCATTTTTTGTACATTACCTGGGAACTGGGAAGCATCGGTCATGGCGTTTGGATTTGGCTATATAATTGGCTGTCTGACAGAATAGCTGTCACAATATCTTTACTCACTACTACATTAAACAAGAATACCCCATTTGAGTTGCCTACAACATTGTTGGTTTGAAGTAAAGTGAATACAGATCGAATCTTGGCTCCCCGTTGGACACTCGCTAAATGCCGATCTGGCGGAATCAACAACCCCAACTCTCTCTCTCCGGACTACAACAACCATCGTTCATCCGAATCCTCCCCTATCCCCCTCAAAATGTTGGTCTCCTTGACAGTCGGCAAGGTAGACGCGGGCGTCGCAGTCCTTTTAACTCAAGACAACCGCCTCGTAAGCCACACCCCCCTAGGTCGCATGCTCCAACCAGCAGCCAAACTGCGACACGAACAAGCCACGTCGAACACCCAAAGAAACATGTCTAATCACCCCTCGCACAGATCGAATTTCCCTCCGTCCTTCTCCCTAACAACATCGCTTCCGGCAGCATCGTCGACATCACCGTGTCGCGCAACCACGCCGCAGAAGCAGCAAGCGCAACAGCCTTCCAATCCCTCCAGAAACGAATCCTCAATACCTACGGCGTGAAAGCTCCCTCACCCCCGATCCTGCGTCTCCGAAATGCCACGCAGACTTCCCTCGTCCTCGAATGGGACCCTATCGACTTGGCTACTGCATCCCTAAAATCCCTCTCCCTCTACCGCAATGGCTCAAAGGCCGGTTCCATACCACGTCCGTTGGAGACTCGCAGCACGAAAATCTCCGGCCTGGCCATTCACTCTGAATACACTTTCCATCTTGTCCTCCGGACCACTGCGGGTACTTACCAGTCCGAGAAGCTGACGTGTCGCACCCACAAGATGACCGATCTGTCTGGTATCACTGTCACAACGGGAGTGCTGGACCCGGCGCAGAAGGATGCATTGGGCTCTGCGCTGGATCGGATTGGTGGTAAGTTGATCGATTCCGTGCGGATTGATACCACCCACTTTGTTTGCACTGAGGGCCGGGGCCCGCTTTGGGAGAAGGCTGTTGAGATGAACATTCCTGTTGTCACGCCTGAGTGGGTTGATGCTTGCGAGTCTGAGGGTACGATCGTTGGTGTGCGGAATTACTATCTCAATGCTGATCCCAAGGCTCGGCAATTGGGTGTAATTCATGGCTCTTCGCATCAGCGTACTACTTCTACTATGTCCTCGGCTACCATGCCAAATCAGGGCAGACCCAGTACCCAGCCTGTCAGAAGTCCTGTTCAGGAAGAGGTACCTGAGGAACCTCCTTTGACTCCGTTCCCTGGTGGCGATATGAATGGTCAGCCGCTGGCACAAACAGAGGAAGTTGGATCCGCGGATGAAGATGACACCGCGCCTCCTCCTCCTCCTCCACCGCCAAAAGATGAGGGAGAGGGCACAGATGAGATATCTCAGAATGGAGATACAGTACCCATGTCTGTGCCAGAGATCCATGAGCCTGAAGCCGACGTTGAGAGCAACGACGATTCAGACAAGGGGACTACTCTTCCACAGAACAGACCCGATGATGATTCCGAGGCTGCAAGCTCTGGCACGGCAAAAAGCAAAGGGAAGGAGGGTGAAGGTGACTTCAACGAAGTCCCTCTCTGATGATTTTCCTTTCTTTTTCTTTCTCCTGATTCATCAATTTCTACCTCTATATCTCTTTTTGTCGAGCAGCGTCTACGAACTTTTTCCTGCACAGTTTTATGATGTTGTGTTTGGCGACGCGCCTCCATACCTAGCAAGACAAGGTCTCTTACGAATATGCCCGGTCTCTCTGTTTGATTGTTCACCTTTGTTGTATGTACAGTAGATAGTTTTCCTAATGCAGCCTTTACTCAATTGATCTGACGGTCTCTATTAGATCTGGGATAGGATCACATAGTGAGTAGCAACGATACCGATGCTATCAATGATTCTCTAAATATTTATCTATCATGAAAGGTCGTGAAATCAGAACATGGCCCGCCAATGCAAAGTGCGAAACAAGATGCCGACTTTTGAGAAATGTCTCTCAGGGCATGCAACCGAAATGAAATGCAATTACAAACAACCCTTGTCCAGCTCGGACTTGTTGCAAATTTAGACCTCGGTGCGGATGACATCGTCAATTGCCTGTGCGACGTACGCGACATTCTTCTCGCTCACTGTGTTCTGTGTCAGCTCGTGTTTCAATAATACGGACTCGGGCAATTCTTACAGCCGCTGATGGATGCTCGGCCGGACTTGAGGAGGTAGATGTGGTACTTGTCCTTCAGGGCGTAGACCTGCTTGGGGGACAGGCCAGTGTAGGAGAACATGCCGTTCTGTGAAGTATTAGTATATGTTGCAATCAAGCCGTTGATTCTGTTGGAAACATACCTGCTGGATAATGTGCTCCCAAGTACCGGGGGTCTGCAGGCGGACCAGCTCGTTGTAAAGAGCCTGGCGCATAGTCTTGATGCGAGAACTCATGACTTGCAGGTCCTGGTGCCAATCGGCAGTCAGCTCCTCGCTGGTGAGGACCTTCTTGACGATGCTGCATCCAACACGGGGACCCATGGAGAATTCACCACGGATCAAGTGGCAGAGGTTGTTCACCACGATATCGCGGATGGCGGTGGAGCTGCGGTTGGTGACGTAGTGGAAAGCACCGACACGCTGGCCGTAAAGACCGAAGTTCTTAGAGAAACTCTGTGCAACGCACATCTCCATGTCGGGCTTGTTGTTGAAGAAGTAGCGGACGGCCCAGGCGTCTTCCTCGACGGAGCCCGAGGCGAAGCCCTGGTACGCCGAGTCAAAGAAGGGGAAGAGGCTCTTGCGCTCGCAGACCTCGGCGATGGCCATCCACTGCTCCTTGTTGGGATCCAGGCCGGTAGGGTTGTGCGCGCAGGCGTGCAGCAGCACAGCGTCACCCTCTTCCGTCTCGTTCTCCAGGGTGTGCATCATGCCCTCGAAGTCGAAAGAACGGGTGGCGGCATGGTAGTAAGGGTAGGTCTTGCGGGGTACGCCAGCCAGCTCCCAGATGGTCTGGTGGTTGGCCCAGGAAGGGTTCGACAGCCAGACGCTGCGAGGCTTCATGTGGTGGGCGAGGAACAGGGCTCCCAGGTGGTTGGCTCCAGTTCCGGCGACGGTTTGCACGGTTGCAATGCGTGCCTTGGCCTCCTCTTCAGTCTGCTTGCCCTCGAAGCCGAACATCAGATCCCGTGCGATTCCGAGGAAGGGGACGTCACCCTCGATAGCGGTGTACTCGTGGCGCATGAGATCGTTGTCTGCCACCAGCAGCTTCTCAGCCTTCTGCACCACGGGCAAGGGCCATGGCTTGCCATCGTCGGTCCGGTAGACACCCACACCCAGGCTGACTTTGTGGGGGAATGTGTCGACGGCGTAGGCGCCGTTCAAAGCAAAGATCTCGTCTGGGGGGACCGGAGCCACATTGAGGCGGGTGTTCACGTTAGCCATTGTTATGTCAGAGTGCGATTGAATAGGTGTTCAATTGATTGGAGCAAGTTGTGCGGGAAGAGTTGTCGATCAAAGAAACAAGATCGCTGAGTCAACCCGATATCGCATCCCAAGGGATCCATCTCTTTTTTGCCCCGCGGGAAGTCCCGCTTAGTAGCGGTTCGTGAGAGCGAAGCATCATACATTTCGTTGAAGACGGATACCCGCGTATATCCTGGAGCAGAATCAAGTCGATTGCGACGATTGATCCTGGTTTGGCTAATCTTGGAAACTTTGCCTCGGTCAGCTGAGGGTGTAACGCATGCGGACTGCCCTTTGGGGTAATCAGTTATTCTTTTGGTGTGTAACCAGGGGGAAAACATGGAAATATGGGAATATATGTGAGATCACGACGATCCTTGCGTCAGTATTGGTCTAGGGAAGCTATTCAGTGGTAATTTAGTAGTTGGTTGGGGGGTTGTAGTTGGGAAGATGCAGTGACGCATAAATATATAGATGGGGGATGACATTCACATGCAACTTCCATACCATGCCTGAATGATCCGTTGATCCAAGTCTTTAATGTTGGATCATAAATAGGTCTTTCAAATTCATAGAAACTCGCTTCAATGTTGTTTATCAAGATAGAGTGAGAGTATACTGTTTACAACATAGACCCTGTACTCTGGTAGCCGTCTTCTACAACCCCAGGGCTTCGTCCAGGTAATGCTGACAGTTCATGCATGAAATGACGGCCATACTGAGAAACAGCTCATACCCCGCGCGAGAGGTTCAAATCCTCAGAAAACAAGCATCTGTCGACTCAGCCCTACTTGGTGACCCGAATCATGACCCAGCCAGCTGGTGACCCAGCATTACACGCATTCGAGCTTCCAATGATATCCCAACCGCTGCACAATAGTATTCCGCCGGAGCTACTTCCTCGGTATGACCCAGTCTACGTAGAATACTACAACAAGTACAATGCTGGCCGACTCCATACACACGAGGTCCCGATAGAAGAGTTCCGCAAGAACCCAGCCCGGTATATCATTTCATATGGGCGAGCTCGGGGTCCGGACATCTTTCGCATCACTGAACAGAAATGTCCGGTTGATGGCGGGGAGATCACTGTTCGGATCTTTGAGCCAGAGCCCCAACTGGACAAACAAGATACCCCGAAGAAGCGAGCGGCCTATATCAACTTCCATGGAGGTGGTTGGGTGTTTGGCGGGCTTGTCTACGACCATGACTTTTGCAAGAGAGTTGTTCATGGCCTCGAAGGAGACCTGGTTGCATTTGATGTTGACTATCGATTGGCACCCGAGTACAAATATCCAGTTCCTGTCGATGATTGCTGGACGGCCTTCAATTGGGTGAATCTAGACTCCCCCTCTCCCGATGAACAGCGAACATCAACTAACGAGACTTAGGTCCGTTCCAGAGCAACCGAGTTCAATCTTGATCTCAATCGATTCGCAGTGGGCGGCGCATCAGCAGGAGGTCAGCTTTCGGCTGTCATCAGCCATCTATGTCGCGATCAAGACATTCCTCTGCGACTACAGATCTTGACTGTGCCAGTGACGGATCTGCACCGAGTTTTCACGCCGGAAGGGAAGTTTGATCGAGAGCGTTGTCCCTACGAATCCTACCGGGAGATGGAGTTTGCGCCCGCACTCCCTGCCGCACGTATGGCATACTTCCATCGACAGTTCCTGGGGGTACCTCGACCAACGCAGTCGGGTGAAGTAGTCTTTCCTCCTCCATCATTGCCAATGTAGACTGATCCCTTTAGGACTGGAAAATATCGCCAATTCTCGCTCCTAACTTTCAGAATCTGGCCCCGGCGTTGGTGACTACCGCGGAGCTGGACCCATTGCGCGACGAAGGCGAAGCATATGCAGCGAAACTTCAAGCTGCTGGCGTGTTGGTGGAGGTCAATCGAATCATGAGCGCATCACACCTGGTCACTAGCCTGGATGGCATCTTGGAAGGAGGGCGACGATATAACGCGAAAGTGGTTGAGACGATGAAGCGCCAACTCAAGGGATGAGTGTTCAACCCGTAATCAGAATACCGTAGTTAACCATTAATACGGCCTCGAACAGACGAGAACCCGTGGTATTTGGTGTTTTGCCGATACCGGGAAGTTTCGGTTGGGGGAAGCCGGCGACTCGTCGTTTAATCCTCACTTTTGCTTCTTGAGAATCCTTTGCGATCTGTCTCGAAATAGCGCGATCAATTGATCTTGTTTTTGTCCTCTTTTAGCCATAATGAATCCTTCTACTTCCCGAGCCGCGGTGCGCTCTATGGCCACCCTAACACATGCGACCAGAGCCACCCCCGCAGCTCGCAACCTTTTGTCCAGCGCTCGTCCGGCTACTCGGTCTTTGAGATCCAATACCCGTCAATTCGATTTCCCTCGCCTTCAGACCCTCAACAAGCGTGCCTTTGGAACCACCACCAGAATGGTAGGACACAGAGAGAGAGAGAGACAGCTCCCGTGAAAATACAGCTAATGGTTGCTAGTCCGTTGACGCCCGTACCGAGAGCGATGCCTTTGGCGAGATCCAGGTGAGTGAACGACGGCGTTACAATCGGAATTACAAGAGCTAACGAGGCTGGAACAGGTTCCTGGTGACAAGTACTGGGGTGCGCAGACTCAGCGGTAAGCCGACCCGCGAATCGAGGACAGAGAAGAGAGAAAACCGGATCGCTGATGGAAACAGCTCCCTGGGCAATTTCGACATCAACCAGCCCCAGGACCGTATGCCTGCCCCCGTGGTTAAGGCTTTCGGTATCCTCAAGGGTGCTGCCGCCGAGGTGAACATGAAGTACGGTCTTGGTATGTGATGCTCTAGGAACTTCGGATATCAGATTATTGACTAGCGTCAGACCCCAAGATTGGTGAGGCCATCAAGCAGGCCGCCGCCGAGGTCGCCGAGGGTAAGCTGCTGGACCACTTCCCTCTGGTTGTCTGGCAGACCGGCTCCGGCACTCAGTCCAACATGAACTCCAACGAGGTCATCTCCAACCGTGCCATTGAGATCCTCGGTGGCACCATGGGCTCCAAGAAGCCCGTCCACCCCAACGACCACGTCAACATGTCCGCCTCCTCCAACGACTCCTTCCCTACCGTCATGCACATTGCTGCCGTTGTCGAGCTCGAGCAGACCCTCCTGCCTTCCCTCAAGGCCCTCCGTGACGCCCTCCAGGTCAAGGTCGAGAAGTGGGAGCACCTGATCAAGATTGGCCGTACTCACTTGCAGGACGCCACCCCCCTCACCCTCGGCCAGGAGTTCTCCGGCTACGTTGCCCAGCTCGACCGTAACATTGAGCGTGTCCAGGCCTCTCTCCCCCACCTCCGCTTCCTCGCCCAGGGTGGTACCGCCGTCGGCACCGGTCTCAACACCTTCAAGGGCTTCGACGAGGCCGTCGCTGCTGAGATCAGCAAGCTGACTGGCACCGAGTTCAAGACTGCCCCCAACAAGTTTGAGGTTCTCGCCGCCCACGACTCCATCGTCGAGGCCTCCGGTTCCCTCAATACCCTCGCCTGCTCCCTGTTCAAGATCGCCCAGGATGTGCGCTACCTCGGTTCCGGCCCCCGCTGCGGTCTCGGCGAGTTGACCCTCCCCGAGAACGAGCCCGGTAGCTCCATCATGCCCGGCAAGGTCAACCCCACCCAGTGCGAGTCCCTCACCATGGTCTGCGCCCAGGTCATGGGTAACCACGTCGCTGCCACCGTTGGTGGCATGAACGGCCAGTTCGAGTTGAACGTCTTCAAGCCTCTGATGATCGCCAACCTGCTCCACAGCGTGCGCATCCTCTCCGACGGCATGAACAGCTTCCGTTCCCACCTCGTTGATGGTCTTGAGGCCAACGAGGCCCGCATTAACTCCCTTCTCCACGAGAGGTATGTATTTCCCCTCCCCCCTTGCTTTTTTCTTACTTTTTTTTTGTGGCAAATTCTAACGCTTTGACAGTCTGATGCTTGTGACTTGCCTGAACCCCGTCATTGGCTACGACATGGCCTCCAAGGTCGCCAAGAACGCCCACAAGAAGGGCACCACTCTCAAGGAGAGTGCTATGGAGCTCAAGGCTCTCAGCTCCGAGGAGTTTGACCAGCACGTTCGCCCCGAGCTGATGCTTGCTCCCAAGGAGTTGAAGTAAATCAACAGCACTGCTGTTTCTGTGCCATTATAGACTAGGATGTAAGAATTTCATGTTTGAGAACAGTTGGACTTTAGCCTGTTGTAGTATAGATTATTGAATAGATTGGCCTGGACATTTAGGCGAGTTAAAAATAGGATTTCCCAGCAGGTCGAACAAGCCGAGTGATGCCAGTTAGTAATTCAAGAAAAGGAGGCAAGTATAGTAAGAAAGTCATATTTCAACGATATAAAAGTGCAGGCAAAAAAAAGAGAAAGATATTCATAGTATTCGTAGCATTCGTAGTATTAATAGAACCCCTGGGGCAGTGTTTCACTTTCGGTACCTGGATCCCTTCAAGTATCCAAGGTTGAAACTCTCCTTTCCCTCTTTTCTTTTTCTCGCTTCCAATTCCCCATTGACTTCACTGGATCCTGTTTCCTCTCATTCCTCTCATTCTTCCCACTGCTCTCATCTCATTCCTCTCACCCCTCCCTCAACTCAAACCAATACATCCTCTCCAAAAATGACTACCCCCATCACAACCCTCCACGAATCCAAGACCATGAACGAAACAATCACCCAAATCGACACCCCCAGCCCTCAATCTGACGGCCCCCTGTTCCCCTCAACGCTCATCTCTCCCGAAGTCATCGCCATCCTCCCAGAAAACTACACGATTCGCCCTCTCCGCCGCTCAGACTACGGCCGCGGCTACCTGGACGTATTGCGCGTCTTGACGACTGTTGGCGACATCACCGAGGAAGCCTGGAATAAGCGCTATGACTGGATTACCTCGCGCAATGATGAGTATTACATGCTTGTTGTTTGTGATGGAGCAGACCGTGTTGTTGGTACTGGCTCGTTGATTGTCGAGCGCAAGTTTATTCATGAGCTTGGAATGGTTGGCCATATTGAGGATATTGCCGTCGAAAAGGGCCAGCAGGGCAAAAAGCTCGGGTTGAGGATTATCCAGGCCCTTGATTTCGTTGCTGCCAAGGTTGGTTGCTACAAGGTATGTTCTCTCTCTCTGACTTCTACGCTGGGTGGTGTACTCTGCTAACTGGCTCATAGAGTATTCTCGACTGCTCCGAGGCCAACGAGGGCTTCTACGTCAAGTGTGGGTTCAAGCGTGCTGGCTTGGAAATGGCCCACTACTATTGAGCGGTTGTATAATCTTCAAATGGGCTTGTTAGACCTGGTTGACTGCGGACTTTCATCTGGCGTTTGGGGCATGAGACTCGATAAGCCTGGCTGGGCTTATTGAGCGCGCATTATATATGATAAATTTGCGAGGAATTCATGCATTGGTTGCATGTTTGAGACATGGACTGTACTGAATCTGCAATTCGGCTTGCATTGGCATTTCGACCTATGGCGACTATACGTTCTCGCACCGCTCGCTTTGCTTGATCCTAAGATATATATGGGGGGTTTAGCAAGCGGGCAGACTCCCGAGCGATTGGCACGCTTAGTCTTGATGCTTCTGCTATTGTGAGATCCTGTCCTAGACTGTGACACCGAGTATACTGTACGAAGACTTCTAGAGGATGGGGATGCAGTGAGATCAGACTTGGTCTAGTTATAGATTGCATGAATGTTTTATCACTACTGGTGTTAACATAACCTACTTGTCCGAGTTGATCTCCCATGCACGTAGTGTAACCTCGATCAAGACATAAACTAAAACAAAATAACATTCAAGTACAGCTTAAATGCTGATCTGGACTACATGGCAATCCTGGATCACATCATGACATGACCAGAAAAGCACGAAACGATTCATTGCCGAAGAGACGCAGAGTTCATTTGATACTCGCATGGGGATTCATATTTTTGTTCCTTTGTTCCCATTTTCTGCATTGCATTGTATTGCATAAAACTGTTTCCAGAAACAAGGTATCTCACAGACAGTACTCCAGCTCCGGTGCCCGCAAGTTCCATCATATCGCAACCGTTAGCTCAGCGTTGCTCCATTCCGAACACCTCCATTCCCAACCATTTCTATTGTGAAATTTAGCGGGACTTGGCGGCGACCTTGGGGGCAGAGCCCTTAGCACCCTGCTTGCTCTGGATGCGCTGGGCACCACCCTTGGTGGCAGCAGTCTTGGCCTTCTCAGCCTTCTTGGTGGCGGCGGAAGCGGCCTTCTTCTCCTTGGCGTCCTTGATGGCCTGCTTGCGAGCGGCCTCACGGGCCTCGGGGCGCTGGGAGCGGCGCTCCTTGATCACATCGAGGGAAGCACCAACGATGGCACGCTGGTTCTTGACAACACGGCGGGTACGCTTCTTGGCAACCTCCTATATAGTGTAGATAGGTCAGTAATCTGTCGCATATCCATCATTCTGCTGCAATCATGATTGTGTGGCGGCGTTGTGGTTCCTTCCTCATGCTCCGTTTCATCCCGAGCCGACCGTATTCCAACCACACAATTCACAAATCCAATATTCAAGGGAGGGACGACCGACCTCAGAGATACCCTTGCGGTGCTGGCGACGGAAGAGAACAGTCCATGCGATGCGGCGGGGGTTCTTGCGCTGGAGGAAGAGGGACTCGGACTTTCCGTTCTGGAAACGGAAGATCTTGCTGTCACCACGGATGAACAGCTTACCCTAAAAACAGATCGAACATTAGCCTCTGAGAATTGGAAACCAGGCGAGGAAATTGTGTGCGGCGATTCAATCCAACGGAGAGCGACTGCAGTGTTGATCCAAAACCAAATATCGAAGTCGAATCCGGGTCGTTATTCGGTCGCACACAATTCCTCCACGAAGCGACGGGGTGACAAAAACGCACCTTGCCGGGGTAGATCTTCTGGCCGGAGAAGGAGTCGTCGTAGGTACGCATCTTGACGGATGGAGATGCGCTGACGGGTTTGTCGTTGAGTGGTTGTCGAAAATCGGGGATCGCGATGATGCTTGCTGACCCAATTGTGGTGCGGGCACTCGCTAATGTGCGACACGTGATCTCGGCTGCCCTGGCTTATCGATAAGATCACATGATCCCATCCATGCTTGATATCAACGTTTGGTCGTATAAGTCTGATTTTATGCCTGCTGGATTCTATGGTCTGTCTTTATTTGACTCTGAACATTTTACGGGCTCGCCATGATTTACCAACATGACTGCCTCTTTACCTGTCCTTATACCTACCCATCTACCTAACCATTCTCACTGACTACTGGCTTTCTTAAGAAATGTCCTTTGTTTGAATCTGGACTGCATATACGTACATGCAGTGAAGAAACACTTGCCCTAAGTCTTCATATTCGATCAAAGAAATATGCAGAAAACAAGCTTGATTCTATGCAACGCCTTCTGGACACCCAGATAACTAAGACAAGGGCATGCAAATGGCAGACTGTCACCTGCTCTAAGTAACATGCTTGCTCGCTTCAATAAATGGTCGGCACTGAATGCCTGTTCTCACGAATAGAAATTTCTGTCCTGCACTTCATGGTCACATTACACCTTGTCACGTTTAGGCCATAGCATGAGTCCGAGTCCATTCCCGTGCCGTTTGAATCGCAGCGGGCTCATCGTCCTTCCAACGCTGGGCAACATTGTTGTCAAGGGGATCATCGGGGTTGGGGGCACCAAGCAAGGCTTGGATTGACAAGAGTATCGTGCGGATCTGGAGGGCCGGGGACCAGTTGTCTATCCAAGTCAGAATACAGTGTACAATCCGAGGTCATTTCACTCACTCTTCAAAACATCCAAGCAAATGCGACCCAGACGGTCAATGTTGGGGTGGTAGATTTTGGTCAAGAAGCGAATTTTGGGAGGAGTCATAGGATAGTCGTCGGGCAAGAAGAGCTCGAGGCGGAAGATACCACCTAGGGAAAGCATGTCAGTTTTCAATTGAATTGAAGACAAGTGATTTGCGCGCGCGCCTACCTTCATATGGAGACTGTGTAGGACCGTGAATAGAGACGTCGAAGTAACGCAGGTTATCTTCATGAGGGACAGCATTGATGCCAGGGACGCTGCGGCAAGCCTCAGATGTTAGCACTTGAGCGACCTAGTCACAAATATGGGAGGTCTCACGGCTCGGCCATCAAGCGCTCCGTCTCCTTGATAATTCTCTTGGGCAAAGCCATGGCGATCCGGTCGAGTCCTGTTTAGATCTGATGCTTTTGAAAGACGATGTTCCTGAAGTATTCTAGGAATATGCGCTCTGTTAGTTGTCCAACAGAGTAGCAGATCAAGCACAGACTGAAGACAAGAATATCCAGAAGGGTCAACAAATAAAAGATTCCAGATCGTGGCGACGTAACCGGCCGAGGGGCTGCATTGCGGGGTTTCTTCGCGTTCCGTACAGGTCACGTGTACGCCACAGTACCAGCCACACCTCCACATCTTATCATTCCATGCTTTACCTTGTATCCCACAATACCTTAACTCCTATACAGGAGGTGGTGTTGGAATAACAATGAATCATTTTCCTTTTGATGATCTTCTGTGTTGTGTCCAGTGATATCACAATTCCTGCGTTGGCACCCAAAGCGACCAGCTTGAGCCCAACGGGCATCTCAGTTCAAGATGTCGAGCTCAATGGGACCGAAGCCCCTCACGTCGGCGTTTGAAAGCCCGACATTCGATGAGGACAGCTCGTTCCATGTAGAGCAGCCTGTGGGGGCAATGTCAATATCCCCTTGTGGCCGAGACGTGGTGCTAGCATCTAAGGAGGGTCTACATGTCATTGATCTGGATTCACCCTATTCTCCACCACGACATCTCCCTCACCACACACCATGGGAGGTGGCTGATGTCCAATGGTCGCCATTTGCAGCACGCGACCAATGGGTCGTCAGTACGTCCAATCAGAAGGCATTGGTCTGGAACTTGGCAATGAAGACGTGGCAGAACTCGATTGAGATTGTACTGCACGCCCACTCTCGCGCCATCACCGATATCAACTTCTCGGCTTTTCATCCGGATCTGCTCGCAACCTGCTCTGTAGACAGCTTTGTGCACTGCTGGGATTTGCGCAGCCCGGCGCGTCCCGCTATCTCTTTCTCTGATTGGTTTACTGGTGCAACCCAGGTCAAATGGAACCGGCAGGACCCTCATGTTATTGCAAGTTCACATGACCGGTTTCTTCGGATCTGGGATGACCGCATGGGCGCGTACCCAATCAAATCGATTGAGGCTCATAATACAAAGATTTACGGAGTCGATTGGAATCGTGTCCGACGTGGCGCGCTGGTGACTTGTTCTCTGGATAGGACTATCAAGTTCTGGGATTACACTTCCGAATCAGATGTTCCAGAGAAGCAGATTCATACTCCATTCCCGGTATGGCGCGCACGGAATACGCCATTTGGATGGGGTGTTCTTGCAATGCCGCAGAGAGGCAATAATGATCTACATCTATATAGTCGGCGAGCCGAAGATGGTTCGAGCAAAGAGGCTGACCTACCCCTAGCGCATAGCTTCCCTGGGCACAAGGGGCAAGTCAAGGAATTCCTCTGGAGACCGCGTGGAGGGGTGGCCGATGGTATCGACCACCGTGACTTCCAACTTGTGACATGGGGAACAGACAGGGAACTTCGCTTACACAGAGTTGACCCTGAAATCCTACAGCGCGTGGGCTACGAAAAGGGCAAGTCCTTTATTTCAACTCGAACAGTCACACGCCTCGGTGCTGTATATCGCAGTTTCCGTGATGTGAATTCAGACTTGGACTTCGAAGATCTTGACACAGCTTCCTCAATTGGGGCCCAGAATCAAAATCAATCGACAGGTTCTGGAATGAATGCTATATCAGTTCCCCACTCCCGTGGTTGGATCAAAGGAGGTCATGTTGACCGAGTTGGCATGCTACCCAGATCAAATCTAAGAGCTGATACCAATCCAATTGCTTGGATGCGTGGTGTGAAGATCTCAGGCTGGGATATTGAGACATTGGGAGACGAAATCAGCCACGTGGGTGAAAAGTTCACCAAAGTGGCATTCGACTCTGTCGATGTCCGACAACGAAAGATTACAATTTCGCTCAATGGGCCTTGGGGCACTGACGGTGCCTCTTTGTTCTTGAAGGTGGATATCAAGTTTCCAAACAGCTACCCCAAATCTGCTATTCCGACATTTGCATTCCAAAAGACGGCCACTGTTACCGACGAATGGGCTGCAAAGATGACTGCTGAATTGCGAACAATCGCTGAAACCTACATGTCCCGAAGTAGGGGGTGCCTGGAAGGTGCAGTGCGCTATCTTCTGGGAGAAAGCAGCCTAGAAGAAAGCATTGCTTTGATTCTCGGTGAAACAGGTGACAACATCAAATCACCTGTTAACGGTGAATTAGAAGGCGAATCTAGCGACGAGGATGAAGTCGGCATGACCCAAAGCCAAGAGCTGGGTATGAGCTCAGAGCTTCTACGCCCCGTTAATGCCAATGTCATGGTGCCTGTAGCCAAAGCCTGCGGTGCGATATGGGCAAATGACGGCCGCCTTGTGTGCTTCTTCCCACCGAAGAAGGACAAATCGTCGGAGCTATTCGAGACCATGGGGTTCAAAGAAATGAGCAGATGGTCTCGAGGGGATAAGGTATTTGAAGGCTTTGGTCGTCTACAAACCAACTCACCCGGCCCACGCGGCGGAATGGGCACCATCACCAGCACAGAAGACGGTGCATCATCTGACTCGGAGGATTCATACTCTGAGACATCCAGCTCTTCAGGCTCATCCGATATGCTTTCGGGATTGCCAACACGTTTTCCAGCACCCCAGACATGGCGCAGCGCTGGCAGCTATGGAGCGCACCGGCCACGATCAACAGATAACTCGCAGCGATCAACTGGTGGTGGCGCGGTAGTCAAATCGGAAGGGCCTCAAAATATCATATCAATTCACAATTTGAGTGATTTGTTACCAGTCAAGCGAGAACTGGCTAGCCAATATAGCATATGCGGTAAAGGGCCAGACGTGTGTGCCCACAACGCGGCTGTCGCCCTTGACGCTGGATGCTATGAGTTGGCTCAGATCTGGGGGTTGATCAAGTTGATTCTGCATGTTAGAAAGAACCCTGGCTCCTTGCCTGAGTCGGGACTACTGCAACGGCGTATTCAAAGGAAAGGAAGCGGACTTGGTGGTATCGGAAAAGATGGTCTCTACAGAGATTTGACTGGAAGTATCATTCGCTGGGGAGATCACCCCCTTGGCAGTCACTGGCTTGTCCCTGCTCTCTTCGAGCACTTTGAGCGCATTGGAGATGTACAGATGGTAGCGATGCTATCCTGTGTTCTACATGAAGCAAATCAAGAGGACGGCTTAGAAAAGCAAAAAAAGATGCCTGGACAACAGGCTTTCTCATTGGATTTCTCAGTCGCACCGGTCGTTCAATCAAAGCTTCCAGCTGTGACACCTGCTTCTTCTGTCCCGAAAGATATCCAAGCCATGCCTGTGTCTCAAACATCAGCACGGTCTTCTAGCGAAATATGGCGGCTTGAATCAACACCACCACATTCAACGGGCACGACGCCCCCATTTATGTCTCGCCCTCGCGGTATTGCGCCTGACCGAAAATCCTTGAGTCAGAATATGTCAATCGCTGCGTCACCCGATCAGCAATCCCAGCCAAGGAGCGGATCTGGATTTGGATCGGTATTGGCATCGTCATTATCTCGCTCATTCACATTTGGACCATCGTCCGCATCCCCACCGACAAGTAGATTGGACAAGAAAAAGCCAACCCCACAGGAAAGTCCGAGTGTGGCGACAACAGGACAAGTGGTAAGTATCCATGCAGTCAGTTCCATTCTCAAAATATCCCATTCTAACAATTGTATATAGTCGGAGGCCCAATCAGACGTTGAGAGTGACGAAGCACCCAAACAAAAACCTCCAGCAAGGTTCAAAGTCACGATGAAGAACCAAAGGGCTTTCGAAAGCGACGGATCAACACAAGACTCACTCCTCGACGAATCCAAAGAACCACTCTATCGCGCATACCGTGCCGCATATGCCGACCTACTTTCAATCTGGGACCTCCCAGTCCAACAAAGCGAAGTCATGAAAATCGGAACTGTGACCGATCGAGTAGACGACATGAACGCCAGTCACTACTGGAACAGCACCACTGAAACCGAACCCTCCATGAAAGACCCACCCGGTCCAATTACCCAGAACCTTGATTTCCAGCGCCATTGCACTAGCTGTGGCCATGCGCTGCAAATTTCCATCTTTAATAAACACCCTATGGCCCCTGATACCCCGTCCAAACGTCACCAGCGCAAATCATCTGCTCGGCGATGCTCCAATTGCCAACCCCGTCAGCCGCTTCCTACGAAATTACCCTGTGTTATTTGTCGGGAGGTGGTCGACGGCATGCTAATACCCTGTCTGGGCTGCGGCCATGTCAGCTGCTTCGACTGTCACCAGGACTGGTTCCTCCGGCCAGGCGATAAGTTTGACGGCTCACTCGACCAAGACCTTAACTCCCTCCCGTCTTGCCCGACCGGTTGTGGCTGCCAATGCTCCGAGCATATGGTCGTTAATGTTCCCATGCCGTCGTGGGAAACACCATCACCCTCACCATCTCCAAACCCAAACCTTCACCTTCAACCGGGGCATAATGCATCAACGTCTGTCTCACCTAGTCGAACAGCTCACCAGAAACATTCTCGTCGGAGACAATCCGAGCCTGCTGTTGCTGTTGACCCTCCTAGGAGAGACCAGCTCAAGTCTCGCACTGGAACTGACCAGCTTCCAGATGAATTGGACATGTGGCAGGAAACTTCACCTTTTGCTTCGTTGGCGAGGGGTCTGGGTGGTGGATTGAGTCGCGGGTTGCGGACCAAGGAGGAGCGCAAGAAGAACAAGTCTGTTGCCATGGCTCCGAATGTGAAGCGTTCTTAATTGGATTGGATGAGGTTGGCGTTTTATACCTACTGTATACCTATAGCTATTTCCTGTTTTTGTGTTTGCTTTGTTTTTGTTATTTTGATACCACTACTGTATGTATGGGCGATGGCGCAAAGTCGGTGTAGAGAATCGATTGGTCTCGGCCGTTGATCTACGCATCCCCGGACGAGCACTGGCCTCCTACACCACAATTATAGTGTCCAATCATAGAGGGCCAAGCTAGGTTGTACTTCAGCACCACGACATTGCATATACTCTTCTGTCATACCAAGGGAAGATGATGAAAATGAACTCGTAGCTTCATTAATGGTATTTCACTCTATGCTATAGCCAGCAAGTAACAGGGCGATCTAATCTAAAGCGCTGAAAAAAGCAGGGAACACATATGCTGTAATCCCATCGACCCATGTTCAGCATGCAGCTATTATCTTCCAGTCAAGACTGGAGAAATTTACAGCTGCTTGAGGATAGCATCGGCGCTGGAGAGCTCAAGGGTGTTCTTGGCGGACTCCTTGGCGGCGTAGGTGACCTTGCCGTGGTCGATGATGATCACGTAGCGGTAGGTGCGGCCCTCCTCGTCGGCCCAGCCGATGGACTTGGAGAACTTGGCCTCGGGGTCGGAGAGGAACAGCTAGATGGTGTTAGTCAAATCATTCAATTGCATGCGGCGGGGATAGGGGTGGAATGTACAATGTCATCACCGGTAACACCGTTGGCCTTGCCCCAGGCGCTCATGACGTAGGCATCGTTGTAGGCGAGGACGGCAACCTGGTCGACACCCTTCTCGCGGAGCTGGGGGAGCTTCTGGATGTACTCGGGGACGTGGTTGGCGGAGCAGACGGGAGTGAAGGCACCTTGAGTGGCGGTCAGTATTGAGAACCTTGCAGACGTGCAGACGTGCAGTTGGGGTGCAGATGGAGTGCAGATGAGGGAAAAATTCCAAAGAGCGGTCACGTACCGGGCAGAGCGAAGAGGATAACCTTCTTGTCGGCAAACTCCTTGGAGGCGTTGTAGTTGATGGGGATACCGCAAGAAGTGATCTCGCCGGCCTCCTCGGACCAGGGGATGTAGCTGTTATTTTGGGTTAGTGAGAGAATTGGAAGGCATTGGAATTGAGACAAGACTCACGAGAACTTGACGTCCTCGGGGAAAGCGTCACCAGCGTTGAAACCCTTGGTCATATTGGCGGTTGGAAAGTAAGAAATTAAGAGGGGAAAGATGAAGATTGAAGATTGAAGATAGATAAAGAAGTTAAGTGGGAGGCGAAGCCGTATTTAAGAGTACACCGCTTACACATATCGGCCCATCGGGATTGAGTGGGACAGGAACAGTCTGGTATTGGTCCATAAGGTGATCCGAAGTAGAAAGATACCGAACCGTGTGGATTAGCAAGAAAGACCGTCGAGAACCGTTACGGTTATCGGGTCCAGGGCCTTGGGCTTAATAAGATGAAATCATATCATAGGCTTACAGTATACTGGTACTGTCAGGGTATCGGGAATGGGCTTCCAGCCCTGACTGGTTTAAGTGGAGATTCAGGGACGAATCAGAGGAGCCATTGGGGAAGATTTGAGAAGATTTGGGAAGATTTCAGGGAGAATGAGGAACGAGGGGCAAAGATGATGTTATTGTGGGCCTGGGATATCAGGCACCAAGTGGGATGGTCATGTGCTTGAGGCCTTGTGAACAAGGCCACTATTTGGCTAGTTTGTCTGAGTTGTCTGGTTTGTCTCGTTGCTCTCTATCAGACAAAGTTCCCACTCCCAGTACACCGAGACAATGGAAACTCCTTCTTGCTACACATTGTGATGGCTCCGGATACCCACTTGACCCCAGAGTAAGATCCATCCTCGTAGGAATCAGCAGAAAAGGTTCCCGTCTGAGTCTGCGACCCAAGACAACCCTTCAACACCCGTCCAGACTTGCGTGTCTTGATGGGTTTGGTAATCATCACACCGGAATAGCCATTGGCAACAGTCCCCTTGACGGTAATCACAGTCTGTGTACTCCATGTACGAGTGTAGTCAATCCCAGCCGAGCCGCCCAGCTTTTCTTTGATCAAATTCAAGTCTAGTCCGACGCTCACGCTGATACTATTGCCCACGGTGTATCCCGAACTCACGGAGACGTCCATGCCATTCCCGGTACCAATTACAACGGGCGACATTTGGACGTCCCAGTCAACGAATGTTTGGGTTCGATCCGTGATCACTGCTGTGATCAAGTCACAGGAGTCTCGGGTGTGAAGCTTGGAGGTGCTGTGGGCAGACGTGGTTTCCACGGCGTCGGTGAAGTCGCCGGGGTGCTCAGAGAGCGCCTGCGAGGCTATAAGCTCGTTGTAGACGCTTTCATGAACAACCTCCACTAATTTCCGACTCACGTTAGCTGTCGTTGATACTTGCCATCCGGTGTTGAGGTTGGATACTTACTTCGGCCCTCTCCGTACAAGATGATCTCCCCTGGCTGGAGAATATGCTCCGGAGTCCAGTTGGTGCTGTTGATACTGCGTTCAACAAATGGCGCTGCACTGACAGCTGTGGCCAACACGACCATAGCATTGACGAGGAGCATTGTGAACAGAATAAAAGATGTTTGCACGAAGCGATGAAAGCAGGGAATACACCGTTTTTCTAAGGAGATATCCTGCTTATAAGCAATTGACTCAATCACTTATCAGGACCCCTTTTCCAAGAGAGCTCACGAGTATCGCCTTCTGTGAAGTCCTATAGTCCCATTATGGGTCTTGCCCATTGGGACCGACTGCCATATACGGACAGGATGCGCATGTCTCTAATCCTTCCGCTCGGGAAACCCAAAATGTGAAGAAATACCTCATCATCATATGGTCTTTCAATGCTCGAAACAGAGCCCTTACCTAAAGAAGGAATGAACCATGATATCTGCTCAGAAGATCATCTCCAGCAACCTGGTCTCACATCAGCCAAGGGTCCTCCATGGCATGCTTCAACCCTCGCTCTTCCGGCCCTGTCAAATCAACACGTTGCTCACGATGATCCCTCTCTTGGCAAAAGTCTGATAGATATCCTTCTCCATAACGCGGAGAGAAACCATGCATCGCCGCCGATCTCATACCTCATTCAGGTCACTTTCTTTGGCGGAAATGACACTGTCACAATGTCTCATTTTTGGCCCCCATGCGATATATTGTCCTGCTCAGGCTCCCTTTGATTAGCCGGAGTTTCACCAAATCGTTGGTGCTGCAGCTGGGCGCCGATTCCCCGAGATTTCCCCTGATCTACCGTTCGTGATGCAGATCAGGCAACGGTTGGCTTTGAAGTTTATTTTTGAGACATTTCAATCTGAAACAGCTTTCTATGCATCCAAGTCAGTGCCAGTAGATAAGCAGTAGTTTGATTGTTGACTTGATATGCGATGGATGCTATTGTAGTCGGTGTCTTGGATCAGCTGTGCTATCGAGATCAGGCCTAGCTAGTTGAACAGGAGCGACGTTTAAAGAACCACAGAATCCCACTGAGTCTTTGCCATCAATCTTCCATTTCATCGATTAGTCCTTTCATCAACAACTCGTCAACACTTGAACATGCGGGCCACTGCAATTCCTCTCATATTCCTCCTTGGAGGGTATGTACCCTTCCAATCTCCAACAACACCATGGTCGGCAATAAATAACCAAAAGTCTATAGAGCCGTCGCAAAGCTGCACAATGTCGCCGTCTGCGTCAGTAACAGAAAATATTCCGAAGTAGGCGGTTCCGCCTTTAGCCCCAGCTTCACATATTCCAAGGACTATGAGATCCTGCCAGCTGAGACCAAATGTGCCTGCGACTTTTACAGGCAGCGCAACACTGGGGATAAGCAATGGGATCAGTGTCCTGATTGTACCTTTGTATGCACTTTTGTTCAGTTGAACTTGTCAAGTACAAGGGCTAATACTTTTCTTCTAGGATGGTAACTACTGTAACTCTGCTGGGTGGCATATCGGTGGCGACGAGGTAAGTCGATTCTGTTTGAAGTGATGAAGTAGTGCTAACTTTTGTTCACAGATGGATTATTACTGCGAGAAGCTGTGTCATGCCCAGGGTTCCGAGGCAAACTGAATGGCCTAGAAGGCTAAGTATGGTATTTCTGGGTGCCAGTCGATTCCGAGAAATAATATCCTGTAACTATTGTTTCACTATAATCTATCAAATAAAATCCTGATCCCGAGATTGTCTCTGTAAATGATCATCGAGTAGTCTGATCACTCTCGTGCCCTATATCTCGCATGCATTATCACATTTCACTCCAAGTAATTCAATGTCTGGTATCATTCACATGGTCCGTCGTCTCCATCAATCTTGCCAAAGTAACAGCCTCCCTGAGTGCCCGCCCGACATGCCCACGCACCCCAGCCTCCTCCATGACCATCAACCCGCCAATGGTACACCCCTCCGGCGATGTTCCCTGATCCTTCAGTAAGGCAGGGTGTATCCCACTCTGGAGCATACTAGCCGTCCCTTGCATGGATTGAAAGATCATCGTGTGTGCCAGGTCGCGTGGAACGCCGACCGCAACCGCTGCGTCGATCATCGCATCGACTATTACGGCAAAGAAAGCTGGCGTCGAGCCTCCAACAGCTGTGGTTGCATTCATTAATTTCGGGTCAATGTGGACTGCCTTGCCGATCTGTTCGAAGATCGATGTTGTGATCTGCAGATATCGTTCTGGCAAGGCGGGCTCGGAGATCTCGATTGCCGTGAGGGATTGTGAGACCTGTGCGGCGATGTTGGGCAGGGTTCGCACAACCCATGTGCACCCAGATGTGTTTTCAGCTGTTGTGGCAGACCCGTAGATTGTGCTTTCGAGTTTCTGGCGGGTCCAGCCTGCTGCGATGCTGATGAGGAGTTTGTCGGCTAAGGCTTCCCGGAGACCGGGCTGGGTAAGGACAGTCTCGATGTCTGCTGGGTCTGCGCCGAGAATGATGACATTGGCATTTTGGACGGCTTTTACATTGTCCCCACGAGAGATGCGTAATTTGCTCATGGACTGGGCAAATCGCTCGGTGAGTCGTTTCTCCGAGATCTCACTGCGCACGCAGGCGATGTATTGTGTGAAGGGGAGCTCGCTGGATTTCTCTGTGGGCGCATTGATCAGACCGTTCAAAATTGCGATGCCCAGGTTTCCTGTGTTTCTTCGTGAGTGGCTGTTCGCTCTGTGGAGAGTTGCGCACTTACCACATCCCAGGATACAAAGAGTTCCATTTTGAAGGTTGGACATCTTATCACACAGCAAGATGAATGTCAATGTATTGTATAGCTCGAAGATTGAGGAAGGGAGGTGGCAGAAGAGGAACCGATCTGTTTTGAAGCACACCGGGAGTGCTTCCGGCGGAGACTCGGTTCGTGCGCCGGCCAGATGGCGATAATATTCAACATCCACATTCCATAGGAGTGTGGGAATGAGGAAGATATCCTGTCTCTGCTCCCATCAAGTCTCATCGCTGGACTCTGCAATGTTGCCTGACCACTGAGGGTTTGTTGATTGGATAGATTTGGACATGTGTATAGATCTGGATGCGGGGATATCTCGCTCAACACTAACTGATATGCTGACATGATTCACATGAGTGATAACTTATAACCAACATAACTGAAACTACTATAACTACTACAACTACTACAACTACTACAACTCATATAACTCATTGACTCAAATAGTCAAAAAGTCCACAGAATTGGAGAAAAGCACATGATCGGGTGGTCAGCCGGGGACCCAACCCATTTCCCCTCACGTCTCCTCATCTTATCATCTCTGAAGCTGTTCATGAACCGACTCGAAGTCGGGACTCCAACTCCGCAAGACAAAATGCCTGGGCCTATATGAGTTCTCTCTTCCACCCATCCGCCTCTCATTCTCTTTCTTTCCCTTCCTTTTGCGACCATGGGCCTCTCAACATCGGATCCGATTGTCATCATCGGAGCTGGGTCCTTTGGTCTTTCTGCGGCGCTGCATCTCACCCAAAGAGGCTACACCGACGTGACAGTATTCGGGAAAGATGATTCCGCCCCTTCGGGAGACCTGGCAATTGTAGTGTGCCCTTAACCATGAGTGTTCGGCCATAGAAGTTAGTTGCTAATGACCATATTCTGGATCCAGGTCTATCGCACCGCTCAAGAGGCAGGCGTGCGATTCCTGTTGGGGCAACAGGTCGACGAGATTGTATACGTGAGCACATTGACTGGGAGGAAGAACGCGGGGATTCGCACCAAGGATGGCCAATTCTATAGCTCGGTGTTGGTGATCATTGAAGCTGAAGGAGATAGCTACCCAATGTCTCAGAGGGACTCCATGCCGGACTCCTTGGCTACGCCTCTGTCATGGTACACCAATCTTTCGCATTCCCTCGTCGACTATGTACCCCAAGACTCGTCCGTCATCTTGCTTTCCGGGAGCTCAGAATGTTCGGGCCAGCGTTCTAATCTATTTTCTTTGGTGGGTTCGTTGGTCTTGGATCTGTTAGGAGCAACCAGTGATCAGCCAATCGCTGTCAAGTCCAAAGAACTGTCGGACATATTACCGCAAAAGCTGGCGAGGCTGTGAGGCTGAACAGCTCCCCATGAGATATGAGGAACTCGGTACGGTGTACTGAGAGACTGGGTTTCAGTTTCAAAAGGAGATGATATTCTAACAATGAATACTCCATTCAATTGGCTTCCTCTCTACCGTAAACAACCTCTGGCATTTGAGGGAGGCGCATTAGGCTTCATCAACAAGGATGAAATCAAATCATGCATGATCAGACCATGTGTTTCGAGTCGCGGCACATCAGGTCTAACCTCGTCTAGCAAGATTCAACGTCCACGCTCCTCCTCATCCTTTTTGGCTAGTCTCTCTGCTCGCAATCGCTCTGTCTCTGCTTCCATTTGTCGGATCCTCCGCGATCGGTCGGTTGCCTCCAATTCCGTGCGTCGTTTGACGAGCGCCGCCTCTCGCATTTGCAGCATCGCATATTCAGCATTCTGTTCCTGATATCTCCGGTGTGCTTCCCTTCGCTGCTGTAGTCTTTCTTCCTCGTAGCGAGCGATGTTTTGTTGATGAATCGCCTGCCCTTCCGGGCTATGAGGGTCATACTGAGGCAGCTCCTCTACCTCTTCCTGTGTTTGCTGCTCTTGCTCCAGTCTCCGCTGGTCTTCAGCTGCCCTGCGTTGCTCTTCTTTGTTCTGATATGCGGGATCGTCGACTTGCTCTGGATTCTCGAACGGAGGAGCATAAGGAACAAAAGGGCGTAGACCCATGCATTCGCGACAGTTGCCCATTGTGTAGGAGTCTTCGAGTCGAAGGATTGGTTGTGGTCTCTCGCAGAACTCGCCCCGGCAGCGAGCTCGGGCTTCTTCGCAGCGTTCAATTCTCCATCCTTCTGTGTGTCCACAGCCCGGGATGGACTCGTTGACGGGGGAGGGTATAGACCCGCGATACCACTTGTAGCGTAGCATGCACATCTTGATGAAGATATCCGAGAGCTTAGGCACGTTGAAGATTGAATGTGAGAGTCAGGGGGATACAGAGCTCTTTTGACGAGGATGCAGACAGAGGGGTGAGCTTTGTTGATAGACAGAGGTCACAGCTGGGACTTGAGAAAGGCTGGAGAGAGGATTGACCTTTGCATTTATCTGTTGTAAACCAAGCATAAAGCCATTGAAGTTGGACACTGGAAAAGAATGTCTTTGTGGGAATCAAAGAGGGCTGAAACACTCCGGTCGTTCTTTCTTCATGACATTTGGTCAACGCAGCCAGAGCAGGAAGTGATGTTCTCAGATGATTAGGAAAAGAAATTTGTATGAGACTCTAGTCACTTCTGCTGCTAGTTCTTTCAATGCATCTGATGGTGTATTTGGAAGTTCTCCTCGTTCGCATTATATCTTAGGCACTACTTGATTGAGTGTTGTCAATACCTAAATCACTATACGTACTATGCTTTGTTAACAAGACAAGAGGTAGACTCTATCAATCAAAGCTCAATGAACCTATTGCGGCCTAAATAGTAGAGCTCTTCACCTCCGTAGCCACTAGCGAGACAAATCAGGCTATCCTTCAAGAATGACGTGCCAAGTCCGAAGAACATCGTAACGGTCTGAGCCTCGAATAACAATGGACTGCGATCATTTGACAATTTAAATCGACAAATCGTGGAGATGTCCACAATTGGGCGGAAGCAATGATCGGCAGTCGGGGCTCCGGAGGATCGGAACGCAAAGAACTGTGGCACTTTGATGCCAATGAATTTTGGGACAGGGCAATCTGACGAACGAGATATTCCCATGGATGGGGCTAGCGTATTGCGTTGTATTGAGGTGCCTTATGATCGGATTGTGCCCAGTAAGAAAAGCGGCAAGGGGCTCAGCACTGAAATGGAAGGCGAAAGCCAAGGCGTGGTGGAGGAAATCCGATACTTGGGTACAAAGTATCTTGGGGCCTTTCCAAGCTTAAAGCATCCCAGTCAAATATTTTGGTAAATACCCTTCGGTCCATATGTTGAAGTAATGTGCTGCAAGTGAGTCGCGTTGGCATTTCCATAGGGATCACATCCTGGAACCGGTTGGCATAATTCATATAGTTGAGCTGTTGCGGCTTCTCCTATCGTGTGATTTCTCTCGCACTGTTTCCTAGTCACGGTTGATGAATTGAACGTGATCTCATTCATATCTTGTAATGAAATACTAACACCTCCGGGTACATCCAAAGCACCCTCAAAAGCTGTATGACCCCCTAATTCTGGTCGCAGATTGTCAATTGTTCAGACAAGCCAGCAGCACATTGATGCTGACATCCTTGCTTGATCATGGTTGCGCCACTCCAATTGTAGAGCGGCTGTGCCTTGTTGAGCCGAACAAAGTAAAGCAGTACAGTGGTACAGCCCTGGAGGTTTTATTTGGTACAATGACATGAATCAGACTTCCACGCTGGGCAACCATCAAAGTAAGCTGGCTTAAATGCACGCTGATCCGTTTTCTGAGATCGGCTTGGACGCGACACTTGTAGCTATCAAATCCAGTCACTAGAGCCGGTAGCTCGCATTTCAGGCGGTATTTAGCTTGGAACTCTAGTTGGTGAAGGACATCAGAGGTTCTATTTCCAGGGCTGCATTAAGTAACCTGAGCTGCTGATGTCCGACGCGTTGATGATCAGAAGTAGCGCGCAACGTGAGGGGTTTGATGAAGTTTTCAGTAGTTGATAGAGCATGAAGTGCATTGAATCTTTGTCCGGGGTGAGTTCGTCTTGTGAATCAAAAGGAAGTGAAAGGAAGTGAAGGAAGTGAACAGTGATTGTTGACTGTTGAAAGTGGAACGTGACCCGGTCTTGGCGCTCTGAACCACTTGATGAAGTAGACGCGATCAATCCAGCAATATACTGGCTTTGATCTTCTTGGTGGGTTTTTGTCTTTGGCTTATTGACAGGCAATTTGAGACACTAATTAGACATGTTGAGGAGGGTTGTTCGTTTTGAGCCGAAAGCGAGAAATGACGGGCTTAGATATATATACCTACCACTACAAGACCAGATGTATCAACACCGAGAAAGAGAACGAGATCTGTAGAAAATAGAACAATTAGGCTTCAATGGCAAGAAATATCATGTATCCACTACAAAGTTCGACTTTATTTTATACTGGTGACGCTGTTTGTAACAGCATCCTCCACTTTCACTAAAAATCCTAGCCGTGAAGTCAACCGTAAAAGACCGGTGGTTTTGACCTCATAATAATCAAGAGAGGAATGATTAGAGTAAAGCTATTGCTATTATTCTGTATTAAGTTATGAAATTCTCTGTAGTCATCTAGCTTTTTTTGGCTAATATCCTGCGCGGACTTCTATTGTTGAATATAGAACCCAGACCTCACCATGACCCAACCAACAACAGTAAATTACAGTAGCATGTGGACTGCCCTAGCCGCTTGAGTCTCTCATCCCTTCGGTCTCTGGGGGCAAAGATATCAAACTATCCCTCCCCCACTGGCGATGACACTAGATATCCGGCCGCGGTTTACCGAGAGGTTCGGTCAAAGCAATGTAGCAGATAGGAAATCCCTAGTCACGAGTCCATTCTGCTTTGAAATTGATCAGGCCATGTGGTAGTAAGAAGGGTTTCGGAGGTCTCACCCCTTGCGTTCTTATAACCCTGTATTGTCTGTGCGCCAACCTGGGCACTTAGCATGCCTCGCCCAGGGAGATTTGAATCTCTCCTGGAATATCGAAGAAATCTGCCAATCTTTATCCTGAAGTGGTAGAAGAAAATGACGTAGGGATTTATTAGAGCGAACTCTCTGATCGTGTTTTGTGCAGGGGTGGATAATTTATACATTCAAAAGATCGGCTATGGTGGACCGAATCACAGGACCTTTGATTGGAAATAAAACTGATGCTCAATCATATAACAAGAGCCATGTGTTTGGAATATTAGGACAAAAGAATGGCGAGGGGTGAAGGTGAGGGTGAAGGTGTTGAGATGAACAATACTTCCCTAGACGAGCAGCATAGGTGAGAATGGTGCCTAAAGCTCAATGTCTCTTCTCAGTCTCTAAATATAGAGAAATTTTCGCGAATATACCAATTGAGACCTAGGTTATCGGTCTTTCACTTAAAATTCCGAGGTAGAATGCAGGTTCAATGGCTGTCTTCTCCTGGTCCTATAAAGCCTCCTATATGGACCCCGAAGTTGACAGTTCTCAGGAAAAACCAGATCTTAGGACGGAGGATCCTCAGGGGGATGGAATGTGAGCAAAGATTGCCCCCCTTTCGTGGATAAACAGCTATAAGGCGATAGATGATCTACTCCTGTCCCTCCCCCTTCATTTGAGCTTCATTTTAGAATGGAATGTATACGCACATCCCTCAGCTTCAATCGCCATTGGAAACAAACGACCTTGCACTTCAGCAGTTGGAAGACATGTGTAGCTTCTAGTGTAGAGACCCATGGAGTATCGAACTTCTTGTGCTTTTTGGGAAAGGTTGTAGCTACCTGAATACAGGAAGGCAAGGCTGTATAGTTGAATCCGAGAGCGACACAAACACAAAACGGTGACGATACTCCAAGACTAAAATAGTAATATTATGGCAAAAGAGACATACTGAGCCAAAACAAACCAAGTAAACAAGTGCGAGAAAGAGAGCAGAGGCAGTTGGAGTTGACATTCCATAGCCAGCGAAGGAATCCTCATTCCACAACCACAACATCCGGCATGCCAAACCGTCTTCTCTCTGACAGCCTTCCCTTCTTCTGCTTCTTCTCTTGGGGCTGTCTGGGATATCGTGTCTTCGTCTTTCTTCTTTCGTCCGCCGTTTCGCTTGTTGTTGCCAGTTGGAGATGTGTTGATCAGTCACTAGTCACTCTTTCACTTCCAGAGACTGTTCGGCCCTCTTCGTCTCACCAAAGGTCCTTTTCTCGACATTGCGGAGGTGAATGCTTCCACGGTCGTCTCATACGAGACCTCTTCAGCACTGTTATTGTCATCCCCACTGACCAGACGTGATCTAGACAACTAATCCCCATACACCTGTTTACCAGTCGCCAATATGTCCTACCATATGGATCAGATAATGCTGGATGTGAACGACCCTCACAGGAGGCGTCAACCCCTGACAGATGCGTCCAGCCGCATGAATCACTCCAAATCACCCAGATCGGAGACGCCATGCGTCACAATAGAAGAAACAGAACAGCTGAAGACCCCTGACAGAATGTCGTTTCGGATGACATCTACACCGCAGATCAACAAGGAAAACGACCGGTTGTCTGTAGCGACTGATATCCAGCCAGTTTCGGCTAGAAGCTCAGTGATGTCTGCGGCATCACTCTTGTCCAACAGGGGAAAAAGGAAGACACATGTCGGTCCATGGCATCTTGGAAAAGACCTGGGAAAGGGTGCCACTGGGCGTGTCAGATTCGCCAAACACGCTGTCACTGGGAATACCGCTGCCATCAAAATTGTCTCGAAGAAGTCAGCCGCGATGGTTCAGAGTGAAAGTATTGCAGCAATGGATCGCAATGCAAGTCGGTTTATCGGAAATTCCACCACACGACCGATGCCTTGTGGTATTGAACGAGAGGTAGTCATCATGAAGCTGATTGAACACCCGAACGTGATCAGCCTATACGATGTTTGGGAGAACAGAGGAGAACTGTGAGTAACCATCACATTTTCCGTAACCAACTAGCTAATCTGTGCCAGATACCTCGTACTTGAGTACGTTGAGGGAGGTGAACTGTTCGATTACGTCTTGAAAAACGGACCTCTTCCGGAAGAAGAAGCTGTTCGTCTCTTCCGCCAGATCATAGCAGCCCTGGGGTACTGTCACCGATTCAACATCTGCCACCGTGATCTGAAACCAGAAAATATCCTCCTGGATGGGAATCACAATGTCAAGCTTGCTGACTTTGGAATGGCTGCTCTTCAGCCTGCCGGTCATTTGCTGAACACCTCGTGTGGCAGTCCTCACTACGCGGCGCCGGAGATTATCTACGGACGAAAGTATCGTGGTGACAGGGCTGACATGTGGAGCTGCGGTATTATTCTTTATGCCCTGTTGACTGGTTACCTGCCCTTCGATGGTGGTGACCTTGGAAGCACCTTACGCCTGGTGAAGAAAGGAGACTATATGATTCCTCCGGAGTTGAGTGATGAGGCTGCCGATCTGATCCAACGAATCTTGCAAAAGCGACCCGAGGATCGCATCTCTATGCAGAATATCTGGCTACATCCCCTATTGACAAAGTATGAAAAGCTGCACAATGCCATGGTCGACCACTATGTTGGCCCTCCGCCCCCTTTGTCCGTCAAGGACTGTGGACCAACGTTGTCTTCCCAGCAAGACATTGACCTCGACATCCTGCGAAACCTTCAGACTCTGTGGCATGACGTGAAGGTCGAGGATCTTGTTCAGCGGGTGCTGTGCATCGAGTAAGTTCATGATTCCTGTTATGAAAATAGCCCCCAGCTAACCACAACGAAGGCCTACTCACGAGAGAATGTTCTATAATGCGTTGGTGAAGTTCAGAGATGAACAGCTGGAGAACTACCAAGGACAACCGCTCGAGTACTCAGCTAGTGACTACCATCACATCGCTCGTCCTGGGGGCAGAGCCCGCCGAGGACGAAGCCAGTCTGGTCATGGAACTTCAAAGCGCCGTGCGCAACACACACCGGTGAAAGAGTTCCCTCGACGGATGAGCTCTTTCAAAGAGCCCATGTCTTCTGGGACGACTGAGAGCTATGATCCATACAGATCACCGAAGCATAGTACTGTACCAGAGCCTCAATATGCTCAAATCACTGTTCACCAACCATTTAACGAAGCGGAATCTTCCCCGATAGTGAAGGCCCCTCCCTCCATTGCGGAGGTTGAGGAAGATGAGTCGGAGGATGTCAATTTCACAGATGGGTCACCATTTACGATTCTCCAGAAGCGAAAGCACAAGCCCAGCTCCATGAAATCATTCCACTCTTCTCGAGTACCACTTTCAAGCTCTCGCGTGCGTGGATTGACAAGCCACTCCGCCAGCTACCGCCGGAATGTCTCATTCCATCATGCTCGGAACCGCTCAAATGGCTCAACAACTGCAAAGCCCAAGCGTCGAAAGACAGCAGCGCCTAATCAACCTCATGAAATCAAACATTCTCCCAGCACCTGCAGCTTGCAAATCATGGCTGATATCGCTGACCTCCCTCATATGCCGAGTAGCCCACCTCTACCAGCTCAACCTACAGTGGTTAGAGCTCATGGTCCACAAGTGAAGAGCTTGCGTCATGTGCGTCAGCTTCGAGACTCGGATTACACCTGGAAAGAGGATACGCGAAAGGTCTCGCATGAGCTCAGCAAAATATGTGAGGAGGCATTCAATGGAAGCTCTGTTTCGACTATTCGAACAGCTAGTGCTGGCTCCGGTTATGAGACTCCAGCAACTCCTGTGTCAGTCGCCTGTCCAGAGAGCCGCCCAGTTTCTGCTAAAAAATCTGCCTCAAAGACACCCAAGTCTTACAGTATCAAAGAGCTCACAGAGACTCGCCGAAAGCTGCTCGAGCAAAGTAAAGGACGAAACGACCGCACTTCTGCTCACATCTCCGGTGTTCTGAACCACTTTGATCGTTTGATCGAAGAATACGAAGCCGTAAATGGTGTTTATAGAGAGCCCGAGGAGATTTTCTTCCATGATCCGTTCATTTCCGTTCCAAATGACGTTTCTTTGCCTGCCATCAGTGAAGAACTTGCCAGTCCCACTGCGGGAGGCGATGCTAGCCCTCGTCGCAAGCTGAAGTCATGGAATCCGGTTCCTCCACCGCAGAGTGGCGATCTTAAGAACACAATCCGTATGGTGCCTCACAGCTCCTTCCGCTCCATGGAGGAAGTTAAGCCTTTGACTATCCGCAAGAAAAAGTCTGAAAAGCCTTTGCCCCCAGATTTGCATGACCACACCAATAGCCCACTATCGGCTGATAACCGCAACTTCTCTACTGACACGAGGCAGGCTCCTCCTGTGTTTGGCTCTGGTGGTTTGGCATGCATCGATGAAGTACCTATATCTCCCACGAGGAAGAATACACGCGGCGAGGGCAGAAAATGGTCGTGGTTCAAACACCGTTCCCAGGGCGCGAATACTCCACCAGCTCTGCCTCCCAAGGACTCACACCCGATCATTCCAAGCGGTGGCTCAACAGTGCACAAGCCAATCACCCTAGAGTCAATTCCCAACTCCGAGGAGACTACACAGCAGGTTCCCAACCGCAAGACCTCCATGGACCGTTTCGCAGGTGGCATCTTCAAGAAACTCATGTCCAAGAAGCCTGCGAAGAACATGCAGGAAACGCCCACTGGTTAGTAAACCGCGACTGTATTGTGACATGCCCACTCTAATAAATGTACAGACGGAGAGATCGAAAAGTCAGACAGCCCGCCTCGAGACAAACGTTTTTCTTCCGTAGTCCCCAACAAAATGCCCGACACCGAAAGTTCATTTGAGTCTGATGACAACCAGAACCCATTCCGCAACAAGCGCCGCTCGGTCGCTAATCATAACTGGTTTGCACGAGTTTTCCAGATCAAACCCGCGAGCCGGGTGATCGCTCTCAATTGCTCGAAGCAAAAAGGCCGCAAAGAGCTATACAAACTTCTTCGCGAGTGGCGAGACTATGGCATGGAGGATGTTTGGCTTGACAAGGCCAACAGCGTTGTCCATGGTCGTGTCAGCGAAGCCAACTGTGCGTGTTACTATTCTCCTTTTCTCTCATGTAATGCTAACCATGTGGCAGTCCTCCGTCTACGAGAAGTTGAGTTTACCGCTGAATTCTATACTGTTCTGGAACACGGTCTGGAAAGCAACCTGGGTGTCGTCCGTTTCAAACAAGAGCGTGGAGCTGCCTCATCTTTCAACGAGGTCGTTGAAGCTGTGGAGAATACCCTCAAGCGCCGCGGTATGACAGTTGAAGACCCTCTTCGCGCAAAGAAGATGACCCAAGTTCTGGACACCATCCCCAACCACAAATAAGCACACGATCAATCCCGTTAATATGCTTTCCATCCCCCCCCCCCCCCCCCCCCTTACCTATAGGCAAACTTTAACCAACCATTGTCTCTCACTTTCAAAGTCACGCTCATCAACACCCTCGCGTTTAAGCACTGCAAAAGCTCATTCCCTGCATCTCTTTTCCTTCTACATTCCACGCTCATTTCACATCGCATTGCAAGACCAAGAATCCATCTCAAGGCGGGTCTTGCTTGTCGTCTCCATAGTCTCTATTTCAATTTCCTTTCTCCTGCTTGTGATTCCACTTTTTCCTTTTGTCAATTGTCTAGTTATGTTGGTCTTAGTGAGTTCCTTAATCATCTCCTCAACTCCAGCACTGTCTGTTCTTACTCCGCTGCTCATATTGTCCATTAACCTTGTATCTAAGATACTGGAATAGTAATTCATAGCTATTGGGAGGCACATAGTTTCTCAGTATTCATTCCGGCGCCCAATACGTAGTCTCTCACTGGCCATCTACAAAGACGACCTACGACTATTCTGGGATCTGCATATCACCGTCTCTTCTGTATTGATTCTATAATTCAGTTCAATAGCTACAGCGGCGACCCTGAGCTTTCTTCTAACATGAACAAGGTTCTGGCACTGAACCTTTCGGGCCCTGGAACTTAGGGCTTGTCACGTGGCTGTCCATACTATCCACGAGCCCAGGCGAACGGTTTGGCTACACAGATGCAGGCGCGCTGCAGATCTTCAGCAATCTAGACAAAACCCTGCAGTACGGATACTCCACTAAAGGACATGTATTGAACGCGAGACTCGGGTTCCACTATGCAGCCAAGGATACCTGGTGTCTCCCTCGCAGGATGCAGCAAGCCACTCAGCCTAGTCTAATCCTGAGGCCAGGGCCCGAGCTAGGGCCATGGCCGATGTAACTTTCCACTCTGGAGGAGAAATGAAAAGAATGAGCAATACAATTGCAAGGGGAATTGAAGAAAATGATACCCAAATACCACGAGCTAAGGGGAAGGAACTTCTGGATTCGAGATTTGGAATCCAGGCAAGACAATATGGACCTGAGAACGAAAAAGCATAGAAGACGTATCGATGTCGATATAAGTCGGATAATGGAATTTCATCAGAAAGCGCTCAGGGACACAGGTCCAAAAGATAGAAACATGGAACACGTAACGGTAACAGTAGTAGCAGGAACAATAACGGGCAAGAAACATGCAGTAACAAAAAAGCAAGACAAAATTGATCAGACAACCTCCCGGATATAACTATAAGCAGACAATAGACGGAAAATGAAAAGACAGTCAAGAGTAAGTGAAAAGAGAAAAGAGAAAAGAAGGAACATAACAGTTCCAGCGCAAAATCACGATCAAGGGGAAATGATGACACAGCCGACCCCGGTCTTCTACTCGCGCGAAGAAACAGATGGCCAAACACACGTCCTTAAAGAGACGAATGACTTCCCGATATAAAAGATATAAGAGAGAAAAAAAAAAAGCAAAAAGCAAAAAACCGACAGCAGTGCAAGTGCAACAACGTGGAAACGGAACGCATGCAAAGATTTCAAATAGCCACCCGAAATTGGAACGCAAAGTCAAGTTTTGTCCCTTTGGAAATGTATGCCAAGGTAACGGAGAGGGTTGAGTCGGAATTCCAGTTGAACGGCATGCGAGCATGCGAGCATCCAGGGGGAAGCCAAACATAATCAAACCCTCTCTGCAGACCCAATTGGATCCACGATTAATCGGATATCGAAGCCGATAAAGACGAAGGCGGAAGAATCATAGAAATATAGAAATAAAAATTCGTAGGCCGATCATACCAGAGAACTTGTGAGTCTGGAAATCTCAACCTCAAGTTCTCAGGTTGCTCGTGAAGCTCGTGAGGTCGCGTATGGTGGTCTCATAACGGATCAGAGAGTGACGTTGCTGTCGCGTTCAATCGTCCTGCGTGCTCGGAATCGTCTGGAATGTATATCGAGTCTCCCCTTGCTCCGATTGTCTCATTCACTCGGGAAAGCTCGGGTTTCATTAACGTCAAGCTCAAACCAACAAAAAATCCCCGAGTTTTCCTTCCAACTCCCCAAACTCAACACCTAGCTCTCAGGCCGCGTGGCCAGCACACGGCCTCATTCCATTGAACACTATTCCCCTCCGCTGCTCTCGCAATCGCATTCTTTGCGCCCTAGTTTCCTAAAATTGCTCGCATAGAAATGACTATTGCGGGCCGCGGCGGTTCAGTGCATTGAGCATGTCGCTGTCGGTGCTGGATCGACCATGGGAATCACCCGGGTTGAGCATGTCGCGCACATTTAATCCAGCCCGCTGCGAACCACCAGGCGTAGAGGTGGGAGGAGGGCTCACACCGCCTGGCTGAGGGGTCGCGCTAGACTGAGGGGGAACACTACTCGAGGGGGCAGCCGAATGAGGTGTCACAGGTGCCTGGTGAGGCTGCATGGGAGGGAAAGGCGATCCGTGCGGCGAGGACGAGGTGCGAGCATCATATGCATAAGCCGACTGCGGTGAAGTGCGTCGATCGTGAACCGGTGGTGGAGGGTAGTTGTAAGGGCTCGGCGTGGTGTGAGTTTGGTATCCGGGCGCGGAGCCAGCGGGAGTCACGGGGGCCAAATTGGTAGGATCAGGGTACTCGAACCCTGAATTAGAGCCTCGCCGGTGTCTCTGTGTCATCATTAGATCAGGTCCGTTCTCTCGCTTGCGCGCTTGAAAGGGAATGGTGGCCTTACCGGATCGGGCATGCCTGACGCAAGGGGCGGCGGGGCACCATCCATGGGGGGTCGTCCGTTCTGATAGTACATCCCTTGAGGAGGCGGAAGGGTGGTGTCGGCGCCCTGCGGCTGCTGCTGAGGTGGCAGTGGCTGTCCGTGAGCGCCGTACAGGACAGGCTGTCGTCCCCCGGGAGCCGGTCCATTTCGTAGATGAGGGTAAGCGGCGTGCGCAGGTACAAAGGCCTGTGTTTGCGACGAGACTGGGGTGAACATGCAATCTTGGTTGAAACGGACACAGTTGCTGCATCGTCCATCAGCCGAAGTGTCGAAGCCCGAGCAACGAATCTAGGTTGGAATCAGCGCGCGATCATTTTCCGAGACAACCCAATCTCCCGTACCTTCCGACGCCGACAATATCGACAGGCAATGGCGGTTCGCTGCCGAGGAGCTGCTGCTTGATAAGGGCCTTGAGGTCCCGGAGGAGGCGCGTAAGGATCTGGACGGTAGCCACCAGGCGGCGGAGGCAGGCGGTAAGGATCTTGTCCGTGAACGGCCGCCATGTTAGGCGGAGGCGGATACTGTGAAGTCGGGTACTGCGCCTGGGGATATCCAGGATACTGATAACCAGGAGGCGGGTATTGCGGCGGGTAAGGATAGGGACGTGGTGCTTCGTCTGGTGGAGGATAAGAGGATGGGGGATACTGTGTTCTATAATCAGCACACACACCCACAAACACACACATAATATCACTTCCAGGCCGTCGACCGGCCGACACCTCCACACGTCACAATGTCACTTACATAGGTAGCTTGCTCGTCCCGATTCCAGCGGGGATCCTGACGATTCGGATCCTCCCGATCGTCGTTGGGGCCCGACATGGTTGAAAGAGAAGATGATTACAGGGATGAAAGGGAGGGGGATATTCACTCGGGCAAAGCGAGCATAGCGCGGTCCAGGGGTGTTAGGGACCAGAATAGGCAAGAGAGCAAAAAGGAAATAAGGTGAAAAAGAAGAAAAGAAGGAAAAAAGAAAAGAAAAGAGCCTCGGCGATTATGACGTGAGCAAGAAATATAGAAAGGGAATTTTTTGATTGGAAAAAGGCAGAAAAACCCAAAGGATGGAAAAAGTGGAGACGGGAGGCGCCAGTACCCTGACAGTACCGTGTAATGAGATACGCAAGGTGAGTCTGGTCTAGTATGACTCTCCGGCTAACTGGATTGGGATGACTGTGAGCTGAATAACTGTGGGTGGGATGATTGAACCATGGTTCTGGTCTTAGGGTACCAGGCTTCGGTGAGGAACCCGAGAACGGCGACCGCTTCTTTCTCGCGTAACCATGGACCGCCTCGGACCGTAGTCGCACAACCGCATCCGGCCCCGCGATACATAGGCTCGGGTCGGGGCGTCTGCATGTATATCTGCTTTGAAAAAAAAAAAGTTTTTAAAAAAATTAGATCCAGAATAACCGAATAGCAGACAAAAGAGTAATGTAGCGGTGAATGTTCTTCCCACTTCCCCCCCCCGTGGCGATCAGACACCAGCTGAAGGAGTGGGGATATTTCCAGCTGGGACCACTCGCCACTCATTTCCGATACGAAATCAACCATGCCAAAAGCCAAAGAGCGGAGCCAGTCAGACAGGAAAGAAACCAGACAGAAGAGGGGGTGGAGTGCCCTAAGTTCCCAGGGCTGTAGCACTGGATCCGGAAAGCCCATGAGCCAAGGTAACCTGCATTAGCGCAGCGCTGACAGGGGGCGGGTTCCTAGGAGCCACAACCACGTTGTACGGGATTTAGTGGACCGTCGCCAATCCCGAGGTCTTCGTACTGAATACAGTAACAGTACTCTCGGGGTTGTCCCACGGGCCGCTCCGGCCTTCCCGCCGATCTATGCATGACCATCTGGTATGTAACCATACACTCGTATTGTATGGGTAGTGTGGCAGTGTCGAGTTCTCGCCTTCTCAACGCTCAAGTGTGGCATGGTAGCGCTCCAGGGTTGGTTTCCATTTTCACAATACATAATCCATGTCGACTAACCGGATCCTCAGTACATGGATTACAATCCTTACCTCCATCCCCCTTCCCCTAACAAGGATATATACACTAATTCCACGCTACTGTACACTACCCTTTCAGGCCACGTTTTTCGAACCCAATCGAGTGCATTGCCGTCCGCGTCTTTCCGCTCCCCACTCTCTGGCGTGGCCGGTTCAGTTCTCTTAGCGTACCCTCTCCGGAATCTCCAGATCCACTCGACCCAAAACTGCTGGCCACTCGATGCCGTTTGCCCTGGGGACGCGCTAGTCATCCTCAAAACTAGGAAAGGACTGAGCACCTGTTTTGAAGGGACCCAACGCTATTTTCCGACCGGGACGATTTTCTGAGAACTCTGTTCTCTCTCTCTCTCTTTTTTTTTTTCTTTTCTTTCTTTCTTTTTTTTTTTTTTGGTGATTACTTGGGCATCATTCTTTTTTTGTCGACTTACTTAGTTAGGTAATTCCTCCTCTTTCTTTCCCCCTCTCTGTCGAGGCCATACCCCTCCTTTACCCACACGGGAGCGCGTCTATCAGCAGGGATGGAGACGGGTCGGGCACTAATAGGCGCAGCCCGCATGCAGCTACGGTCACGGGAACAGCCCCTATGGAAAGGTAAAAGGTCTGTGCTAGTTAAAATCTGACGTGGCGAGAAAGAATCTCCTTTTATTTCTTTTTTAATTTAAAAATCCACCCTCCAAAAAAAAAAAAAGAGAAAATCAAAAGTTGGATGGTTTCTGCACCGAGCCGGAATGAGGCAGTGCTTGAGTCGGTGTACACGAACCGGTTGAACGGCTTGCAGGTCGTGTGATGAGAGATGCCTGATGACTACCTGATCCTGGGCTACTGTATGCAATAGCACTCGTTATTAGCCGAGCCTGGAAAGTTTCTTTTCTACCTTTGTTCTACTGCTGTCCCTCTGACGGTGGTTTGTTGTGATGCACGTTGTTCGCCTAGTGAATGTCTCCCATTGGTGAGGGCCCCGGTCGGTGCCTCGTCACACAGGTGACACCAGGCTCTGCTGCAGCTGGGCCTTGCCAACTCTATTCGGGGCCGCCATTCGGGAGACAAAGCGAGTCGATCTCACCTTGCTTTTTATGGATGCTGCTCGGCAACTGGTCGCCCGGGATCTTGCGTGGAGCTAGTGACATTCCTGACACATTGGATCTGTCGGAGGCTTATTTGAAGCACTTATTGGGGAGTTTTTTTTCCCTTGGTTTTTTTTTAATTTGCTTTTTTAGTGTTTCTTTTGACTGTCGATTTCAAACTGCCCCAGTCCGGTCCGTGTGATGTGCATACTGTGCATGCATCGAGGGCACTGATATCACTAAACTAACTCATCTCACTCAAGACGGTTCTGAAACGGAGTCTACTGTAGTACCTTTCGAGGCCAATTATGCGTATTGAGCGCTGGTTGGTCCCATGTTTGGTTGATTGATGATTGAAACAAGCATGAGACCTGTTGAGGATTAGTTCTTAGGGTAAAGTAGCAAACAAGACAAATTATGACATGTGATACTTCTTGCCCTGGTTCTTGCCTATACCTTTCTACAGTATCACTTAGATTGTCAGAATTAATATATGTCAACAAAGCGAGGCATATGGAGCACTGCGCAGAGACGGTTCAAATGTAGATGTAGACCAGAGTCGTAATCATAGCCTAGCGCTTTGTTCCCAGCGGGTGATCTTAGAGCGATCAGGGAGAAATAACGAAAGTTATTATTCTCCCCCCTCCCCCAAAAAAGAAAGTTTAGATCGCCAAAGTATGTCTGTTTACCTGGAGAATAACCCGTTTCACGTTTCTAACGTTCAGATCGTACTTTGTACTACATTGTTTCTGGGTCTGATGAAACTCAGACAGTCTTGTCTCGACGATTTCACACTAGAGCACAAACAACAAGGGTGTCAACTTGCCCATAGACAAATGATTCAGCTATAGTCTAATCCGACCCGATTACGGTGTATGACGGAGGTGGGACTTAAAGCTTTCGAAGCTTTCGAATCTGTCGCTTGACCTGCATCAAATTACCATCAGAAATGAACAGGGCTCTTCCCCGCTTAAGATGACATACATACAATAACAAATTTCGTACACAGTACATTCAGTACTTTGTTCAAGGAAACCACCAATGATCCAGGATCTTCGGGGCTGAGCTTCCGACGGGAATGACGATCTCAACATAGATCAAGATCCATAATATAACTTACAGCCACGACGTACCAAGTGTAGACTGTTGCTCAGCAGCCCAAAATACAGAAACATGGAAAATCAAATCCAGATCAATCTAAAGTTAAGATCATGGTCAATGACTATGTGACTGCCTGATACCGGTCAAACCTACACGCACAAACATGCCCAACATACAACCGAAACCATCCAAATACACAACCAGTCAAATAAATGCAGTCCATTCCAGACCAGGAAGGTGCTCTCAAAAAACCACAATCAGGGACAGGCGGAGCAGATCCGGTCCTCAATCCACATTCTCCCAAGGTTAGTCTAGCGGGCATGCCCGACAACGGGCCGAACGCGGGCGCTTGCGGTGGCGATATAATGCGCGTCAGGCATATTAATTTAAGATACTTGCGCGTTCTGGAATTGAGATTGCAAAAAGGGTAAACTGTAAATGAAGCGTAAACTGTTGAGAGGGGTGTGGCTTTTGGGCGGGAACAAGGAGGGGGAAGAAACACAATACAAGGCGAGGCAAGGAATGGTTGTGCAAAGGATCAACTCTGGACCCTTGACTCTGAGGGCAATGTAGTAGTGTGCAGTAGCTAGATGCAAGGCAAGTGCAGTGACAATTCACTCCAAGGGCTTTGCTTTCATGGTCTGCAGTACCAGGAATTGGGGGCGGGGACAGACCCAAGAAAGGCCGTGTGCATGAGGCGTCGAGGGGGATCCGGTTTCACGTCTCAGAGAGACAAAAAACCCGAGCCAACACTCTGTATCCCCCTTCCGCATGAAAGACTCGGTACCAACAAAAAAAAAGGGTAGAAAAGTGACAGGTAACACACACACGAGAGTCCTCAAAGGCAAAATCCAGATCTCTTTCTCCCCCAGTCCCAATCATGTTACTGATCGGGCATAACTACACTATTCAGATACGTCACCTGTCATGAAGAGAAGCGGTCAGCACACACACACACACACACACACACACACACACACACAAAAATGCAAAAACGCGGGCTATGAAGTGTGATTCGGTGGATAAACAGGGACGGGCACGGCCGAAGTGGCTAGCTCAGAAGGGAAAACCGACTAGTCGAGAGGGGCAAAATTGAAATGATCTTACGAAGGGCTCCATGATAGCCACCAAAGCAGTTATCTTCTCCTGGGCATCTGAACCAGCCAGATCCTCATCAGCCATAGGCTTGCCCATTGTGAAACTGCGTAGACGTAGCAACTTGATGTTCTCATTGTTGGCCTCGTAACCCTAATTTGTTTGTCAGCATTGAACCTTGGTACCGTGGAGCCTGGCGCGGTTGTGAACCATGGTTCCAACAGCGGCTTCCCGGTCCCTTTTCTCCGACAAAGGGGCAAATTTGGTCGGTTTGTGTCTGTGGTGCTCGAGTGTGAAGGATGAACCAGCCCATTCACGGAGTCTGGCTTCTTGGTTCGATTCAGGGAGAATGACCCGGGATTGAAGCCATGGATGCGTGCAGGCAGGGAGCCCACCCTCTCGGCAGAGTGGGAGTCTATCTGATCTCTATGATCTCATCAAGTCATTGCACCCATATGACTCGTGGATCGAGATGGAAGTAAATTCCGGGTTGAGGAGCCACCGGTCGGAGGGCGAAAGACACGCAACCTGGATGGTGAGCCCTACGATCCGCCCGTCACAAGCACCCTCGGGCACCACAGGCATCACACAATCTTCAACCGTTGATGATAGAAAAAGGTGACAAGGGAGAGGGAAAGGGGAAGGAGAAGTAAGGTCTCGGTATCGAGACCATCGACTAGGGGGTAGTTTACCTTGGGCTTAACCTTGAGAGCAGATTCCCTGTTGTGATGCGTAAAGGCATCGACAACCGCGTCGTCATCGTCCGATGCGCCTTTCAGAAACTCGCGGCGCAGCTCGGGCTCCCGGAGTACCTCCTTCCAGCGGTCCGCATGCTCATCGATGTCCTCTCGAAGCAGGGCAAGAGGCTCGGCCTCTGGGTTCCACAGACCACAGCCTGAACGCAAAATGGTGAGTCCGGTGATTATGACGGAAGAGAGGAGAGAGGCCGATCAGACATACCGACAAAACAAGAGCCAGGTTGGAAGTGCACATAGTATGCGGCATAGGGGCCCTTCTTGCCAGTGCGAGACCTGCATGACATTTAGTGGACTCCTCCAGACATGAGCGTCAAGACTTACCACGCTGCAGAGAAATGGGTCTGGTCACCGTCAGCATAAGCGCCGCTAATGGAGATCACAGTCACACCAGAACATTCGTCACACGCATGAGGAACCTGGAACCTGGGGAGGGAACACAATGCATACCTTGTATGGAAGTGGATTCTTGCTGAAGCGGACATCCCTGTGAACGCGGAAGATCTAGGAACGTCAGTGAGGGGCCTGTCAAGGATCATGGATCCAGGATACACCGTAGGTGATATGGGTGACGTGGTGACAGGGCAGGGATAGGTGCCTACCAGGTCCTTTGGAGGGAGTTCGGGGACCGTGGCATCAACCCCCGATATCTTGGACGTGAGACTCTCAACAAAGGTCTCAAAGTCCTTCTTTGCCGCGCGGTAATCCGGATCGTGCGCTGTGCAGAATTAGCCAGCGACTCCCACTGTATATCCGTGAGGCGTGTCTCTCACGTACCCTTCATCCATTCGCGGTCGTTGTTCTCCGCCAGGTCGACCAGAAATAGCTTGGTGTTGGGGTGCAGTGTCTCATCTTCATATGGAACATCGCCTGCCTCTCGCGCCTTGGGCTTCGCGATCACCACTTCCTTACCGGGTCCCAGGCCGGCCCTGACCCCTTCGCGCCACAGTTCTTGGCCCTTTACGTTACCGGTGCGTTGTCGTGAGACCCCCTTGGCACTGGCCTTGAGTTCGGTGTCCTCGCTCTCGGAATTCTCTTCCGGCTCTTGCTCATCTGAGGAAGATTCTTTCTCTTCGTACGCGGACCCGGAAGTGGCGCCCTGCGAGTCATCGGACTCGAGACCATTGTCCGAGCTTTCTTCAAAGTACTTGCTTGTCTTCGTCGTGGATTTAGCCCGGTTGGTCAAGTCGACGTTCGACCTGACCCGTTTGACCTCCGGTCCCACGGCGGAGAGTCGAGCTGAAGCGCGTCGCTTTGGCGCCACAGGCGCTTCAGGCGACGCGACAGGCCGAGACGAGCGAGGCATTTTCAATTCTTGAATCCTGCGCGGTGAAACTGGTTTTTTTTTTTCTCTCTATATTTTCACGGCGTAAAAGAGGATCTGTCCACAATCAAAATGCCCTCCAAAAGGTCCAAATAAGCAAAAATAAGCAGAGAGTTGAGGAGTCGAAGTGTAGAGAAGTAAGTAATAAACGCCCAAGGGGCCTAAAACCGGCTTTGCGTATTGAACGGCTCCGCTTTTGATCCGAAACCCTGACAACTTGACTTGCAGGGAATCGCTGAAGAAGACAAATTGAGTTATTTCCTGACTGGTTTTCTGTGGGTTTTATAGTGTTTGTCTTGGCTCAGAAGACACGTAGAGCTCATATGCAACATAGTATCGGTCGCTGTGCTGATTATGCCACAAGATAAGTTACATACCAGAGCCACTACCACTTTCACCAACTTACAGGCCGGTTTTCGACCCTTCCTGTCTCAACCGTTTGTTTTAAAGAGGAAGATGATTCTTTTTTAAAATGGTTACCTAGTCAAAAATGTAGTATCCTTAAGCTTTATATTTTTGGAATAAGTTAGGAATTTTCGGTATCAAACTGCGCGGCGTTTAAAGTTGATAGTCTCGAATTTCCCTGTAAGTTATTGGGAGTCACTTAGTATGGGGATTACCTGCAAAAAAAGGAAAAAGTCGATCAGCGATTTCTTTTAGATCTTATAGTAGATATGCCGGATACGATGGCCCCTGAATTCTAGCTGACTGTTAAATGACGTTTACACAAAAAGCGAACTGGATAGTAATGGTATGGTTCAAAAGAGGCGACATTTGCTGATTTACGCAATGAGACTAAAAGATGTAGAGAGACTTTTGCAACGGTACCTATACACGTTAAGATGGTTATATGGTTCCAATAAGCCATCGACGTCTCCATAATCATCCCTATGCCAGAGATGTCGGTGACAACGGATTGGAACCCAAAAGAAAGGTATCCTGGCCAGTTTAATAGCCATCAGATCTGCCAGTATGAGATCAGCCCCATATAACGATCCCGGCAGGTCTTGAACAGCTCTTTTTAATTGAACTGAGTCCTATCACTTTAAGCTTGGCTCGGTAGTATCTAGTCTGGTGCCTGGGATTTACGGTCATGAGTTAGTGCCCTGAGTTTGGCCTTGGATTTTGATCTCAATTGACGATTACAATTCTGGAGAAGGGGGTTACGTGGATTTGCTGATCCTATTGAACCATTGAGCCTAAGACAGAGCCAGTGAGATAAGTTTGGCCCCAGATGTTGAGGCCGATGGTTGGTCGCCGTGCTGAGGAGTCGGTTTGTATCCACGTCAATGTAAGAAGCAATCTGTTGCAAGTTTGATCGATCGCAAATATTCCAAGAGCGAAGAGAGACCAAACAGCGAAGCCAGGTAGAGCCTAGGCGCACCTCTAAACAGCAAACAGGTATTTCAGAGGAAACCAACATCCTCCGAGTGGTGTTTGTCTTCCAGTCTCAGAATGTCATCAAGACAGTCGTACAGTCCGTCATGGGCTCTGCTATTATTCTGCATAGCCGCCATACACTACAAGTGAAGTTTTAAGTAAAGCTTTAAGTAAAGCTTCAATTAAAGCTTCAAGTGAAGCTACAAGTGAAGTTAGAAATGAAGTTACAAATGGAGTTACTAATGAGGCTACTAGAGAATCGAAAATTGACCAAAGTTTGTCATATTGATAGCTTTTTTTGGTGTTTTTTTGGTTTTATCTTTGGTCAAGTATTGTTTTCAGCCTGCAGGCGTCGTCGCCTGCAGGCGAATTTGCTAAGAATAACCCCGTAGGGTATCGACATGAAAAAAAGAAATAAGAATAAAAAAGCCGGGGGATCGGCCGGAGCCGAAGGAAAAAACCAGGAAGTAAAACCCAGACGGAAACGTTGACCGTTTCCGTTTTGCAGAAACTTGTCCTCGAGCGAGGACACCGTTGAGAGAAGGCCGTTCTGATTAAGTTGAACGGCCGTGAGAAGCACGACGAGATGCGCGGCGACGGTGCTTGCGCTTGCCTCCTCGCTGATTCTGACACACGCTATCAAAAAAAGCCATGTTGACAGGGGGGTTGTCAGTGGGCATGTCAGATTGCGAGCGATTGCTCGCTTGCTCATAGGGAGCAGGGCAGAACGGATCAGAGTTTGACCGGATGTTCTGTGCTGTAGCGTGCGGGATGTAGACGCGAGGAGCCTGGCTGTTTGTCGAGCTTGTTGCGCGGTGATGAGGGTGGCGGTAGCGAGGAACCGGAGTAGCCTGCTCATCTTGAGACTCTTCCTCCGTAGCCTGCTGCTCATGAAGCAGGTGTTCTTCAGCCTGATGGCCCTGAGCCAGGTGGGTCTGACTCATAACAACTTCATCGTGATGGTACGGACCAGTGTTTTGACGAGCCACGTATTCGGGGTTGTACTGCTGAATTCGAGGCAGCTGAGGCTGGTACTCATGAGACACAAATTCAGGGCTGTACTGCGGGACCTGAGGCAGCTGATGCAAGTATGGATAAGGCACGAATTCGGGGCTGTACTGCGGGACCTGAAGCAGTTGAGGCTGGTATTGATGAGGTCCGAATTCGGGGCTGTACTCTTGGGCCTGAGGCAGTTGAGGCTGGTATTGATGAGGCACGAAGCCCGGGCTGTACTGCTGGACCCGAGGCAGCTGAGGAGTGTATGGATGAGGCACAAAGCCGGGGCTGTACTGCTGGACCCGAGGCAGCTGAGGAGTGTATGGTTGAGGCACGAAGCCGGGGCTGTATTGGTGAACCCGAGGCAGCTGAGGATTGTATGGATGAGGCACGAATTCGGGGCTGTACTGCGGGACCTGAGGCAGTCGAGGCTCGTATTGACGAGGCACAAATTCGGGGCTGTACTCCTGGGCCTGAGGCAGTCGAGACTCGTATTGACGAGGCACGAATTCGGGGCTGTACTCCTGGACCCGAGGCAGTCGAGACTGCTGCTGATTAGCCTGTGGAGTTGGTGAAGCTCGTAGAGTCTGCTCCTGGAAAATAAGTTGAAACGGCATAGTCTCAAATGGAGGAAGCTGGGATGGCACGATGGTAAGGGACAGCACTTGGGGGAGGTACATCAACAGCAGTGTCGGCATAAGGGAAGCGCCATTGGCGATCAAATCCACCATTTCCTGTGACACTGGCAACATGAGTGTTGGTATTGGGATTAAAAGGAGGATCGATCTCCCCAGAATCACGTTGACCGGAGCGGCGCATTTCAGGGGTTCGCTGAACGTTGGCATCAGTGTAGTTTAGCGGAAGTCGGGTCGGGCGAGGTGTAGCCTGAGAAGACTTCTCAGAAGAATCATCTTTGACATTCTCCGCGGACTTGGTCCAAGGGAAGGTAGCAGGCTGCTCAGGGTTAGAGGCATTGCGTCGAGAGTGAAGCTCTTGGGCGTCAGTTCCAGTAGCCTGTGCATAGCTGAGGGAGCTCGGCTGAACACTGAAACGAATAAGGGGCGAAGACAATGGACGCTGGAAGCGAGACTGGAGATTTTCTCTCTCGGTAGTCTGTTGAGCAGCTTGGGTTCGCTGATCAAAAAAATCAGGCAAAGCCGCACCAGGAATCACTGGAGCAGGAAGAGGTGTAGGAGGGAAATCTGGAGCAGAAACCACTGGAGTAGCACGAGGAATCGCAACGACTGTCGTCTGGCTGTCGGAAGATTTCACACTGGCTGTGTCTGAGATGGTATCGTGGAGTGCAGATTCATTCTTTTCATCATCATAGTCATAGCGGGGGACCTTATGATGGCCTCTGTATCCAGCTATGACGAACCGGCGCAAGATGCATTGCTCATACTCGATGGAATCTTTGAAAAGCAACAATTCGGTGGCGTCATGATTCCACGAGAACCAGTGGCGACCAAACAGTCTGCGCACCAGAGGATTCACGTGGCCATTGTGGTAACCGTCCTTCTCAAGGCTCTTGGTGTCTATCTTGCCCTTGGACATCAGGTAGGCATATACCTAGAGAAACTGGGGTTTAGCATAGTTCACAAGGCGTTTTTGCAGAAACTTTCAGTACCTGGTAATCTGCCAAAGCGAATTTATCGGCGTAGTTCAAGGTGTCGAATGGGAAATAATTGCACCAGTCATGGTCCAAAATCTTCTCAAGCTCAGGCAGCTCAGATTTGTAGGCAATGTTGTACTTCTGGCGTGGGTTGAGACCGGGGCAAAGAACTCCAGCCCAGGTAAGCTCGCGGAGCAAGCGGATATCAAGACCCACGGTTGGCAAATCCTTTCGTGTAGCCATGCGAAGATTGTTGATCATCTGCTTCAAGACCTCAAAGATTTGATTGCGGTCGTGAACAGTGTACATGCCGGTTGCATACCATGGGAACTGTAAGGAAAGATACTGAGGTTAGCACAGCAGCACAAACAGGGAAGTGATGTGATGTGTAAAATGAAAGCACTCACCTTCCAGATAGCACTGATGAGGGACTCATAGCATCGCTGGGGAACTCGGTTTGCAAATACACTCTGCAGCATGTTAGTCAAATTATGTGAAAGACGACCCAAGAAAGGGTAAACATACCCGGTAAGGTGTGTCTGAATGACGACCAAGACAGTAGAGCTCCTCGTGGGTGATAAAACCATCAAAGCCATTTGACCATTCTGGGATGTCTTCCAGCATAATAGGAGAACCGTTGGTCCACTTGATGCACTTTGCCATTGGGAAAATTGCTTTCAGTAGCGCATCTTGGCTGCTGAGTGAAACCTCGACGTGGCGACCAGCCATCCGGGGAGCACTGGTAGTATCATAGGCATTGCCTAGGCGCTGAACAACCTGTGCAGCAATGTTTTGAGAGGTAAATTCAACGTAGCAATCCATAGTCTTGCCAGTGGAACGGTCCATTATGATATGAATGGGACAGGCACCATTGTGGTTTGCCAGCCACTGAGCGTCAGGACCAAGGAAAGAAACAACCTCCTTTCGGGTGAGACCGAAGACGATCTGGGGATGGTTAGCAAGCAGAACTGGTCAGACAGCTGGATTGGCATCGGAGAATAGAAAGGCACTCACACTAGAGATCTGCACAACACCAAAATCACTTGGCTTCACCATGTCCACAGCAGAGACAAACGGGATCCTATCTTTCTCGAGCAGATCATAGACTGAAAGCCGCTCCATGATGCTCAAGGCCTCCAGATCAGGGACATCGTCCCCACCATTGCAAGGCCACGCCATCACTTGACGGGAAATGAAATCACTGTTGGGGCAACGAAAGGATGTGGGAATGACTGGAGAAGGAACGGCAGAAGAGGGAACGGTGGAAGCGAGAACAGCAGAAGAGGGAACAGCAGAGGGAACGGGGGAAGCGAGAACGATAGAAGAGAGGACGGCAGAGGGAACGGGGGAAGCGAGAACGATAGAAGAGAGAACGGCAGAGGGAACGGGGGAAGTGAGAACGGCAGAAGCGAGAACAGCAGAAGCGAGAACAGCAGAAGCGAGAACAGCAGAAGAGAGAATGATAGAAGAAGCAATTGATGAAGCTTGAGTAGGAAGGTTCTTCGAACGAATGCGCTCAGGATCAAATCTCGAAACAACATCAGCACCCACACCAGTCTTTCTCCCAGCAGCCTCGTCAGAAGCACCGTCTCCTCCAAAAGCAGGCACAACTTTCTTGTTCTCGGAAGGCTGCAAATCAGCTGGCCCAGAAGTGGAAGAGGTCAATGGCTTTGCACGGGAGTCAAGACCAGACTGTTTAGTTGAAGGTGACAGTTGTGCGCTATTGAGTGCAGATGCATGTGTCTCTGTGCTCACACGGGAGTTGCTCGAGTCTAGAAGACCTTGCTCTTCTTTATTATCATCTTTGTTGCTTTCACGGTTGGCATCCAACACAGGTTTGGATGAAAAGGAACCGGGTTTGTCTAGCAGTGCCTGCAAAATTATATATATCATGATCAGCACGAACTTCCATGACGGTACATGAATGGTGTTCGCAAGTTTGAGCTCACATTATCAGAGAAAGACTCAGAGTGATCCCAATCCTCAAGATTCAGCATCTCCACGTCCCCTGGGTTTGGCCTGGCGGGTTCCAGCCATCCTCGAAGGGCTCGAATCAGTCGAGTAAAGGACATACTGGACTTAGGGCAAGTGCGCGTGGTGATAATATTGAGGGCGTACGAACAAGACGGGGAGGTGACGATCGGAGAAGTTCCGCTGGCAGGAGCGTGGCTTTTAAACCGGTGGTGGCCCCACGTCCCTTTACTGCCACAGCCAGTTTTCACTCCCCACCAACTGCCTCGATGAATACGAAATTCGGAGGATTTATACTTAAATGTATTTTCTATATTCTGTCTTCTTTAAAAAATTCAATTGCTTCCAGGGAAAGGTGGAAAAGCAATGTTTGGAGTTCTCGAGTCGGCGCGGGAGCGTGTTGTCACGTACTTTTCGCGGGCGTCCGGCCACGTCCAGCCACGCCCCTGATGTTTATCCTCAGCCAACCTAGGAAGCCTTACTCAATGGCGCTTCTGTGGATTGCAGATCCTATAGAATCTAGTCGACTTTGATCTGACTCTTATTCCAGGCGTATTTGATATGTACATCTGCTTCTATTCCCCCAGACAATGTGGGTCGTCCCATAAGCGCATCTATACGCAGGTTCCCTGGCAATCTACCGTCTAGCTCAAGTAAGATTCTTTGTATATATAAGGAGTTTGTCGTACATTATGGAAATTTCAGGCTTGGACATCGTACCAGCTTTATATAGAAATCAGCTGCGTAATCTAGTACCGTACGCAACTGAGTACAAAATATTGAGAAGTATGGTGATCGACCATGGTTCCTAGGGTTCATGCCTATGAATGAGCCATGTCGGCAACAAAAATGATTCATCACCTGAGGAATCTATGTAGGACTAGCTCGAGACAAAGATTTCCAGTATATAAGGGGGTTCTCACACAAGTGAGAATCTCCAGACTTGAACAGCTCAGTAACCAATTCAAAGATTATCTCTCATGCTCTTCCTCCACCTCAGATTCTCCTCAGATCCTGCAGCAGCAAGAGCAGACCTCGTTCTCCAATATATTCGCCTCCACCTCAATTTGCCGTTGAAACGTTGTTCTTGGCCGTAGGGCTTGCGTAAAGCTCCGTGTAGTCGAATAGCCAAGTGAGGCTCTCTCCGCTCTCAGTTGTATTTACACGCGGTGGTGAGTACCTAGCGTCTTCGGGACTCTGCTCCATGAGCTCCGAATTGAGGCCTTCGGCTTCATCGTTGGACTCTTCTTGTTCAGCATGTTGGATGGAATTGAACAAGAAGACCAGTCTGGTGCGTAATCTTGGCAACGTAGCAATTTGCCCACGGGTCTTGGTCTTGCTAGACATTAAATGAATCTAGGCTGAGACTGAGCCAGCGTTGTTTCCCTCCGGGCTGCTTGGGTCATCGAGTAGATGATATGGTCTTAATATGTTCTCTGCAGTTCCTTGCCCTGAGATTTCGATCTGTGCAAAGTGAAACGACAGAGTTGCGGTACCGACTTGTATATCGGCAACTCTGTCCGAATTGACTACGAGGATCTCGATGACTCTACTATCTCTCCCTTACAGGCCTATATAGTATGGTAGGTACCAGTAAAAGCTTCTCAGAATCATTGCAGCCTGTGCTATCTGTACAGGGAAAGGTGGGAAACACAAGGTCATTCATTATTCGGATTCAGCAACAAGAAAACGCTAGGGAATTTAATCGAACTGTGTCATGGTTAGTAATCGTCAATAGCTGCAAGTCAATGCAAACATACCGGCGTCAAGAAAGATTCGGCAACGAATCGAGCACGCGCATTCAAGAAGAGCTTCATTTCCGAGATTTCCTTGTCTACTTCTTCCATGAACTGGATGACAAAGTCGACTAATTTGTGCTTGAGCAACATCTCGACATGAGTGTTGGTTATGAGGAAGGAGATATCATATCCCTGATCTAATTAGCCATGAACAGTTTCAATGTACCAGTGTAACCTACCTCAACAGGCTTCCGGCGCAAGATGAAGAACGACTCGGCTCGTTGGGTCAGGAAACGAGTAAACTTGTGAACTTGGGAAAGTCAGTAGATATACTTCGTTCACTGCTCATCTCATACTCACCGAGAATGTGTTCGATCTCGTCGGCCTGCTTGATCCTCAGACTGATTCTGACACTGTTCACACTGGGTTCGACGAGCATGCGCTCGTTCTCGTTGCGGGAGATGGTCAATGGGTTTAGCAAAACCTCAGGGCTGCTCTGGGCTTCAATTTCGGGCACATTGTCTAGAGCAATGCGGTCAGCAGGCGAATCCACCATGTATGTTTCAAGGTCTAGACGTACGGCGTTCCGATGTTTGGGATGCGAAGTTGGAGATCGCAAGAGCGGCAGTCAGGGAGGAGCGGCAGGCCTGCAAGTATGGCCTCAAGCTTTGCGACTGGACTGGTGTTAGTTTCAGAGGTATACATCTTGGCCGAACGAGACTCACCATGGTGGAAGGCAATTGGTAGCTTCCACAGGTAGTAAGTAGGGTAGCTCGCGGATGATCTCAGCCCCCAATAGGCGCTGAACCCAGGGAGTTAAGTAGCAAAGTTTGTGCAGACAAACGCCCAAGCACAAATGTTCAAGAGAAAAGACTCCGAACAATTGAAGAGTGAAGGTAGAACACGAAGATAACAGAGTGTCTAGGCAGAGGGGAAGGTTGACGTCCGAGTGGGCGGTGATGATGGTGTTTGGACAGTTTGCACTGTCCCCCACGCTTCCTTGCCTTCTCTGTTTACCCTCTCAGCTCTTTCAAGCTCTTGATTCTTCAAACCTTATCGTTCAATTCTATCTAATATGTCGGCTATACCGAGTAAGTCTGGATGAATCTATGACTCCCGATGGTCACTGACAAACCTAGTCATTGTTAAGCATGCGGGCAAGCGCCACGAAGTTGAGCTCGATCCGACATCCAACGGCGAAACGCTCAAGTACCAACTGTTCTCTTTGACCGGTGTTGAACCCGATCGTCAGAAGGTCTTGATCAAAGGTGGTCAACTCAAGGATGACACCGCACTTTCCTCTCTCAACGCCAAACCCGGGCAGATGTTTATGATGATGGGCACGCCATCCGGTGGCCAGGGTTCCGCTGACCTCGGTCGGCCGAAAGAGACTATCAAATTCTTGGAGGATATGACGGAGGCGGATCTGGCCCGGCAGGAGGGTGCTACCCCGGCTGGTCTACAGAACTTGGGCAACACATGCTACCTCAATTCTTCTCTACAAGCTTTGCGCAGCGTCCCGGAGCTTCAAGAAGAGCTTCTTCGGTATCGCTCAGACGCAGGAGCTGGTGGCTCGGGACTCTCTGATCTCAGCAATTTTGGTCTCGGTGGCTTGGGAGGTTCGCGAGACTTGGCCGCTGCCCTGCGAGACCTGTTTAAGCAGATGTCCGAGACCCAAGTCGGCATCCCTCCATTGATGTTCCTCAACGCCCTCCGCGCCGTTTTTCCTCAATTCGCCCAGCGTGACCGAAACGGACAAGGATACGCCCAGCAAGATGCTGAGGAAGCCTTTTCTCAGATCATCAACCAACTGAGAGCCAAGCTGACTATCACGGAAGGAGAGGGAGAGTCTGCCACGAAAACCACTTTTGTCGACAAATATCTCGCAGGACAATTCGAATCGGTCACCGAATGTGAGGACCCGGCCGCCAAGGAACTCGGCGAGGAACCAAGCCAAAGTTCCGATGTGTTCTACAAGCTTGATTGTCATATTGGCAAGGAAACCAACCATTTGCAGGATGGAATTCTGTCTGGTTTGGAAGAGCAAATTGAAAAGAATTCTCCTCTTCTTGGCACCAACTCTCTATACAAAAAGCGATCTCGTATCGCCCGTCTACCCAAATATCTCACGGTGCACTTTGTCCGCTTCTTCTGGAAGCGTGAGACTCAGAAGAAGGCGAAGATCATGCGCAAAGTGACTTTCCCTGCTGAGTTGGATGTCGTGGAGTTCTGTACCGACAATCTTCGGAAAGAACTCATCCCCATTCGGGACAAGGTTCGCGAGATTCGAAAGGAGGAAATTGATGTTGAGCGTGCCCAGAAGCGTCAAAGGGTTGCCGTGGAACGGGAACAGCGGCAGAAGAAGGAAACCGACCTGGGAGAGAGCGTAGAGCCTATGCAAAAGAAGAAGGCCACTGAAGAGGCTAAGTCGAAGGACAAGGACGGCGATAGCCAGATGGAGGAGACCTTCAAGACCGACGCCGAATACGAAGCCGAAAAGACCGAATCTATCCGCGTTGCCAAGAAGGAACTCCAAGAGTTGGTCAAACAGCAGGGCTCTGGAGACAGTGGCACCAACCAGTCTGGTCTTTACGAGCTTCGTGCCGTGATCACCCACCAGGGTGCCAGTGCCGATAGCGGCCACTACACGGCATATGTCAAGCAGCAGAACAAAGATGATGCTCAGACCGGCAACAAGCGACGCGAAACAGACGACAAGTGGTGGTGGTTCAACGATGATACCGTGACCGAGGTCGAGGCACAGAAGATTGAGACCCTTTCTGGTGGTGGTAAGTTCTTTCATTCTATCTTTTCGATGGAACTTGACTAACAGTATGTTAGGTGAATCTCACTCTGCTCTCATCTGTCTTTACCGTGCTATTGACCTGCCCACGGAATAATTCGAGATATCGAGATCGTATGATTTAAGATCTATTCACACGAAACCTCCCGATGTTGTCTAGATGAATACAACGATGAACATGATTGATGCTCGTCTCTATGCCATAATAACAATTCATTCTGCCATTCACTTAGCACCTAGATCATACTGCGATGTTAGACGGTGACTTGTACTCCATAGGAAGATAGCAAATGACGACATAACTTGAGGGACTTCACGTGACCTCCGCCTCGGCTCTCGGAAATCCGATCAATGGATTCTCATCTCTAGACAATGTGATCACAATGATCCATTCTCGCATCTTTCCGGCTCTGCGTCAATCGGCGATACGAACGCGACCCTCTTGGCGAGTACCGGTTCGAAAATCCAGCACCGCACCCAATGGCCCGACCCAACCATCACGGTGGCCGCGCCGTCTGATTTACGCGGGAATATTTGGAGCTCTTGGCGTGGGTGCAGGGAAATGGATGGACGACAAAGTCTCAGCGCCACCTGCCCCAGGGTCTGTAGAAGACCGAATGGAGCTCCAGGAAATACAACGCGTGTTCGAAATTGGCCTCCCTATCGTGCAGGAGCTGCGCCGGAACCCGGATTATGAGGAGAAGGACGTCTACGAGAACTTCTCGGAGGATCATAAGGAACACCGCCTGACTTCTGGCCCCTTGGCTGGCAGCAGAGGTCTGGGATTACAGGTTGGTTGTCCTCGTTCTGGCGTTTGGCGTTTGGCTTCTGCTTGTGGTCGGTGCTCATGTTGCCCTATCACACGAATGCCGAACGTCTGAACTGCCGAACCTCGGGATCCCGTTTGATCTAACTTCTTTTCCTGCATGACAGAAAGTATTTTGGAACGATAAAGAGAAGAAGATTGTTAGCGTGGTCTTCCTTGGGCCTGGCCTGGAGGGCTGGCCAACAATGGTTCATGGCGGCGCACTGGGCACGGTCATCGATGAGAACCTGGGACGAGTTGCTATTCGGCATTTCCCTGCCAGAACTGGGCTCACAGCCAATCTCAATCTCAACTATCGCGCCCCGGTCTACTCGGACAACTTCTATACCCTGCATACAACCCTAGACCAGGAACGGAGCACGGACCGTAAGGCCTATGCCCAGTGCGAAGTCCGCGATATGGCAGGTCGACTCTGTGTCGAGGCCACGGGTCTTTTCGTTGTTCCTAAAAAGCTACAGCTCGCTAAAGTTGGGGACCACTTTTGAGTGGATCAATGATGGCTTGATATTGAATGCTCCGGAAGCTCACATTCTGACCGTGTGACATGCAAGTTCCCGTGTCTCGCTAAACGTCGCGATTCACTGTACAGGGCTCATTTCTTTTATTTTACATCTGCATCTTTGCTGGGTTGTATAGCGTGGAAGTCCGTACATTAGACTGGACCCTGACCTGGGCTCTCACTCTCTCTCTCTCTCTCATAGTATCTCCTATCTCATATCCCCTATCTCATAGAGTGAATGCACATATCATACACTTTGATTACGCTTTCGGGGCTGGGTCTGTTTTTGGAAATGCTCTCCGAAAGCAGAATCGAGGCCCGAGAGTATACTTTCTCTCCACGTTTTCCCCGCCTTTTTGGGGGCAAATCGGCCCCCAATTGAGGAGATTTGGTCGCAAAGAGCCAAGCTGCCTCGGTATTTTCTCGATTTCAAGCCTTTCTGTCCCGGCTATCGCCTTGTCAAGCCTTGGCAATGGAACGCCTTCGCCCCAACATGGAAACCGGTTGATTCGTCTCTCAAGCGGTCACTTCCGATGCCCTAGGTCACGACTCGGTGGGGTTATATTCTGGACAGAGTCGCCTTCTTGGGTTCGTATATACTTTTGGAGTCTGTCGGCGCTGACTTATTTAGTTCGGTGGGCCTGTCAATCCCCCGGATTATTTCATTTTGGATTCTGGGGTTCGATCGATCTTCTGTCTATTTCCCTTATTAGCCATTGGGCTCTTATTTTCTTCGATCTGCCCATTATGGCAACCCAGCTGGATGAGAAGGGTGTGGTGCGACACCAAGAGAATAGCGACTCTGAACAGCCCCCCAGTCACCAGGAAATGGCTGGCTCAGGGTCTGAGGAAGGATTGCATGAGTCGATGGATGTACCGGTAAGGGTTCATCTCTGCGATCTATGCTGCGAGATACTGACTAGACCCAGATGACCTTTCGTCGGTTCATGGGATTCGTGGCCATGGCTTTCTTGTGGACTGGAAGTCAGATCCCAGTGTATTTGTTTGGTACGCAAGGCCGATGGGAGACCCAAGATCATCATCTAATATGCTTCCAGGTGGCATTCCCCCTTATATCTACGGAGACATTGGCGGATCTGATCGATGGGTGTGGTTTGTAAGTGGACAGGAGTATAGTCCGGGACGGAATAGACGGTGAAACTAATAACACCCTCGCCATAGGTCCTTGCCAACTTACTCGGTCTCGCTGGTGTATGTCCCTTTGTGGGCTCCCTCTCGGATCTGATCGGACGACGACCTGTCGCAATTATCGGCGCCTCGCTGATCATTATTGGCATGATTGTCTGCAGCACAGTAAATACAATGAACTATTTCATTGGTTAGTATCATCGATGCTACCATGAGCACATCGACTAACATCGGTATAGCGGGAATGGCTATTGCCGGTGCTGGGGCTGGAGTGAACGAACTGACTGCCCTTGCTGCTACTTCCGAGATGGCCCCGACTCGTCAGAGAGGTGCCTACGTGGCCGCTCTGATCTTCACCATTGTGCCATTCTGTCCTTCAGTCTTGTGGGCTCAGCTTATCGCATATTACAGCCATTGGCGCTATGTCGGGGCGTTCTGTGGTGCGTGGAATGCCTTTGGTCTGTTGGTGACCATCTTCTTCTACTTCCCTCCGCCTCGAGTCAACTCCGCTGGAATGAGTCGAAAGGAAATTATTGGTCGCATTGACTTCGTTGGTGGATTCCTCAGTATCACTGGTCTGATCATCTTCCTGGCCGGCTTGCAATGGGGTGGATATATGGTATGCTTCAAAACAATATCCTTGATTGTTGGTCTGACTAACTCCATCTAGTACCCCTGGAGCTCTGCCCATGTGCTGGCCCCTTTGATCATCGGGTTCTTACTGCTTGTCGCATTTGGTTTCTGGGAGATCTATGGAGCCAAATATCCCATCTTCCCATCTCGTCTGAAGCAGGAGCCCCGAACGCTGGGGTTGACTCTTGTCATTACTTTTATTTCCGGCGCAAACTTCTTCTCCGTGCTCATGTTCTGGCCCACCGAGTCATTCAACGTCTACGGTCATGATCCTGTGATGGTTGGAGTTCGCAGTATTCCAATTGGTTTCGGCATCATGGCTGGAGCGTGTATTGTGCTCGCTTTGCTGAGTGTCTTCCGGGGACACAATAAAGAGCTGTTGATTGTCAGTAGTATTTTGATGACTGCAGGTTAGTATTCGACAAGCTCCTATTGCGATGAGAAGGTGCTCACTTTATTTATCTGACAGGATGCGGTGCTATGTCGATTGGTCGAGTTGATAACATGTATCAGCTTTGGGGAATCCTGGTTCTTGCGGGCCTTGGAATTGGTGGCATTGTGGTGCCAGCCTCAATCATCACAACCATCATTTGCCCCGATGTAAGTCAACAATGAATAACATTACATTGTTCAAGACTAACCTCTTTCAAGGATCTTATTGCCACCATCTCCGCACTCACCCTCTCTATCCGCGTGGTAGGCGGTGGCATCGGCTACACCATCTACTACAACGTCTTCATCTCCAAGTTCGTTCCTAAGGCCACATACTATATTGGTGGAGTCATGATGAAGGAACTCAACATTACTGACGTCAAGCTGATCGGTGAAGTAATCGAACTGACCGGTGCCTCCTTGTTGGACGAGATCCGCAATGTCCCTGGCATTGCTGGCAATGAGACTGCCTACCAGATGGTTGTGGGGGCTGGTCAGCTCGCTTTCTCTGAAGGATATAAATGGGTGTACTATGTGAGCATTGCGTTTGGTGGTGTCTCAATCATCGCTGCTTGCTTCTTGGGTGATATCAAGAAGTACATGACTGACCATGTTGCTGTCGTGATGTGAGAATGGATGAGTAACTTCTGTTGATATGAAATATATACTTTGTTCGGATCAGGATACGGTGTCGGAATTCCTTCGCTTAGTAGTTTGAAGCGAGTGTATTAATTCAAGCGGTATTTATGTCTTCAATTGGCCTCTTTTATCATATCAAACATCGTTCCCCAAGGTTATTGGGTCATATCAGAGAAGCTGCATCGTACGTTCTAGATTATTGGGTGTCAATCTACAGGGCTTCGAGACAATAACACTGTACACTACCAGTATTGGGCTTGAGCATTGAACATTGTAGATCTTGTTCTAGCCTCGCTCTGATATAATTCAACTGATCTAGTTGAGGTTTACGAAATGGGCCAAAAAGAGGTCAACAAAAGACCCTTCAGAGATGAAGCAGACAATTGAACTGGATCGAACCATATACTCGCACCGAAAAGCTTTTGTATAGAAAAAAGAGGGCATAAGTTAGTGAATAGAGGCAACTTACTTTATCGTGGGGCCGATCATGACGCGCCAAGTCCGGCAACTTTTTTCAACTCGCAACTTCAACATACAACTGCCCCATGGCCTCCAACGCCCCCAAGCGAAAGTCCTTTGCTCCCGCAAATGGCGCATCTGGGGCAGCTCGCAAGCGTGCCAAAAACTTCGACGCCCGCACCTTGGCTGTGCAGTCGACCGACGCCGCCCTCTCCTCAACGGGCGAGCTTGATGTCGCCGCCTACTCCGCCGCTCGCGCATTCGAGATCCAGGCACTGGAGGAGGGAATACAGCGGTCGAAAAACGCATTGACAACGCGAGCGTTCCAAAAAGTGCCCCGCAAGTTGCGCCGGCGGACGGCGAGTCACAATGTGAAGCGTGTTCCGCAGAGGTTGAGAGCTCGGGCGAAGCGAGAGGTATTTGGATGTGATCTCCAATAAATAAAGACTGTTGGCTGACACATACGTTCGATTCCTAGATGGCAGAGGACAACACGCCTACTGTCACGGCGCGCAGACGGAAACCATCGCGCTTGATGCGCATTCGACTCGAAACCGCTCGCCGCCTTCAAGCTATTAACGCCAAGACAAAGGCTCGACGTGTGGCTGCAAAGCAGAAGCGAGACGGAGAGAACGGAACGAGCTTGGAAAAAAACGGTAGCCATAATTTTGAGATCGCACCGCGGGTCCCCAAGATCAAGAAGAACAAGCTTTCTAGACCGACGCCAGCAGAGTCGAAGTACCGCAAGCGCCAGAAATCCAAGCACTGGCTGCCGACTCACTTATACCATGCCAAACGTGCCCATATGGCAACGAGCAAAGACCCAATCTGGCGCTTTGCCATCCCGTTATCTCCCACAGAAAAGAGTTACCGCCCTACTCATAGGGCTCGGGGCGCCAGGGGAGCTGTGGCGTGGGATATGAGTTACATGTCTACAATTCAGCTGGAGGGCACAGAACCAGCGATCCAGGCTGTTCTTATGGCTGTTGGTGTTGACGGGGACAATGCTTGGGGTACAAAAGGCAAGAAATGGAGAGCAGGAACTCGATCTCTGCAGGCCTGGACGTTCGAAAAGAACCATACTGAGCGTCCAACTGCGCCTGTCACCTTAATTTGGTGTGCCACTTCCAAAGAAGAAGATGTTGACATGGTCGATGCCGATAAACCTCACAAAACAACCAAGAAGAATCACCGAAAAATCTTCATTCGGGTCCACCCTTCAGCATTCCTTCAGCTGTGGACAGATATTCTTGATATATCCAAAAAGCAGAATCCTCCTGTCATGGTAGAGGATCTGCGATTTGAAATTGGCAGCATTGAAATCACTGGACCAGGATCTGTAGAGGCCTTATTGGCAGCATTGAAGCCAATTCTTGGAGCTGACGGCAAAACTTCAGATCGCAGCCCGGAAGCTGTCTGGCCATCACTTGTTGGCGTTTCAAATCCCTCCTCACTACCACAAAATGCCCTCCTCTCCTTTGATATCTCTGACCCACGCTTGCATTTCCCTTCACGCACTGTTCATGTCCCCGATAACGAGTCTCACATGACTGACCTTGCTGTTGCGCTCGCCTCATGGCATCCGGACAAAACACAAGGTCCGTCCTCTCTATTTGATCGATCGTGTCGTTTGACTGCATCCCGTCTGCTTCCGAGCCAGAAAGCCATCAACAGACGCCGCACTGTTGCTGGGCCTGGTAATTTCCCTCCAGCTCAGCCGAGTGACCCCAAAATCCCGGTCATCATTCTTGCAAACAAGCCGCAAGCTCGGCCTAAGCGCAGCAATGCCCCAGGATCATTCACCGTCCTTTTGCCATGGAAATGTGTCGTCCCAGTCTGGTATTCTATCATGTTCTACCCCCTATCCAGCGGAGGGAACCCCTGTCTCGGTGGCTTGAAGGAGCAACAGCAGCTTGCTTTTGAAGCAGGCGAACCTTGGTTCCCTGGTGACTTCCCGGGGACGCGGGCAGGCTGGGAATGGGGACAACGGGATACTGAGAAATCACTGCGTGAATGGACGCGTCGTCCCAAGGGCCGTCGTGTCGAATATGATAATATCCAACTAGGCGATGGTCGTTCCAAGGGCGAGATTGGTCGTGGTTGGGCCTGTGATTGGGAACGACTTCTCCGAGGGCCTAAGCCAGATGCTATTGATTCCAAGACCGATAAGGCCGAGGCCGTCTCCAGCGAAAAGTCACTCGAGTCTAAGGATACGACTACCGATGAAACTACTAGTCTCGCTGTTCCACCGTTTGACATTCACAATGTCCGGTTTGCTCCGGCGGATACCCATATCACTTTAAGCAAGCTCAACAAAACATCAGTTGATGCTTCGGCTCTTGCCTCTGTTTATATCTCTCTTACTGGTCGCGGCACGCCTAGATCCCATGCCCGGATCTACCGCCTTCCTACTGACCCAGCCCTACGCCAGAAATGGCTTAGTCTTGCTTCTACCGGCGACAAGGCTACTCAGCCAAAGACCTCGAAACAGGCAACATCTGAGCCTGCTTCCGAGGAGGGCCGACGTATTCTTGCTGAGTCACTCATCGCGGACTCTGCTGCTGGAGAACCGGATGCTGAGCATCTGGATGTCCCTACTGAAGATGATTTGATTGGCTTTGTTACTACGGGTAATTATAACCTCTCAGAAGCCAAAGGAACAGGAATGGGTTGTATTCAGCTGTCCAAGATCCTGCAGGCTGATGTCAAACCTTCCGAGAGGAGAATATGTATAATTCGGACTGCTGGACAGAAGAGTGGGCGATTAGCGGTATGGGATTTTGTATGATAATCGAAGAGCCTTTGCAACGAAGATACCCAGTCGTGATTACAGCCATACCATCTCAGTACCGTAAGCTGTACTCAGTCTACAGGATCTACTTTTTGCGAGGTAGATAGAAACGCTCGAAACCAACGGCCAAGGTTCACTCTCATCCATGGAATAATTTTATCCTACTCAGATGAGATCAAATGGAACAAAGAAAAATGCACGTTCTATACATACAGTACAGCAGCAACAAGCCCAATCAAACCAAAGGGCCTAGAGAACCGTAGAGAATTGACTCGTTCGCTCGTCCCCGACTAAATCTAACCCACAATGCGATCCACAAAGGCAGCCTCCAAGCGCGCAACCTCACGCTTGAAAGCATCAACCTCCTCCCAGCAGTTCAAAGGCCGACGGTCGTTCAACCGCAGGCAGCTAACAACATCCGACTTGGCCTTGGCAACACCATCGTCAAGGTCCGCAACCTTCCTCCGTCCATCAAGCTTCGTGCGCAATTGCTCGATCTCGGCTGCTACCGCATTGCGCGACACGTCGCGCTTGGCTACCGGCGGGGCGGCGACGGGTTCCTGAGGCGCGGCAAATGTGGCCACGGGGTCGTGCTCCCGTCCGGCGAAGGGGATTCGTGGTGCGTCCAGGTTCAATGAGCCGACGGGGTAGCCCGAGGAGCTGGATGCGACCGGACCAGTGGCGGCTGTGATGGGCAGGGAGGTTGTGTCCTTTGACTCGGCGATGCGCTTTTCGATCTCGGCGAGGGTCTGCTGCTCGCGTTCGCGGAGGCGTTGAAGTTCCTGTGCGACGCGGTTCTGGATCTCCAGTTCCATGGCCTTGGAGCGGGTGGAGTCGGACTGATTGGATTGGTTGTTGGTAAGCTTTTGTTTGGCTTGAGGAACTTGATTAAAGTGGAATTATGCATACCTCCGAGTTGGACTGGAGGGCGTCCACTAGGTTTGAGGAGAATTGAACGGGAGAGTTGCTGTGCATGGCTGGGTTAGCTTTGGGCATAGACATCTCTGGAGGTATTTCGCAGGATCGCATGTCGTGTTGACATTTTGGAAGAAGCTTTCATCACAAGGAAGTCATATCTTCTTCCCAATTGACGTCAATTGAGAGGTTGTTTCTGCTCCCTCGGTTGTCCAGCACCAAATGCGGCGGAAGCTGCGAAATCAGAGGGCAATTACCTGGAGAACACATGTTGTGAGCCGGCCGAAGCCTCGGGCTTAGAGTTGCCAGCACCCATTTTTCAAGAATGACAAGTCCTGTGAAGGAGAATAGAAGTGCATTCACGATGCCCGCCCTCCCGATCCGCTCGGAGGATGTTGGAGGTCACGTGCGCTTAGTCATATCAGCCAGTCCTGCCCAGGTGGACATTGAAGCCCTGAGATGAACATATTCTTCTCTCGACTTATAGTTAGTTATGGAGTATGCAGACAACAAGCAGTTCATGTCTATTGGCCTTTCCTTAACTTCTTCCTTATCTACATGAGTTTTCCTCTAATCCAACACAGCTCATTGGAAGCATTAAACTAAACAACCATTGCTAGTTGGCAATGGTATAAAGAACTTAGATCTTTACGCAAAGAGCTAGACATCACACAACAAATCAAATGTTGGAGCTGGTATGCTAGTTTAAATCCTTATTGCTGAATCAATACTCTTCTATGTCAAATGGAGCATCTATTTTGGTGATTCACGGTTATCTATCTATATTTCAAAAAAAAAAAAAAAAAACCAACACTACTCATTTCCCAAGTCTTCAGTCCTTGGTGGCCACTTGACTCTCCTTTCCGCTCTGACATAAAGATTATTAGGCCGAATCAGCTGGAACATGGGATCATACTCGATCGGCTCATTGCCTTCTCGGGTAAATTTGTACCGATAGATCAACTTTGGAAGGAAGACCTTGATCTCCTGTAGAGCAAAATTGAACCCAATGCACATTCGCTGACCGGTTGCAAAAGGGATATATGCTGCCTTGTGTCTGTTTTTGACCTCTGCAGTGTCCCAACGGTCCGGAGCGAATTTGTGAGGATTATCCCACAGCTCCGGATTGTTGTGGATGTGATGCAGAGCTGGAAGAACGACAGAGTCTTTGGAGACTTTATAGCCGCCTGGAAGCACAAGGTCTACCTTGGCAGTCCGTGCAGGCTGGAAACTTGGATTATGGCGACGCTGCATCTCCTTGATATACTTGTCGAGGAATTCGAGTCGGTCAGTGACATCAGCTGTGATCTCGGTATTCTCGTCGATGCCATGGTCTATCAACTCCTGCAGAAGTCTGTCTTGCATCCCGGGGTATGTGACAAGACCGAATATCAGCCAAGAAAGCAGAGAGCTCGTGGTTGTAAAGCCGGCTCCGGTCGTGACGAGCAAAGCCCAAATCATGCTGTCCTTGGGAAGCTTTTCTCCTTTGCTATCGGTTGCACGAATCGCATAGTCTGTATAGCTGTTAGCAACGAAGCGGCAGATAGATATTGAAAATTACTCACCGACCATATTGGACGCTTTTAGCGCCGCATCTTGAAGTGGAAGGTCTTCCACTCCACCACTCTCTGCTTGCTTGACTGACTCTTCAATCAGCTCCTCGATTCTGGCTTTGATTGAGCGAAGCCGCTGCGGATCACCGAAAGGCAGTCGACCGTACCAGTCTCCCTTTGAGGAGACTTTCTTATTGAGGGAAAGAAGTTCCGCGATCAAATGGACAATCTCATGCAGCTTGGAATCTGGTGAGGCAAAGTGTTGGAAGTCCAAACCAAGAGTGAGCTTGCCAACGGCCTGAGATCCAAGTTTCAGCATATACTGATACACATTCCACGCTTCCTGCTGCTCATCCAAGACATCAAAGACCTCAAAAGAATCTTCCACTGTCTTTTGCATCATAGGTGCATAGTGTCGGACAGCCTTGGGGCCAAGGGCTGGTGGAAGAAACTTATGGGCAACCCTCCACTCAGGAGTGTCCGTATCTCCCAGGAAAACACCCGCAGCTTGTTGCTTTAGCGGGTAGAGTGGGTGAGCTGGGTTAATCTCCTTAGTGAAGAAGTCGGATTCGGCGAAAACGATTGCGGCAAGGGTTGGATCATTTGTATGATAGATTGTGCGCCCGAGGTTGGTTGTCTTGAAGATCGGTCCGTATTGTTCGAACAGACGTTGGTGGTTGCCAAGATGATCTGGGTATACCTCGAAGAAATTTCCGACAATTGGCAGACCCTTAGGACCTGGAGGCTCACGGATCGCGTGTCCATCAATGGTAATCGCAATTGGTGTCTTTGCTGAAGTGATTTCCGAAACATCATTCAGTTCACAGTCTTGCGCCCGGAAACCAATGCCTATAGAGAATCAGCCGGCTGTTTACAGTAATGGAGCAATGCATCAATCCTACCATTGGGTTCCACAACTGCGAAATGAGCTGCAATCAGGTGCTGAAGGTTCTCCAGACCGCTTGTTGGATCGACATCAATGTTTCTGGCAGAGGAAACTGCCTCTCCAAGAAGATAAAACTGTTTGGCAGGCATTGTGGTTTGACGATGCACTGAACCGTTCAAACAGCCCAGGCACCATTGCTACTCTTTATATCAAAAGCGTTTCATGTCAATCCACATTCGGGTCATTGCATAGTTCGGGATGCCGCTTCCTCGGCGTGTGGGTCACACTCGGTTTCCGATTGGCCTCGCACACGTTACCTCGGAAAGCCCTAAATCAAAGCTTCAAAAGTTCCCGAGGTAATTGGCACTGTGGATTGCAATGGCAGACTCTCGGTGTTGCTACGGGAATTGATCGGCCATGGACTAATGAATGTTTTAGTAATTGAAAGACAGAGTCAGAATCAGCAGCAAAACAACAACCATTGTGCGTTGTATGCTTGGAGTTAATCCTTAAAGAACTCACTTGTTCTCCGAATGGCACTTGTTCTTTGAATGCTTTGAAGTTGATTCATATTTGTGTATGGTTTAATATTGATTGAAAGTAATTTAATTGAGAATAGAAAACTTAGGATAACAGCATTATGCACAAATAATCAAACTGGGTTACAGAAATCACCAAATAACATCTACCGTACAGCATTCAAAAGGAAAAGATCTGATCTGACATCTTCGAAACTGCACCGGGCGCTTCAAACCCAGCTGCCACCAAGCTCTTTTTCGAAGCATTCACCATACCCGGTGGTCCACATAGCATGATCTTTGTATCCGGTGCTGCCGAGGGCAACCGTGCAGCCATGACTTCAGGCGTGACATAGCCCTTGCCATATGCCCAGTTCTCGGAGGGAGAATCAAGCATGTACCAGAGCTGGAAGTTTTTGGGATAGGCTCGAGCAAAGGTCTCCAACTCGCGGCGAAGAAGAATGTCCTCTTCGGATCGGTTGGCATAGATCAGACTGATTTCAGTTGTATCCCTATCATCCTCGCAAATTGCACGGATGAGTTGATACATCGGGGTGATTCCAGTTCCACCTGCAATCATACCGATCTTCTTGCAGAGACCATTATGATATTGCATCGCACCCTTAGGACCTCGGAATTCCACATTATCGCCGACTTCGAGAGCGGCAAGATACTGTCCCGTGAGAAGACCATCTGGGTAGCATTTAATGACTAGTTCCAGCCTACCAAGATCCAGATTGTTGGATGTCGGTGTGTAAGATCTCGAGACTGCGGTACCATTGATCATGGCTCTGATAGCAACATGCTGACCAATAGGGAGTCCAATGACTGCTTGTGGAGTGGGAAGTTGGAAGACGAAGCGGAAAACGTTCGACGAAAGTTTCTCCTTTTCAATCAATGGGAGCTTTTTGTAACTCTTGGGCTCCAGAAAGCCTTTTGTGAGATGCTGGTTCTGCTTCTTCACAAGGGACGCCTTGATATGTGGACTGTATTTCGTGAAACCAGAATCGATCTTGGTAAAGTTCGAAAGTTTGCGTCCGATCGTGCCACCGACGGCTGCACACGCCAGAGTAGCAGCAGCAAATCCACTCGAAAATCCACCACGAAGAAAAGCTGGGTATGAGACATGAGCTTTGGTGATTCTCAAAGGGGCCGGGAAATAGCCTGTGACCACATCACGAAGAGCAGAATGGTTCTTGGTGGAAATGTAGATCACTGCGGTAGCGGCAAGCGTGGCAGCCATTGCTGTGACAGCCTTCGTGGCCGATGTTCTCTTGGGCGTGTCTGTGGTAGAGGGGCTTTGCTGGATCACCCGAACGGTCTTGGGCTTAACAAATTCTTGCGCATCTTTGACAATTCCCACGAGGTATGTTTCAAGGATCTCATCGGCATCCTCTGAGTGGCCGACGTCTTCATAAGCAGCTGTCGCATCTCCGCCGGCCACATCTACCAAAACATCCGCACCGCCCGGGTGGTCTCGCACGTAGTTTGTGATGTCGTAGACTTAGTTTGTCAGAAGCCTGGAACAACCTCAAGTTGGGGGAAAATCAAGGTACCTTTTCCATGAATTATGACAAACAAATCCGTTTTGGAGTTATGAGCTGCCACTTCGCTGCCATTGAACTCTTTCAAAGATGACATGTTTATGCGGGACTTGCACAATTGATAAGGGGGTTTTTCGGGGCGCAGTGGTTTGGGATCGAATACATTTATATTCTTATAAAAGCGATTTGATGGTTTTTTTTTTTTTTTGAATTAGATTGTCTAGCCAAACGGACGCGAGGGATTTCGTGTTAGGGCTCTCCGAGGTAGACTACCTCGGCATCATACGCCACATCATATCGGGCACAGTTAGACAGGAACTGACTGTGCAAGTAATGAACATGCCGAGTTTCTTTCGCTGGATTTTCTCTTCTGCTTTCACGGCCCGAAAACGGAGACCCCGAAGCGAGGCACTGATACACCGAGTGGCTTTTGCTATTCTTGCTTCCCGTACTCCACCAACGGGACTGTCGGCTTCCTTGCTGTCGGTCTGACTCTCAGTCTCAATGTATCTCCGAGGATGGACGGCAGGGTATTGAAATCCACGGAGGATAAAAGGGAGTGGTTCCTGCAATAACTCCCGGATCTCGATACTTCGACATCTTGAATATCAAACCGCAATTTCTACCCACATCTATACTCTCTACTCTCCAGTATGAAATCAACCTGGCAGCCACCACGAGACTACCAAAACCGCCCTGTTACCATTCTTGGTGCGGGTGTACTTGGTCGTCGAGTAGGTAAGTGTCCCATACGACATGCTATCTGTAATGTTGTAATGCTAACAAGCTCCTCCCCATCAGGATGTATTTGGGCATCAGCCGGCTACAACGTTCATCTTCGAGACCCCAGCGAGAAACAACGATTGGACGGAATTGCATATATTCGAGACAATGTCCAAGCATACAGCTCCAAGACTGGAAAAACTCCCGGATTGTTTGAGGCATTCGATAACATGGAAGATGCAGTTGCAAATGCCTGGCTTGTGATTGAGGCTGTTCCTGAGAAGATCGAACTCAAAGTCGCCACGTTTGCTGAATTGGAAACTATTGCTGCCAACGACTGTATTTTGGCTTCCAACTCATCTTCATACAAGTCTTCCGAAATGATCAGCAAGGTCACCGATCAGACTAAGAGTCGCATTCTGAACATGCATTATTATATGCCACCTCAGTGTATGATCGTGGAGCTGATGACGGATGGATACACTTCTCCTGAGATATTTCCTTTCATGGTTGACCGTTCGAAAGAAGTCGCTACTGTCCCTTATGTGGCAAGGAAGGAGTCCACTGGGTTTATTTTCAATCGACTCTGGGCGGCTGTGAAGCGGGAGGTTTTGACCATTCTTGCTGAAGGTGTGTCAGTTCCAGAAGAAATCGATGGCATGTGGCAGGAGATGTTCATCAAAGGGGCAACTCTTCCCTGCAGGATGATGGACAGTAAGTTTTTGCCCTGATCAATTGCGTTCTGAGTAAATTGACCTAACGATTTCTCATTAGATATCGGCCTCGACACCGTTGCCTTCATCGAGAGTCATTACGCACATGAACGTGGACTTTCTTCAGCGAAGACTGTCGACTTTTTGAAAACCAATTATCTTGATCAAGGCAAGCTGGGAACTAAGTCTTCGCAAGGCGGCCTCTATCCTCCGGGTGATATCTCGACTGTCACCAGGGTCAGTCCCAAAGAACCTGAAATTTTGGTCTTGGATGTAGGCCTCTCGGCTTCTGAGCCTAGCATCACGTCAGGGCAAATACTGAAGGTCACCGCGAACGGGGAGCTTCGGGAAACAATTTTGAAAGGCCAAGCCCTTCCTGACGGACTGGCAATTGACTCCACCTGCAACCGAATGTTTTGGACTTGCATGGGAGTTCCAGGCAAGTCTGATGGAGCAGTATACTCTTCCAACCTTGACGGGTCCGATATCAAGACTCTGGTGGCTCCGGGTGTTGTGAATACGCCTAAGCAACTTGCTCTTGATTCCGTGGCACAGAAGATATACTTCTGTGATCGGGAAGGGTGTCGAGTCTACCGCTGTGGATTCGACGGTTCTAATTTGGAGGTGTTGGTCGACAACGTTGCCAATGACCTTACATCGGAAGAAATCGTCTTGAACTGGTGTGTGGGCATTGCAGTCAGTCCAAGCCTAGGGAAATTCTATTGGACACAGAAAGGACCGTCAAAGGGTGGCAAAGGCCGCATCTTCTGTGCCGACATCACAAGGCCTAAAAGCGTGCAGTGCATCCTGGGTGGTCTTCCTGAGCCGATTGATATTGAAATAGACGCAAGTTCTCGCACCCTTTATTGGACTGACCGTGGAGAACTTCCCTGGGGAAACTCATTGAACAAAATCAGCTTGGGTGAAACTGGCCTTCCTCATCTAGCTGGGTCCAATGCGAAGCATCAGACCATCACCAGAGGGCTGAATGAAGCCATTGGCCTAAAGCTTGATATTGCCAATTCTCACATCTACCTCACAGATTTGGGTGGAAGTATCTACCGGTGCGATCTGGATGGCAGTCATAAGCAAAAGATCTACTCTGAAGATCATCGGGCCTTTACTGGGATTGCTCTTCTAGGGCTGTGAAGTATATATTTTTCATGTTTTCCATAGACGTTGCAAATAGACCAAAATACGAAATGCTGTCGGATACCTCGGCAAGGAAATGACGTAGAGCAGCCACCTCGGCTGATATGTAAGACTTGGGCACTCTCGCAGCCTCCCGAGGATCAAAACACTTTGAATATTGAGAGAGTCAGTATGTCTACGCGCCGCTATCGATCAGCTGCTGCTTGTCAAAACTGCAGGCAGCGCAAAGTCCGCTGTAGCGTGACGGTAACCGGCATCCCCTGCATAGGCTGTACACAAGATGGCAAAGAATGCCATCTTCCAGCAAGAGCCCAAACGTGAGACCTGATCTTTTTGTCATGAATAAATTGATTCTAACTATCTCAGGATGCGCGAAAAACATGCACATCGAACGAGTTCTGCAAAGACCAGCCCGGTCAATGCGCACCCTAAGGGGTTGACCTCTCAGTCGTCGACATCGGTGGATGCATATCCAGAGGTCTCAAATAGCCAGAGTCTGAATCACTCTCGAGTGGCGACTCCAAGAAGTGCCTCTCGTCCAACTGAATACCCTCGTGGCGGTGAGGAAGAGCAAACTGGTGTTGAGATCGCAACCAAAGTTCTGGGAAGTAACAAGAACGGCCAAGCGCCATTTTACACCGGTGAGTAATTTCATGTGTAAAGACTTTATTTTACATGAAGCTTACCCAATAATGTAGGAGATTCGCCTGGATTTGGTGGTGTCTTTGATATATGTTCCTCGCCCCGACAGCCCATCCAAAGGCACATCCTACTCACTTCCAAAACATCGACCAATTTATCCTCTGAAGACAAACAATACCTACAATACAAGGGAGTCTTTAACTTTCCTCGGAAGGAGACCTATGATGAGATTTTACAGGCATATTTTCATCATGTACATCCTCTTACGCCCGTGATAGATGTCTCAGCACTTCCACATCTCTACCCAACTGGAGATAACCAGCAACACAACCTACTTTTGCTGTGGAGCATCTGCTTTGTTGCAACAAACGTGAGGCTACAATGCCCTCTGAGCTCAAGCTTGATTCAACTAACGCAATCTTAGTATGTCTCGGTCGATACTTGGCGACTAGAAGGCTTTTCCTCCAGAAAGCATATGAAAGACTCTATGTATTATCGTGCAAAGGTATGTACCATGGCTCCCTAGTACATAGTTTGTACTGACGATAGTCAATCAGTGCTTGCACTATATCGGAGGCGAAACAGACCACACGGTTTTGCTACAATCAGCCCTACTCTTGGGATTCTACCACTCTGAAGCCGATATCCACACGCAACCATGGTATTGGCTTGGTGTGGCAATCAGCCTTTGTCAATCAATCGGCCTTCATCGTTGCTCCAGCGCAGTCTGCGCTACTTCGCCTATCTCCGAGCAGCAACAGCGTCTTTGGCGTCGCCTTTGGTGGATCTGTGTTTTCCGAGACCGTTGGCTCAGTCTTGTCATGGGGCGTCCATTGAGAATCAATATGAACGACTGTAACACTATCATGCCTTCTGCAGATGATATGCTAAGTGATTTTGCCGACTTTCCAGAGACTGCAGCCTACATCCCCAGGGATTTGCCGCAACTGGCGGATCATTGGGTCACCATGATTCAACTAACTCGGCTCTTGGGCGACGTTCTTACCATGAGCTATCAACCATTTGGACCCAGCCCGTCTTTTCAACAAGTGGAGGATCTTGAACGAAGGATACAGCTATTCCAGCTCCCCAAGAACCAAGAAACAGTATCAAGTTCACTTGCAACCTTTTACTTATACCACCTGGAGCTTCATTACCAGTGAGTTCAAACGCTTTAGAAGAAAGCTCTTCTAACAAGACATAGAGCATTTCTCGTCACCTTCTATCGCCCATTCATCACCAAAATACCCGAGGGGCTCCCCGTATCTCGCCAGAGCTCATGGCAAACCCACGTCCGAAACGCGATTGATACCGCTGCACTACAGACCAACACTGTCCTTGACAGTCTGGTGCGTGAAAAGCTACTAGATTGCTCTGGTCCCATGACGTGAGTGCGACGCATTTTATCTGAAGAACTTGTCTGACAGTCACTCAGACCACCCTTGTTAGTGCCAGCTATGCACGTCCACCTCTTGAATTGCAAATCGCGCGATCCTCTGTCTCGACGTCTCGGTCTCAACAAGCTAGAATTGTGCATGATGGTTCTGGAGCAGATGCAACATACTCACCCATCCTCTTCACTGTTCCGGGGTATCTTCTTGGCCGCTATTCATCATATTTTCCCAAGCTATGTCGCCCAGTCTACTATACCGGAGCTGGCTACATCTGAATCTTCACTGCCGCAGAATGTTTCAGTCGATGACCCTATGGCTGGAATCACGATCGGTGAAGATGCGATTGATGCGCTGATGGATGAGGTTTCAATTTTCAATTTCTGGGAGTCATTCTACAGTATGCAGACTTAATCATGTATGCCTGTTCGGTGAAGGACTACGCAGTGTATTTCTATCGATGAGAACCCTGAAAATCAAGTCGTGCGATTTCACATACTACAGGTCATCATACATGACGTTGCGTTGAAACACCCAAGTCACGCTAACCCATTGATTTCCAACGGGTTTCGCTGGGCGTAGACAAGATTCGGCCAAGCGAGATTCGAGGCTGGTCACGTGGCACACCCGATTAGTATAATCCTCAGACCTGTCAAGGTTGTCAGATTAATTATTTGGCGCAGCTCATACAGTATTTGACACTAAGATGTTAGTTCGGCTGACCCCATTGGGAAATAGCTCATTTATATGGGGGCAAAGGAAGCCATGGAGCGCGATCCTGCAAGTACATGAGGGGGACGATGAAAATGACGTCTGATGTAGACGTGGCTTGGAAACCACTGTTTGACCCTAGAAAGCAAAAGAAGCACTCTGAAGCAGAGAACAAGCCCTGTCTCAACCACTGGAGCAAATCAGTCGGGATTCCGTCCATATTTCGGGCCATTGACCATTCACATTGGACTGGAGCCGAGTCACGATGCCGTGTTGGGGCCGATCCCTCCCGATCTCTCCAGAGGCCAAACCTGCAAGAATCTTCGCACAGAGCCGAAACGAGGCCCGACATCTGGTCCAATGAGGGCATCCGCGCCCCGTGCAGCTGCCCCATGTGCATCTAACCCCTGTGGCTCACCGGTGAAGTTGGGGAGGGAAAATGTGTAACTGGAGAAATGCAACTATCCCCACACAATGACCATGTCAAACGGGTTCGTGGCGTCACTGAAAAACCACGCAAAAATACCGTACAGAGGACGAGTGGCAGGTGTCCAGTGGTGTGTGTTGTTGGATGCAGGGCAGGCTGCTTCCGGCGCACAGGGAACCTGCATACCACCAAATGCAGAGTCGTCGATACAAACTACTGTAAACTGCCAATAACACAAATCAACATGCAAAAACACCGAAACCACTGAAAACAGTCCAAAACAGATGATTTGCTCCGGTGAACCCGGCAAAGTATGCCATGGTACCATTTGGGTACCTCGTCCGTGGTGGCGGTTCATACGGCCGACCAAGTACTGCCAAGGTATCTGACCTCATGGAAACCCCTCCGTCATCTTCTTTTCCCGCTTTTGCTTTTACTTCGGCCTTTCGCTTCTTCTTTTCTTTCTTCACTTCACCTCTCTTTGCCTGTGCTGTACAAACTTCCCCCCTTTCTCCCCCAGCCGGCTTATTTCTTCCACCATGTCTTCCTCACTACTGTCCGAGGCCACCCGCATTGCGGCCCAGTTTGAATACCCCGCGGAACAGGTGCAGCGCGGGGTTGCCGAGTACATCAAGCAGTCGGATGAGGGCTTGGGTAAGGAAGGGACCACATTGAGCCAGATCCCAACCTTTGTGACAGCAGTGCCCAATGGCACAGAAAAGGTATGTGGGATGATGCGCGGGACAAGGACCGGAATACTAATCGTCCACCTTATAGGGCCTGTATCTCGCTGTGGATCTCGGTGGCACCAACTTCCGTGTGTGCTCGGTGCTTTTGCACGGTGATACGACTTTCTCCCTCACACAGTCCAAGATCCTCATTCCCCGTGAATTGATGGCCTCCGGCACGTCCAAGGATCTATTCCTGTTCTTGGCACGCCAGATCGAGTCTTTCCTGCGCATTCACCACAACGAGCACTTCGAGGCCCACCAGCTGCGTCGCCAAAATGGTAGCAATGAGGAGGACCTGTTTGATCTCGGCTTCACCTTCAGTTTCCCTGTGCGCCAGTGTGGGATCAACCGCGGAACCTTGATCCGGTGGACCAAGGGCTTCAACATTCCCGATGCGGTTGGCCACGATGTATGCGCATTGCTGCAGTCGGCCATTGACGAGTTGAACCTCCCCGTGCGCGTGGCGGCTCTTGTCAACGACACCGTCGGCACTTTGATGGCTCGCTCCTACACCTCCCCCGGTGAGACGGGAACTTTCCTGGGTGCCATTTTCGGCACTGGTACCAACGGCGCATACGTGGAGAAGACCAAGAACATCACCAAGCTGAACAACATGAAGGATGCTCACTTCGACAACACCACTGGTGAGATGATCATCAACGCGGAGTGGGGTAGCTTCGACAACCACATGAGCGTGCTCCCGACCACCGTGTTTGACGATGAGCTCGATGCCGACAGCAACAACCCTGGTGTGCAGATGTTCGAGAAGCGTGTCTCCGGCATGTTCTTGGGCGAGATTCTGCGCCGTGCGCTTCTCTCCCTTCACCACGACGCCAACTTCGGAATGTTCAAGGCCAACAAGACATCCAAGACCGTTCTCCCGGAGAAGTCGATGCTCTTCCGTCAATGGGGTCTAGACACCAGCTTGCTCAGCGCAGTTGAGGGCGACAGCAGCAAGGACTTGGTGGATATCAAGACCGCATTGAAGGATCACCTCGAGATTGAGAACCCCAGCACCGAGGAGTGCCAGGCTGTTAAGGTCCTGGTCCACGCCATTGGCAAGCGTGCCGCTCGTCTGAGTGCCGTCCCCATGGCCGCGATCCTGGTCCACACCAACAAGCTTGCCACCGATGACATCGTCGACATTGGTGTCGATGGCAGTCTCGTTGAATTTTATCCTAACTTCGAGGGCCACATGCGCGAGGCTTTGCGCTCAGTTCCCCAAGTTGGTGCTGCTGGCGACAAGAAGATTCGCATTGGCATTTCCAAGGATGGCAGCGGTGTTGGCGCCGCTTTGATTGCGCTCGTTGCTAGCAAGGACCAGGGCCTTGAAATTCCCCACGAGCCTTAGACTCTTCATACTTTCCATACCCTTCTATCCGTCCTACGGACTGATACACTTCCTCCTCGTTGACTGGCGCCTTGTCAGCCATTTCTTGCCTTCTCTTCGCCAACCTTCAAAATCTCTTGTTTAACTCTCAATACCCACTCCTCCACTTTTTCACCCAAACCCATGGTGATGCTGTCAGCTGAAATCGGAATCAGAAATCAGATCTTGACAGTCGAATTGCCAATGTGCAAGATTCCCTGCCAGGTGCTGTTACCATCTGCACTCTATTCCCAGAACGATGTCACATTATATTGGGCTTTATCTTTTGGCGTTACAGACGTTTTGTTTTCAGACCTTCCCGGCGTGGAATGACGATATCAGCACATTGCATTGAATTAAGGCTTTTTGTACTTTTCAATTCCATTTCTTGTTCATTTTTTTCCAATTAAAACATTTCAAGTTACCAAAACTCAGTCAAATATACATAAATGTTAAATGCATTCAATTATCAACAAAAGACAGAATAATTACACCAAAAGAAACCTAGTTCGTAGGCTCGTATCCAATAGCACTTGGTCCCTGCACATAGTCGATCTGACCAGCGGAAGACACGAGCATAGCGGAATGACCACCGTTATGCCTGGGATCAGTTCCAATAAAGTCATGAGGGAACCCAGGCTCAAAGCCCTTCGCCGACTCCAAGAACTCGATCTGCTTATCCGTCAACCGAATCGACAAAGCCTGGATGTTATCATGCAGATGCTCAATCTTGCGCCCACCAACAAGCGGGAAAACGTTAGGCGCCTTGCATAGCACATAGGCCAATGCAATTGCCGTCACAGACTCAATCCCATGCTCGGCGGCAACCTTCGCTAAGGCCTCGGACATGACTCTCTCATCCTCGGTCTGTTCACTGCCCATTACACTGCGCAACCCTTCACCTTTCTTCTTCCGCTCTTCGAGCTGCTTCGCGGTCTGGAAGTGACCGCTACCAAGGACATCCCATGGGGCCAGAGCCATTCCAAAGTAACGGGCCATGGGGAGGATATCGCGCTCAAAGTCGCGGCGCATCACGTTCCACCGTCCTTGGTACACGGAGAAGGGGGTCTTGCCGTGGGCGCGAGCATATGTGTTGGCGGCAGATACGACCCACGCGGGCGAGTCTGAGATTCCGAGGTACATGACTTTGCCCTGCTCGACCAGAATGTGGAGCGAGTCCATGACTTCCTCGATCGAGGTGGTGTGGTCCCACCAGTGCAGGTAGAGGACGTCGATAAAGTCTGTCTGCAGTTTGCGGAGGGAGTCGCGCACGCTGAGGATCATGCTGCGCTTGTGGTTACCGCTGGCATTGGGGGTCATGCCTTTGCCGACTTCGTGGCTGCGGTATTCAGTCGTGAACTTTGTTGCGATGACCATCCGGTCACGGTTCTTGCGGGCTGTCATCCATTCTCCGATCCAGGCTTCCGATTGCTCGTTCTGGTAGTTGTTGGCAGTGTCAATGAAGTTGCCACCAGCTGCGACGAAGGCGTCCAAGAGGGCGAAGGACTGCTCTTTGTTCATGCTGCCCATAAATTGGCTCCATGCGTCACCAATTGACATGGCACCTAGCTGGAGGGGCGAGACACGAACTCCTGCTGATGAAGAGAGGATGCGGTAGCGACCCAGAGGGGTCGCGGGCTCAGGGGCAGGTCTGAAGAGCTCCATTATGATGATATGTTATGTAGTAAAGTGCGACTGTAAAGTAGATAGTAGATACTGTGGATGAGGAATGCACTACAGCTTCCTATGGGGACCTTTATATATGTTGAGCTCGTGTTTTATTACAAATGCTGGTCCGGACTTAACGAGTCGGTGGAAACGCTTAAACTTCCTATGACCGGACATGATGTCAGTGCATATAGATCGGTGTCGAATTATATTCGCTGACCATACTATATATCGGGCTTAATAAGGAGTTATGCTTGAGTGATCACGGTCTACCTTGATCGCTACTTTGATAGCTACCTTGGAGCCTGTTCTGATGTTATTACCATGAACCGTACAGTGTCTCCGGGGACCTCGCTGGAAGCTATCTTCTACTGGCACCAGAGAGAGTAGTATATACACAGCTTCACAACTGCATAGCTGTGTCTCTGCATAGTTGAACTACACCACTGCACGTCAAAACCCACGCGTAGCATCGAAGTACACGATCAAGCTTAATTCCAAACTCCGACGTGCTTCCGTGGTTCCTGACCGAGCTAGTCCCAATGCCGTTAGCCCCTGTCATCATGTCCCAATCGGGTTAGCCTTTGTCATCAACTACTAAATCCGAACATTCCAAACTGAACATCAAACTTGACTTGGAATTATAACTTATGCTTCCAGTATCTTCTTCAACTCGGCCGGATTTGGTCCATGAAACGTGTACCCCTGTCACCTCAACAGTGGTGTAACCCCGTTTAGTCATGTCTCTGTCTCTCAGGAGACTAGAGCAAGGGGCAGCTCAATACTCCAATCCCTCTGACCGCTGATTGGCCTACCCAGAGAACTACGTAAACTCCTGCAGCAATCGAATAATACTCGCCTGATCCTTGCATACTCCTGACTGTCCCAGGCGAGGCAACAACTTCACTTAACGTTTGACCGCGTTCAAGCGAGTCTCGTTTGACTCCTGTAATGACTTCATCGGGTGCTCTTTTCTGACATCTCAAGACGTCGCAAGGTCGGGATCGACAAAATACTGCTACCCATGCCTCTGGTCAACCGCAATTTGTGTTACTGTATGAGTTGATATGTTATGTCAACCTCGTATTTGTTTGTTGCTCCAGACCTGGCTCTGCTGCAAGCTGCACCTTGGCGGACTTTTCCACGTACCACCTGGCATATTGAAATACGATCGCAGGGTTGGCGTGACCTGGATTGGCCCTTTTCTCCTTCCCTAGGCAGAACCCATACAGTAGATCCTTGATGCGACCTGTCTCAAAGGCAGTTTCGTTTCTAATCTTGGCTGAATTGGCTCTTTTAATGCCTGCAAGCCCCTCCCTTCGTGACGATGTTTCCTCCAACTCTCGTTAAGCCCAATTCCGGGCAAAGTTTGATCGTTCTTGTTATTTCCTTAATTCATTCGTTATGAGATTCTTCAATTTCAAGTCATCTACAAAGGCCAATGAGCCCGACGCCAACGTACCCGTGGAAACAAACAACCCTCCAACCCTTGATATTCACCGCACACCGTCTCCTTTACCAGGCCTGAATTCGAAACCATCCAGCGAGAAAGAAAGTACTCTAGTCGATGGGTCGATCCGAAATTCAACATATAATAATGATTCCGAAAAAGAACTAGTCGCTCCGAGTCCAGCTCCGACACCAGAGCCAATGCTACAACAAAACAAGGATTCTACCGCGGATGAAGAGGGCTCTAAAAAGGAGGCTCCTAAGGAAGAGCTTGCAGATGGGGATTCAGACAAAGAAGTAGTAACCGAAGGGAAGGATGAAACCGATAAACCAGAGGAAGACGAAGAGGAGTATCCGTCTTCTTGGAGATTGACTCTGATCACTATCGGTCTTTGCTTTTGTGTATTCTGCTTGGCATTGGTACTTCTCCAAATCTACGTGATGTCAACATATAAGACTAACATGAATCAGGACAACACAATTATCGCAACAGCCATCCCCAAAATCACTGATGAATTCAATTCCCTCGAAGATGTCGGCTGGTACGGTAGTTCATATCTATTGACTACCTGCGCGGTGACCTTGACTTATGGCAAACTGTATACCTTCTACTCGGTCAAATGGATATATCTGGTTGCACTGATCATCTTCGAGGTTGGCTCTCTTGTCTGTGCCACGACTCCCACTTCGGTCGGTCTCATCTGTGGCCGTGCCGTTGCTGGCTTGGGAGCTGCGGGCTTGTTCTCCGGTTCTGTCCTCATTATCAGCAAGACTGTTCCTCTTGTGAAACGACCCATTTATACCAGTCTGATCGGATCGATGTTTGGTATTGCGAATGTTGCGGGTCCGCTGTATGTTGCTTCTGTCTCCGTTGCCATGATCTAAGCTAATACCGAACAGTATGGGTGGTGCATTCACTGACAATCTGACCTGGCGCTGGTGCTTCTACATTAATCTGCCCATTGGAGCTGTCACGTTTATCTTTGTGCTGTTCTTCTTCCAGAACCCCAAGCCGATTCTGACCAAAAATACCTTGAAGGAGAAGGTCAAGGAACTGGATCTGCTTGGTTCCCTCTTCTTCTTACCTGCTATTATCAGTCTTCTCTTGGCTCTGCAATGGGGTGGCACGAAGTATGACTGGAGCAATGGCCGCATCATCGGTCTCTTCGTCGTGTTTGGTGTGCTTATCCTGATGTTCATGGCCCTTCAGTACAGGGCTCAAGACCAAGCTACTATTCCTCCTCGGCTGATGAAGAACCGTAACGTCTGGGGTGCGGCGTGGTATTCCTTGGCTCTTGGTGCAGCCTTTTTTGTCATGACATTCTATGTAAGATCTTCCGTGTTTTCGTCGTCCGGTGCACACGCTTACATTCACAGCTCCCCATCTGGTTCCAATCTATCAAAAACGCAACAGCCCTCAAGTCAGGCATCATGAATCTGCCCATGATTATCGGAGTCATTATCTTCTCCATCCTGGCTGGTGGTCTCGTCACTGCCTGCGGATACTACACACCGTTCATGATCGTCTCGTCAATCCTCATGTCCATCGCCGCCGGGCTTCTAGCCACTCTGCAGACAGACTCGAACCACTCTAAGTGGATTGGTTATCAGGCCTTGTTTGGTATTGCCATTGGTCTGGGCATGCAACAGCCCATGATTGTTGCCCAGGCTGCCCTGAAGACCGTCGATGTTCCCAGCGGTATGGCTATTGTCATGTTCGCGCAGACTCTTGGTGGTGCCATTTTTGTCTCGGTTGGACAGAACGTGTTCCAGAATCAGTTGGTTCAGAACTTGAAGATTTACGCCCCGGATGCGGATGCCGCAAAGCTCATTTCGGCCGGTGCTACTATGCTGCGCTCTGTTGTGTCTGGACCTGAACTTCACAAGGTGCTTGTTGCTTACAATGCTGCCATCACTCAGACATTCTATGTCGCTGTCGCGATGAGCGCATTGTCCCTGGTCGGTCCTATATTTGTCGAGTGGATCTCGGTCAAGGGCAAGAAAGTAGAGATGGGTGCCGCCTGAGGTCCTCTTCGACCACGAGCGACATCTTCTTTCATGCTCTTCTATTCTATATACTTTTTTTCCCTTCTTTCTTGTGAAGAATTTTCGTTCTCGAATTTGGATGAACATGGCATTAGAGCATATACCTATACCTCTCTGGTGATTTATGATAATTTATACACGTATACTAATGTCAATCAAAATGGTCTTGTTCCCTGTCTGATCTATCTGGGATCGCTGAAGTGCACATAAAATTAAGAACGCCTCAAACCACCGCGTATAGGCTCAGATAGACACCCCAAATCACCCCACAGGCACTTCCAAAGACAACCCGTCGATCCACAGGAATGACTGTGTACATTAAAACAGATACCAGGGGCCGATATTTGAGACGAGCAGTCATAATGGGGCGGAAATCCTACTATCGTCAGTTTCTGCTACACGACGCGTGCTCGTGGAGGCTCATGCAGTAAGCAACTCGCTTACCTCGATAACCAGCTCCCACACCCTGGGCAACGCCTCCCCTTGAGAAGATTAATCAGAACCACAAACAGAACAAGATTCACAACCGATGCAACGGTTTGGTCGAAGAAGAACTTCATGATGAAATTGCGCAGTCCGGAATTCTGGACTCGCGGTGCCCACCGCACATGTTTCTCTTTTTCTTTGTCGTGGCTCGGAAGTGTTTCCTCCTTGAGTGAGCCTGAGAAAAGAGACAGCCATGCTCGGGGCGAGAAGAGGGCTTTTAGTGACAAAGAGCGGACTGCGCTGGTGAACTCGGCGCGTGTCGGGAAGCCTGGGTAACGCGCTTCCAAGGCGCGTTGCCAGTAGAAATTAGGTGGTACAATAATTAAACCATAAGTAATGAATTGAATGAGTGCGAGAGTGTTGAGATGAAAAGGTGCCTGGGGAGTTTGTTAGTTTTCTTTGCTGATACGGTTGGGCTGTTGACTGTACTTTGCTGTTGCGCTGGTCAATCAGCTGGGCCAGAACATTGGAGATGGCATTAAGGAGTGTTGCCTGTACAAAGGTCACAACCAACGGTGAGGGCATATTGAAGCCCCTTGATGGAGTTTCATGGAGTCGCAGTTATGCAGAGGTGAAGAGGGTTTGATGCCAAGACGCGCAACCGTGTCCTGACAGCAAACACCAGTTGGCCCCCTGCCTCCGTCTGTCTCCTCTCCAGAGTCCGATTTGGGATCTGTACTATAGTGGAATTTTATGTTCGGAACAGGAGGAACTCTTTTTCATTCATTTACTTTCGTCGGAAAACTACATTGGGTCCATTCTTAGCACTGGTGAAGTGATCCGTCAGTGCCAGATGTCCATCCACTTCACCCTCACGATCAGCCAAAGACATATCAAACAGGAATACTAAGCGTGCCAAGGTCAATCGCATTTCCATAAATGCCATGCTCTTGCCAATGCACCCACGAGGTCCAATACTAAACGGACAGAACGCGTGACGAGCAGTCTCAATGCCTTCCTTGGTGGTCTGCCAGGTGACCCCAGCACTGGTGCATTGAGCGCCCTCGATCCAGCGCTCGGGGAGGTAAGTCCCTGCTTCTCGGTAGTATCGTTCTTGTCGGTGAATGGAGTAGGTCGGGGTCCCACAGTCCGTACCGGCAGGCAAGAAAACCCCGTCGATGACAGCTCCGCCTTCCATCACCTCCCGGGGAATCGCGCCTGGGACTGCTGGTGCCAGACGAAGGGCTTCGTCAATACAGGCCTTGAGATAGACTAGCTCGTTCAGTCGGCTGCTCGCTATGATCTCTTCCACTTCATGGAAGGCACCGCGCACCTCGGCGGTCAGCTTGGCCAGTGCATCCGGCTGTCGGACGAGGTAGAAGAGCGTCGCTGCCAATGTGGTGGAGGTTGTGTCACTGCCGGCAATCATGAGCACGTTGGATTCTCCCCAGAGCTCAGGTGTGCTGAGGCCATTGCCGGTTTCTGGGTCCTTCGCGTTCAGCAGATAGTAAAAGAAGTCCTTCTTGGCATCGTGTCCAATCAGGGTCCGTTCTTTCGCCCGCTCGTTGGCTTCAACGCGCGAGTTCATGATGAAGTTCCATCGATCGCGTGTCAATTTGCGGATGAAGATCTGGTCCAGACCCCATGTGTCGAGAGGCATCCATAGTCCACACTACGAGAGTCAGATCCGGTTCTCCAATCCCAGCGAAGAATAGAACTTACCACATAGTGCCGGTTCGCGGCGCGGTCTACTAGTCCGACTTTGTGTCTTTGAGAGTCCGAGACCAGCATGTCGAAACTCTTCCCGAAGCAGAGCTCGCCCATAACATCGTATGAGAGATAACTGAACCAATTTCCCATATTCTTCACATTGCCTTTCTGGTCATAGGTCTCGAAGTTCCCATCATAGCCTGCCAGGACTGAGCAAAGCTGGCGTACGTGGAGAAGCATCACATCCTCCATGCCCTTGAGGGCATTGTCCGAGAATGCCTGACTGAGCACTCGTCTCTTCCGGCCGTGCATCGTCTTGTCAATTGCATTGTGGGTGTTGTACACCCCCTTGATGGCCGGGAATGCATTGTAGAAATCCGCCTTCTGCAACCGCTTGCCGTGTCCATAGATGTCATGCAATCCACGGTCTGAGTTCACGGAGACAAAGTTCGGTGCGACGCGTACGTGTGTCCCGTATTGTCGGTGGAGATTGTGCAGCCATAGATGGCGGTCTCCCTTCAGGCCATGATACAGTTGAACCCAAGGTGTAATTGATGCGAGTAGGGGGCCGTTGATGTGGTGTAGAGGATGCAGGAAACGGTTGTACACAGAGTAGGCGAGGGTCTATTACTGTTAGTGAGATCTAGCTGTCTCTATTGGGGGGGGGGGCGATAGGCATACGGCAAGGGCCAGAAGACCAGCTATCCCTCCCCACACTCTCTGCAGGGACATACAGTCCAGTAGTGATTCCACAAGCATGTTTCAAAGAGTTGGAACAAAGCCTTCCCAGCGTTCCGGGGCTCGAGGTCGTATTGGGGGCTTATATAGTTCGCGGCCGAAGATACCCGCGCCCAGCCGAGTAATCGATGACGGAGAACCAATTCGACTGCTTTGGGCTCATTTGCTCGACATTTGCCTGTCATCGGCCTGTCATCGGCCTGTCATCGGCTATAGGCGGGTGTTTGCCTATGAGCCGTGGCCCTAACCGCGGGGATGCATGTTGACGTATGGTACTTTGGCGGGGGAAACCATCTCTCGGTGTTGATTCCAGCCCGTCATCTCCAGCATCTCCGGAATGTAACAAGCCGAATTGGGTACTCACCCCGGTAATATCTTATCTTCCCTGTCAGACATTCATGGAATCGTGATTGGTCTTGACTGCGCCGGTCAGACTCTTGAGATGAACGGAGATGTCAGACTTCAGCCTCGTGACCACTCGAGTGTTCCAGAAGTTGAGGTTGTATAGATAAGTTTTATTAGCCATAGGGTGACCCCTTGCACGATGAGTATCAAGGGAATAAAACGAGCCTTGGGTTGGGATATCGTCACGAGCTATGAACCATAGCAGTCGCCAGAAGGCAAGGATATGAAGCAGTAAACGGTTTCGTTACAAAACCATGGTAGTGAATGTACTTCATGTCCTCTTTTGCGTCTGAATGCGGTATCTTTTTTTTCCCTTCCTCGCAAGCCTCATTTGGCGCGATTGTAGATCATAGAGAAATGGCATTGTCAAAAGACTCGAGACTGTTTTTGTCCCTTGGCTATGTTTTAGAAACGGCCGCGGCCAATCTGATGGACTATTTGAGGTTGTCACTCAGGCGTGAATAGCTCCTTGGCATTCATGCTCGCCGGGCACCCCGAGGGGTCCTATAAAAACGTTCCAATTGCCAATCCACTTACTTCATCCGTCTGAGGACAATGGAGACATGTCCTTGTCCTCTACGAGTCTATCCAGCGATCCTTCGGTCTATCAATCCCGCCGGGCACCCTGACAACTCTCTCTTGCCATTATTCCGTCAATCACAGATATAGCGGAGAAACAGGTATCTCAGGAACCGGTAAAAGATCAGAGAGTCCCCGAGTATTCAGCTGCTATATACCGGAAGGACCCTGGTTTCTTTGACCGACCACACCCCCCCCCCCCCCCCCCCCCCCCCCATTCTCCCCATTCTTCTTCTATATGTATATCGTCAAAGCATTTTGAATAGGCAAAAGAAAAAGCCGTTGCATTCTACATTCAACCCGATGTTTACCCGTGTGACGAGATAAAGCTCACGGAAGTCGTCCGAATTGCCAAGTCATCACCAAATGGGCCTGGTTGGCGGATCTTGGAATTGCGTGGGTGGTTTCAAGACGGACACAGCCACAATGCCAATGCTGCGGAAATCTTGGCTTGGAGCATTTTCACTCATAGCTTCGGCCTTGGCATGGGAGAGTTTAAGCCAAGACGGAGAATCAGACGTAACGAAATGTCTTATATTCGCGCGAAAGGGTGGAATACACCCTGGTCGAATTTGGACCCTGCATATCTGCAAAAGGGCCAGAAATGTGTACATAGTGCTATGCACTTGATAATCACCTTCTAGGCGAAAATTCCGAAGCGAGTATGCCTGTTAATGTGTAGTTGCGATCTTCTGGTCTCGCTTTGTCGGCCTTGGTGGCCCAATTTTGACTGCCGCTATAGTTCTGCATTGGCATTGCCAACTATGAGCCAAGACGGAGAGCCAGATGCCGAAGACATTCTCTGTCTGCGAAATTGAGCACGATAAAACGGAACTAGACAGAGCTAGGGTCTGGACCCTGCATCAGCAGTTGACCTCGTGGTTTGGGGTACTGGCTTCCAGTACTTCCACTATAGCTTTGCCTTGGCATTGGCAAGCTTAACCCCAGACGGAAAATTAAGGGTTAGGAAATGTCTTGAATTCCGCCAAACGGTCGACATAGATTGCATCCGCGCCAAATCAGGACCTGGTTTCTGCATGCTCGGTGGGTGTCGTCGGCATGCTTCACAGATATTAAGGAGCTCTGCGGTATATGGGCTGAGACAATGCTTCCTTTCTTGTTAGTCTCCCCAAAATATAAAAGGGCTCTCGTTCACCCTCGATACAATCAATCATCCATTATCAATCATCAACAACTATCAACAAAGCAAAATGCATTCCAGCGCTATCCTCCTCGGTCTCATTGGACTTGCCAATGCCCAGAGTCTTAACATTCCCTCGCGTGTGGGTAGCATTATCTCGCTGCCTTCTCCCAGTGTGATCTCGGGCAGTGTTGATCTGGGTAACCACGAATACGATCGTGGCCGAGCCTGCGACAATGATGATGACACTGGTATGTCAATGTCACTGTCGGAAACAAGCCCCCAGAGCTGGAGCTAATGGTATAGGATCCGACAACGCCGTGTTCGTCTTGCAAGATGGAGCATCGCTGAGCAATGTGATCATCGGAAAGAACCAACTCGAGGGCATCCATTGCAAGGGATCTTGCACCCTGACCAACGTGTGGTTCCGTGACGTGTGCGAGGTGAGTCCCATGTCGTGCCAACTTGGCGTTTTCCTACTAATCAGTTTGCTACAGGACGCCATTTCCATCCTGGGAACTGGAAATGCACTCATTAAGGGTGGAGGTGCCCAAGAGGCCAAAGACAAGGTCGTGCAGCACAACGGCAAGGGAACCGTCACCATTGATGGATTCACCGTCGTCAACGCAGGCAAGCTGTACCGCTCGTGCGGCAACTGCAGCAGCAACAAGAGCAAGAGTCCTCGCAATGTGGTGATCAAGAACGTCAAGGCCAAGGGCGTGGATACCTTGGTTGGAATCAATTCAAACTACGGCGATACTTCCAGTGTCAGCAACACTTGTGGCTCCAGCGTCAAGCATGTGTGCCAGGAGTTTGAGGGTGTCGACAAGTCTGCTGGAAAGGAGAGCCCTAAGCTGAGCTCGACTGCTTCTTGCAAGGGGCAGTCGTCTCTTTCTTCTTGCTAAGTTAACCACTTCCCAGTGATTGGAAGAAGAGAAGAAGACCTTGCTTGGTATGGCCTCAAAGGGGGAAAGGAGTCGGAGAGAAAGAGAAAGTGAGCAAACAGATAGCTATCAATGGCACTGAGCTCGATGTCAGAAATTAGAATCTTCTCATTGAAAGAATATCGCCGGTCGTTCTTGAGCTATCATAACACTTGGGTTTATGTCCCTTTCACGCCGTTACTCCTGTATATATAACTGCATAGTACTCGAAGATGAGCAAAACTGATGTGTGATTCATTTGCTTCGTAAATTTGTGTAGATTGCCAGTACTTCATGCTCAGTATCGGCTCGAAGTGACTCAATAAGTTAGGCTCGGGGATTGCCCGACTCCACTGCGGCTTCTCCAGGGATTTCTGCGATCACCGCCGTTAACCGAGAGTAATCAGATATCCGCTTTGAGGGGCCGAGATTGGAATGCGGCACGACGGTGGTGTGGCTTGAGTATCTCACTGGTATCAAAGTTTCATATTGAAACTGGTTTGTGACCTTGGAAATAGCATTTTAGAGTCGTTTCCTCTGTCCCATTTGTAACTCGTGGTTTGGTTCATACTCGCGAGCATTGGCAGACTAGGTAGTGTGTCCATGGGCTCCCCCATCAAGAATCCACTGCTCATTGTCATCATTGTCATCTTGAACACGTCGCCAAGTTGATTTCCTTTCAGTCTGCTCCGCTGCTTCGGGCTTCTTCCCTTCCGGAGCCTTCCAGACAGGCCGCAGAAGACCACCGGCCGCGAGAAGCGGGTTCCGACTGAAAGCATGCTCACCTCGTGGGAGTTCTGTGGCAACTTCTTCAGCGGGCTCGGATTCACTGGCCTCCGGCGTTGAATCTGCTGCTGCATTATGATACACACGACGAACTTTGCCGCCCTTGATATCCAAACTCATGACTGTCTTTTTCCTTTCCCACTCGGGACGAGCCTTCTCCTCCATTTCACGTTGAATGCGCTGCTGTTTCTTCAGTGCCAGTGCACGTTGGACAGGGGTCATCCATAATGTTGAGGCAACGTTTGGTGTCTCGAAATCAGCCGTTTCGTCGACAACCTTGGTTCGGCGGGCATTCTGAGCTTGGAATTGAAGCAACTTGTCGCGGTGAGCTTTGGCAGCATCGAGTTTATTGGGAGACGCGGACCCAGTGCCAGAGTTAGGCCTAGGTCCTCCTTCATGGTGAACTCCTTCATTGTGTACCCGCATTTTTTCTTGTCCGCGCTCAGCACGTAATTCTCGAATCATGTCTTGCACTTCCTCTGCCGAGAATAGTGGTGTGCCACAGAAGGAGCATGGCTGTAGACCCTCAAGCGAGCAAATGATCTTCCCGCAATTCATACAATTTGGGGCTGGATCAAAGAGTGGGTGCAGGGAAGCATAGCAGTTGCATTTGCGTCCATCCCCTAGCGTCGGATTTGTCGATACCTCCAAGGCAGCAATAGCAGCAGTCAAGTCCGAGATATTATTCGTCGTCAGAGCTGCCCCCTTATTATTTGATCCAGATCCAGCTTGTCGCATTGATTTGCTTGTTTTTGATCGAACATTTGGTAGCATATCTGAGATTGTAGGGCCGATTGCTGATGGCGGCAGCTTTGGCGTTGACGCGGGCAAGGGAGAGGGTATGTGCGATGATTGTGAGGAAGGCTGAGAGGATGCCAGGCTTGTATTTGGTTTGCGCGAGGACATATAGTCCTCCTCTTCTGCTTTCATATAGCCACCTCCAACATCGCCGTAGTTGTCTGGGCGGCGCGCCGGACCAGCGCTGTGCAACGGGGCCTTCTTCTTGCCCTTCTTAGCTCCCGACGATCGCGGTGCATCTCTGTTTTGGTTTGTCTGACTTGACATAGTCTGGGGGGTCTGTCGAGCATCGCGGCGCGTGTTGAACGAGTTGAAAGAGCTGATGAATTCAAGGGCGGCGGGGGAGTCACCGAGCAGGTTTTTGAGATGGTCGGCGCAAGCGTCCTTGGGGAGACTGGCGGCATATTCGATGACCTGTGACAGCGACTCTTCATCAAGAGGAAGAATCTGGGAGAGGCGAGGAGCTGCCCAAGCGTTAATATCGGCCATGTTGTCGAGCGTCGAGCGTCGAAATGGTGAAGTGTCGTGACTTCGGCCCCCCACGTTAACGTTGAACACCTCGCAAGTATAAAAAAACTTATCAAACATATAAAACACTTGTTTTCTTGGGATTTCTCATCGCCGGGCTTCTTATTGCCCTTCAATAGTCACACTTATACTCCCTAGGTAGTTTTATCTTTTTTTTATCTATTGTTACAATAGCAGTCCAGTGAAGAGAGGGCACTCGGCTTGCAGAGTACAGAAGCACAATATCGACGCCAGTAAGCTATAGACTACGGTGCAGCACAGATCATGGGAATCAGAAGATGATAAGAGTCAATTGCTTGTTTCTGCAGTGCAATAGTCCACTGTATTCCATGGTATGAAGTAATATACAATCCTACAACCACCCTCCCCGTCGTCATTCATCTATGCAATTTCCCCGGAGTCAACAGACTCCCCCGAAGACAGAACCGCACCGAACCCAAAGACGCCGTGGGATATGCCCAGAAAACAAAGCTCGAACGCCGCGGACACCATGATAGAAAAGGAAATATAGTTAGGAAGATACGTCGCTGTGACTCAGTCCGCGTTCTCGCTCTTGATGTCGTCGTCGTTGTCCTCGGCTGTGAAGGATTGCTTCAGCTTGCTAGGACCGGGCTTGCTGCTGGAGCCTTTCTTGGGCCCATTGAGCTTTTTCTTCTTGGTAGGACTGGGACTTCCGTCATCGTCGTCTGCGTGTGCGCGCTTCGGCGCTGAAGATGTCGGACTGTTGCCATTGCTGTCGGCTGTGGGAGTCTTGTTGCGCATGCTGGTTCCGCGACCAGAAATGTTCATACAACGGTCAAGGTGCTGTGCAAGGCGGTTCATGACAAAGTAACGGGGGCAAAGTGGGCATTTGGTAGTGGGAATTTCGGGAATGGTGCTGTCACGGTCTCCTTTTTTCTTTTTAGGGTTGGGCATGATGGCAAAGAGCTTGCCATGGACATCATGACCCGGCAGTGTAATCATCGGTCCATTGGTACAATATTCGCAATCCGAATCAGGAAGCGGCCGGGACATGACCCCGGTGCTAGGGTACATGAGCTGAGGAAGACGGCATTCAGGGCATACAAGCTCCTTGACGGTGTGCAGGGGGTTGCCTTTGAGGTAGACTTTGCCACGGTCGTAAGTGGCCGCGTCGGTCTCCATGCGCATGGTCGATAGTTTCTTAGTATCTAGAACCACTTCTTTCTTGATTTCGGTCGAGGTTTTGCTGGGTGTATCGTCAGGCATGATTGCCTGGTCCTCCGCTTTCTGTCTCGCGACAACTACCGCGGACCGCATCCGGGCCGTCTTCTCCTCGCGATGAACTTTCGCGACGAGATCGTGGATGATGTTGCCAAACATCTCATTTAGGATATCAGTTGACTAATACGCTGTAATCAGCACTTGTAGTTCCCAGCGCGAAATCTTTTGCACGTACCACTTTCGCAATCGTCCCAGCAGGGTATGTTGGCCTGCGGCCACCGGTGGAGTCGGCCATTGTTGGATTACGTCCAGAAGTTGCGCACGAAGTCAAATATCAGCTTCCCAATGGCCGACAGCGGTGTTCGCCAGCGAACAGATATCACGTTCTTCGAACCAGCTGGTCCGAGGTCTAGTTCTCCATGTACCGGAACTTGATGCGAGGCGAAGGCAATCGGCGGAGGGCTGTCCGAGAAGGTTGGAATTTCTGTAAAGCACAAATCATAGAATGCTGCGAGAGGACGAAGAAACAATGAGGAGGGAGTGTCCTTGGCCTATTGTCAGTGAGGGCTCAATTGGGGGGAGAGGCTGTCGCTGCGTCGTGAATGGCCAACAATAGGGGTAGACAATCCATTCAATCCCACAATATTCAAAGAGCACTCACCCAAGAAGGAATCTATTGTCCAAAAGGCCTAACGTCCAAACGTCAAAAGTGCCAAAGTCCCGAGGAGATGAAGAGATGAGGCTGGCGAGTTGTTCACTGCTTATCGCTTATCGCATCTCCGCATTCGCCTGCGACTGTTTCTCTTCTCTTTCACTATGGCATATCAACTGTACCAGAGAAAGCAGAGGACTTCCTCGTCTTCTGCTCCTTCAACACCTTTGCTAGCTCTCCGTCAACCCACAAATCCCCCAATCCGCCCTCCTCCCGTTCACCCGCCTCAATCTGCTGTCGCAAATGCGTCTGGACCTAAGCGATCCAAGGAGGAGACATTTGACCCATACCCTCTTGATATAGATGGAAAGGCGACTCCACATTCACATATCACGGTTGAAAAAGTCAACACGGCGCATATCCCTTCGTTGGCGCGCATCACAGGCTTGCTCCTGCCAATCCGCTACCCAAACTCGTTCTACACGGCTACCATAACTGATCCGGTGATCGCTTCTCTGTCGCGGGTTGCTATCTACCATGATCACCCTGTTGCAGAAGTCCCAGGAGTTGGTGCTGCTGGAACAGACAAAGTGATCGGTGGCATTCGGTGCCGACTGGAAAGAGTCCACCAGCTGGAGAACTCAGCTCAGGATCCAGAAATACAGGGACATGGAGACACCAACCTCTATATTCAGACTTTACATTTGCTTTCACCATATCGAGGCCATGGTGTGGCAGCGTCACTCTTGAACACGATTCTTTTCGCGTCGCCGCCCGATTCCAAAACCAAGGAAAACTACCGAGTTTCTGAGCTTGTCAAGCACTATAACATCCGTGCTGTGACGGCGCATGTACATGAAGCAAACGAAGATGCTATGAACTGGTATCTTGCGCGCGGATTTAAGGTTGATGGCCATGTTGACGATTACTACCGCCGGTTAAAGCCCTCCGGCGCGAAGATCGTTCGGCTAGATTTACAGTGGGACGAAGTGACTATGAAAGAAGCTTCCCCGGAAAGCTCAGATTCTCAAAAAGGACCTTGCGATAACCTTGAGGATGAGGACTGGGAGAAGGTTGAGGCAGAGGATGGGGATGAAGGTGACCATGGCATCCAGCTCTTAAGTGAGTCGCGATTCATTGAGAAGCCGGAGACACCCTCGCGCAAGCGTAAGGCCGAATAAGAGAGCGACCTGCCTCAAGGCGAGTGAACTGACATATGCGGATTATAAACATAAACCTTGGATACCCTTAGCTATTGTCTAGACTTGTGCTGGTATTGCATCAACTGCATATATGATATCTAATTCAAATACGAGAAACGTTCTATTGAGTTAACTTATGTACTTTCTCCTGCATAATATTCGTAAAACTAAACATAGCATGACCAGCGTAATTCATGTAAACACAACGCCATGGGTATTAAAAAGACAAACAAAAACACTACATTAGATGTTATAATTTTCAGCATGCAAGAAGATTTCATCTTTCGATGAGTCCAACATCACTTGCAGCTGGAGTTTGGCCACTGTATTGGCAACTTCCACACGCATGCTGGGAGGACCACAGACGAATACACATGCCCGGCGGCCGAAGCTCTTAGAAAACTCATTGATCATTTGAGGGATGTTGGGACGGAAGTAGTCAGTACGCCAGTTGTCTCGCGCTCGCGGTTGATAGTATGCAAAACGTGGTGCTGGAGATACCGGAGGTCTCTGTGGCACTGCTTGTGATGTGCCAAATCCGAAGTCGAATTGAGGGTTGACAGATCCAGATCCAGGTGAAGCATAAGGGTCCATTGCTGGTTGATAGTATTGACGAGTGTTTGGCGCATGAGCAGCCGGGTAAGAATTAGGAAGAGCAGTGATGCCATCTTCGTTCTCACGGCGTAGTTCTTTTTCAATGTCCGGGTTACCGGCAGCTTCGGCGCGAATATAGGCAGAGTTCCGCTTGTCGATCCCCTGGAGCATGCCGTAGATCTTCTCCTGGACTGTATCTCGCCCAAGTTGATCATCTTGCTTGACTCCCGTAAGGAAGAAATGACAGGTCACAATGTTTGATGGCGCATAGTCGCGGCAGATACGCAACTCCTCCTGGAACCAAGACATTGTTTCTGGGCTCTTCAGTGCCCAGATGACTTTGACAGATTTGGTGATAGCTTTGCCATCTCGAATCTTCTTGATAAGGTCTAACAGTTGACTTGCAATGGCAGTAATACCACTGCCTCCAGCAAAGAAGATCACATCGTCAAAGGCAGCCATCTCACGTTGCATACCGCCATAGGGCCCTTCTAGAAATGCACTGTAGATCGTGTAAGGACCATTCTCTAAGGCTTTGCGGAAAGCCTTCTTTGTAAACCCACCAAACGGACGAAAGACAAGCGTTAGGTCACGATAGTTCTCACCATAGGCAGATGGGAAGTCGTCACTGCAGAGCGAGGATATTGTGAAAGGATGACTCTGGAGAACCGAGATTCTTGGCAACCGAAGGTAGACATACTGTCCAGGGCGCCATCGCATCTTTGTAGGAATAGTAACCTTGACAGCATTCTGTGGGAGAAGGGTGATGGCACATTCTTCTCCTATCAAGAACGAAGATGTGCGTAAAGGGTTTGTCCAGTTCAGGTAGAACAGTCGAATGATATAAGTGACGACCCAAATGGCGATGGTGGTGAAGAGATAGGCCCAGGAGGAAAGGTAGTTTCTTGTGTGCCAGAATAAAAATGCCACAAAAACGTATGAGACGGGTATATGAATGAAAACAAACAGCTCATAGAACCAATGACGGAATAAAGGAAGCGAATGAATGCACAAGACCAGTAGAGGCACCAGCGCTGCAAACCCGGTTCCATAAACATAGACGTGCGGAGGAATTCCTAGGCGATAGTTGACCAATGCGCCATCTTCCCAGATTGGAGTAATATAGAACGGAATCATGTGGACCAGGCACAGAAAGAGGCAGATATAGGCAGACCAGCGATGCAGCCCGTTCAACCGCTCAGGGCCCAGGCCGGTCATAAAACTGATGAAATTTGCTTTGGTGCTTAGTGCCACAATCCAAGGGACCATAGCCACTGCAAGCATCCCTGATCGAATAGCCAACGGGGGCGATCCGAGGGCAATCGACCAGTAGTATAGAGGTTGAGGCACAAAACAGTACAACGTCACAAATATCAGAGCCGCCAGTACAATCACTGTGACTGATAATGATGGAAACACAACTTCGACCTTCCAAGCTCTGAGAACTGGCATTGGTCTGTAAAAGACCCATCGCATGAAAGCAATTGCCTTGTTCAAGGGAAGAATCCGAGCAAAATGAGATTCGTGCCTCTTTGGAGTAGAGATGGCATTTGGCGATGGGAAAAAATGGGCATTGGAAGCATCTGTTCCAGCACTTGGCAGCTCATATTCATCCGATACGGAGTCGTCACGGAAGATCTGAGGTCGGTTCTCTTTGTGAAATGCAATTCGCATCTTGTCGCCCCAGATATGCCAGCATCGGATGAGAGTCGTGATGATCAGCAGCACGACGGCGAAATAGACGAATCCAACCCCATATTTGGCTGATTTTGACCACGGATCTCGTTGCATCTCAGCAGCCTCAGCAGCGGTAGTTGAGGCCGTGACTGGGACCTTGATCCTCTTGACGAGGGATACAACCGAGTCCCACATGGTGAAGCTGGTAGACAATGCGATGTTCTGAGTCTGCTGGTTAGAATGCCTTCGATGCCGCTGCACCAGTACTCACCAGATGTCCCGTAGAAATTTTGTACTATAGCGCCCAGCTCATATCTTCAAATTGAATTTGATGTCATCACAAAAAAAACCCCAAAAAGCAACTCTCGGGGGGAGATCCGGTCTAGAAGTATGCGAGGGCAAGTCACACAGACAGCTGTGACAGGATAAGCCCAAGACTCCGTGGGAGGAACCAATCGAATGCAACTATTACAGACTGGCTTTTCCCAGCGGTTCGCCAGTGCAAGTTCAGTGTGGAGGGATATCCCGTTGAGGCGTTCCGGTTTAGCGCTCTGACGCCCAATCACTCATCACATCGTGGGATGCAGAGTGACCGAGTGATACGCCCGCATTAGCGCATTAGCGAAAGTTGTTGCACGTCAGGTCAGATTCTCTTTTTAGACTCCAATCAGATTCTGGAATGGTTCCTGGTTTGTTTGGATATGTGAAGGTCACGCGCACATCAGTACCAAATTGCCCTGAATCTAGTCCAATGTGCATGCATAGCAGTCAAGCACCAGAAGTGAGACATATGTTCTTCTGTTCAGAGGCATCAAATACTCCAAATCAATGCAAATGGCATGGCATAATTACCTCGGGTATATTATGCCCTCAAGAACCGTCACATAGCATCAGCGGTGTACAATTTGTAGCTTATACGCGACAATATTCTGTCTTTTGATATATCAACATGTTCACAGAGTTCTGTTCAGCATGATCACAGACAAAAGGATCCCACAAGAAGCCTCGAGCTTGACTCGATATCTCAGGATCCAATTCATAATGGAGACAGTGCATAGGCCTCTTTGGTGTCATGGCCATGGTCTGCTGTCGGGGAGATTTTGTACCCGGCAGACTCTGGGGTTCACTCCTTGACGTTATTTAACTTGCAAGAAACGCCGTATCCATGGCATGGGGGTCAATAGGATTCGTATTGCCCTACTTTATAGTAGTAGACAGCTGATTGTACTAAACTGTATACTATAACGTATATCGCCGGTTCGGCAGTTTCTGTTTGATATCTTTGCAGAGTGATATTCCAAGTATACTAGAATATCTGAATGAACCTTTATGGGATTGATAGGCAATATTTGGCTCCGATAGTAATTCAAGAAAGGAAGGGAAGAGACTCGGATTTCGCAGAGTTTGAGATCTGTGGGCGCCTGAGGCATAAACTAGAGCTCCCACCGCCCTCGATAGGAAATTATTCTGCCACTGACGCTCATCGGCTTTTTCAATCGATTCCAGTCTTGACAATATCAGTCAGACATAATCGACCATGGCGTCCTCGACTGCTAATCACCCGACACCTCCATCATTATCCCTCCCACCATCCCAATTCGCCCGCCTCCAACCCCACGCCTATCTTCTCGCCCACCTTTCCCCACCAGCAGCAAGCAAGCAACCCTCGCTCCGTGCCAACGGTCGTGCAGCCTCGCAATTCCGTGTCACATCTGCCAATGCAGGCTCCTTAACCCACACAAATGGCAGCGCAGTGGTACGAATCGGTGATACTGTTGCCGTCTGCGGTGTTCGCGCAGAAATTCTCAACACAGAGGACATTGCTTCATGGAGTGTGTCGCACGCCTCCGAGGAGTCCTCCGACAAGACATCCAAATCTGAAGGAGACACTGACTCCCAAGATAAGGAGGACCAAGCCCATATTCAAGACTTGAACCTGCTGGTTCCCAACCTCTCCCTCAGCACTGGCTGTGCGCCGGGCTTCACTCCCGGTGCAGCGCCTTCCGCTCTCGCCCAGTCTCTCTCTCACCAGCTTCTTTCTCTACTGCACAGTACTCGTCTCGTTCAAGCCGATGACTTGCGCATTTGGTATCAGCCGCCAAATCTTGAGGCGGAGGCATTGGGGGAGCAGATGGATGTGGATTCGGAGGAGAGTGGAAACCCCGCGCGGGAGATCAAAGCTTTCTGGGTGCTCTACATTGATGTCATGATTATTTCCTTGGCAGGAAACCCGTTAGATGTTGCTTGGGCTTCTGTATTGGCTGCGCTACGTGATACCAAGCTCCCCAAGGCTTGGTGGGATGACGATAACGATACTATTCTATGCTCGGATGATATTGCGGATGCGAAAAGGCTCTCGTTGCGTGGTTTGCCCATTGTCAGCTCCTTCTGTTCCTTTGAAGCCGATGCTGCTGCTGGCTGGAGATCTGTTGTCATTCCCGATGCCGAAGAGCAAAAGGCACAGGAAGAGAAGCAGAGAAAGCAGGGTATGCAGCAAAGGTGGATCTTGGCAGACCCAGATGGATACGAAGAGGGATTGAGCCAGGAGCGGGCTTGTATTGTTGTGGACAAGGAGAATGGAGGCGAAGGAAAGACCGTCATTGTGAAGATGGAGAAGCATGGTGGCTGGGCTTTGGACGGGGATGATATGCGGCAGCTCGTGGATGTTTCTACTCAGAGATGGGATGAGATGAAGCGGATATTGGATCAATGCTGATCAAAATGCCATACACACAAATGATACCACTACACTTTTCTCTTTCGATCTCTTGTATCTTAATTGAACTAGGACTTGCAGGGAACGACAGGATGCTTAGCAGTACATTGAGGCTAAGGGTGCTGATAGTAATACATGGAGATCATTGTTCGGCCGTAAAGATACACGCTAGGAGACTTCATGATCGTATCACTGGCTCGATGGCTTCTTCATACTGCGCCGTCTTCTCTTAAGCGGGGGCTCATTGTCCCCATCGGCATTCAGATAGACCTGCGTCACTTTGTCTTCTTCGTCGTCAAGATCTTCGGACGATGAGGCTTCAGTCTTGCTTTTGGACTTCCGAAGACACGAAACAGAAAAGGAAATCAGGTCCAAATTCTCATTGTTCGGTTTGTTCCTTTTCTCCTTGTTGTCTTTCGTCGGCTTGGAGTCGTCGGTCTTCTCCTTGTCGGACTGCTTAGACGTTCTGTCGGCGTCTTTTGTCCTAGGGGTGTCTACTTCGCCAGAGAAAAGGCGCATAAGCAGACCCTTCTGGCTTTTCGTGGAGGGCTCCTCTTTAGCCTCTTCTTTCTTTTCTTCGTCATCTTCCACTTCTTCATCGGAAAAGTGCCACATGGTATTAATTTCACCCCGGACGAACGCAGTTCCCCAGAGAGATGTCAAGACGCCTGGAACCAAGTAAAGAAGGGCCGGTTGGGCATGGTTAGAGTATTGCATCGCGAGAAGGGTCATGACCATTCCGGCAACATAGCCAAATATACTAGCCTGGAAATAGGTCTTGGGAAATGAGCGAGCATCATGGTAAGGTGGTTTGATTTCTGGGGTTTCTCGCTGGAATGATGGGGCCCAGTAGCGCTCTCCCCAAGCTCCAGTTGGCGACTGATACTCGGGCTTCTCGACAGCCAGCTTTGACCCTTCAGCCTGTGCTTTTTGGGCGCCTTTTTGTCGGTAATAGAGGAAAAGATCGAATCGGAGTGCCAGTCCCATCACCATTCCTGGGACCACGATGTCACCCAGTCCAAGCATAGCCAACGATGTGGTACTAGGATCGTCATTGGCATTTGGTGGACGAGGGAACAACAACTTGATGGGCACATCCAGCTTAGTTGCGACCGTCACCATCAAGGGCGTGAAAAAGACGAAGTAAATGTCATAGAAAAACAGAGCACCCAAGATGAGAGTGCTTGTCCAAAAGGTGGACGGAGACATGGCCTGGAGGGTACCATAACAGAAGCAGAATCCAAGGAAATTGGTCAACCACCACGGTCTTGCGACAAAGGCAAAGTAGCCCACGGCTGACAATGCAACCACTGCGCTTATGGTATCAAGGAGACCAATACGACATTTGAAGCTGAATAAACCGCGCACTTGGGCGCGTACCTGAAGTCGCTGGAATGAAGCGTTTCGGCATTTCCAAATAATCTTAGCTATCAGGCCTGGGATTGGGATCATGCCCCATATCCCAGCAAGTGGTGAATACCGGACAGACGGGGACTCGACTGAAGTGTTTCCAACTGCGATGAACTTGCGCTCTGACTGTGCCACCTCCCACAGCTGTCCACGTTGATAATAGCGCCGAGGGAAGATAAACGACCGCAATATCATAAAGAAATCCTTCAAGAAGCTGAAGGCGAAGAAAAGGCCAATTAGGGAGAAGTAGATGCCGAGGATCTTGTTCAAGATGGCCGGGTCCTCTAACCATTTGATCACAAAATATAAACCACCAAGCGTAAGTCCAGCAGTCACTGGAAGCATCAAAGCATCTGATGGTGAAAGTCCTTCCATCTTCTGCGACAACCCTGGTCCGATCTCGTCCTCGGTGTCTTCATCTTCATTCTGGTCTTTCTTCGGCGGTTTGGCGGCGGACGAAGGTCTGGTCAAGGATGCATGGGAGCCGATCCAGATTGGGAAAAGAGCGGAAATAAGGAGGTGTCCATAGGTGGGCAAAAGTGGTCTCAATTTCTCGTAATGATAGATCGCCTGTCCCAGCAGCTCTGCGACAGGGCTGACATCGGACATGGTGGGCTGGTAATTGTGAAGATGAGGGTAATCACGGGAAGAAAGAAGCTTGGAAAAAGGCAATTAAAACAAGTTCAGTCCATGACTATAGAAATCAAGAAGCTGAAAAGGCGAGAAGCTGAGAAGCTGAGAAGGTCGTGTTGTCAAGAGATCAAGAGATAAAAGTGCCAAGCTCCAGGTCGATCCCGCTTTCCTCTAACACACTCTCTGCACTTTTGTTCCTCCGCATTCACAGCTTCATCATGGCGACTGAGGTGGCATTTGACACGTCTATGGTATTTGCTCTCTTACTCTTTCTATGTGCTCGGCTAAAATTCCCTAGGGTTCGTTCTCAGTAGAGCTCTACAACACCCATGCGCCTAAGGTATGAACCCCTCCGCATAGCTACTCAGTGCTTTTTCACTGACCTCCGGTGCTTTAGACGTGCAAGAACTTTGCGACACTTGCCGAACGTGGCTATTACAACAATGTCATTTTCCACCGTGTCATCCCTAACTTCATGGTCCAGACTGGCGATCCTACCGGCACCGGTCGAGGCGGTAGCTCCATCTACGGCGAGAAGTTTGAAGACGAGATTCGTGGCGACTTGAAACACACTGGGGCTGGAATTCTGAGCATGGCCAACAGCGGACCCAATACCAACGGCAGTCAATTCTTCGTCACACTTGCGCCGACCCCATGGCTGGACGGAAAGCACACAATCTTTGGTCGGGTCAAGAGCGGCATGAGGATCATTCAACGCCTGGGGCTCGTCAAGACCAACGGAGAGGACAAGCCCATGGACGAGGTCAAGATCATTCGCGCTCGAGTGGTCGAGGAAGCCACACAGGAGTGAAAATTGATACGTTGCGACCAGATGGAGGAATTCTACAGCGACTCTTACTCCTCTTATCGCCGAAAGAGACATACCAGATCAATGGACTGGAACCCCATATACCCTGCAGGTTGCGAACACAACCTGATACTGCTCAAGGGATGCTTCAAATTGCAGTCTGAATGCAATCTGAATGCAGTCTGAATGCTCCTTGTGTCCGTCCACAAGTTATACATACTACAAAACTTGGCAGAACAAGCTACCCAATAGCTAAGAATAATGAATGTATCACTACAAAACGAACCGCTTCCATCAGATGTGTCCATCCAGAGCAGCAGATACAGAGTGACAAGGAATCTTATCTACCACTCCCATAACGAAGTCCAGTGAAGGCCCGCGTCGATGAAGACCGAATTGCCATTGGAATGGCAACCGTTCTGTGCAAGCACTGGGAGTGGTATGAGAAGAGAGTCGAGTCCGCTGAGTTTTCCGCTTCTTAAGCCGCGGGGCCTAACCCCTTTGGGCGGTCACGTGGGCTGGATCTATCACCCCTCCAGCAGTAGTCAGTCTCTATACATAAGTCGAGAGAGACCACGAGAGAGCCCCGTTTCTGATATGGTTCCTCTGACTGGCCTCTTGTGCGTGTGGGATATTGCTCAATAGATTACCCATGGCTGAGTATACAATTCCTTGCTCATAAAGACTTCTTGCGATTACAAGCCTGATCTCACTCTCCTTGGTGCTCATTGCCATGCTCTTTTTGGAGAATGCGAAGCTAGGAGAAGACGGAGAAGCTTAGTTTGAAAATATGGAGCAGGTTCTAAGAACTGCAATAGCTGAGAACGAGCTCGAAAAGGATCGTACCGGACCTATGGAGCTATAGAGCATTGTCGACAATGTTGAGATATAGCTTCTGTATCACTGGGATAACCGCAAGCGACCGCTTGAAAATCGGCAACTTGATGCATGACACTAGCATTCTATTAAAGATTGCATTCACCATCGCAAAGAGAGAATCCCGTCCTTATAAGTCAATGTTGGAAGTGGTTGGAAGAGCAAAGTCTTGCTGCTGGAGTGGGGACTCGGTGACCGCCTTCGCACGCGCATTTCCGCGTTTCCTTCCACTTTTTTTTTCTTCTTTCTTTCTCTTCCCTCCCAACCTCGAGTCTCTGGCTTCAACACTATCCGAGAGACAGAGAAAAGAGATGCCAAAGCATCAAAGATCCAACTAAAGTTGGACTATCAAATCTGGTTGTAATAATCGAACTTACTAACAGCTAGGATCCTGATTATTCATACCATGGAGTCTTTGTCGGACGCCCCATGGGATGTGATCATCCAAGGCACTGGTCTTCCCCAATCCCTCTTGGCACTGTGAGTGATGTATCTGAGGGTGTCGGGGTTGAGCACTCACACTCCCAAGGGCCCTCTCACGTTCTGGAAAGAAGGTTCTTCACCTGGACTCAAACCACTACTATGGCGGTTCAGAGGCAGCCTTCAGTCTTGATGAGGCCCAGGAATGGGCAGCAGGTGTGAATGATGGTAAGAAGTCTCTGCATGCATTGACTAGACCGGTGCTAATTTCTGGTTGACAATAGCCATCACGGGATCATGTCCCTTCAGGGATGTCTCGATTTTGACACCACAGGCCCAAGATACACCAGATGCTTCTTTTCCCAAACTTGCTTCTAGTCGATCCTACACCCTGTCACTGTCTCCGCAATTTCTCTACACCCGCTCCAAACTAATTTCAAGCCTTATCTCCTCAAAGGTCTTCCGCCAGCTTGAGTTCATGGCAGTTGGTAGCTGGTGGATCTATGCGCCTGGACAAACCGAATCGGAGAATAGCAACCCCGGTGCTGAAAATGATTTTTATCGTGTACCTGGCAACCGGGAAGATGTTTTCGCCGCAAATCATATTAGCATGAAGTCCAAGAGGTCTTTAATGCGCTTGTTGCGTCACATCACCAAACCCAAGGATGATGAAGACAATGTTGAGGATGAGGAATTGTCTATTCCCTTCCACGATTATTTGACTTCCAAGTTTAGCGTACCAGAGGAACTTCATAATCCTTTGTTGTCGCTTACGCTCTCCCAACTGCCGCAGAAGGAGACATTGGCCGCTTATGCCATTCCCAGAATCGAGAGACATCTCACTTCCATTGGTGCACTTGGTCCCGGGTTCGGCGCCGTGGTCGCCAAATATGGCGGCGGCGCTGAAATACTTCAGGTTGCGTGTCGTGCTTCAGCTGTGGGCGGCGGTGTCTACGCCCTAAGTACAACGCTAAGTGAAGTCCGCCATTCCCAGGAAGATAAAGAACACCCTCTTCAGGTTAAGTTGCTCAGTGGAGAGTCACTTCAGACAAAATTCGTGTTTGGGTCGATGGCCGATCATCCTGATGAAGGTGATATCTCAAAACCTCATATCGAAGTCGCCCGCTCCGTGACAGTGGTTTCGGCCACATTCCCATCCCTTTTCCCTGTCACGGTCGAAGGTGCTCCTTTGCCTGCCAGTACAGTTCTTATGTTCCCAGGGGAAACCTTGGGTAACCCTCAATCACCACCTGTGTACCTTCAAGTTCATTCAAGTGACACAGGTGAGTGTCCACGTCAGCAGAGTAAGTCCACCATTTCTTCTTCTTGTTTCGCTCCCCGAATTGCTCGCATGATGATTTTTTTCAAAAACTTATCTACATTGCCTGAACTTGCTATGTTGAAAACCTTTTCAAACTGATACCGAGCACAATTTTGCAATTTTCTCTTCATTCGCATTGTTGTCGTTCAAGCGGCTAACCAATCGTCTTAGGTGTTATCTATGGTAGCGTGGCACTTGCTGGATCGGAGGGTCAAGCATTACTTGAGTCCGCCATCAACAGACTCGTTGAAGCAGATGGTCCTGGAAGTTCCGTCCTCTGGTCTCTGCGATACACACATCGGGGACGTCTCAGCACTGACGAAACCAGGTGGGAACTTGACAGTGCTGTGCCTTGTTACTTGCGATTCCCTCCCTCAAGTCTTGATCTCTCATTTGAGGACGACACTCTCGACCTTGTTAAGCAGGCGTGGAAGAAGGTCATGGGAGATGAAGTAGACGATGATGACTTTATGGTCTTTGAAGATCGCGATGGCGCTTCCGACCAATGACACGTAGCATAACGTTGATTTCACTATCATATTCAGTTGCACATAGGGTTCCAAAATATACTTGAATCAATTCAATCTCATTTTACCAGGCTTTAATCGCATGGATAGGGTGTCGTTCACGTCGGACGTGGGCGTGATATATGCCACCCATGTATATGAAACTCGCACTTCATGATAAAATCCCACAATATCAAGTCGCATTTGCCTGTGACAGTTGACCAGCTTTGCCATTCAACAAGAATATGCAACAACTGCTGCAGTAGTGACGCAGAGTTAATATCGGCGAAAAGTGTGAACCACTCAGCGTAACGCCCCATACGTCATTCTCCATGGCCGTTGATATAGATCTTGATTTGCTTGCTTTCATGTCTCTTGCATCTTCTGGGAATTCCTACCTTTCTCTGGTGCATTATTCACCTTGAATCGGGCACACATCTTCTTCCCAGCCCTCACCATGCCCATCGACAATGTCAGCGGGCTCACCGGCCAACTGAACCAACCCGTGAACCAAGTCCAATCAACCGCAACTGGAGCGACCAAGAATGTCAAACCGAGGAAGTTGAATCGAGCAACAAGGGACCTGACTGAGCCTGTCATCCCCGGCGAATTCCCTTCAGACGACGCACCCCCCAAAGAAGAAAAAGTCGATGGCGATGTTTCATTCTCCAGCATATGGGCGACCATCACATCATGGGCCTCCTCGTTATTCCCGCAAGCCTTTGATGCCTTTGAATCCTGGATCCGGTATATGGTTGCCAAATTACTTCCTGCGCCTCGACAGGCGGCCATGTATGAAGCTGCGCTCAAGCGCCCCGCCGCCACGACCTTTATCGTGTGTCAGATGATATGCTGCGGTGTGCCCTTGTTGGTTTTCCTCGCTGGTGTGTTTGTCTTTGCAGCTGTCTCGATATTGCTCTGGGCGGTTCTGTCGCTGCTGATTCTTGGTCCGGTGCTGTTGGTGACGAGCATGATGGGTGTTTCGCTTTGGGGTTGGGGCTGGGTCTTTTATGGCTTGGTCAAATGGATTGATCAGAAGTTCTTGGGTGGTATGATTACTCGTTTCTGGCTTCCTCAGACACAGGAGGGAGAAGAGGGAGAGGATGGAGGGAGTGGAGGGAATGGAGGAAATGGAGAGAATCAGCTCCAGGAAGACAAAAAGGAAGAGTAACGTTGATGGCTTATTTATGTGACCACGTATGTACATATTGTTTAATCACAGCGCATGCCAAATTGATCAATCGCTTGGGCTAATATGTCTTGTATGTTCACTCGGAGATTTGAAGAGACACAAATGGGACAGCAGTAAAGCTTTCGGGCATCGTATATGTGATGTTGTAAAAGCTAAACTCGTTGACAGAATGATCGGTGTTATAGGTCATGGTATAGTTTGGCATGGCATTTGTCGTCAACTTGATATTCAGCCCCGGAACACCTTCTAGTCCAGTGACGTTGAACCCATTGGGAACATTGAGGCCGCTGAAGAGGAAGTTGAAAGAAACAGGTCCATTGGCAGATGTTGCATTTGGGTAGGAGACTTTGAGACTGCCAGGGGCTGCCACGGCATGGATTGAAGACTCTGTTACCCAGTGAGAGATACAACCGATCTGGTAATCGTCAATTGCCCACTGGATGACCGCAGGCGTGAATTGGCTGGGATTGATCGCTGGTCCTCCAACAACCTGCTCGGCCACGGTCTCTGCGCCAATGGTCACGTTCTGGGACATCCATGTGGTGATGTTTCGTGGATATTGGTCGAAGGGTGGCGAGTAAGCTTGTGAAGTATACATGTGCTCGCCGGGGAATTCGAGCAGGTTTGTCTTGACCTTTGCTGGCAAATACTTCACCATCTCCGGCATCGCAAGGGCAAAAAGAGGATAGAAAGCAAAATCGTCTTGATGATACATCGACAGTATGTTTTTAGGGACAGGAGCTTGGTCGCGCCCAATTGTCCCCCAAATGACTGCGCCGATGAGAGAGGCATACTCATTCATATTGTACCCATAGCTACGATCCCACGGACCAGCCAGGTTCTTGAGGTTGGCATTGTAAAGCTCGCCAAGCTCTTTCCAGCTATATTTGAGCATGTCGGGGCCATACTTCTTCAGCAGGCTGTCGTTGGTGCCGTATTTGTTCCACAGCGCGAGCGCCCACATGGCGACGCCGGCATACGTTGGAGAGTTAAACTCAGAAAGAGTATGATGCATGCTCCAGAGATCATATATCTCTTGGGCAAAGTTCTCGCCGGACTTTGTCAAGTTCGCATCCCCAACTCGAGCGCCGACCCAGTTCTGAAGGATGGTTCGCATCAACCAGGGATTGGAGTAGCAAGGATACGAGTTGTCGCCGTCAACCCCTCCGACGCGGTATAAGTCCCCCTTTGCCGCGAGATGCAGGGACTTTTCCACTTTGGAGACTGTCGCTGCGGGCAGCAGATGGTCATAGTCGTTCAATGCTACAATCCAAGCACAGCCCACGAAATCACGAATGTTTGGATCCCACTAGATAGCGTGTTAGTGCTGGAAATCACCGACAATATGAACTCGCACTCACTGAAGTATATGGTCCATCGTCCGGATACACCAGTGTCCCGGGCTCTGGCTGAGCTGGCGCACCCTGGTAGTCTCCATACCACTGCTTGGATGGGTCCAGGTATTGGCCCGAAATCACATTGTCGAAGATCCGAATGGCCTTGGCCACATCGCCTGGTCCATTTCTGGCTAGCAATTGAGGCGCATACCAAGCAGAGTGTCGACTATCGTAGCGTCCAGATCCTTCACTTGCTGTGATCAGATAACCGGCTTCGTTGTCCCAATACTTGTCGTTCCATTCAATTGCAGTATTGAACATGTCTACTGCTGGCGATGAAGCCCTCGACTTGGACCGGTTCTCTAGCGGAGCAGCAGAGGCAATTCCGATATTGTAGGCATTGATGCCCAAGAGGGCCAGTGGTAATCTCATGATGGACGTTCAGCAATGATACGCAGTGGCAAGTCCAAATTCCGGTCGATGATCTCCTCTTTATAGCAATTCCGTTCGGCTATTGAGTTGACTCCATCCAGTTTGGCTCTATACTAGTCCGGCGATTTCTCCGCGATGTCCGAATACGCCGGTAGATTCCACATTTTCTTCCTGGCACTCGTTTTTTTTTTTTGGAGCAGAAGATCAGAATCATACATACAAGCCACTCTTGATTTCTTGTTGTGCATGGAAATTATCTGAATATTATGTACGGCCTATCTATGCATTTGCCGATGCCCCTAATTCCCGCCTACTAAGTAGCTTTCCCCCTCAACCCATGCAGATCGCCCGGGTATTTCCGCCTATCGCGTGCAGAGACGGACAAAGACAAGTCTCAATTCCTGCAGAATTTCAAGATTTACAACAACTTCGAACCCAGGGCGACAATCTGATCTCGTCGGGTCACAATCAAGGTAGAAAGGGCCAAAACACCAAATCGCAAGACCCATTTCGAGCGACCAGCTGCAAATCGATCATTCCCGTCACGGTCAAATGGCGGCACAGTCGGTGGGGACATCTGATGGGCCTTTTTGACGGAATACGGGGGGTAGCGTGCGGCAATGCACCATTCCAGCCACGAGGGGATGGCGTTGATGTGTGTGCGTAGATGGGAAAAGGTCAAGATTCCATGTCGTCCATGATAATTGCCCTGGCCGGCATTTCCCACACCACCAAACGGTGCATCGCAGGCTGCAACGTGAAGACCGCAGTCGTTGAAGGTGACGCCGCCGGACTTGGTTTCGTTCAAGATGCGCGCCTTGTCGGCGGATTTGTTGGTAAACGCGTAGATTGCGAGAGGGTGTTCCAGTCCTCGTGTGAATGAGATGGCCGTGTCGAAATCAGCATCGACAATGGGGAGAATTGGTCCGAAGATTTCTTCGGAGAGAAGGGGGTCGCCGGGCTTGACGCCAGTCACAATGGTTGGTGCAAAGTATCGACTGTTGCGATCTCGTTGGCCACCATATACAATTTTTCCAGAGGTTTGCTGGAGCAGGCTTTCCAGCCGGTCAAAGTTGCGCTCGTTGATGATGTGTGTATAATGGTCTGGCTGCTTTTCTTTGCCCCCTCGGAAGATGTCGAAATATCGACACAACTCGGTGACCAGATCTTCTCGCAGGGAAGGATGAACAAGGACATGGTTGACATTCAAGCAGATCTACCCCTGGTGTGAGTTCATGTGGAATTTCGAGACAGAAGAATTCTTACCTGACCAGCATTGTTGAACTTTGTAACCGCGATGTGTTTCGCCGTAAGATCGAGATTTGCGGACTCAGCGACGATGGCTGGACATTGGCCCCCTAGTTCAAGCGTAACCGGCGTAAGATGTTTTGCTGCGGCGGCATGGATAATCTTCGCAACGCTAGTTGATCCGGTGTAGAAGATGTGATCAAAGCGGTGCTCCAGGATGTATGCCATCTCCTTTGGCCCTGCCGAAACACATCGAATCGCCTCGGTATCCATATACCGAGGAATGATTTCCATCATCAGATCCTGGGTCGCAGACGCCACATCGGATGGCTTGAGAATCACCGCGCATCCCGCTGCAATAGCGGCAATCATTGGCTGCAGAAGCAACGTGATGGGGAAGTTCCACGCTCCAATGATCAAAGTGACTCCCAGGGGCTCCTTGCGAACGATCGTTCCTCCCAAGAAGTTCACTGGATCCAGCCGGGTTGGTTTCTCGTCTCGGGTCCATTCATCCAACTTCTCCAAGGTGCGCAGGATGTCCCCCTGAGCCCCAGCGCAGTCTGCCGAATGTGACTCTTGGTAATGTCTGTGTAAGTCGGTATACAGTGCGTTGCAGATGCGCTTCTTGTTCTCTTCGACCATCCACCAAGCCCGTTTGAGTTGATGCCGCCGCCATTCTTTCTCTTTAGTAGTGCCGGCAGCAAAGGCGCGCCGTACACTCGCATATGCCTATCCCCATTAGCTGAATCCCCTTCAATTTGGAATGATCCCACCTGGTCAAATTCGGCCTCGGTACTGAATCCCATGTTGCAGTCAGACAGGAGACATGGAGAACGCAACTCAGCACGAATCGAGTTATTTAAGTGGGGGAGAAAGAAATGAGCCTTTGCCGAGCACAGCCTCGGACTGGCCTGCGTCGTGCAGATGGGAATCTGCCCGTCGCCTTATAGTGGCGATGTCCATCCAAAGCTCTATGAGTAGTCGGTCTCATATGAAATATGCAGACCAGGTCGACATGGTGTGCAATCTGTTGCGCGTTCAATTGACTAGCAGACGGCTCGTGATTGGATCTCGAGGCTGCTCGACACTGGTCTTTTGCAACTGGAAATATGTACTAGACAGTAGACGACAGGCAGATCAGAGTGAGATGAAAGCACGACTCACGCTTGAGCTCTCGAGTTCAACGCTCTGGGGCAGTGTATCCTCGGCTTCAACGAACCTATACCAAACCGACGGGACAGATATCCTGGGGAAAGGAGGCACTAATTTCCTGCGCAAAAGACCGTCGTAGGCTTAGAATTCCACTAATTCCAAGATCCCTCGTATCGCCTGGCTAATATCCCAACCTCGGCCTGAAACATGCCCTATCAACTGGCAGAGTCTCCGATAAACCTTTTGGCCAGAAGATCCCCAACCCGGACTGAATTCCAGAGATAAGTGAAGTTCGAGCCATTCCAACTCCCCAACTGTGTCCAGCTCCTCACTCGACTAGAATAGAGTCCTCGTCCCCACGGGGTCAACGGAGCCATGACTGCAATTTCCAGAGCGCGAACCGGCTGCTGGACGTGTCGCGCACGCCGGATTAAATGTGACGGTAACATTCTCTGTCTGGCAGCTTATACCTGGTTGAAACTAAAATGGGTCAGAAACACGCCCGGTTTGCCATCGTTGCGCCCGTAATAATGCCTCGTGTGGCTATGGAGTTCGGCTCGTCTGGCATGAAGAGTCATTGGCTCGAGGGGTTTGCCATGGACGAGCAGGCGTCTGGTCGAAGCACAATCAGCCCGATCACAGCAAAGAGAAACCGATCTCACGGCCAGGGGGAGCGTCAAAGACAGAGTGGCACCGCGACCAGAGAAAAGGCAACGGGATCGGACCTGGATGTTTTTAAACATGACGATGATCGATCTCGAGATTCACTTTGGGGGTCTGGCGAGGACAAACGAAGAAGCATGCTGTAGATCGAATTGGTTATCGCCGTGCTTGAATACGATTCCGTCTGGGGGACGATCAGACAATGATCCTGCTCTCCTGTCGTACTTTGAACAGATCATTTGCAGCAGCTCGACCCTCATCGACAATGCCCATTGCAACCCCTATCGATATCTGATTCTGCCCATGGCATTGCAGTCCCAAGGACTGTACCATGCGGCTTTGGCCATTGCAGCAAACACCCTGAAACTGTCCGACGCGAAATATGGGTTACCGGCTTTAGAGCATCATCATCGGGCCCTGAACCACCTACGGGGTCTATTGAACAAAGGGGAGTGGCTAGAGTCCGAAGTAGATGAGATGCTAGGGCTTGTTCTGATGTTATGCTGGTTTGATGTAAGCTGATCCTGATCCTGTCAAGGTGTGCACCAAGCATCTACTCATTCATCCTAGATCTCAGACCACAGTCGTCCTTCTTGGGTCACGCACTTGAATGGCTTCCAGAACTTGATTCGCACTCGAACAGAATGCCCCGGTCGCTCAAGTCACAGCCAAGAGTTGACGGGTTTCTTCAATCGCTACTTTGCCTTTCACCTCGTTCTGGCCAGAACAGCATTCCAAGTCCCATCCACTTCGCAAGCATCACCTATTCTGCCGGATAGCATCTTGGAACCATCGGATGTCATTGATCCATACATGGGCTTGAGTCCGGCTCTGTTATTAATGATCAATCGGGTGGCAGAACTAGCATGGACACGAGATGGCCTGGATGAGACGAGTCGAAAAGGGGTTTATCAATTGAAGGCGAATCTAGATACTCTCCAGCAGACCTTGCCTGTGGAGCACATTGATCCTACTACGGAATGTGTCGCCATCGCAGAAGCTAACAGACTCGGGGCACTTCTGTTCTTGTACGAAATTACTTCCACCAAGTCGGCCAACTCAAGGAGCTCAGTCATTTCACTCGACGCAGAGGAAAAGAATAGCTATGTCAAACGCATATTAGAATTGGTTCTGGAAAAGAAGGAAACTATGATGCGTACTGCGGTCTTACCGTTATGGCCACTTTTTCTGGCAGGCTGCTGTGCTCGCGATGAGGAAGACAAGGTCGTTGTTTTACAATTGTTTCAAAAGCTTGACGGAATCCGTCGATTTGGAGTACGTGATTCTCACTTGATTATTGGGTTTTTTCCCCGTCCATGTATTGATCTAGACCTAACTTTTTAGAACATTGCCCCTGCGGTCGAGGTTGTGGAGATGGTCTGGCGACAGCGCGATCTGGCTATGCAAGATGAAAGAAAGCGCCGAAGATCCATTCCAGAGAGAGAAAGAGATCTTTTGCAAGGATCTCGTTTTGTATGGGAACACGCCATGGTTATGCTTGGTGGGTGGAAGCTCAGTTTAACTTAGCTGGTCTATGTGTGATAACGAAGTGCATTGATGCCATACTTGATGTTTATATCTGGATGGATGGATCTCAAAGACAATACAGTCTCAAATCTCATAGTCTAGACGTATTATTTGTCTCCCGTGCCTGTCTACCTTTCCACCCCGTAAGATCAATCAACTCCATCTCAGGATCTAGATGTGCCAGGTCTGTCGCGGTGACTTTCTGTCCAGCGCGCCACTTCCACTGGGACACAATCTCCGGGTCAAGTTTCCCCTCAAGCAGATCTGCCACATACTTTCCAATAACTGGAAGAAACTTGAACCCATGAGCCGAACCACCCGTGGCCAAGAAGAGTCGCTTGTGTGATGGATGGGGCGTGACGAGGAAATGACGATCGGCTGTATCAGCATCCCAGCAGAGGCGGGTATAGCAGAAAGGTCGATCCGCGAGCTCGGGCAGCACTCGTCGCAAGTTCCGGCGCATTTGAGCTTCGATCTCGAGAGGAAGTCCGTCTGCCGGGGACTGGATGAACGTGTGGGGGCAAGATGCGGTGATCCCAGACTGGGAGACTTGCGTGTTGGTAATGAACTGACTGTGTGCCAACTTGAATATTCCGTTGTTGGTCGGAGGAAAGAAATATCCCAGCTCGAGATTGTCCATGATCGGAAATGCGGCATAGTGCTTGGTCTCAGCAGGGTCGAGTTGGATATGGGCGACACTATGGCCCTTGGCTATCAACTGGCCCTGGAGATCAAGCAGTGAAGGTGTCCATGCTCCCGTTGCCAGGATCACCATATCCGCCTCGTGCCTGGTGCCATCTGCTGTGATGACTCCTTTGCACTCCCCGGTCTCATCCAGGACCAACTGTCGCACATATCCTTGAGTCTCGCCCGTGATATATTCGACTCCGGCTTCCTGGGCAGCGTTTGCCATCTGCTCCAATGCTTTACCTGCATCTGCCCATCCAGCAGTTGGGTTCCACACATTGATATTCCAGCCATCCAGCTTGCCCGTTACAACCGAGAAACGGGAACGAATTTGTTCTGGGGCAAGCTTTTGAATGCCTTGCACCCCAAGTTTTCTGCACGTCTCAATTGACCCCTCGACAAAGGGTATGGATAGGTTCGCTGCGCTGAGAATCCATCCGGGGACGTGGTAGAGTCCGCGGAACATCGGCCATGACTGCCAAGCGGCTATGGATTCAATGCCCAGTCTCGCATACAGCGGCACGTTGTAGTCACTACGGATGATCTTGCTGATATCAGTGGCAGCTGCTTCACAGGAGGGTGGTGCATATCGATCAAGCACGCGAATCGAAGTATAGCCGCGCTGTGAAAGGTGGTACGCCGTTGAGGTGCCGAAGCAACCCGCGCCAATGATCATAATCTGCGTATCTTTCTTCATGTTGAAAGGTTGTCAGCGCGGTCTGAGATAAAATGGTGGCGCCGCCATATTTATCATGGTATTGGGGACTCTGTTGAGACTCTGCTGAGGCATTTCGTTCGTTTCCAGCTTCCTCGTGCACACTCAGATGTCTTTCACCTGCAGCTCAAGTTCACGTAGGAAGAGAGCCGATTATGGAAATACTCATATTCTCGTTCCGACCTTCCTCTTCGTCTCAGATAAGACTCGGGGCTGCTCCGATCAAGGGGCTTGGCCTTATGTACCCCTCTATCTATGTTCTTAGCATTTGGAGGGTGGCGGGCAATGCGGAGATAGGCTCTAGTTCATTCACCCTAGAGTCTACTAGCTTCAATCTCGCCCCAAAGAGCTATCGTTTATGGTAAAACACAGTCGTTGGTGGGCAGATTGCCTTTCTACGCCTCAAATTCGAGCTCATTCCCCTTTTCTCAGTCAAGGATCCAATTCAAATTCCATTTGTCGAACTATCATACCCTCACCCACCCTCTTTCTTCGTACTAACTAATACGTATACCGGAAAGCCCTCTTCTCCTTATCCGTCAAATCGGAGAAAGCTGCATCTCCCGAAGGCTCCACATCTAATTGGCCCTCTCTAGCGCGGCGACTATTCTCCCATCGGCAAAGAAGCCCATAAGCAACAATAGATGCGATAGCTACCACTAGACATCCAACAAGACCTTCGTATCCGTGCGAATACGATGGCGCATCCCCGGAACGGAAAACCTGAGGTCCGATGATGTTGCCGACGCAGTATGCCAAGAAGAAGATAGCATTCATGGTCAATTTCTTGCTGTGTCCGCTGGTGTTGGCCATTGGGAGTGAAGTGGATAACACGTACGGCGCCCAGTAGGTGTAGAAGACGTAGTATGCCGCCAGAAGGCCTTGCTGGTTCTCTCGTGGCAGCTTCCACATGATCACACTACACACCAAGGGTACCAAGTTCGCGATGGCGATGATCGTGCAGCGGGAGTTCGGTATGCGCGCTGCGATGAATCCCAACAAGATCTGCCAGACCGTGGCGAGCACGCCGGTGGGGATGCCGAGTAGAGTGGTGATCAGTCGAGAATAGCCAAGTCCGGACACGATGATAGCGGAGAATGTGACAAGACCACCATTGGGAATGTTCTGGGCTAGCGAAAATAGGGCCAAAAGCCAGGTCTTGGGATCCAGCAGACATTCACGCACTTGGTACCACTTGATGGTTTTGTCTTCCATGCCAGTGTTGTTGTCCTTCACACGCTCGAGACAGACAAATTTCTCCCGGTCTGAGAAGTACCAACATTGCACCGGCGAGTCCGGTAGGAAGATGTAGAGCACAATAGCCCAGACAAGAGAGAATGAGCCCAACACGATGAAGAGTAATCTCCAGGGCGCCAAAGCTGTATCCGTCTGGCCAATCCCATAGCTCACCACGCCCGAAAAGACCGATGATAATTGATTAAACCAGAATGCCACACGAATAGGCTGCTCGCTTGTCTTCCACCACATCACTGTCAAGATGCTGGAAATTGGGAATACGGCAGCTTCTGTCATGCCCATCAAAAACCGTACAGTCGCTAGGCCCGCAAAGTCCTGCGTTGCCGCCGTACATAGCAGCAGGATAGCCCATCCTACTACCATTCCTGCGTACAGCTTGGCCACTGGAAGTCGCTGAATAAGGAGTGCCGCTGGGTATTCAAAGGCTAAATAACCAAAGTAGAAGATAGAGCCTACCCACGAGTACTGGTCGCCAGTCAAGTGAGTGTCTGTTTTCATTCCATAAATGGCAGCGTTTGAAATGATGACTTTGTCGATGGCAGCCAGAACTACCGTCACCATGATGAGCGGAATGATAATGAGGTCGATCTTCCATAGCAGACGGCGTGCTTCGCTTTCGGTTACCGGCTCTGCTGCAACAGCCGGGTCGAGACGTGCGAGGAACTGCGCTGCAACATCTTTGTCACTGTCTCGATCCTGCGCTTCAATGATCTCCCCTGCTTGGGTTTTCTCGTGCTCTGGCGAGAGCTGAAGCTCGGTAGGCTCTTTGTCATTCATCATAATGTATGTGGAAGCAAGTGCGGGTTGTGGATAGAAAAGAGTCACACTCAATCCCAAAGACCTGGGAAATACCTAAGAACACTCATTGCAATGGCTTTATACTTGGATCAGCTTGCTGGTGAAGAATATGGTGGTCTATTAGGGCTTGCGCGCCAGGAAGGTAAGAGCGAGAGATAAGCTGCTTCTCCGCACTTGTCGGAACTTGCCCTGAGGTGGCGCTTTGTTGGCGCTTTGCTACCGATTTGCTCTTCGCTCTGACCTGCTGGATGGTTTTGATATGTAACCAAAGGGAATAAAAGGCAGCTTTTACCCTGGGAACAATCACCAACTGCATACACAATGTCTCCTCACAAGTCGGATCCCCCGAGTATCAAGATCGCTATCGGTATGTTCAACACACCTCCGTCCTCTTGCATGCTTCGATACAAAGCCAGCTAATGCTATGATAGATCGTGGTGGTACATTCACCGACTGCCTTGGAATTATCGATGGTCGTGACGAAGAGATTGTGGTCAAACTCCTGTCCCAAGACCCAGCCAACTACGCAGATGCCCCGATTGAGGGGATCAGGCGAATTCTGGAGCAGGCGACAGGTCGAGCCTTTCCTCGCGATGAAAAGCTCACAACCGCCGATTTTTCCAATGTCAGCATTCGAATGGGCACAACGGTCGCCACGAATGCCTTGCTGGAACGTAAGGGAGAGCGTCACGCTCTTTTAATCACCAAAGGGTTTAAGGATGCTTTGCAAATTGGAACACAGGCTCGACCCAAACTTTTTGCGCTGAATATTCAACGCCCTGATGTGCTCTATGAAGATGTCGTCGAAGTTGACGAGCGTGTCACCATTGAGGATTATCAACAAAACCCCACGCCTGACAAGGAAAGTCTTCAAAAGGCCTCCCAATCGGATACTTCCTTGAAGAAAGGTGTCAGCGGCGAAGTTGTCCGAGTTCTGGAGCCGCTTGATGAAGTCGGTACGAAACAGGCTCTTCAGAGATTATATGAAAAGGGCTATCGCTCGATCGCGGTTTGCCTCGTTCATTCATATACATTTCAAGATCATGAGCTTGCAATTGAAAGGCTGGGAAAGGAAGTCGGGTTTACCCAGATTTCTCTTTCCAGCCAGTTATTGCCAATGATAAAGCTGACCTCGAGAGGTACTTCGGCTACTGCCGATGCCTATCTCACACCGGTCATTCAACGCTATATTCAGGGCTTCCGCTCAGGATTCAAGGATGGGCTTACCTCGGCCGATACTCGATGCGAGTTCATGCAGTCCGATGGAGGCCTCGCTAACTTTGAAAAGTACGTGATGATCCCTGGGTCCAAACCAGGAAAACCCTCTTGCTAAATTCAATAGATTCACTGGACTCCGTGCAATTCTGTCGGGGCCCGCTGGAGGCGTTGTTGGATATGCAGGAACTTCTTACGACGAGACAGACCGAACACCTGTCATCGGGTAAGTGCCTTCGCCTTCGAATTTGATCGTATTTTCGCTAACTAGTGCTCTAGGTTTGACATGGGTGGTACTAGTACTGACGTCTCTCGATATGACGGTAAGCTGGAGCACACTTTCGAGAACAACATCTCCGGTGTGACAGTGATGGCCCCCCAGCTGGACATCAATACTGTCGCTGCAGGTGGTGGAAGCATTCTTTTCTGGCGACATGGACTGTTTGCAGTTGGCCCCGAGTCCGCAAGTGCTCATCCAGGACCAGCATGTTACCGGAAAGGAGGTCCTTTGACCGTGACTGATGCCAATCTATTCCTTGGTCGTCTTTTACCAGCATACTTTCCCAAAATTTTTGGTCCGAACGAGAATGAAGCTCTGGATGTCCAAGTTACTCGTCGGATGTTCACAGAACTTGCAGCTCAGATCAATGCTGAGACCAAACAAAGCAAGAGTCCACAAGAAATTGCACTTGGCTTCATTCAAGTAGCAAACGAATCAATGGCAAAACCTATCCGTGCACTTACTGAAGCTCGTGGATATGACACTTCGGCACATAACCTGGCTTGCTTTGGTGGTGCTGGAGGGCAGCACGCTTGCGCTATTGCCTCCTCATTGTCAATCCGAACTGTCATTATCCATCGGTATTCTTCGATTCTGTCTGCCTACGGCATGGCTTTGGCAGATGTTGTTCATGAGGCCCAGGAGCCGGCATCTGGGGTTCTGGATAATCAAGCAATGAAAAAGATTACCGAGCGAATTGCTGCATTGAAGTCCAAGGTGACTACAGCTTTGGTTTCCGATGGGATTGACCAAACCCTGATTCAGCATGAAGTCTATCTCAATCTGCGATACCAGGGGACTGATAACTTGCTCATGGTACTCGAGCCTGAGCACGGAGACTTCTCTGCCGAGTTCATCAAAGAACATGAGCGCGAGTTCTCGTTTACTTTCCCCGGCCGCAACATCCTTGTTGAAGATATTCGAGTCCGTGGTGTTGGAAAAGCAACATCAATCGCACCAGAGGCACCTCAGCAAGAGCTGAAATCAGTGAAAACACAGTCTATCGGGTCCGAGATACAGGATGATTCAGCATCTGTATACTTTGCTGGAGTTGGTGAGATCACCACGCCCGTCTTCTTCTTGAAAAACTTGCGACCCGGATATGTTATCCAAGGGCCAGCGATGATCATCGACAATACACAAACAATAGTTGTTGAGCCAAATGCCACAGCCACAATTTTGTCACGTCATGTAATCTTACATGTACAATCTTCGAAAAAGCAGACTGCCGACGCAACGGTTGTCGATCCTATCAGATTGAGTATTTTTGGCCACCGGTTCATGTCTGTGGCTGATCAGATGAGCCGTATGTTCCAGAAGACTTCAGTATCCACGAACATTAAAGAGCGGTTGGACTTCTCCTGTGCAGTGTTTTCTCCTGATGGGAAGCTGGTTGCGAATGCGCCCAACGTGCCAGTGCATCTTGGTAGTAAGTCAGAACCTCTTTGAATACCCCTTCGAAGGGAACAAAGCTAACAATGTATTCAGGCATGGAATATGCTGTCCGATATCAGCACGAGCAATATGGAGCCAGTTTGAAACCAGGAGATCACATTTTGACCAACCATCCTCTTGCTGGCGGTACCCATCTCCCTGATATCACCATTGTCACTCCAGTCTGGGATCACGAGGGTAGATGTATCGTATTCTACGTTGCCTCTCGTGGCCATCACGGTAAGCTTGATCCTCCTGTCTCATCCTTGCGCTCCAAGCTTACAATGACTAGCTGAAATCGGGGGTATAGCGCCGGGATCAATGCCTTCAAACAGCAAGATGCTGTATGAAGAAGGTGCCATGACAATGGGATTCAAGGTTGTGTCCGAGGGCCGTTTCGAAGAGGAAATCGTCCGCAAGTTCCTTTATGACGAACCTGCCTCATACCCCGGCTGCAGTGGAACACGAACATATAATGACAATGTCTCGGATTTGAAGGCTGCTATCGCGGCAAATCACAAGGGAGCACAGTTGCTAGAGGCTCTGGTGGCGGAGAATACTTTAGAAGTGGTTCACTTCTACATGGACGCTATCAAACGCAATGCTGAGGTTGCTGTCCGTGAGCTTCTCAAGTCGATCGGCCGCAAGAATCCAGGGAAGTCTCTCCGATTCTCAGATTTCATGGATGATGGCACCGAGATCAAATTGGAAATCCGTATCGATCCCGAAACTGGGTCTGCTGATTTTGATTTCACGGGAACTGGTCGAGAAACATTCAACTGTCTCAATGCACCCAAAGCCATCGCCCACTCGGCTATCATCTATAGTCTTCGGGCACTGATTGATGTGGATATTCCACTGAACCAGGGCTGCCTTGCTCCCGTCAATGTAATTATTCCCTCCGGTACTTTGCTGAATCCATCTGGACATGCTGCTGTCTGTGCTGGTAACCCAATCACCTCGCAGCGCATCACAGACGTTGTGCTGGGTGCATTCAATGCATGTGCTGCATCCCAAGGCTGCTGCAATATCATCTCTTTTGGCATGGGAGGTGTTGATCCTACGACTGGCCTTGAGGTCCCTGGCTTCGGAGTTGGTGAGACCATCTGTGGTGGATCAGGTGCTGGGCCATCGTGGAATGGCACTTCCGGTGTCCATGTCCACATGACAAACACGCGAATCACGGATGCAGAGGTCTATGAGCTGCGTTATCCTGTCATTCTGCGCAGGTTTGCCATTCGGAACGGGTCCGGTGGAAAGGGTCTTTTCCGAGGTGGAGATGGTATTGTCCGCGAGCTGGAGTTCCGCATGCCTCTTTCGGTTTCAATGCTCAGTGAGCGACGTGTGTATCGGCCATATGGACTGGAGGGAGGTGAATCAGGCCAGGCAGGCTTAAACCTCTACGTGAAGAACGAGCTGGACGGAACCAAGAGAACGATCAATATCGGCGGAAAGATGGAGCTTCAAGTCCAGCCGGGAGAACGCATTCTGATTCATACGTAAGTATTTCCTCTTCCTGACCTTGAAGACTTTTTCTGACAACCTGGTCATTCAGACCTGGAGGTGGTGGCTGGGGAAGTCCGTCCGATGAGGAGCCAGTGGCCAGTTCTGGTACTGGGAATCGAAGCCTAACGAGCTTCCAACCGCGAGGAAGCGTGCACACATTCACGGCCACTGCTGAATCAGCCATGTAAGCTTTGTGGGTAGTTTGAGAATAAAATTTGTGTTCGACCATAAAGACAAAAGACATTGAGCAAATGACCCATTTCAGTTATCCAACACCGTCAAGATGAAACACCTCCAGCATGGCTCGCTGAGTACAGTAGAGCTCAAGCAAAGCACCAGCCAAAGCAAAGATATCCCATCCTGTCAGCCTTCATATAGAAGAGAAAGGAACGGAGGAATCTACAGAGCCCACTTGGACACAAATCAAGTAATAGCTGGAGTGAACCTGCATAGCTTCTGGGTCCTGAGCGTCGGCGAGGCGGGGGAAATCTGTCTCCCGCATACTGTATCAGGGATCCAAGCGCGGCCATTGATAGATCGTGAAGAGGTTGGCCAATTGAGACCCCTGCAGATCCATCTAGGTGGAGTCTACAGTACTGTACTGTGCTGTAGAAGCAATCAAGGGTCACCCCTGATCGCCGTGTTTGCTTGTCCCAAGTCGTCCCAGGGAAAAAAAAAGAAAGGAAAAACACAAAAAAAAAACAAGAGGTCACATTACATTGTAGTCGATATGATCGTGGTCGGAGGACAGGACTAAAGTTTCCGGTCAATAAGAATCGAATTGACTGGCCATGACTCTGTCTGGCTGTAAAAGGAAATAGAGAGCATCACGTGGATCAAGGTGTAGTGCCACTGACGAGGCAGTACACTCTACACTTTACACTCACTGTACAGCATACACTGGTGTGATTCGACCAATCTCGACGTTATCTGTCCAAATTAAGTCGCCATTAGTGGCAAATAAGCTCCACCTCCAAGCAGGGACCCCTATTTCAGGTCTTCATGGAATGGGGGTTTATCGGAGTGACGTTGAAACAAGAAACCAGAGACAAGACCTGAAACACTCATTTATTCGCTTCCAGAGTAGAGCAGACTTCTAGAACCGGCCATGGGCCGTACAGTCGACGACGACCTGAGGAGCCCGAAGAACGATCAGGTTGAAATGATCTTCAGACCGGTGTGAGAGATGGGCTTGATCCTGTATACATCCAGTCCACTGGCACTCTTCTTCTCGATAGGTCCTCGATATCTTCTGTTATACTGTACAGTACTGTACTTGTCAAATTGTCGAGAGCGACGATCAGGGGCAGATCCACATGGCCGTTTTTTTCTGGGAAATTTCAGGGTCCATCACGATATTGGGCCTGTAATCCCCCTTGGACAGTACTGTACATAGCCTTCTGCCTGGTCATTTGTACTGTACAGGAGAGAGCACACTGTATCGCACATCCCGTGCATGACCACGTGTATGTCGCCGCCTCAACCTCAGGCGTACATGAAACACCACATCTAGTGATTAATATAGAAACGATGACGCGCGTAACTTACCCAGACGTAGCCTCAGGGCCTGAGCCAAGGGCCAATGTGCCCTTTGAATGGCTTTGTCGATCGCGACCCACCAGAACGTCCGTGGAGTCGCCACTGAAAAGGCGTCCATGTATTTCATGTATTATTGGGGATTGCGCATTGCATATGCAGAACAGCTGTAAGGCACTCTGTTCTGGTTCTGTGGGATTCCATAATTTGCCTGGTGTGACCGACATGCAGAATAAATCTCATCGGAATATATCATCCACAGTGTACAGTATAGTACACAGAGTAAGGTGGTTTAAGGGGGACGCGTGTCGGTGGAGTGGCCTCATTTGCCCAGCAGTTGTGACTGGTTGACACGGCTGAGTGGTCGATCGGTCCTTTCCACTTCACGCATACTTGGCCTGATTACATTTGCTTTACATTGGACTTGGTACTTTACAGGGTCTAATTGACGAACTTACCCTCATGGACTCATTTAACTCACTCGTATACTCGGACTCGGACTAATTCACTTGTGGTCCAAGCGTCCGACCTTATTCCTGACTTGCCATAGAGTGACGTGGTGCAGAGTCATGTCTAATGTTCTCATCATGAGTCGAACTTGCATGCTTGGGACTCAGTAATCGCTTATATTGTCCTGAATGGAACAAAGAGGTTCTCGTAAAAGATGGAGCTGAAAAAAAAGGGGTTCAAGTGCGTGCTCCATAGTATAGGTGTTAGATGCCGACGGCAAGAAACCGGGCGTATCTAGATCGCGAACGACTCCGTTCTTGGGGCTCAAAGGCTTTCGCGGTGGCTTTTCCTGTCTGAAGCCACCGGAGTTCCCCTTGTTGATTGTATTGATCTCGGTAGATACTCCGATGGGATCATCCGCGATCAACACGTGATGCCGCATCCGGAATCCGCAAACAGCCATCGTGACCCTGGATAGCGGTGATCTGGGAGAACCACCGGTTGGAGAACCGCCCTGCCACTGAGCGCGTGTTGGACAAGCCGATAGTGCACGAAAAGGCTGGGTGTCCATTGATCGTCGGGTTGGGATCATCCCCTCCGAGTTGCCAACATTCCTATTTCCGTCAGGATCGACGCTTCGGAGTCAACAGAGACACCAGACGCACACAGAAGGGCAGATAGCGAGGTTGGATCCAGGGAGAGAAGCACCCGCAACCAGGCAATTTGATATCAATACCGAGGGTTCCGAGTCAAACTGCTATTAGAACCCCAAGTCAGAACGTGGTTGGAGGTGGGAAAGGGAAGTCGAAGGGAAGTATACAATATCACGTATAAATTACCGTATTACCATACACAGGCATTCCCGTTTAATTACTTTCGGCCGCCCTCCCTTTTCTTCTTCTCCTTCAACACCTTCACGACTCTCTGCTGTTCTGGTCGGGCATTGTCCAGCCGTATTGCTTCCTATTTGATAACCTACTCTTCGCCCCCTGTCTCAAGCGCTACCCCTTGGAACCGTGTCGCGGGCCCCGACGCTGCCAGCCTCTCGTTGAAACCTATCGGCACTAGACTTGCCTGTCACTCATTATATCAACTGTTGGAAAACACTCGTTTATTTGGCCCTTTTACCTACTGGAAATCGGTGTCGCATTCTTCCCAGTTTTGTTACACGACGGGACACGAACCCTACGACCCCCATAACTTCTAATTCTACTCGAACGACTCGATTTGTTCGATCCCGCCTCTTGTCCTTTACATGTTCGAAAAGTCCTCAAGCACTGGAACCGCCAAGATGCCTCTCTTCCGGCTAAAGACGGTGTTCCCGTTGCTCGCTTTGGTGACGATTGGAATCTTCTTCTTCTGCATGGAACGGTATGACCGATCAGCCTTCCTTCGCTTTAAGCACCCCATCGATCGGGCTAGTCTCGCTGGCAAACAGCCCCAGGCACAAACCCCTACACAACCGGATGCTCAGCAGACTGGTAGCACGTGTGAGGTTGACCCCAATCTGGCCGCTCCCTTGCCCTTCCCTGAATGGCTCCCTCGCAAGAACTACACTCGCGCCTACTTCCGTCCTCGCCACGTGAACCCCCGGACCGAATTCCACACTCTGGAGGAGATCGAGAAGCCCGTTCTCCCGCCCATGGTTGTCATGGAGCGCGGAATGGTCGTGTCTCCCGAGAACAAGGAGGAAAACTTTGTCTGCCCCGAGATCATCAATGTCGATGTAGCCGCCGATGACGATGTTGAGGAAACCTCCAAGCTTCTGTTTGGTCTCGCCACGACTGTCGACCGTCTCGACCGCTTGCTCCCCTCGCTGCTCTACTCTTACGGAAACACCAAGGCCGGTCTGATCGTTTTGGTTCCCGAGTCCGATGATGACCTGGACAAGCAGGAGACTTACTTCCGCAACCGTGGTCTGGACCTGACTCTCATCGCATCGCCTCTGGACTTCACTGCCCGTTACTTCGGTATGGTTGAGGCCTTCACTGAACACATTCGCAAGCATCGCCCCCACACCACATGGGTTGGATTCAGCGATGACGACACCTTCTTCTTGTCGCTTCCCACCATCGCCGAGGAGCTCAAGCTCTTCGACGAGAACAAGAAGCACTACATTGGATCTCTCTCCGAGGCCAGCTGGCAGGTAGACACCTTCGGTCATATCGCTTTCGGTGGTGCCGGTGTGTTCGTCTCCAAGCCCCTGCTCGACGTTCTGATGAAGTACTACGACGAGTGCCAATCCTGGGGCGAGCAGCCCGGTGATCAGAAGCTCGGCCAGTGTATCCAACGCTTCGGTGACACCCCTCTGACTCTGTGGCCTTCGCTCTACCAGATGGATATGGCCGACCCCGTCGACGGTGTCTACGAGTCCGGTCGCAAGATCGAATCCATGCACCACTGGAACAGTTGGTATACCAAGGACGTCGTCAAGATGACCACCGTTTCTGCTGCTGCTGGCCGCAAGTCCGTTCTTCGTCGCTGGGTTTTCGACCAAGAGGAGACTGTCAACAGCGCCACCGGCGAGACTCTCCGTCACTTCTGGGTTATGACCAACGGATACTCCCTAGTCAAATACACTTATAACGAGTCTGTGCCTGATGATGCTATCAACTTTGATGCCACTGAGAAGACATGGCCCGAGGACCCTCGTGGTTACGAGGACCGCCTGGGTCCCCTTCGTCCCGCCGAGGAGGAGGGTGTCTCAAAAGACCGCTGGTTGCTTCGTGATGCCTTTGTCGTCGGTGACAACGTGCACCAGTTCTACGTCCGCGAGGAAGACGAAGGCCACAGTGTGATTGAGATCGTCTGGCTCGGTCCCAAGGGCGGCGGCGGTGGTGGTGTCAGTGACCATCAGCTTCGCGGCACCTACCAGCAATAAGATTGCTCTGCTTCCACTTAAGGCTGGTCCTTGGGACTGTTGGTCGTACACTCTTCCCTTCGTTGCACATGATTCGGCTCTTTTTTCCCCTTCATTATATTTCTAAACCCTTATACGCCTCCGTCACGACACCAGCCCAAGACATTGCATCGGCCAACACAGCCTATTTCTTTTCTGGATGAGACTCGCGATCGTGACTTGCCTACCGCGTCCTCCAGTCTCTTGCTCATTTATCCGGCGTTGCATTGGCGGAGTCCAATACGGTGCAGGAAGTGGCATGCTTCCAATATCCTCACGGTGTATCCCACTTTGGAAATGTTCCGCGGCCTTGCTTTTTTTTTTCTCCCTTTCTTTCCTTTTTGTTCTCTCTCTATCCCCAGACGGAGGCTAATCACCTCTGATCACTCTGGTCCTCTTAAATGTCTTTCCTTATTCTTCCCCATCTGGTCTTTTTGTGCGCTTCCGGTGAGAAGCCACTCCATCCTGCCTTGCATCTTTTCTGTAAAAATAGACTTGACTGCAGACCCGCGTCGCGGTCTACGTTGGTGATTAGCGTTGAACCTTTGTTCATTATGTGAAGAATATGATCAATTTCCATCATTTCACTGTGTCTGTTTTCGTAAACATCGGCTCTGCATCGGGTCTAGGGCTTCACGGATCGGGCCGCGGATGATCGGCTCTGGTGTCTCTGTTTCCCCTGTGGATTCGTAAGGTCTTGGATACGAAGTGTGCGTGACGGAATGGGTTCGGTTTCGGTTGCTGGTGGAGTCAGACGAGGTGAGGGCAAGAATTGTGGCTATCTAGCGCACATCTACCAGCCCACTACCGCAAGCCAAAATAGCGTCGGGGTTCCTTGTCCATGAAACCCTGTTGGGCCGGGGATGGTAGGGGGGATCTTTACTCTCTTTAAGTTCTTTTTATTTATTGATTTATTTATTATTATTTACAGCAGTATAAAACCCCTGCTCCTCTCAGCTTGAGACATTGCATATCAGAGGTATAAAGTCGAATGTGCAGGGGGGAAATGATTTGGGCCTTATTCGCCGGGTATTTAAAATCGGGGCCGAGACTCGCCTAGTATGTCCCCCGTCAGTTCCTATAGGGCCCTCTCAGCTGATGAATGTGAGGTCGGTCCCCCAAACCGAAACCAGAATGGAATGAAAGTGAAAGGGGGCCCTATGCATGCGGGCATGGAATGAGGCCAGACCCATTCCAGGTGTGACCCGCATTGTGTGACGGTATTCTGATATGAGATTGAACACTGCCGTATCGTGTCTATGTGAGAACATGTCTATAGAGTGTCAAAGTGAGTGGCGATCTACTGTCGACAGTTCCCAGCACTGTCCTGTACTGTAGTCGGCACATAAACCAGCCAATCAGACATTCTGATGCAAGAATGTCCAGTACTGCACTCGACCTGGTTCTCACCAATCACACCTATACACACACACACACATACAGTCTCTCTCTCGTTGACTTGATCTCGAGGCTCTTGACCCTTCGCGATCCCCTTTATACTTCCTGCTTTGAGTCCAGACCGGGGGAATCGGACCAACGGCAGCCAATCAGCGTCGATATTGACCAATTAGCGCCTCGTGCCAAGCCTCGTGCTGGGGCTGTAATCTTACCATACAGGCCAATACCACTGAATGGAGGGGGTGGTACTTGGTGTTGAGTGGCCCTCTCCACTATCAGACAAGTACCCTCACCGAGACCACTGATACCTGTACCAGCCGCACACGTGACAGACCGCCTGCCTCTCGCAACTCGCACTTTGCCTTCTTCGCTCCCCTTCCCCCATTCCCTTTCTTTCTCCCATAACGCGTTACTCGATTGGGTCATCTTCTCCCCTTTCGGTATCCCCCCCCCATACTCTACCTTTTTCGTCTATTTATCTTCAATATGTCTGCTGTTCTTGATGATAAGCTCTCCCCTGGTCATGATGACCTTCAGGCCGGGCCTGAACGGGGAACCAAGCGCAACCGCATGAGCGCCGATGATGAGGACGACGACGATGACAAGCCTGGTCGTGAGCGTCGCAAGATTGAAATCAAGTTCATCCAGGATAAGTCGCGTCGCCACATCACGTTCTCTAAGCGAAAGGCTGGTATTATGAAGAAGGTACGCGTGGTTGAGATTCCCGAGACTCTCCCCGAGGTCGCTATACTTCCCAACTGTAAACGAAGTATAGGATAGGGCCCGTTGAACACGGCGGCTAACCTCTTTGCTCTTGTTTCCCTTTAGGCCTACGAACTGTCGGTCCTCACCGGCACTCAGGTGCTTCTCCTGGTCGTCTCCGAAACCGGACTCGTGTACACTTTCACCACCCCCAAGCTCCAGCCGTTGGTGACCAAGGCCGAGGGCAAGAACCTCATCCAGGTAAAGCTACTGTCTGCCTCAATGGCGCCTGAATTCCATGGACTAACATGATCACAGGCATGTCTGAACGCCCCCGACCCCGCCGCCAGCGAGAATGGCGTCGACGCCCCCGATGTCGCCCCCGAGGCTCCCGAGGACGTTGCTCACAGCAACGTCAACGCTCCTCAGGGTAACATGCGTCCTGGCATGCACCCTGGGTACATGACCAATGAGCAGCAGCAGCAGATGGCCTACTACCAGAACCTGCAGCAACAGCAGCAGCAACAGGCTGGTGGCCAGTACCCCATGCCCGTCGGCGGCCGCATGCCCCCGCAGCATCAACCTACTGCTTAAATGTTTATGATCTGATCTGTCGGCCCGTTCGGGTCCTAGGTCCAAATCCTGCGCGTTCTTCTCTTGTGTTCTTTTTCCTCTCTGCGCCTCGATATCTCGCGTTCATTTGATACCCGTCTCCCTCTATGCTGATCCGTCATCCCACTCTCCCCTCGGAAATGGTCTCTGCATCATATTTCCAGAGCACTCGCATAAAACCATTTGTGTATTGTCAAACGCCTGGTTTCACCCAGCCCTCCTTTGATGATACTGGATCTGGTTTTCCTCTCAACGTCGCCTTCTGGGAAAAGGAAAAACAAGAAACATGCTGAGAACCATGGCTTTTCAAAAACAAAAAAAGATATGACCAAAAAAAAAACACATCCATTTCAAAAACATAAGAAAAGAGAAAGAGCGCAAGCAGACAATTTGGGCTTCATTGCTAATCTGGTTACTGTTTTCCCCCCTCTACCTAGATAATGGCGGAGGATGGTGGTGTTTGTGGTGCATTGAATATTGTCGGCGAAGTGGTTTTTCTCTCCAGTCTTTTTTCACTATCTTCTGGTTCACACACTTTTCCTTTACTGGTTATTGTTATGTCTATTTTCTCATTGTCTAATCTCAAGTGTGTTTTTTTTATCCAAGCCGTATTGGTCTGATTCTGGCCAATCTCAAGTCATGTCTGTCCACTACTCCGGGGGTCTTTGCGGTGATTACTTGTATGGTATGGAGAAATCAGATCCTCTTCCCTGGAACCTCTTGTTCTCGTAATCTCTTCCACGTAGAGTGTCCATGTAGAAAATGATCGTATTGCACTGGGTAGAGTTGTTGTCCTGGGAGGTCGAATAAATAAGTTACCCTCATATCCCAGCAATGTCGTTGAAGAAATACGTATATCGTGAAGAGATTGGATTGGAACAACTTTAAACAATAGTCACAGTGGATTCTAGTTGTCGATGTTGACATCGGAAAATATATGCCATGCCATCTTCCTATTTACACACCTACATACCTACAAGGAGATAAAGAGTATTAAGTTATAATATTACAGACAAGATCGAATCTCAAGGTACCATTTGTTACAGACATCATTTACTCAAACAACGGCCACGAGATATATTTAAAAAGTAGTTATCATTGTATCAGCATCCCATACTCCTTTGTACGGAGCCGTGTAAGCAGCATTTGTGGTATCATAGTTATCTTGACAGAGGAAAGTGAAACACAAATGAAAAGAAAAGTCGAGAACAAGGCCTCTGAAACACCGAGGGCATGAGCACGTAGGGCTCGTTATGTCCAGAGAGGAGGTAATGTACATGAGGGATAGAAGGTAGCAAGGGCGATAGGCGCTGGAGGAGTAAAAGCAACGAGCAGAGGGTGGGGTAGATAGATTGGAGGGTAGGTCAAGGTTGTGAGTGTTATGAGTGGCGTTATAGAGACCCGAGAGTGGTTATGGCTGGCCTGGCCCAGGCGTACTCAAGGATAAGTTTCTGCTTGAGGGAGTAGGGATGACGAGAGTTCATCTGCCGAGTCGGCCTGTGCCTGGGTGCCCGCCCGCGGGCTGCTCCATCGAGAGAGAAATTGTCTTCCCGATTTCCAGGCTCCGGCCAAGGCTCTCCTCGGCCCTACAAGAATACTAGAGCCGGCGGCTGGTGCATGGGGGCCTTCATGGCCATGAGTATCATCAGCAACTTCTTGAATGGTCCCGTAACCGCCGGGGGAAACTTCAGATGTGGAATTGAACATGCCCCAACTGCGTCGTTGGCGTTCGGCGACAGAACTCCCACCGAAAGGACCCGATCTTCGACGCCGTTGGTTCTCGAGCCCTGATGATAAGCCTCGGCGAGATCCCCACCCTCGATCATGCGTAGTGGCGCCGATCGTCGAGTGCCGTTTAAGCCGTCGTGGTGGACCATTAAGGGTTAAACTGCCACTAGCGCTACGTGGCTGGTCCGCGGATGAACGACGTCGTTCATCCGCGGAATCATAGTCTGAATCGTCTAGTTCCGCCCAGATAGAGGCTGGGTTCAGGTCGACCGAGTCCGGGTGATCAAGATGGAGATTGAGCGGTAAGCTTGGAGCTCGTCCCCGCTGATATGAAAGATGTCGAGTGTTTGTAGTCGTGTTCAGAAGGGGCTCCCGTTCTCTGATATGTGCTTCTTCGTCCTCGCCGTCCAGCAATCGAGGTGAGGTCGGGTGGTCCTCCATGATCGCCATACCAGGGCCAAGTCCAGTCTGGGTGGGCCCTAACGCGCTAACAGGGGCGTGACTATCGATAACTTCCAATCGCCAAGATAGACACAGAACGCCAGCCAGGAGAACAATGGTTCCCAAAGCAATGAGACCGGCATGGAAGCCCCCAAGCTGAGACACTTGCCGGAAGTAGATCAGCCCATCCATGATGGCGATGATATTGTAGATGCAAAACACGAATGGGTATAGAACACTAGTACTGCACAGCTTTAGTCCGCGATGAAGATAGAACAGCTGTGTCAGGGCTAGGAATATCATCCCTAGAAGAATAACCCATGACTGCCAACGGTTAAACTGGTTTACACGGTCAACCACTGTGCGCACGAGCAGTTCTACAGCCGACTTGGCCAAAAGTAGTGAATGGGCAGATAGTATACCGCTGACAAAACCATAGGACATGCCTCGGATCAGCTTCATCCGGCTTTGCACTCGCAGTAGATGTGGCGCAAAATGCCCAGAGGCCGAGGGTTTCGCTCGTGCCGAAGGCAGGAAGTGTTTTATCAGTTTTGAGGTCGCCAATACAGCTACCACTAATAGAGTGGTTCCACCCATCCATAACAGGAATGGCTTGCGTTGTAGAAGATCCAAAAGTTGGTCCAAGGTATGTGCCGGTTCTCCGATGGCGCCAAACGTCGCAATCAACAATGCGCCTATACAAACGAGAACCGTACCGGCGAGAGAATATCGAGTGAAAGGTTCCCCGAGAATCAAGGTCGCGAATATCGTATTGAAGACTAGACCGGACTGTTTGGGATTCCGATCAGCAAGTGATGCGCGCCACGGGTGGAGGGGAACTGACCGCTTGAAGCGTGGAAAGGACCGGCAGTGGCAACGTGGTGATTTGGATGGTGCTTCCCACGATGTTGGATATCACAAACATCCCCATTCCTACCTGCCATCGTCGGCGCTTGTAGGGGGGTCTGCGCACATCATATGGGTGCTTCTCATCCTCGAGTAGATGCGACTTGCGCTGCAGAGTGAGTCCGATCGCTTGGAGGCTAGTTGATATCAAGCCAACAATGACACCGACCTGATCTGTGTCAGCGGTTGACTCTGTACGGGAATCCTGGGGATGTGTATTCTTACGGCAACGCTTCCCTCCGGCGACAGGTCACCTAGATTGCCCATGTCGGGTATTGTGCATTGGCTAAATAGACAGCGGAAGTAGATTCAAGAGACTACCGCAGTAAATATGCCATGGTTAGACGGTTGAAACATAGACAGTCGAGCGTATTCAAGGGAGGTTGAGGAGTGTGGAGGACTGGATGCGGAACGTCGAACGCCAAGGCCCAAAGTCCAAGCTTAGTTGGACACATCCTCTCATTCTCCCCACGTCATTCCATCAACAGTCACATTCAATCCGCCAACATGTCACAAAGCCATGCTCTTTCGGACGATCAGGTGCGTAGATATCGTACTCTTCGGAGGGTTTGAAGTCTGACCCCATGTCCACAGGTCGCGGGCGAGCTCCGCAAGATGACTGCGTTCATCCGGCAAGAAGCCCTTGAGAAGGCCCGCGAAATCCAGCTCAAGGCCGACGAGGAGTTCGCTATTGAGAAGTCCAAGCTTGTCCGTCAGGAGACCGCCGCGATCGACACCCTTTACGAGAAGAAGTTCAAGCAGGCCGCCATGTCTCAGCAGATCACCCGCTCCACACTCGCCAACAAGACCCGTCTTCGCGTGCTCGGTGGTCGCCAGGAGCTGCTCGATGAGCTATTCCAGACCGCCCGTGAGAAGGTTTCCAAGGTCGCTGCCAACGACAAGAAGAAGTATCAGGAGATGCTCAAGGGGCTGGTCCTTGAGGGCTTGTACTATCTTAACGAGGACAAGGTCACTATTCGCACGCGCAAGCAGGATTTCGATGTTGCTAAGAAGGCTATGGAGGAGGCTGCCAAGGAGTACAAAGACAAGGTTGGCTCGGAAGTGACTGTGACCGTGGACGAGTCGGAGCCCTTGCCCGAGGGATCGTAAGTGTCTCATCCGATTGGTGATGATGAAGATGATCTAACAGCTTGCAGTGCTGGTGGTGTCGTTGTGATCGGTGGAAATGGCAAGATTGAGATTAACAACACCTTTGAGGAGCGATTGCGATTGCTGGAGAACGATGCTCTCCCCTCAGTCCGACAGACGCTGTTCGGAAAGAACGAGAACCGGAGGTTCTACGATTAAGCGTGTTCTTGTTTCTTGGATTCCACGTTTGCGACTGTATTTCGTGTGTTATAATTCCGATACTCTTTTCTGCTCTTGGCTTTCATAGACCGGAGATTTCTCTGCACAGTTTACTAAGTCTGGTCTAGAATATGATAAAGGCTTATTAGCGGTATTTTCGCTCTATATCAGTAATAGTTTTGTTATATTTGGTAAGAAAACTGCTTTAAACATGAATCGCTTCTAAATAAACTGCTTTAAACATGAATCGCTTCTAAATATGAATAAGGTCGTAAGTCATTTCAGGGCCCAGGAAGGTTTCAGCACATGCGTATCTATCCTGGAGGATAATCATGGGATTTGGTCATGCTTGCGGATGGGGATCTCTGTATTCCCTAAAGCGTGACCGACTGATGCGGTGGAATCCCTCGGTGCAATCGCCGCACTCTGTCTTACATTCTGTCCGATATCAATGGAAGGACTGCCGAACAAGCTGCGGATGTTACCATCTCTTTCTCTGGCATATGACTTGAACAGTGCCTTTTTCGGCGGTGGCTTTGACCGGACCGAATAGACAATCCGGTAGTGCAGGGCCTCCAGAGCTTCTTTGGCCAACATTCGCTTGAGATGCGAAGCACCTGAATCCTCAATAGAACTGAACATCAGCTTGATCTGAGCTGCCAGCTTGTCAATAGCAGCATTATACTCCGATTCAGTGTGAGTCTCTTTGTGTCTGATTTCTAACACAGAGGAATCAATTGCAACATTGAGAAGAGCGGCAATCGCAATCAATTCCCCGTAATCATAATCGCCTTTCCCTCTAAGCAGCTTGACATGGAAACGCTCATCGCTGAGCAGGAGCACCGTGATACGCTTGAGATCAAGCACATCTTCAGGAGGCTCAAACAGCGGACTGGGCCTTTTTAGCAAAAATGAAACGGCAAGCCGGCATCGCAATAGTGCAAACCACGGAGAAGTTGGCAGTATGTGGTGAACAACTCGGCTCTGTATGCATATATCTGTGGTTGTGTCGTAAAAATTTTGGCAAACCCGAGACAACTGCATTCGTTAGTCAACGACTCGGGAAACATTAGGATGAAATAACGAACCAAGGCTTCGACGTTTGTATCGGTAAAGTTGTCTGGGTCGAGCACTGCATTGATGGTCCACTGAAGCTCCGAGGATATCACGAAGTCTGCTGTCAAGGACAAATCAAGCGTAAGACGTAGTAAGAGAAGGACGATTCGCTCTTGAGTATCTTGTGCAAGTCTGTGATTCTGTGAGCCTTGGTATATGAACAGGCAAATTCGAGGTAACCTACAAGTCGGCAATCTCCCGGAGTAATTTGAGGATTGAGATGAGACCGAAACTGTCCTTCAAGCCTGAGTCTGGGGTGGCTTCTATAGCAAGTATTAAAGAATCGAAGACGAATTGAATCGGAGAGATGAACTACCTTGTAATGGAATAGGCTTGATTGCGATGGAGAGATCCAATGATTGGGGCTTAGCTCCCAATCGCATAAAAAGGTCATCGATATCAGCGGGACGGATAAGTGATTTGAGACGGTCCACATCCACGCCCTGACAGTTACATTTAGTCGACTTGGCCACCAAAGAGTATAAGAAAATGCGCAAACCTTGATAATCCGATAGTAAGCGTTGCTGATTTCGTTTCGACGCTCGTAGGGAACTGATAGAAAGTAAGTTTTGGACATGAATTGAGCAACATGTGTGACGAACTGGAACGGAAAGTCCACATGATTAGGTCGTCTGGCAGAAGCTCCTTGCACAATGCCATCTGAATAAAGTCCCCTGACATAAAAAGGCGCTCACGAGCTTCGGGATCTGTTAGAAATTCATCTAGATATGTTCCGCTCCTGAACAGGTGTGGTGGAAATTCTGGAGCCGATGGTAACGTTTGTGACCCATCGAAGAATCGCCAGGCTCGGTCGTAGTCCAAAGCCTCTGTTCTTCTAACAGCATCCAGAAGACGTTGCAATCCAATACTATCGTCATTTTCGTCGCCCAGAGCTGAACTTAAGACGCTTTCATTCAGTCCTTTTTTAGGATCGGATTTATCTTCAGTGACCTTTGGTGTATTCTGCGCCAGCTTGGCTTTTAATTGAGTGACTTTGGCTTCGATCTCGTTGTCGTCCACTGCATCGTAAACAAGAGAATCAATTGTGTGCTTGTACTTTTTAGGCGATTTGACTTTTTTAAGCCCCGGTTTCATTCCCGTTTCTGGGACAGTCTCGGGCTTTTTGGATATTGAGGCGAAGAGACTGGCTGGGTCGTCCAAGGAACATATTGAATCTGTATCCTCTCCATCAGAACTGATGACTACCTCTTTGCCGTCTTTGACGATGCGCTGAGATCCGCCAAAACTTTCATCGAGAAATGAGACTGGCGCAAACTCGGTACTCTGAGAATTTGGCCCTGTGGGTGGTTGCGAAAAGCTTTCTTGAAGTGACACATACAGCGCACGATTCAACTGCGCCTCGGCCTTCAGTTCCGATTCCGGAGACAGATTGCCCATCATGGACGATGAGGGCTGCGTGAGGGGTGAAGACTTGAGTTCATCAGAACCTTGACTTTCTTGTGCGCGATCATTATTTGCCTTCGAGAATGCCGGTTTGTTGAAAAAATCCGCAATCGACCGCATCGTGCACTGAACAAAGAAAGAGAGAGGGGCCCCACGGAGAATAGCGCGTTGGCGCGTTGGAGTCTCGCGCTGTCACATGACACTCCCTGACTCAGCACCAATGCCAACTGAACGAAGATTACCTGGGTCACTACATCTACCAGTTGTTACAGAGTGGGTGGAATTAGGTCACAAAGTTGATGTCTGGTGAAGCAGTCATCTTGAGGCTCGACTTTCTGCAGTGTGTTATCTATATCCCTTGAACCCGATCTGCCACATTCCTATGTGGCGTCGATCTGCGGCTAGTGATCTGACTACTGTATAGTCAATACGAGCACAGATGTAGACTGTATACTGTAATGTAGATTGCCATTGAAGTTGTCTCCACATATAATCCACGTAGTTCCAAGCGAGACTACTTTGTGCCCACTCTGTCTACACATCGCACCCCCTTTGCCTACATGCACTGCCGCGACTCTGCAGAGGATGTTTACATATGTATCCGTAGAGCTGCCTATCTAAGAGGCTCCACTATACGACTGTGACAGCTTTGGAGCCGATGGCGGTCATAGGCTGCCATACACCTTTCATACCTCAGTTAACGTTATTTCGTATTTTAGCCGGAAAACATAATATGGTCTCGTGTTTGATCGACAGACATGAGATGAAACTGTTATTTCTGGCGTGCCTATCAGGGGTAGCAATTGACTTTCACCCAAGAGACGGCAGATGGATCCACTATAGTTCGCGGCTGTCATTGTATAAAATCTAGGGCTGGTTCACCCTTGCCTTGCGGTCTGTAGCTTAGACTTTCTTGAATAACCATAGCCAGTGAGACATCCGATAGCGTAGAAGCTATGAGGAGGATATGGGGTCGTATGGGTAACCCGAGCGTTTTGGGGAGGGGGAGAGGAAGTGATTCTGGACACGAGAATCATACGAGTAAAGTGATCATCCTGGGGTCCGCTCAGAAGTACCACTGGTCTCTCCTGAAAGTTCAAAGCCTATAAGACTGGACTGCAGAATGGCGGATGCCAAGGAAACAAGGGGACGATGGTGCATACGGGGAGGTCTTTCACAATACGGAGTACAAAGAAAACAACCCAAACCAAATCCAGGCGTTTTGCAGTCTGTGACACTAAAACCTTTAGATCTCAGTCAACCGAAGGACCGATCATTTACCCGAAAAGGAGAGCGGACTCAAGTGGATCTGACTACGCTCGTGCCGTGTTGGTGGTTTCAATGCTCCGACCCGGCGCTTGGGTGATATCATTAGGGGCTTGGAGATTCCTGGTACAATTTCCGGTTTGTTACAGCTATTAGAGGGCACCTTTATGCAAATTATGCAATTTTCGATACCAGCCATGGCGTTCATATCCGGCACAGCATAGGCATATCTAAATGATAGGGCGGAACAAAGAAGCAGAAGAGGCCAGCTCATCTCGATTGTAGTGCTAAAGGTGTACGTAGTGTATGAAATAAACGACTAAGCGGGGGGCTAGAACATAGGCCACCAATGGCCTCGGTCTGCAAGTCAGCTTACCATACAGTGAAGAACTGGAGTAAAACGGGAATATTGCCGGATGGACAGTGGACAGCAAAAGGGGCAAATATTGAACCTCCGTAGATCAGTTTCCCTGGATCCTACATCCGAGTTGCCGATAATCCGATTCCGGTGGCCACAGTCAGAGATTGAGAGAGGTTCCAGGGCTGGGGGGCAACGGGGGCTGGAGTATTGATGTATGAGTGTATGAGTTTAGTGCTATTAGTGCATATTGGTGCTAGTGTTAGATTACTACGGACAACACCAGCTCCGAGTACCGAAGACCGAGTGTAGACTGTAAGCCCTAATGCCAATGTAAAATAAATGCACGAATAACAACGACTAAAGAAACAAAGGTGCCTGAAAAGGAGATGAGGCAGTGTTAGTAGCAACAGTGAACGCGTGTAAAAAAAAAAAAAAAAACCGAGTGCCAAGTCGGAGCCCCGGGATGCTGTGACTAAGCAGGCATGTTGGTAAGCCGTAACAGTACGTTACTACGATCCTCGTAAGCCCATTCATCTTCCCTCACTACCCTCAAGAGGATTCCTCTAGCTGCATTGCTCTCCATCTCTTTCAATTTGCTTGAATGGCCCCGCGTGGGAGTACTCTGTAACCCCTCGCCCTTCGCTTTGCCTCAGCTCGATCGGCCGAAACCCTGTTCGCCTGGACCCCCCTCCCCCAAAACCCTCGATTCTCTTGCCTGGTCCTGAAAACGCGCTCATCGCTACTTCAGTTTCGGGCTCTTGGCACGTACAGGGACAGTGCGATTTAAGAGCGCTCCGATCCTGTGATTACCGCTACATCGACAATCCCCCTTCGCGCCCGGCGCCATCGGATCCCCGGCTGTGCAAATCGGAAGCTCGTACAGTACCGACAACTTAGAATTTTGTGAAGTTTTATGCTCTTGAAAGGCACAGAATTAGCCTAGATGGCTTCCGTGAACTTCCCTGGGGAGAATGGGGAGGATAACCAGGAGCAAGGTGGTGATATCCGGGAGGTCGGCAGCAACGTATCTAAACCTACGAAACGACAAAGATGGGCGACAACTCGAGCCCCCGGACATGGAGGAATCAAAAAGCGGGTCTCTATTATTGATCGCTTCCACAAGCGGTCAGATATGAAGGAGGAAAAGCGAAAGTCGACCAACACAAGCGCCTCAACCAACGCCGGATCAACAGACGGTGAGGATAACCCAGATGGTGGGTCGAATCGGAGAATTTACTTCAGTATTCCGATTCCCGAGTCCGAACGTGACGAAGATGGCCACCTGCAAATCAGCTATCCACGAAACAAGATCCGTACCGCCAAATATACCGCGCTTACTTTCGTACCCTACAACATCTGGTTGCAGTTCCACAACATCGCGAACATTTACTTCTTATTCGTCATTATTCTTAATGTACGTCAAATATCGCCCCTTTTGAATTTCATCAGAATCTCTGCTAACGGAAGCGCTCTAGTTCTTCCCTATTTTCGGTGCCAACAACCCTGGTCTGAATGCTGTTCCCCTGATCGTCATTATTGTAGTGACAGCTATCAAAGATGCCATTGAGGACTGGGGTCGAACGGTGTCTGATAACCAAGTCAACAACTCTCCCGTTTACAGACTGGTCGACTGGAACAATGTCAATTCGACCGAAGACAACATTGGATTATGGCGTCGTGTAAAGAAGGCTAGTACCCGGGGTACGATCGCGTCCTACAAGTGGATTGTGTCTCAATTCAAAAAGAAGCAACCCGCAGAGCACGACGAGGAAGGACAGCGACGTCAATCCTTCATGAGCACCGCGGATCCTCGATCCTCAATCTATACAGAGCGCAATCTGGCCCCAGAAGATGTCGCCATCCCAATGACTGATGTTCCGTCGCCTCAACCCGAAGCGCGCGAAGATTGGCCAATGATGAACAAACCAGAGAACAAATTCTTGTCCCCAAACAGCGCAGCCCGTGAGAGTGTCATGGAGCCGTTGCCAGACAAGAAGCATGGAACTGTTTTGGATATGTCCAAGCAAACGCCTGGAGTGGCTCGCTTCAAACGAGACCAATGGAAGAGTTTGCAAGTTGGTGACTTTGTTCGTTTGTATAACGAAGACCCAATCCCCGCCGACATCGTCATTCTTTCTACATCCGACCCGGACGGTGCTTGTTACGTCGAAACCAAAGGACTCGATGGAGAAACCAACCTGAAGGTTCGCCAGGCCCTTCACTGTGGTCGTAAAGTTAAACATGCTCGAGATTGCGAGAAAGCCGAGTTTGTCATTGAAAGTGAGGCGCCCCATGCCAACTTGTACTCGTACAACGGTGCCGTCCGCTGGGATCAGCGTGACTCGCGTTTCCCAGAGGCGCCTCGGAAAGAGATGGTAGAGCCCATCACAATCAACAACATCTTGCTCCGTGGTTGCAACTTGAAGAGTACTGAATGGGTCCTCGGTGTTGTTCTTTTCACCGGTGGAGAGAGCAAGATCATGCTCAACTCTGGTGCCACCCCGGCCAAGCGTCCCCGCATGGCCAAGGATCTCAACTGGAACGTCATTTACAATTTCATCATTCTCTTCCTCATGTGTCTCGTCTCGGGTATCGTGAACGGAATCGCATGGGCAGCGCCAGATAGGTCCTTGGACTTTTTCGATCTCGAGTCATATGGAGACACCCCTCCTGTGACCGGTATTGTCACATTCTGGACTGCAGTTATCCTGTTCCAAAACTTGGTTCCCATTTCCCTATACATTTCACTCGAAATTGTACGCACCATCCAAGCTGTTTTCATTCACAGTGATCTCTACATGTACTACGAGAAACTCGGCATCTATTGTGTTCCTAAGTCTTGGAACATTTCAGATGATGTCGGTCAGGTAGAGTACATTTTCTCCGACAAGACTGGTACTTTGACCCAGAACGTTATGGAGTTCAAGAAGTGCACAATCAATGGTGTCTCCTACGGTGAGGCGTACACCGAAGCTCAAATTGGCATGAGGCGTCGTGAGGGAGCCGATGCCGATGCAGAGGCTTTGGTGGCCCGAGAACAGATTGCTGCCGATGGTCAGGAAATGCTTCGCAACTTGCGTCGCATTCACGACAATCCCTACCTGCACGATGACCAACTGACTTTCATTGCTTCCAAATTCGTGGCTGATTTGGACGGAAAATCTGGAGAGCAGCAGAAAAAGTCCAACGAACATTTCTTCCTGGCTTTAGCTTTGTGTCACACCGTCATCACCGAACATACTCCTGGTGACCCCCCTCAGATTGAGTTCAAGGCCCAATCACCCGATGAGGCTGCGCTGGTCAGTACCGCACGAGATTGCGGTTTCACTGTTCTGGGTCGGGCCGGTGACGACCTGCTCTTGAATATCATGGGCGAGGAACGCACTTACACCGTTTTGAACACGCTCGAGTTCAACTCATCCAGAAAGCGAATGAGTGCGATCATCCGAATGCCTGATGGTTCTATCCGCCTGTTCTGCAAGGGTGCTGATAGCATCATTTATTCTCGTCTTGCCCGTGGCAAGCAGCAAGAGCTCAGACGGCAGACGGCAGAGCATTTGGAGGAATTCGCCAGAGAAGGACTCCGAACCTTATGCGTTGCCGACCGCCTACTCAGTGAAGAGGAGTACCAAAGCTGGGTTAAGGAGCATGACATTGCTGCCGCTGCGATCACTGATCGTGAGGAGAAGCTCGAGAAAGTTTCCAGCGAAATCGAGCAGGAACTCATGCTCATCGGTGGAACAGCCATTGAGGATCGATTGCAAGATGGCGTTCCAGACACAATTCAACTTCTTGCGGATGCCGGTATCAAACTTTGGGTTTTGACTGGTGACAAGGTGGAGACTGCTATCAACATCGGCTTCTCATGTAATCTTCTCAATAACAACATGGAGTTGATTGTGCTCAACATTGCGGAAACCGAGTTTCAACAGGCTGAAGCCGAGCTTGACAAGCATCTACAGACCTTCGGTTTGACCGGATCCGATGAAGAACTTGTTGCTGCACGAACAGATCATTCTCCACCCGAAGCTACGCATGCCGTGGTCGTCGACGGTGAAACTCTCAAGCTTATGCTGTCCGACGAGTTGAAGCAAAAGTTCCTCCTGTTGTGTAAGCAATGCAAGGCTGTGCTTTGCTGTCGTGTAAGTCCGGCACAAAAGGCCGCTGTTGTCAACATGGTCAAGAACGGCCTTAACATCATGGCCCTTTCAATCGGTGATGGTGCCAACGATGTGGCGATGATTCAAGAGGCCGATGTGGGTGTTGGTATTGCCGGTGAAGAAGGTAGGCAAGCTGTCATGTCCTCGGATTATGCCATCGGTCAGTTCCGGTACCTCCAGCGCCTCCTTCTAGTGCATGGTAGATGGTCTTACCGCCGTCTTGGAGAGTGCACGGCCAACTTCTTCTACAAGGTAAGTGATAAATGTTTGAATGGGTTGATTCTCTCTTACTGACTATTCTCCAGAATCTTGTGTGGACATTCGCTCTCTTCTGGTACTGTATCTACAACGACTTCGATTGTTCCTACTTGTTCGACTACACTTACATTGTACTGGTCAACCTTGCGTTCACTTCCTTGCCGGTTATCTTCATGGGTATCTTCGATCAGGATGTGGACGACAAGGTTTCTCTCGCCGTCCCGCAACTCTACATGAGAGGCATCGAGCGAAAGGAATGGTCGCAACTCAAATTTTGGTTGTACATGGCCGATGGCTTGTACCAGTCAATAATTTGTTTCTTCATGCCTTACTTGTTGTTCCGCCCGGCAAACTTCGCCACTAGCGATGGTCGGAATATCAATGACAGAGCGCGTATTGGTATTCTTGTCGCGTCATGCGCCGTTCTCTCCAGCAACCTCTACATCATGATGAACACCTACCGATGGGATTGGTTCACGTCTCTGATCAACGTTATCAGTAGCCTGCTGATCTTCCTGTGGACTGGAATCTACACGTCTTTCATTTCCTCAGGCCAATTCCTCCATGGCGCTGCTGAGGTATATGGAGCCTTGAGCTACTGGATCGTGCTTTTGGTTACTATCCTGATCTCCTTGCTGCCGAGGTTCACTTACAACTCCATTCAGAAGGTATTCTTCCCGCTTGATGTTGATATCATTCGGGAACAGGTGACCCAGGGCAAGTTCAAGTACCTTGATGCGCTCGACAATATGCCCGCTGTGCCTCCAAAAGTGAAAGACCCCGCTTCCCAGAGCACGGCTCTCAGTGAAGCATCAGCAACCTCTTCAGAGATCGTGAAGCCAATTCAGCCTGCCATGAAGCAGGATACCGTGGTTCCCGACGACGAGCGACCCTTCTACGCGCCGTCCATGGCCCCCACTGCGAATACACACAACCCTCGCAGTCAAAATGGCAGCAACGGTACCAACTACACCGCAAGCCTTGACCAGTACCCGCGGCCACAATCGGTAGACTATGTTCGCCGATCTCACGACCGGACACGACATTCCTTCGAACGGGGTCGACCCAGCTTTGAGCAGAGCAACGATTATACTACTGCTGCCATGCTCTCTCGAGTAGAGTCCTCCAACACACCCAATCGTCAAATTGAAGATCCGTTCCGGACTCCTGATGATGCCTCTGCACATAATATGATTTAGAGGAGCGCACACTGCGTTGCATTGACCTCGACGACCTGTCCGATGACGTTCTCCCCTCGGTTATTCTGATCAGCTCTTTGTGATTTCCCTTCACCATTCCTATTTGACGAGCAATATTCCGTGGTGTTTTACATTTTTGAGTCTTTTATATTCCCTGATAGAAAGCAGGCGTTTGGTTTCTTACTTTATTCGGCCGGAGGCTTAGCGCATGTCTGATTTGTTTCCCCCCTCACTCCGACTCTTAGTCTTTTTCTTTCTCTTTTTCTCCTTTCATACACTCCCTTAAATGATGTCTCGTTTCTGCATCTTCCAAACCGAGACCTTTTTGGTCTATTGTTGTACAAAAGCGTTCCTGTCTCTGCAAAAGTGTATGACGCCCGCTCTTGAACGTTTCCCGTTGTTTGCTATCCATTTGTGGGGTCATTTTTTGTTGGAAGATCTTTTGGCTTTTCCTCCCGTTTGTGTTTCTTGCTCCTGGTATAGGGGACAAGCCAGCTGGGGGATGATATTCCTGTATTCTATTCCATGCCCTCAGTGAGCAAAGTACTTAATGCGGTTATAATGCGGTTATTTCAAAGCTTGTGCATGGCCTCTACCTAGACAGATCAAGCAGCGGTGTAAATTGCAACTGTAAACCTGTAGCTTTAACCCCAAACAATACGCCTAGAGTCGTCAATCTCCCCATTTCGAAGACTAAAGTGGCTGCTTAAGTATTTCCTACTTGGGTAAAATGGCGCGCGTCCACGCGTAAAGGGCAGCTTCACCGCCCAGGGCTCCCACCAATAGGACGCGTTTGACCTCGGGATTTTTGTGTCCAGCTTGGAGCTTCATACAAACATCGGCTTGCATGTCTTCATAACCGCAAGTGGTGACCTCTTTTTTGATTTCTCTCTCATTGGTTTCTGTTTCTCAGCCAGCATCATATAGAGATCATCCCTGGACACCCTACAACGCTGTCTGACCTCTTGCCGCTTCAGCACCTTTGTTTCAACACCTTCAGTCCACCAGCTTATTTTTGCGAAGCCTCGTTTGCAGCCCGACATATGATTTCTTGAAGAACACTGAACCAGATAAACGCCGAGTCACCTTTTCTCGACGACAATGCGTTAGCTGCTGCCTTTCTGGGGCCAAGCAACCAAACTCTTGTCATTTAGTTCTTCGCATCTCCAGATTTCGAGATTGCCATAGCCATGGAGTTTGTGGATGCAATCGCGTAGGTGATCCAACTTTTTGAAACAATTCAAATGAGACTAATGAGGGGATGTTTCGATTAGCGAGCTCAAGGCCCTTCCGGAGGGCACCCACCTCCTCTGCCCCCGACAGACTGAAGATGACTACGGACGTTACGATAACCTCGATGGAGTGGACGAGTCAGGACGGTCTATCCGAGAAATCGTTACTGAAAGCACTGCTCAGAAACAGAAGTTTCTTTCATGCATGCGAATCCTCGCATACAACAGTGAAGGCGTGGAAGAACTCCAGAGCTGGGTTCTGAGCAAACTCGATGAGACACTGGAAAAATGTGATCTTTGTATCAAGGAGTACTACACTGGCAAAATCTGGCTCATGGACCAGTTGAAGGAGGAGAATTACCAGGAAGAGGACGTCGAGGCGTTTGCTCGGACAATCGACGAGTGGGACATCAGGAGGATCACACGCAATTTGGCCACAGCGACAACACAGCTCAGAGCGACTCCAGTACAAAATATATCTTTAAATGTCCTGGATCGAGCTGCGTTACTCTCAATATTTGAGACTTTGAGCTGCGACGCCATGCTGTGCAAAGAAAACCTCCTACAAGAGCACTTTGATGAGCCATTTAAGCTGATCCAAAGTAAGCGAAGTCTAAAGGTTTCGGACTACGTGCCTGCGGTCACTCAGTTTCTATTTGATACCAACCCACAACGCAGTTTCTGGGCTATTCAGGCCTGGACAAGATACTCGCGGTCTCCAACCACCCTGGAATTTGACTGGGCGATGCGAGACGGTATTCTCAGGGCGTTGCGAACAGCATCGCAACAACCACCCCAATTTGCGTCCATCCAACGGTTATGGCGAGGCATGCAACTTATCGTCAAAATGTTAGATCAGGGACAAATCACACATCAGCTTCGAGGGTTGGAAATTGACCCTTGTCGCCTGTCTGTGGAACATCTTGCTCTACCTATCATAGGTCTCCGATTTCTTCTTAACACTATTCAGACTTTTCTCGAAAAAGCACCAGCCGACTTCTGGGACGCCATGCAAACCATATCTCCCCAGGCTATCATGGAGCTGGCATTTTTCAACACACAGCTAAATAATTTCCTATTGGAGACCACCGAGGGCGAAGCTTATGAGAGGTCTGCTTTAAAAGACATGCTTTCCTGGGTCACTCCGTTCCTCAACTCTTTAAAAGGCGCCCATCAACCGTCTGCTTGTCGATTTCTGGAGCTGCAGCTGCTTGGTCGACTTCAGGATCCGCAATTTCCCAATCTCACTCGTTACCACTGTTTCCACCTTGGCTTGACCTGTCTTCTTCAGACGCTTCGCCGCTTCACAGATAATGAGGCTTCTCGGGGCTCAGTTGCACGAATCGTGCTCGCAGAGACAATGGGTGTAGTCAGTGATAACATTACCACAATTCTCAATCCTCCCACATTCAATGTCGAGGAAAGCCGCCAACAGGAGCTCGTCACGCTGTGCATGGATGTTGTGCGCAACACATTAGCACTGGAGTGTCAGTCCTTGAAGACTGATTATGAGGTCATTCTGAAGCATAACACACTCTCACACGGAGTATCTACTTACTCAGCCCCTATCTGGGATGCTGTCATTAAAAATCTCCATCGTGACAATTTGCCACTGTCAAGTTCGGCGCTGTTGGGAATTCTACCTCTGGTGGGACTGGAGAAGTTCCCTACTAAAGGAGAAGGAAACCAAGAGAAGACACACTTCAACATGATCTATGGGCATCTCACCCATCTCTCATGCAAGATCATTGAACGTCTGTCTGAATTCCCACACGAACATTTGGAAAAGCTATTCCAAAGCCAGGACACAAGCAGCGCTTTGATCTCGGCTTTGTTTGCTGCTGATCTGGATACCTATCAGGCCGCCGTTGACGTGATCAAGAACGTCAGTGGTCAATCAGCCCGAAGAGATGCTATCTCTCACCTGTTGCAAACGGACTTCACACTTACGGTCTACGGCCTCAGCTGGTCATTCCGCCGAATCTCTAACATGAAGACGTTCGCGCCAGCTCCGCGAATGCTTTACACTGGTACGGATATTGTAGAGATCTTATGTGATAGCCAAACTGGTATGCTGCGCACTCGTAACCTCGCAGATCGAAGAGAGGTTCTGTCGTTGCAGAAGCTCTGGGAGTATTTGTGGCTGGCATTGACCACGATTTTTGACGAAACCGAGGCATGGCATCTACGTGGCAACGACAAGTCTGTCATGCTTGAATTCTGTCGTGACACGATCCAATTTGCCGACTTCCTCTTCGACCAGTATGGCGTATTCCTGGGGGCTGTAGCAAACGCAGATCCTGGGCAAAAGTCTGTGTCTGAGAACTTTTTGAAGTCGCCCACCACGACCATGAGTGCCATGGTCAAATGGCTCAGGTTGAAGGATGAATATCTGGCAACGACTCTCGTAGGGTTGGTTTCGAAGCTTCTACGGAGACTGGGTGCGATGGACGTAACTACTGTGAAGCCTGATGCCTTGAGCTTTATTGAGGGAGTTGCTGTTGACGGAGCTATCAAGACAATTCTCACACAACGTGAAAAGGCTGAATTGGTACGTTCGCTCGAAGCGTACTACAAAAAGCCTGTCGTTACTGCTTCCACGGCTGCTCTCAAGAAACAATCCTCCATCACCTCTTTTGCCAAACCCTCCGATGTCTTGAGCTCCTCTCGCGTTAACAGCGATGACGAGTTCGACGATAATCTCGCCGACCAAACCCTTCTTGAATTGTCCTCCTCTGTGGAAATTAACAAGGCACGACTTGCGGCCCAGGCGAAACGGAACGCTGAAAAGGCGGGCAATACACTCTTGTCTTCGATGTCTTTCAAGGCACGCCGTGATAATGCTCCCAAACCTGTTGTGCCTTCACGTCCTAAAGATGACGCCACCCAAGTTCTATCTTTCCGTGAGAAGCGGGAGCGCGAGAAGGAGGCGAAAAAGAAACGAGATATGGCCGAGCTTGCCAAGCTCAAGAAGAGCATGCCTGCACAAGGCGTTGCTCAACTCACCGCTGAGCAAGGATCGGGCTTGAGAGGTATTGGTATCAAGGGCAAGGACCATACCGCCCCGGCAGATAGTATGATGGTTTCCTCTGGCTCGGAATCGGATTCTGAAAGTGAGGATGAACTAGATACGGAGCTCTTCGGTGCCAAACCAAAAAAACCGGACGCTGTCGCCGCCTATGAACTTAGCAAAAAGCAAGCCATGCAGCAACAGCCAGTCAAAAAGACCAAGCGCCATCGATCTATCAAAGATATGCGAGCGCGCTTGGCGCCTGATTTGGGATCCCTTCACCACTCCATTCTATCCTGGGACTTTTTCGCTACGGGCGACCTTCCTACGACCTCGGACCAAAAGGATTACACCCTTGTCTCGAACTCATTCCGGTCCCCAGGCGACTATCAAGGTACTTTTGAGCCGCTCTTGATCCTTGAGGCCTGGCAAGGATTCCAGCAATCCAAGGAAGAAGGAAACTTCAGGAACTTCCAAGTAAAGGTCATGTCTCGTTTAGCTGTGGACTCCTGGATTGAATTCAGCACTCAGCCACTCGGTCTTCCGCCGAAGGATTTCAGCATCGGAGAAGGTGATCTTGTTTTATTTTCAAACGCATCTGAGCCCACAAAGGATTCTAGTGCGCCTCATGTTCTCGCACGTGTCTGTGGTGTCAATCGAAAGAATGGAAAGCTGGAGGTCACCTATCGAGTCAATCCTGGGAACAACAAGTTCCTCGCCAACTTCGGACCCGGTACTGAAGCTTGGGCGGCCAAGATAACATCTATGACTCCCGTGGAGCGTGAATACGGTGCCCTCATGGCCTTGCAGTATTACGATTTATGCGAAGAGATCGTTCTGGCCAAACCCTCTCCTATTCTTAATTATGCGGACACAAGGCTTCAGCCTATTATGGACAACTACACCATTAATCGTGCTCAGGCCAAAGCTATTAAGTCCGCTGTCGACAACGATGCGTTCACTCTCATCCAGGGTCCCCCAGGTTCCGGAAAGACCAAAACTATCATCGCACTTGTTGGCAGTCTTCTCACCAATGTTCTTGGGAAACAAGCTGTGAGCATCGGTGGACCAGCAGCCAGAAACACGCTCTCCAAAAAGCTTCTGCTTTGTGCGCCTAGTAACGCTGCCGTGGACGAGTTGGTCATGCGATTGAAGGAAGGTGTGAAGACATCCGATGGACGAACCGAGAAGGTCAATGTTCTTCGTCTAGGAAGGAGTGAAGCAATCAACGCTAAGGTCCTGGATGTCACTCTCGATGAGGTGGTCAATGCCCGTCTGAACCAGGATCCGAGTAAAGGAAATGGCGTGGACATGCAGAAGCTGTATGAAGAGCACAAACAAACCGATACCACGTTCAAGGAGCTTCGTTCACGTCTGGATGAAGCCAGAGCAAAGGGATTACCTCCACCAGACGAACTCGAGCGCGAGTTCGAGCTGATGAAGAAGAAGCGATCCCAGCTCAGCACGTCTATTGACAAGGCTCGAGATCAGAACCATACGTTGGCTCGCAATGCTGATATGCATAAACGGCGCATCCAGGAAGAGATTATCAATGGCTCTCATGTCATTTGCACCACTCTAAGTGGATCTGGCCATGAAATCTTCCAAGGCATGAACGTCGAGTTCGAGACAGTCATTATTGATGAAGCCGCTCAGTGTATCGAGCTTAGTGCTCTGATTCCTCTGAAGTACGGTTGTTCGAAATGTGTGCTTGTTGGTGATCCTAAGCAATTGCCTCCCACTGTACTGTCAAAGATGGCGTCCAAGTTCCAGTACGAGCAGAGTTTGTTTGTTCGTATGCAGCAAAACCACCCCAGGGACGTTCACTTGCTTGATATTCAGTATCGTATGCATCCGGAAATCAGTGCTTTCCCCAGTGATACGTTTTATGACGGTAAGTTGCAGGATGGACCGGACATGGCTAAGCTTCGCCGTCGCCCTTGGCATCAGAGTGAACTGCTCAGTCCCTACCGATTCTTTGATGTTCAAGGTATGCAGTCAAGTGTACCAAAGGGCCGCTCTTTAGTCAATTTGGCAGAGTTACAAGTTGCGATGCAACTCTACGAGCGTTTGATAACAGATGTCAAACAATACAACTTTTCCGGCAAGGTTGGCATCATCACTCCTTATAAGGGTCAACTCAGAGAGATGAAGAATCAATTCGTTCATCGATATGGAGAAGAAATTTTGAAAAAGGTCGACTTCAACACCACCGATGCTTTCCAGGGTAGGGAAAGTGAGGTTATCATCTTCTCTTGTGTACGAGCATCCAACAAAGGTATCGGTTTCTTGGCTGATGTCCGACGTATGAACGTCGGTCTTACGCGTGCTAAATCATCGCTCTGGGTTCTGGGTAACTCGCAGGCTTTGATCCAGGGTCAATTCTGGAGTCGCCTCGTCCGCAATGCGCGAGAGCGAAATATCTACACGGAGGGTAACATCATGAAGATGTTGGAGAGGCCACAGTTTACCGGCTACAAAGAGGCCGAAATGATCGATATCGGCGTTGAACCAACTCCCCATGTACCTCCATCCGAGACTACTCGTCCCGATACTCCTGACAAAGCCTCATCCCTGGCCTCCATATCCCGCCCTTCGTCCGCCTCCATCGGTCTTGATTCCCGATCCGTTTCTGTTTCTGTTTCTGGCCGCGGTACACCCCCAGCGTCAAGGCCTGACGGGCCTTCTGGGGGAGCTGCGGGTTTGGATACAACTAAGATGTGTGGGCTGTGTGGAAGCGCAGATCATTTCACCTCGAATTGCAGTAACAACGAGGCAAAAGAGCATGCCAGAGGAACCTGCTATCGATGTAAACAAGGCGGTCACACCAAAGTCTTCTGCACAGCCGAACTTTGCCTTGAATGCGGCCAGATTGGGCACTCGGCCGGTAGCTGCAAGTCCATGACACGTCTCTCGAAGTTCGATCGCGATCGTCTTTCCAGAGATGAGTATAAGCTCCAGCAACAAAAGAAAGAAAGGGGCGATCGCCGACGAGAAAATCAGCTAGGAGGGCACAACCCGAAAGTCCCAGTCGTCCAGGCCACTACTGCGAACCCTCCTACCAACCCTGTTGAGGGTGCAAAGCGAAAGCGCATGGATTCTGTCTCCGATGGACCCAACGCACAACGTCCTCGAACTGGACAATCAAATGCGCCCTCTCATGCTCCCACCGGTCCACGGAATACCGGCCATCCAGGTCTCTCTAGAACAGTTCAAGCTCCCAAGAGTCGACCCACTGGTCATCCAGGTCTCTCTGCGCCTATTAATGCACCAAAGGGACCCAAAGGAGGTCCACCGGGGGTAAGTAACCCTTATTCTCTTGGTCTGAACCATCATTAACCAAATAACCAAACGCTAGACTGCTTCTTTGGTTCCCAATGCTCCCAAGGGACCGCGAGCCGATGGACCGCCGCCCGTAAGTTTGGCCGTGCGCTCGATTCATCGACCAGAATCCTGTTATAGATGCTGACCACCCTTCAGGGCCTCATCAAGCCGTCTCGCGATGGCCCGGCCTACCCGACTGCGAATCCCCCACCCCGAGCCCCGCCAACAGGACCCAGGGCAGAGGTAAGACATTTATCTGACTTTTCGATGCATCATACTAAATTGCCGGTAGGGCTCCAATCCAGGTCCAAGGCCTCGTCCCCCCATGCGGAAAAAGAAGGAAACGGACCCATTCATTCGCCCCAAACGCAAGTGAGCGTATATCCCGATCTCCACCCTCACAACCCAATTTTGAGATCTCTTTTCTCCGATTGCAATCTTTTCTCAGTCACCAAGAACGCACATCACAGGAGAGTCCTCGGGGCTCTCTTTCCCGAGGACTCTCTTTTTCACATAGACTCGAGAGGAATCCGAGTTGCACCTTCGAGCATTTCACGGCGTCGGCGAAGTCTTTTCTTTCTACTCCATACGCTGCATTCCCATTTTACTAGCTATGGCACAGCCACAGACGCCATGACTAGATGTAAGTTTTGAATAGCCAATGTCAATATGAGTCTGGGCCAGGTTGTCGGGTCATGTTTCCCGTAGGATCTAGACGTTGAACAGTGGAGCCGGTGGAGATGACATGTTAGATGTTATACATGAGGTTGTCGGATTGATTCCGGACCATGCAATACTGTAAGAGTTGGGTTACAAACCTGATTGCTAAAGTATATATGCCAGCACTGAGGCAGCCATTCGCTTGAAGTTGCCATGTGGACATGCTGCGTTTGCGTGGCTGTTTGAGACAAAGGGAGTCTAGTCGACGTGTGCACTTCGCCTGGGGCTCTAAGTTTGCACAGTCAAGAGGACATCGTAGATATACTGTACGGAGTAGTAGCTCTCTGATGAACCTGGACATGTATAGAAGTTCCCTCAAACTCTAGATAATGCAGCTGTGCAGAAAAGCGTTTGGATCGGAGAATATCCAAAATAGCACAGCTACAGCAGGGGGGGAAAGAGATGATAGACCACAAATATTGAGTGGATCTTAGCAAACTCTACTATGGAACATTGGTTCGTCCAAATTGAAGCTAAATAGGGTATCTAGGGGGAGCCCTTAATGGTCAACAGTCCTATATTGCCGATAACCTATGGACCAGTGCAAATCAGCCTATGAGGCATATTGCCAGGAGAGAAACATTTTATTTCTTTTGACAGGGCTAACTTAATGTACAGTAGTGACTCGATCTCTGAATCCTGAACACTATAGAATACAAAGTAGAATTTGATCGATAGTTCGGGGCGAGGGATCTGTGCGTGTGAGCTATCACACACACTCTCTCTTTCTCTCTCTCTCTTCCCCTCCACCTCACCACTTCACTCCTGCACAGTACTTCTGTGCCATACATGATCGACTGCCTGGAAGATCCCTGAGTCCGATCGGAACTCAAACTGTGAACTCGGATGAACTCTGCTTCCTAACTTGGATACCTCACATCACTGACGTTTCCCCCCCCCCCCCTCCTGTCACTATTCGACCCCCCTTACCTCCCTTTATTGCTTATTGTCTAACTTGAAGGGCAAAAAAACGAAAACACCCAAAAAAAGGGGGGGGAGAGAGAGAAAAAAAAAGCAATGGTGCAATTGTGCAATGGTCCAACATGAAGTCCGTTTAGTTCTTGACTGGTCTACTCTGTCCTAGCAGGCATTGTCCTTCTGGCAGTGGGCACAATGGCAAACACGCATGCAGCGCTGTGTCATATATGTCCTCCCGAACTACCCAGGCGTGTTTGATCAGGATTGGGGGTCCCACACCTTGCATGGGCGAATCCCTGTGGAGGAAAGCCTGATGATATGCAGAACCTCTTTGTCGGGTCCCATTTTAACCTCAACTATGGTGCCTGTCCAGCTTCCGAGGGTGGGACTCATTGCGTCTGGATCGTCCAGGTCTCCCGCCGGTCAAGCAAGGATGCGACAGCTCACCTGGGGATCTTTCTATTAAACTCTTCTCCCTGCCGGTTGCCTCGTCTCAGGTTCGATTTCCGTTCGCTTGTTTCTGTACTCCCATTGCTCATCAGACGCCACCCTCGATCTACTCTATAGTGGCGCACCCTGTATATACTCGTGTCATCTTGAGATAGATCATATTCGCCAGTGTTATATAGCCTCAGTCCCCCTATTCATTGATCCATAGGTGAGCATGTCTCGCGGTCGAGGCATCGCCCTGGTTCTGACCTTGCAAGAATAGCATCATTGTCGCCGTGAAGCCCTTTGGGACCCTGATGTCGACGCCCCGCGAGCAATCGCCTTGAAAAGCCAGCCGGATTGGATGCCCCGTCTCTCTATGCATTGGGAATCCTCGCATGACTGTGCCGTCGCACCAAGCCCCATTGTCCGGACTTATCGACCCGATCCTCTGCCATCGAAACGCAGGATTTCCCACATGACATCGCCAACTCCTGGGCCAGTGCCCTCCAGACCCCGAGGGGAAAGTGGTCCACGGCCTCAAGCACGCTCGGCGGGCACAGCTGAGCGACCTGGCCGCAATGAGAGCTTGGTAGACCTCGTTCGATTCTTCCAAACACAGAACATGCCCGCACAGCCTTCGACTCCATCTCTGCCCCAAGCATCATCTCCAAGATCCCCTGCAAGTCCATCAGATACGACAACTGCGCTGCCGGTTGCAGTCGAAACTAAGGAATACAAGCCGGATCCGAAGCCAGAACTGAAGCCATTCCATCGTCGCCTGCTGCAATTTGCTCAGCGACAAAAGAAAGAGTCGTCGCCTCGATCCAAACAAGAGGAACAACAACGTCAGATGGATGCGCTAATGAGGGAAGGATACCTCATCCCAGCCCCCCTAACAAAAGATCTCAAGGGACCAAAGGAGCCTCGAACTTCCAAGGACAGTACTCTATCCCGTACTCTTTCCAAGTCTAAGAAAGACGTTGAAAATATTGGCCAGCCATGGCTACAGGCCAAAGCGGATGGAGCCAAGCGACCGACCGAAACACGGCGTCGCCTGGCCTCTCTAGATCTGGACGATTTTGGCTCAATGGTCGACGTCGCGGTCTCACTTTCGTCTGACTTTGACGATGCAGTACCACCACCTTATCAACCATCTGATAATATTTCTTCTCAGGCCTCCGTGCCAACCTCGAGCTCTGGGGACCCTGTTTCCCAGAACACTGTGGGATCGACTTCGACGCTGGCTTATGCGAGCCACAGTCGAAATAACCCATCAATTGATGAACAGGTCAACCGGCCATCCAGCTCTGCAGGGTCCAGCGCTCGGACGCATTCGCAAAATATAGAATCTCTTTCGCGAGTCACGAGTAATGCACCAAGCAATGCACCAAGCAATGCAGCCCCGAGTATAGCGGTAGCAGAATCTCCTCGACCCTCCATGGACAGCCAGAAGCGCTATCCTGCAGGAAAGCAGTCTGAGTCGGACCAATCTCGCCGTACGCCGACCCCAACTCTGAAGCTCTTCCCTGATGTTGCACCGCCTCGAAAGTCCAGCGTCACAGCGCGAAGAACCTCAGCTGTGCCACGTTATCAAACCCTTACCAATACCGTGTCAAGCTCTTCGCTCGGCTCGCAAATCGAATCTTCTGGCGTTACCGAGTCCGGCGATGAGCGCCGAAAGTCCTCAGATGGTATCAAAGAGACTCCCGTCAAGCAGGCAGAGCCGAAGTGCACAGGTGCTCTTACGTCGGCACCTCAACCGACCTCCGAGACAAAGACCTCTGTCGAGAGAGCTCAAGCGCCCGCGGAGTCAGCCTTAGAAGATCAGAGTAAAATTCGTCCAACGTCATTATCCATGGGCACGCTGAAGGCGTTTCCTCTCCCGGCACCAACCAGACCACTACCCTCATTGCCCGAGGCTGAGCGTGCCTCCGGTATTCCTCGGACAAACGCTCGCTTGAGTATTCGTCCGGCTCGCTCGGAGCCCATGTCTTTGGCCCAATCTTCCTCGGGAGCTGTGCCTGAAAATAAAAAGACTGGATCTGCTCTCGAATCACGACCTGCAAACTGTTTGGGTAATGTCGACGTTGGAGGTTCGATCGCGGACGACGAGGAGAGTATCTGTACACCGTCAAGGTCAGATAACTCCAAGTCAACATCTCCTACTCAGTGCACTTCTCGAAGACGGGCTGCTAGTATTCGTATCCCTCGCATGGAAGAATTGCCTGAAAGCCCTTCAAGTGCAGGTACTAAGGGTCAGCCATTGGCCGACTCCCCCCTGTTGGGACAATCAACGCCCATCAAAACCCAGGGCAAACGTATCATCTTGGATGGATTGCAGATCAACTCTCAAGTTGGTCGCAAGAATCTTCCATTCGGCCTGCCATCGCCTCCCCCTACTGCTTCTCTTCCATCAGCCCCTCCTCCTTCCCACCCACCTCCCCCGCCTCCTGGTCGTGCAGCTGGCCAACGCAACTACACCGCCCCTAATGCAGCTCAGCTTCAATCTATGAGAAGTATGGAGGCACCCCCTCCCCCCTAGCTCTTACCGCAACTCGATGATATCCCGAAGTGACAGCTCCAGGAGCAGTCTTCGCCATGAGAGCTATCCCGACTCATACCAAGAAAGTCGTCCTGACAGTCGTCCTGAGTCCCCATTGCCGTCGTCAGATGACGAGGTCTTTGGTCCCAGCGCTGGTGTCAAAGTATCTCGCCGTAAAGCTGAGAAACAGAAAAGCACCCAGCCAGCCCACCGAGGAAGAACGATGGATACACACCAAACCTCCATCCACAGTCATCCTCGGTATCCCCACTCCGCTCACTCTATGATACCTCAAAGTCGCAGCCATCCGAACCTGGAGAATACTTCTTCTCCCCGGTCACAGTACTCTGTGTCTACGCATCGGTCTAGAGAGTCCCAGAGTAGCCACCGCCCCCAGACAGCTCAGACGGACCACTATCTTGAAGACCGAGTTGCCAATCTGGAACGTCAGAACCAGATTCTTCAAGCAGCACTTATGGCCGCACTCAATGCTGGAAACAAGAATCCTCTGGAGGGGCTGCTTGATCCAACCATGTTGCCACCATTCCCTTCTGGTCCCTTTGCAAATCATTACCTCCGCCATGCCTCCCGCCCTGAGAGTTGGGTCAGCTCCTCTCGAAGCAGCGAGCACAGTGGCTTTGAAACCTCTAGCTCTTACCGAGATGGCCGTCCAAATGCTAAGCATCTGGACAACATGAGTGAAACCATTGAGTCTGGCTGGATGTCCGACAAGTCTAGTCGCAGTGGTGCTCACGTTTCACGCAATCGATAAATTACGATCTTTCTATTTCCTTGATTGTTTTTCTGGGACGATATTACCCTTCTCTTCGGTTACGATCATTTTATTACTTTCTACCTGTGCCAGTGCTTTCGTTTTGGCTATATTTTCGATGATACCATTTTGTCTTTCTTTGGATTTGTATATCAGCGAGTTTCCGGTGAATATGAATCAATTTATATCTTGATGCAAGTCAGTACATATCAAATCAATCTTTCTTGTTTGCCACATAGATAGCATCAACAGCAGCCTTGGCCAAAAGGGCAGAAAGAATGTATGACTTAGTAAACTCACTTTAGACGAGTCAAACAGGCGATATGCCACATTGGCATAGCACTGTATACCAACTCGCTATGAGAGAGCCTGCATGAAGCTCCAGATGTCAGAACCCCTGCTTAGTCATTTGTTTAGACAGCCTGGGGGAAACCTCTTGTGTGCTCCAGGGAATTAGGAACGAAACAACATTGAATCCCTTTATTTCAAGGCCACATCACCTGGAGAAAAAAGAAACCACCGAGCCATGAGCTGTTCGCCTGTCTAATCCTTCTCCAACCTCGATCCTCCATTCCAAAGCTCTCACCTTTCCCCGACCCTATAACCATGGCGAACACCACAGTAAGTCCCAGCTCCGCTCGAAGAAATTCTAGCTCACACTCTCAGCAGCGTACCCAGCAGGTCCCTCAACATGTGACTGCATTGCTCTCCCATCTCACCTCTCGCCCGGGCGTACAATCGACCCTGATCCTTTCCCGCAAAGACGGCTCCATCATCCAAAGCACAGGACAGCTAGCAGCGCCAACCTCTCTCGAGAATAGTTCCTCGCGCCCTCCGATTTCTTCTCCCTCTGAACCCAACCCTCTCTCCGCTCAATCTACCGACTCCTCCCCTGCCTCGCCTGCTCTCGCCGTCCCTTCACCGTACCAACCCTCTCAGACCGAGGCATTAGCAGCTCATATCTTTACTTTTGTTTCCAGTGCTTCGGCACTGGGGTTTCCCTCGCGCGACCTGCTTTCGGCGAGTCACCGGCAACAGGGGAGGCCACCCAGGAGTATGGGGTGGGCAAGGGCCCGCGGGAGGAGGATCGGGACGGTGATGCGGGTCGCGAAGAGGATGACGAGGTGAAGCTGCTCCGGATGCGCACGCGAAAACATGAGATTGTCGTCGTACCGGACCGGAAGTATCTGCTGTGTGTTGTACACGACGCTGCTCCTGGGCCTGCGACGAGTACGCGCTCTCGGTAATGGTTGTGGGGTTCGGTTTACTTTCTTTCTGTCTTTCTGCCTTTCTTGTGTCTTTACGGGGGGTTGGTTTGGATTTCATACATATACCCGATGGAAGCAGAATCATCGCATTTGATATTTGTCTTACTATGCTCAGTTGATTTGTAGGGGTTTCTATATAACAGGCTTTTGGGCATCACCCATGCAAGACCAGCATTTAGAGATTATATCCATTACTATAGAGTTGATCGTATGTCTGCCACGCCCAAGTCTCGTTCAGAGCCAGCGAACGTATAGTCACTTCAGCAATCGGAGATCAATCCGCTATCAAACTCCTCAACTTACCCCTCAGCAGAGTGCAGCAACACTGGCCCCAGTTGGATTCCACTTTTGTCTCTTGTCATCATTTTTCTCTATACTTCACTTGACTTGCGGTATTCCAACATGGACGCTCTCGATGTGACAGCAGCTCGTGCTTGCTTCCCTGCTCTACAGCAGGATCAGGTGTTCATGGATAATGCAGGTCAGTTGGCGGGCATGAACTTCCAAGATACGAGATGGAACGCTAAGATCGAGACACAGGGGGCAGTCAAGTTCTGGGGAGTGTGGCGGACTCGTAAGTCGACTCTGGACTAATGCAGTCTCCTCTTTACGGAGGACTAACTCAGCCATACGGAAAGCATCCATGCATACCTTTTGAACACGAATGTCCAGCTTGGTGCGACCTATGGAGTGTCCAAGGCTTCAACCGCTGCATATTCAGATGCATATCAAGTTGCGGCAGAGTTCATTAATGCTGCCACTGAAGAGGTATATATCTCCACCTCCAGCGACCACTATAGAACGGCCGAGTGCCGACCAGAAGAGAAAGGAAAACAAGTGGCTTAAATCCAATCTACACAGATTAGTATTGGTGTTTCAACCACTCAGCTCCTGCACAACATCTCGACAGCCCTGAAATTCCAGCCTGGCGACGAGCTCATTCTGTCCAAACTCAACCATGAGGCTAACACCGCCCCGTGGGTCCAAGTTGCAGAGCGATTGGGCTTGAGAGTGAAGTGGTGGGCTGCTTCTGATCCTCAGAATCCCGTCTGTGATCCTGCTGAATTGAAGCCTTTGCTCTCCAATAAGACTCGGCTGGTGTCATGCCCACACGCATCCAATATTACCGGGACCATTAGCCCGGTCCGAGAGATTGCAGATGCAGTCCATGCATATCCTCGGGTGAGTCTTGCCATCCACCTTTACTGCTGAGTGGTATACTTGTCTACTGTACATGGGCTCATCAAAACAGGCCCTGCTGTGTGTGGATGGAGTGGCTTTGGCACCCCATCGCCAGGTTGATGTGAAAGCTTTGGGTGTGGACTTTTATGCAAGTGCCCAATCATCCCCCCCCCCCCTCCTCCCCCATCATTCATGATTTACTTCAGTTACAGTAGGTGATTTTTTTTGGTTTGACTGATGATCCTTTTAGGCCTTCTCTTGGTACAAAGTGTATGGGCCTCATCTGGCCCAACTCTATGCCTCGTCCCATATCCATGACCAGATCCAGTCGCTGGGCCATTTCTTCAAGGCCCACAACACCTTGGATCTGAAGCTGAACCTGGCATCTGCCAATTATGAGCTGACCCAGAGCATTCCCCGCGTTGTGGAGTACTTTGGCTCCCCCCCTCGCACACGCTGGGCCAAGATGGCGGAGCACGAAGAGCGGCTGCAGCAGATCCTCCTGGAGTTCTTGGCTGCCCATCCCTCCATTACTATTATTGGAGAGCCCTCTGCCGACCAGGCGCTCCGTGTCCCGGTGATCAGCTTTGTGGTCCAGGGCATGGGCAGCCAACAGCTGGTGGACGCCGTTGAGCGCCGATCGGCGTTTGGATTCCGCAGTGGTCATATGTACAGCCACCGGTTGCTGGCCGAGGTGTGTGGGCTGCCCGATGTGGAGGATGGGGTGGTGCGGGTCAGCTTGCTGCATTATAACACCGGTGAGTGGTCAGTTTCATCTTTTTTTGTTTCGGCTCTGCTGACCGGGATTAGAGGCCGAAGTGCAGGGGCTGGTCGCACTGCTGCGAGAGGTAGTGTGAGTAGAGTCGGTAGAGTCGGTAGAGTAGGCAGCGTAGGCAAAGTAGTAGGCAGCGCAGGCCGTGCAGGTAGTGCAGGCCGTGTAGGCAGTGTCTGTACCTGTCTATCCTACCCTACAATACTATATGCTGCCCATCCAACGTGTTTGCAACTCGGTGAATAATCCGCATAGCCCACAGTACTGTAGATCAGGCATCACCCATGGATAGTCCATGTGTTTCACGGATGAACCATTCTCCAACATTACCAGTACACAGAGTAGTTTTCTTTCATTTCAGCCTAATCCTGTGAGGTCATCTGAGTCCTGTCCCCCTGTCTCCCAGCCAATAAGGCTTGAAGCCACCGAAAGTGGAGCAAAAGACGTGGCAAGCGCCTTTATGACTCAGACAGTTTCTTCTGCGCATTGTTGGAGGTACAGTAACAGTGTCGGTTGTAGGGTGTAGAGTGTGTAAGTGTGTAGAGACATTTTGGTTGGGTTCTCAGCCAGGGTCTTAGGGTATAGACCTGATTCATTCACATTCAGTCTGTGTCTACTCCAGGGCTGCATATTCCTGTAGTTTGAATCTTATAATGTTAGTGTTAGTCTACAGTCTACAGTCTACAGTACCGTACTGTCTGTCCATGTTATCTCTGACTATTCTCATTTCTCATTCCCCCGTAGAGTCATGTCTCCTATCTCGGCGCCATTCTCGCCGCATCCGGTTTTTCCCTGAAGAGAAGAGAACAGTAGGAATTATGATCTTGTTACAATAACTGTAGTTCCCTTGGGTATAGTTCCATTAGGTAGAGGTCCAGCAGTGCCCATCTCCCCCTCCCTATTAGCTCCGACTGGTTCCCCCCAGTTCCCGCCACCCTTTTCTCTCTCGCCACATCGTCTCTCCCTTTTTTGCCTCTTCTTAGTCACGGCAGATTCTGAAAGAGTCATAAGGTAAGAGTGAAAACTGGAGAAATTATGAATAGTGTCATCCGGGTCTGGTTCTGACTCTTTCTTTCTTCCCTCTCTAGGTCGCCTCCCTCTCTGTCTCTCTCTCTTCTCTCCGCTCCCTCCACTCCCTCTGCCTAATCCCCCCCCCCCAACGCCTGCCTGTAACAAGTAGCCACTAGCTGGTTCTGCCTGTTCATGCTCCGTTGAGTCTCTGTTCTTGTTTCTATTACCTTTCTCTTCAAAATGTACCCTATTGCCTCTTCCGACCCGATCGCCGTTGCTGTCATCCTCGCCTCTGACTTCTGAATCATCACGAAAAAGAGTCACTCGCCAAGGTTGATTACACACTTGGTGATCGGTTTGTGAATATCTTCTTGTCTTGCTTTGATCTTGAATCTGTTTTTTATCTTTCATCTTGCTCTCGTGCTCTCTTGATCTCTTGATCTCTTGCTCTCTTGCTCTCTTCGATCTGCTTGCCCGCCACTCCCGGTGGTTCCGACTAGCGTTCAGCATCCAAACCTGGCGCTTCTCGACTAAAGGTCTGCCGTCGCCTCTCTCGAAGACGGCTCTGTTGTCTCGGTCCTCGTTCCCGGTTTCCTGCTTCACGGTTTCTTCACACGGTACAAATCGGATCATTCGCGCCCTATTCGAACCATGAACTCGGATATGTCAAGGATGGACGTCTTGAGTTTGACTGCAAACTCAGGCTCTCAATCAACCGCGTCTCACCACGCTCACCCCTACGCCCTCTCCTCCGCCTCGTCGTCCTCTTCCTCCGTCTTCTCCCTCGACTGTAACTCCTCCATCGCCTCCATCTCCTCCGCCTCCTCCGCCTCCTCCGCGTCGACCGCCCCCTCCAACCCCGATGTGTGGCACAATGAGGGAAACAGTCAAAGAAGCACCAGAACTAGCTCCCGGTCTTGTAAAGGATCTGCCCCTAAAGATGGTGTAGTGCCGTCCGAGTTGCGCACGCATCCTCGACGCACTAACAGTTATGCCTCTAGCGCTCCTAGTGCGCGGCCTCCGCCTTGTCTGCTTCGGCAGTCGGAGCGGAAAGTCAACTTTGTCGATAATCTCGTCGGTAAGTCGTGAACACCCCCCATCGTGGGTTCGAACACGCGCAGCTAAACCACCCACAAGATACCGCGTCACAGATCGTGGAGATCATTTGGCCTCTGTCCGCCGCAGCATCCCGCAGTGATGCCGCGACGGGAACCAAAGGCGTTCTCCCCCTTCGCATCTTCATCCAGGAAACACTCCGTCGCTCACGGACTAGCTATAGTACCCTGCAAGTGGCTTTGTATTATTTGATTAAAATTAAGCCCCATGTGCCCACGCATGACTTTACCAAGGAACAGCCTCGGGATCAGTCACTGTTGCGGGCCATGCAGTGTGGGCGTCGCATGTTCCTGGCAGCGCTGATTCTCGCTTCCAAGTATCTGCAGGACCGCAACTATTCCGCTCGTGCCTGGAGCAAGATTTCCGGTCTTAACACACTGGAAATCAATCAGAATGAACTGATGTTCCTCAAGGCCGTCGGATGGCGCCTGCACATCGACGAAGCGACGTTCCAGCGCTGGACCGATCTGGTCTTGAAGTTGACGCCGGGTGCCGGTGGTGCTCCGGTGGCGGAAGGTCAGTGTTGGCAGACAGTCCTTCCCAGACTTACTCCTGAACTGGACTCGGTAGAGTCAGAGCCGATGACCCCGGCGCCTGCGATGGAGAGGGACCTCGCCTTGTCCGAGTCTCCCTCGCCTCGCAGTGTGCCGAACGAGTCTCTCTCGCGCGAGCGGACCTTCTGTCCTCGGGGTCTTCCCCGACCACTGGAGCCGACCCCGCGTATGGAGCTTCCGAGTCTGGCTCTGCCTGCGATGCCACGTCCTTCCATGCTTCCTACTCCTCAGATGACCCCTCAATCCCAGGTGGCCGGCACTCCCGCTGCGAGTGCGGCTGCTTACACCTGTCGCTCAGCTCTCAGTTCGGCTATGTACCAGGTGCAGAATGCGTGCATGGCGCGATCGACTCTCGATCAGCGCCCCCTCTGTCATACTGCCCTCGGTCTCAGTCGTTTGATGGCTACCCGGCTACTGTTCGTCGGTCATCTTTGGCTCGCTCGACCTCTTCGGCTTCGTCTCCCGAATCTATGGTGTCGGATGTCTCCACCCTGTCGTCTCGCTCCTCGCGGTCGTCGTCGGTTTCATCAAATGCCTCGGGATCCGGTGGTACTGCATCCGCTCGTTTGGCCGTCAAGGCCACCTTGCGGTGCACAATGCAAGAGTCTCGGAAGGTCATGGCTATCGCTTCCCCCATTGAAGAGACTTCTCGAGTTGGCGTCTACAGCTCTCCTGAGTACCCTAGCTCTATGGGTGTCTCCGTCCCAGATCTGTCAGCATTCACCCTGGATTCCAGTTTGAATGAAGCCGCTCAGAGTCTCTGTGAACTTTCCGGTGCTACGCCCGAACGGCGCCAGTGCCGGAAACGTGGACGCACTGGTTCTGAGGATCTTCTGCTTCAGAACCATGTGCGCCACCTGATGAATCTCGGTGCCTCCGGTAAACACACCGTGCTGCCCGATGGTCAAACACCGCACTCGTTTATGATGCCACATGAGAATAATTCCATCTCCCAGCGAACTGGTCCCGTCTCAGGACCTGTCGGCATGAAACGTGCCTGCTGCGGCAGTGAAGCACGCAAGGTCGCTATGAACCCGACTCTACGCGTTGCTGAGTTCTTGAATTAACTTGCAATATTTTACGCAATATTTTAGCGGATCTTTCTCTTTTCTATTTCCTTTGTGTGAGGTCAAAAAAAAAAGAAAAGTCCGTCGTTTTTTTTTTGTTTCCAGCGAGGCGAACCTGAAGTGTTCCTGTACATACCCCCTATTTTCTTGGGCACTCGGTTCGCAGGGCTTGGGCGTTTAATTTCCCGGCCAAGTGTACGATGAGGTGATGACTGGCGCGTCTTTACTTGCATCGTGCAACTTCTCTCACTTTTTACCCTATTTTCTATTATACGAGGTTGCGTACGGAGTGGTCGGCTTGGGATGGTTATGGTCTTTTGTGATTTCTGGGAGCGGGCGTCTCCTGCTGTATAACTCTCTATCTAGGGGATGGTATGTATGCCATACCCGGGGGTTGTTTTTTGCCCTCGGATAGGACAGCCAAATCAATACAGCTTCAAACAGCGATATCGGTGCCGTGGTAGACCTCGTAAACGCCAATAGGCAGCCGTCTGACCCAGTGACTCATTCGGGTTCTCCACTTGGACTTTTGCAGAGGCTGTGGCTCGGTCCTGGCTATCTTTGTCTAGACTATGTATAGAAATCGATGTGGGTTTCATGTATGACATGGTCGGCCTGTGTGATTTGTGTGACTTGGGTTCGTTAGTCCCGAGTCTTGGGCGAGGTTGCTTCCCAACACGGCTTGTGCGTATAGATCTACCAGGGCTATGTTGAATCTCTTTAGCAGGAGTATAATCCAACTCGCATTCAGGTTGGAATGGCTTTGTGAACACTTCTCAAGTCTTTGCAAGTGCAAGACACTTGACACTTGACACAGACTTGAAAATAACCCTATGGATGCCTGAATGCGAGATGTTTCGTGAAATTTCCACCGAGCTGCCTGTGGCTTGGTGTTCAACCCCTCCAACCCAGACTTGTTATGGAAATATTTGGATCATAGAAAAAAGGACACTACACTACTGAACTTCATCTTATGAGTATGAGAGTGAGCTTGAATCCCCCATGGCTTAAGTCTTCTTTATCGAATGTCCGCAAAGAATGCCAACCAAATGCCACAACACATGCGATAGTATGCAGCCTTGAGCGATACCACTGTCCAAAATGATACATGCTACATCAGGTATGACAAAATATCAGTTGGCCGCTCAAAACTCATCTCGAGGCCTCATGTGACTTTGGAATGGTATGTAGGGGGTCCATTCAACGTCGTATGATAATGGTCCTGCTGCAGTATATGCAACCCACCGAGCTCACAGACTCAAACCCACAGCAACCACAGAAACACACCCTCGACCAACGTATGATCCCTGGAACGACCCTTTCCGTGCGGGTTTGCATAGTTCTGGATCAGGTGATCCGATCAGATTAGATCGCATCAGCTGATAGTCTCCGCTCTCCGCACTCTGCCCCGTTTGTCAACTCTTCTGCTCTCTTCTTTTCTCGGAAGATCTTTGCTTTGATGCTCACACAGTGATCTGGACCCAAACATCTGCTATGATGGTTTCCAGTGTGGCTGCTTTGCTCACCGGCGTTCTCGCCTTCACCTCCCCCCTCACGGCCAACGGCTTTGTCCTCCCCACCTCCGACACCCTCCAGGCTTTCCTGGGACAAGCCGAGAACTTGATCCCAAATCTCCCTGTGGTGCCTACTGAAGATGAAGGTATCCAAGCCCGTCCATCATGGTTCATGTCGACTTTGATGGCCCGTCGCCTTCTCGCCTTGGCTCCCTCTGGCGTCATCACCACCAACTTTCCCCACTCGATCCCTCCCTCCGCCCATGCTCCCTCCGATCTTGCTGGTCAGTCTATTGGGCTTCGAGAGTATATAGCCGACTGTGCAGGCTCTTTGCCCTCTGATTTGTCCCACGACGACAACGGTGATCCGACGGTCCTTGGACTTCGTATTGGAACCACATTCAGGAATATCGCCGCGGGATCCAACCTCAGTCTTCAGCTTGACTGGTGGGATCATCTTGATGAGGCCGGCCCCGTTTATCCTGGTCTGCCCTTGAGTCCGGCTGCTCTGCCCCGCGTCACCCTCTTTGGGTATTTGGATACTCTTCCAGCCCCCCTTCCCGATGACGCCGCGGCAGCCCTTGAAAGATGTTTCTTGGAGCCTCATCCCGATGCTAAGGTTTGGCTTCCGGGTGCTTCCTACTCGCCGCACGCGAGTTTCTGGGCGCGGTTGGTGGTGACCCATGTCTACTGGATCGGGGGATTTGGGGATGTGCAGCAGATTGGCTGGATGAATGTTACCGAGTGGAAGGGCATCCGACCCCACAACAGCGTAGAGGGCGTAGGTGACGGTCGAGGCTGGCAAGATGTACGATTACCGGGAGAGAAGCACTAAGACTGGCGATTGAGAGATTGAGACCCTGCCTGGCATTGTACACAATATCGGTTATCACCAGAATAGCATGGAAATAGCTCCCAGACTGCATACAAACCCCCCTAACCAACGCCCATAGCTCTCAGGGTCTCTAAGCGAAGATATCCCCAGCCTCTTCTCATTCGTCGGTCTTATCATTAAGCTTATCATGTTAATCAGCCTTATCAAGCGTACTTTCTGCCCTTGTCGGGGGTGTCCGGGGTTCGCAGGAGTATAAAGGACGCCATCGGTTGCTTGCATTTGGTTGATTGCCACCTTAGTTCTTTCCCCCCTGATCTGTAGAGATCTATAGAGATCCATAGATTCAGAGAGGTCTATAGACATCATGAAGTTCAACATGCGCCTCCCCAAACCTTCGAGACCCCATCTGAGGGTCTCACAGACCGAGTCTGCATTTGCTACCGGCAATGCGCGATGGACCAATCGCGACTTGGATCCAATTCCGAGAGATCAGCGCAAATGGGGAGTTGCCAGTCTGATCGGTATTGACGCCCTTGCTGCATCGTCCCGACTCCGGCCATGGCTAACCAGGTCTTCCATATAGCATATTGGATCTCAGACTCTTTCAATGCGGCGTCATGGCAATTTGCAAGTAGTATGATCGCCGTCGGCCTCAGCTACCGGGAAGCGTTGGGGATTGTCGCCTTGTCCTTCTTTATTATGTCCTTCGTGATCGCCGCCAACGGTGCGGTTGGGTCCATCTACCATACCCCATTCCCGGTCATTGCTCGTGCCAGCTGGGGCTTCTGGGGCTCATATATTGCGATCATCTCCCGGGTCATTCTGGCTATCTTCTGGTTTGCCATCCAGAATGTCAATGGCGGAAATGCGGTGCGAGTGATGATCGGTGCGATCTGGCCGAGTTACTTGGATCTTCCAAACGACATCCCAGAATCGCAGGGCATCACCACAAACGGCATGGTTGCGTTCTTCCTCTTCTGGTTGGTTCAGATTCCGTTCCTGTTAATGCATCCAAACAAGTTGCGCTGGCTGTTTACGATCAAGTCGGTGCTCGTTCCGATTGCCTGGATTGCCATTCTGATCTGGGCATTCGTTGCTGAAAAGGGTGGTGGTGTGGTCTTCACAAAGCATAGCGCCTCGGTTTCTGGATCAAAGTATAGCTGGTTATTCTTGGCCAATATGACCTCGGTGTTGGGGAACTATGCCACGCTGAGCGTCAACCAGGTGAGCTTAACATGACCTCCTGCCAATGTTAGAACTATAGACCGACTGACAATCTCTCTATAGTCCGACTTCTCTCGTTATTCTCGCGTCAGTCACAAGTGGCAGCTCCTCTATATTCCTATGCTGCCGATCGTATTCACCTTCATCGCCTTCATCGGAATTGCTGCATCGTCTGCCGGCCAAACCCACTATAACCTCGACTCTATTCCCTGGGATCCAACGGTGCTGATGAGTTACTGGCCTAATCGCGCCTGTCGATTCTTCGGTGCATTCTCATTCGCACTGGCATCGCTCGGAGTCAATATCTCTGCCAACTCTCTTTCCGCGGCTAATGACTTCACCGCACTCTTACCGAAGTATATCAACATCCGACGCGGACAGATTCTCTGCGCCCTCTTGTCCTGGTGCCTTGTTCCTTGGAAAATCCTCGAGTCCGCAGGCAACTTCCTGACTTTCATGTCCGCCTATGCTATCTTCCTCGGCCCCATTGCTTCTATCATGCTATTCGATTTCTGGGTGATCAACCGCCGTCGATATGATTGTCTTGCTTTATACCAGCCTGGGAATCCAATTTACCGATATACCTTCTCTATCGCGGGCAAGAGCATCTCTGGATTCAATTGGCGAGCTGTCGTGGCATTCTTGGTCGGTGTTGCGCCCAGTATTCCGGGTTTGATCAACGCAGTCAATGCTCATATTGATGTCGGAGTCGGTGAACATCCCTATGAGTTTGGATGGCTTCTAGGCTTTGTTGCCACAACTATTGTCTATGTAGGCCTCTCATGGCTCTTCCCTGCCCGTGAAGCTCAGATTGATCGCGCTATTTTACCTGACGAGATCTACGATGAGAGAGGCATAGTGGTGGAAGGGGTGGAAACAGATGAATTCGATAGGAAAGAGGCAGTTCCGAACGCACATGAGAAGCTAATGGACGTGGAACAGGCTGCATAGCCGTGGTACATTAATTCTATGTGAACTCACTCCAAGGCGAATACGGGAATGCAACAAGGCCCCTATTTGAGTATCTTGAATATGAAATATATTTGGTCATTTGCATTTGCAATGGTTTTGCTTCAGGAAGAGCAAGCTTTTATGGTATCACTGTAATCGGACCAATCTATCAGGTTTCATCGGAGTTTCGATGACTGTATTGATATGCATGTGTTGCCCGAGCTGCCTCAAGTATCAAACCCAAGGGCCGTGGCGACGGAATACGCCGATGCGTTCTGTGCGCCGTAATTGTGGCTGCGAAGGACTGCTCTAGAATGGGAAATACCATGCGGTATCAACGCCAAATCGGCCAAATCGGAACCAAGCCGAGAGAGCTCTCGGTCCCCTGAGCCAAACTTTGAGCGAAAAGGCCTTCGATCATGCCGTTTCAAGTGGATGAAGTTGCTTTTGCCACGTGAAATCCGGTTGGAATTTTCTTTCATGGCCCTGGTCCGTATGCAATGGCTTCTTTCAATACCTTGGTAACGCTAGATGATGCACGACCCATCTCGCCACCCTCCTCTCTGGCGCCCTTGAGTCCGCGCTCCATTGCCGAATGGAACCGGGCGGAGAAGACGCGATATCGGTCCTCACGTGTTTCGTACATCTCGCCTTCCTCATCACGTGGCTGACCAAACAGGTTCAAATACGCATAAGGAGCGGATGAGTCTGAAATGATGTGGTGAGCTGTCTGGCAAAGGGGAAAGGGCCATGCAGAGCTATCCTCGTTGCCGAGCATGTCACTATCGGTATTGCCGGATGAGGGCTTTCCAATACCCGCATCTAAAAAGTCTGCTAGAGCCCCAAGCACTTTGACCATGGGTCTACCCTGGCTTCCAGACTTTCCAAATGAAGCCCGGTTCGATGACCAACGGGAGGACTCCTCCGTATGCCAGCCTAGCACAGACAGGAAGCAATTGAGTGTCTTGATCCAGCCTCCGGCGCAGGACACTGTTTGTTCTCCGGCCGCTTCCACGAGCCAGGACAAAATCTCCACGGCAGAGACACGAATGTCAGCTGCCAGATGGGTCATACCTGCGCGAACATATGGGAGAAGTTGTGCGACATGATCCTCCACATCCCCTTGCGGCAGTGTCTTCAATAGCTTCAGAAGTTGCGTCCGAACACTGGTCGTTCCATCGAGAATGAGGGGAAGCAAAGAGGGTAGAATGACGCTGACCGGTTGTGGGAGCGGTGAATCCACGGGCCGAGAGGCAATTGTAGTTGTCAAATATGCGAGCGAGTCACGGCGCTGGCTGTCGGATTTAGCGGAGAGGAGAGAGAGATTATGCGTGAATTGGGTATTTGAAGAGGGGGCGGCAAGGTGGAGGGATTGTTGAGTGAGAACAATTGCTGCAGATGGTTAGTCAAAGGATTTCCCATTGGCAAGTAGGACCACATACCCTTTGATCGGAAACTTGTGTCTGTGTAGTTTTCGGGCTTCGCTTTCGTCTTGCCAACCTTGAGTTTGGGTTTCTGCGGAGGTTAGCAAAACTATGATAACAAGGGTCGCCTGGTCTCACCTGGAAGTCCTTTTGCTTCTCCTTCTTTCTTTTAGCGCTGGAACCCATGGCTGTGTCTGTTGAGTGAAGTGGAACGCCGTCGATGCTTTTTTTGCTGCGGCTATCGCACGTGATTTATCTATTGGTGCCCCAGGCATGAAACTGCCTAAAAGGGAAGTATATTGACAGCCCGCATAGATATTTCCACTTTTCTATGACGTTCGTGCTGAACAGAGGGCGGATGAGATACAAAATACAAGATTCAGCAGTGGCCGATAGCAAGCCCGTCAGATGAATAGGATCTAAGTTCAACACTTAGATTAAGGCCCAGCGCGCTAATGCACTCGTTGTTGGACAGGTGAAAGAAAGTCGGGAGTAACTTACATCATTCAACAGGTCCAAGACAGAGTTCTTTGTGACTGGCTGTAGTCATTTCTGGCCTCTTTCTCAGCTCTGATTTTCCCAAACAATCTCTTGGTCTGCTTGCACGATAAGAGGAGACCGAAATCCTGAGCCCGTTTACTCCCCAAGCCTAAAGCTGCTATCAATTCCTCGGAGTAAGCCTCACTAGCAAATTGCTCACTAAAAAGCATGTGTTTCTCGCAAACTCACATCTGTAACAGCCCTCTTGCCCCTATATCTCCACTCACGGAGAGCCAAGTCGCATATGACACTTATTGCGCTATGTTCAAAGAGATTTTACAGTCCTGTGCTGACCACATCAGATATGAGAAAGTGAATCAATATAGGAGCATCACCAACCTTCTAGCCCAGCTCCCTTCTATGCTACGATATATCGAGAAGCTTGGGGTAGAGATGTCTTCACAAAGCCCGCTCTGCCCCCGTGTCGCTGAAAAGCCACAGTTTTTCTTCAAGGTTGAGTTTCAGAAAAACATCCAGGAGATCTCGACTGCTCTGGTTCAAGTAAACGAGATCCTTGATTCGTGTTTGGACGAGATGACTGTCGATTTGCTGGATGATATTGAACGATCTCTGTTCTTCTAGGGCTTCTTTACTCTAAATTATGGTAGGTTATCTATAGAAAATGTATGAATCAGTCAGACCCTCGACCATAGCATCACTCAAATTGAGTACATCGATGTCTCTAGCGTAGTCAAGTAGAACGTCATTTATCTCCATCTTATGATACTCGGAGCTCTTGTTCCAACTTCTGATATGTGAGAACTTGCCTTATCTTATACTGGCATCAGCCTCAACTTCGGAACTAAGCGGGATGGCAGCCCACATCATTCTGATGAACTCCTTCGTTGCCTCAAACACCATGGTCATAACTATGATATTCCGAAGATTGTGATATCGATCAACGAGGTATATGCGCATCAATCTGGCTAGAATGGCAGTAACGTAGTTTCTTCTTCTTGGGTTGCAGAATCGCTGACATTCTGTGGTCTACAGGGTGATATCGCGAACACAGATGGTCAGCCTCACGTCTATTTATCTTGCGGGAGTCCATTGACACAAAGTAGGGGCCTCGGAGCAACTCATTACACAGTTAAATTTTACAAACAGGGCGGCTGGTTGGGTCCAGGGGTCTGCTAGCCATGCACGCGAGAAGATTGCCCATCAGCTGCTACCAGGTATGCCCACGAGGTGGAGAACAGTCTGTCTTGAAGCTAGCTAAATGACGATGTATCTCACAGGCGAGACAATGACCACATCTCGTCGTTTGTCAGATACTCCGAGAGAGGTGCCTGACCATGGGATCGAGAAGAACAAGACTATACTGCAATCTGCACAAGAGACTGTCGCTGAAGCTCTCGGAGGAGGCTCGCGTGGTGCCGATTAACTAAAACTGACTGGAATCTCGATATTTTCGCAAAGAGGCTGAGGTATAGGTGCCTTGAGAAAACCACTGCCTGGCTGGCCTAGAAAACTTAAGGCGACCGTAACAACAAAGAGAGAAATCGAGGAAAATCATAATCATATTGAATCCAGGTCTAAAAAAATATCTCACAATAATAACAAGACCCATTAATCGAAGCCTGCTCAGCAGCGCAAGAAAACCAGGAATAAATAACAAAAAAAACAGAGACGAGAGAGATGCGCACTTCTGTCGGCTCCGAGCTGCAAATCGACAAAAACCAAAGAAAAAGACAAAATTCAGTAGAAAGAGACAAAAAGAACAGTAAAAAAGGAAAAAGGCAGCTCGGGTTCCGCACAGACGCGATTGTATCAATCAAATCATCAAGAAGCACACGTAACATAAGATGATCAGGAAAGGCATGAGAGAGTATAGAGAGAACCACGCAAAGACGACCGCCGGGGACATTAGTCGTGTCATACGTGAGATTAGGGGAGTGGGGGGAAGGCAAACCCGTCCCTCATCGGGTGAATTGGAGGGAAAAAAGGAAAAGAACAGGTAGTGCGCCGACTACAAACTCATTGTCAGCCACTCCCACTCTTGACTTGCGCCCTGCCCACCAGCAATACTGTGGTTGGCCGGGTTGGCAGCGGCAGGGGCCATCGCAGGGGCCAAGGGTACGACCTTGGATCGACTGGCGGGAGCAGTCGACTTGGGACTCTCTTCTGCATCAGGTTCCGACCCGGTCGGTGCCTTTTCAAGTCGGCGTTGCCGTCTGGGAGCCACCTGCACGCCAGCACGGGCTTGAGCCACCCCAGCAGGAGGGCCAGACTTGGGTGGGGCAGCGGCAATAGGCACAACACCAGGCTTCCCAATTCCACTAGACCCGGAAATCGAGGGTGGCGATTCGGAGGCGTTGATGCGCGATGAGATTGATGAAGATGGAACATGCTGGATAGAGTTCTTGCGTGAAGACTTCTTCGACGATCGAGAAGTTCCAACGGCCAGAGTGTTGGCACTGCTGCGGTTGCGCTTTTTGATAACATCAGTTTTGAGCGAGAGTGGCCGCACCACGCCATGAAGTTTCAAGAATAAGCCACAGGCATTGCAAAGCGGCTGACCCTCGGGGTTGCGTCTCCACAGAGGAGTGGTCTGGGTGAAACAGTTGGTGCAGGTGGTTGGCCCGGCATTGGGATCGCCGTTTTTTGACCCACCAGGACTGGCCGGTCGCGATGGTACTGCACTGCTAAGTCCAGACTCCGGAGGGGTATTGGGGGAGGGGTGGTTTGTCGGAGGACCGCTGGCCGAGCCGTTCAAGCTTTGACGGAGCAGGGCAGCAGCGTTGGGAGTTGACGCAGTCCGCGGGACCTTGCCATAACGACGAGGATCCTGGTCTCGATTGCGCACATCGCTCACTGAAGCGGCAGAACCATGCCCACGTCCAAGGCTTCCCTGATGCCACTCGGGAGGCCCATCAATCATATCGGTGGAGCCAATCGTGACATGCTTACGGTGCTGAGCCGTGAAACCTGGCAGGGACTGGACCGATCCAGGGAATCCTCCATCCCACTGGAGACCACCGTTCATATCACTAGACTCATCCATCGAGGCAAAGTCATTAGGCATAGCAATGCCCCCACGTTCAAAGTTACCATCATCGTCCTCATTGTCTGAATCTCCACCAAAGGTAAACATGCTAGTGGTGGGCGCGGTCGTAGAATACTCGCCGGATCCAAGCACTTGCGATGGATTGACATGCTGCGGCTGCGGCACGGAAAATCCAGACACGTGCGATGGAGCGGAGGGTCCAGTAGCTGCGCTGCCTGGCTGCGACTCGCCATTGGACACATTATACATATAGCGAGGCTGCAATGACGCCGATAAGTTGGACGATCGCTGTTGAAGATAGTTGGGGATGCGGCGCTGGTTGTGGGATTCGGCCGAGGGTGCATCCGAGAAGAACATCGACTGCTCCCCTTCATAAATCGGCTGTGGGGTTGACACAGTGGACTGGTAACCAGAAGGCGGAGGAGAGAAGAATTCGGTCGAGTTGAGAGAGGAGGCAAGCGGTGTTTGAGCATACAAGTTCGAGAACGGGTTGCCTGAGGTCATGGGGGAATCTGAAGGCGAGAATGTAAAGTGCTGTTGATAGGGACCGGCGGAGTTCATCCCATGTTCTTCGCCAATGCCAAAGGTATCCAGCCCGTAGGGAAGGCCAGAGGGCGTATGCTGGTGCCTGCGCGAGCTCAGTGACCCATTACTAGGAACGGCGAATTGGGTGGGATGGTCGAGCGAGTAATCGGGAAGCGCGGCTGACAGTTCCGAGTGCTGCGACATCATGGCATTGGACACTGGAGGAACATGGGGAGATGCTTCCGCAGGGCGCTTTCGGGTGGGTGCCGATAGACCATTGAAGAACTGGCGCTCGTCGACGCTTGTCTTGCGGACCCGTCGGGGGACATAGCCAAACTCGGAGTTGGTTCGTTGCTCCTGGGGAGGGTGGGGGAACGAGGCGGCGACCGATGGGTCCATCATGGCATGATCCTTGCGAGATTTGATAGGAATGCCTGTGGGCGTCGCGGTAAAGTTTCGATCGGCATGCGGGTGGGAGGATTGTTCGGGGGAGTCGAAGGGAATTATGAAGTCATCCAGATTCATCGGATCTGGGGTTGCATCGAGGTTCATGGCATGCGACGGGTTCGAATCCGCAGTAGATCCTCGATCGGACAAGCGCATCTGCGCGATGCCGCTCGGAGTCGGGCTATCGATCTCTCCACTGTGCCGAGAAGAGTCAGTCTTGTCTCGTCGAAAGTCGGAGGAATTGCTTACCGAGCCAGTTGCTCTCGCTCCTTGCGCTTCAGATTCATGGCCATCATCCGCCACGTGAGGTTCTCCATGCGCTCTGCGTTGGGTAATTGGGATTTCGTGCGGGTGTAGAGTTTCCAAATCTGGGCCGCCAGTGGATCCTTCTTTTGCATTTCATCGGGGCTGTCGCCTCGGCCGTTGGTCCATTCGGGAAAGATGGAGTCCCCAAGGACACCATCGTTCACATTCGACGAGTTGGACGGACTAAATGGTGAGTCGAAAGAGAAATCATCGGACATCATGTGAGAGTCCTCAAATCCCGGAAAAGCCATGGGTTGGGATGGGCGGGCTCCTCCGTGCCCACCATGTATCCCCTCCATAATCGATGGAGAGGAAGAGAGAGGGAGGGGGGGGGCGAAACGGTTTGAATAAATGCGGCGGGGAGGGGATGGTCCAGAGGTGGGTTGAATTGAAATTCCCCCGTACCCGCCGTAAACGAGACCCTTGCCGGAAGTTGATCGGATGCAGCCAAGCGACACGATTGGCGTCAGCCAACAACCGGGGTTAGGTTATAGTATCAAGTTTTAACATGCAAAGACAAGGGGGTCGTGGAGGGGGGGGCTAGACCCTCCAGACGCTCATGCCCAGAGGATAAATAGAGGAATAGGAAGGGGCCTCGTGAATGAGGCGAAGTGATGGAGAAGAAGAAGAGGAATTGGAGATTGGAAGTTCAGTGTGGGCGACGGAAACGGATGACTACACACGGGCCTCGGAGGGGGGAAGAGTACTCGTCCGATATACTTCAATTCTATGAGGTATAGACACCAGTGGGATGTAGAATCAGGAAAATAGAAAAAATAGAATGAAGAGAGAGAAAGAGAGAGAGGAATGGATAATAGGTGATAGGTGATAGGTTATAGGGTTGAGGAGATCTAGGATATATGGAGATGGAGATGGATATGATGTCTAAATGTCTAAACTCGTAAATACCAGACCTAGTATTACCATCGTATGGCGAAGGACCGATTTACGGACATGAATCATGCGCGCCACTCCCGTCTGCTAAATAGTTGATTACTGTTCTCTCTGTCGTGCGTCTGGGGGGATTCCTCCACGAATCAGCCGTGCTGGTTGCCTTTGGGGGCCTACTGTTCGGTTTTGCCTGGGTCTAGAAGGTCCCGAGTCAGCTCGTTACGAAGAACCAGGTGCAAAGTACGGAGTACAACTGGTGACTCTATCGGCCCGAGTGTTATTTCATGCTAGACTCCAAAATTTCCTGTCCTGGCCCCGGCGCTCTGAGAGTCGGGACTGGTCGAAACGCAGGTACACTCTATCGTCCACGGTTGGAGAGACGGACATAAGCTCGGGATTGGCACTCGCAGAGATATCATATACTTTAGCGTCTCCGGAGCATGTCCAGATGAAGGGCCAAGTGGGGACTGTTCGTTGCTGGTGGAGACGATGATATAGAGAGAGTGTGTGTGCGCGCGCGCGGTGGTGGTCCTCTCTGAGTTGGGGACCGTTGACAGAAGCACCAGAGGACCTCCAAAATTGCCACTATGCTGGAATGCTCTTCCATGTCACTCTACTTGCCCCCAATACACCAACACGCCCCGAAAGTACAATCAGATGAGGCATTGGAAGTATAGACAAGTCCATGCACTGAGGCGGGGCGGAGGGCCACGGATGGAGCCCGAGAGATAAGCAACGTTCTACTGTTTGGTTCTTTTTCGTCCTCTTTTTTTCTTCTTTGTTTTGTTTTGATTTCCCTCTGCAATTGGAGTGGTTTTTTTTTTTTTTTTGGACTTTTCTTTTCCTCTAGATTGCCATTGTTTGTGAGAGCATGACGGACTCCATCATTCCGATCAGGGCCCTGGCAAGTCGAAAGGCGACCAGGACCGGAGTGAAGACTCACCGAAAAGGCTGAAGAGATCCCGTTCTTACCCGACCGCGGTATCACCGCGGTATCAGGCAAAAATACGGCAGACCTGGTCACGGCGTTTCCTCCAATTTAGCCAACACTGCATCGCGGGGGTTTAATATCTCCCTCGCCACCAAAGACCCGGTTATGGCCCCTGGTGGAGAGAGAGAATCAAATCCCATGCCGTAGTCCCCAGTAGTCCCCAGTAATTCCCCCCCCAGCACCCATGTCAAAAGGCAACCGAAGATAAGCCGTCAACGGTCATTGGCGTAATGCAACGTAGTCATTGATAAACTGCAGATCGGTGGACCTGCACCTTATCTTGTCCCCCAAACTCTCGCTTCAAATCTTATGAAATGTCTTCTCCTAAGGGATTAGGTCTCACCCGGATCATTCCGCTTGTGGCGTCACTGCGTAGCGTACTTTTGTTGACCTGTTGCCTCTCCCACTTAAGGGGGAGAGGGGGGGGGGAAAAACCACAGTGCTGGGGGTTTGGAGGGGGCATTTGTTTTTCTGGTCCTTTTTTTCCCGTGCGGTTTCTGCGGTTATGTGGAAATTCGCAAATCATAAGATGTCGATGGGGGCCCATATGAGGGCCATGAGGGCCCAGATGAGGGAGGATTGACCCGAGAGACAAGATGGCAGAGAAACCCACGACGGTCTTGCCCCAACTAACCAACACTGACTTGGTCTTTGGATGTTCTTGCTCAGAGGGTTAGGGAACGCACCGCTATATATACACCTCGAGGCTCCAGTTTGATAAGAAACTCCAGAACCAACTGGGACCAGCCAGCATATCGCGAGATAAGACCCCTGGAAACTTCATTGGACCTGCCACCGTCTACACCGCCATTGCAACTCTACTATCTCCAGATTTCAACCCCAGAGTTTGTGTTTTCCACCGGCTCTCCGGGTGATCCGCCCCATAGGCGGATCCCGTGGCGTCACCATGTCCGATCAGTGGACAATGAGCTTATCTTTTGCGTGATGGAGGAGATAGTTGAGCTGATGACTGATCGTGGACGAGTCAGTTGGTGGCCATGCGGATGCTCAGATTGGTTGACGCGCAGTTATCACCCAATTCCCCTCGGAGATATTCGAATCGGCTCTATCTACCCCCTATCAATTAGGAGTTGGGTATCTCCCGAGTATCGACAAACGAGAGATCGATGCTATCTCATATCTGTTTTCATCAGAACCGAATTTTCCTTCCTCTCCCTTCCTGCTCTTCCGCATCCTCCAAATTGCCGGCATACAGGATGTGCAGTACTGTAGTCCCCATGTCCCCTCCAGGTAGCCACGGTCATGGCCCAAGGTCCTCTTGCATGTGAGATATGAAAAGTCAAAGGATCATAGCGGGCGATCACCTCTCCCAGGGTTGACTTGGCTTGACCAATCCAACCTTGCATTTGCAGAATACAGTGCCGTACATGTATAGTATGTTGATTCGCAGTCATGGCCTGCAATCGGTCATTGGTGACCACGCAAGGGTGCATCTCATATATACACAGCATCACCACAGATGAGAACGGTATACATCACATGTACAAGCAGACCCGGGGCAATGGATATATATATATATACATAACAATACTTGGGATTACTACAATGACAGAATCACATGAAAGATGCAGGTTGTTGAATATTGTAGATGTATAACGTGCCTTCAAGTCAGTGCAAGAGATGGACCGAAATCGAGGCACGTGCCCCAACCGGAGCCTCAATTCGATCTCAGTCCCTAATCAATAATAGTCTTGATCTCCATCGAAACAACAGAAAACAAATCCAATCACGACCTTGTCCACTGTTCAAACCTGTTCCACCTTTTCTATACTAGTGAGACACTAAGAAGGAAATGCAAGCTATCAAGTCACGGAGTATATATGTATAGAAGTATGTGTCAATCGCGCAGCAAAAGGGGGAATAGAAAAGAAAACAAAGTCTATAGGATAACCCAAAACAAAACCTTTCAAACATGTATAGAGAAATCCGCTCCCCCCGAATACCACCAGTTTGAAAAAGATGCCCCCCCAAATGAAAACCAGGTCGAAAATGCCCTCAACACGCAGCATGACAATCAGAGCCTTTGACAACACCACCAAGGCCAGAGAGAGAGAAAAAATGAAAATAAAGAGATAGAATCATGCGATGGGAAAAAAAAGGAAACAAAGAAGAAAAAGAAAAGAAAAAAAAAGACGAGAAATCACAGGAAATCCCACCCGAAAGCCCTTGCGCCCGCTAATGACTAGCTGCAAAGCAGACCCGCCGCGGTGTATGAGGCGATAAAGTCAAGTTGAAATGCCAATGGAAAAAATGGGAACGTATAGCTCCCTCAGGGTATTAGAAGTGAAACAAGCCGTCTAGGTGATGTGCGCGACAAAATCCGATCCCGAAGAGAAGTAATGGTGGAGCGTGACGAAGAGAAATTGAAAGAGTTTCATGAATTTGGAGAACGTCCTGGAGCTCCAGGATGTCCCATTGGAGGTGGATAAGGCTGTTGTGCCTCACCCGTGTACATGGGGTACGGCACCACGCCCATAGGAGGCATCGCACTCATATCCTGCCACTGGGGATAATTCATTCCCGGTGGATAGGAGACGGACCCGGGCGTCTGCATGTCGGAGTTGGGAGATCCTTGTGATCCCAATGCTCCCGGGGCTGATAGAGGTTGGGCGGGTGTTGTCATTCTCCGTTTCAACTCGGGGGGCATCTGGGAGTGATATTGATTGGGATAGGCGGTTCCCATTTCTTGTCCAGGATAGCTCATAGTTCTCGGAGGCGGTGGTGGTACCTGCCAGACGGTTCCATCGGGCTGCATAGCAAAGGACGGAGTTGGATTCATAGGCGTTTGATTTCCCATCGGAGAGGCGGCAGATATCGGCGAAGGTGGTGGTAGTCCCGAGGGCATGTTAGGATTCCACACATTGGGGGCCATAGTCATCATTTGACCTTTCCCTGCCAACGTATTCAACATGTGTGGGTCTGATATTGTCGTAAATTCATCCCATGAGACCCCTGCGTCCATAGTCGGGTGTCCAGCAAAGTCTCCGGGCCCCATAGGTCGATCTAATTCAAAATAGTCAGTTTACAACGTGGTCTAGCAATATTTCGAATGACGCCAATGGTGCATAGAGCGCAAACCGACCTGGTGTTAGACCCATTGGGTTAGTTGGAACCATGTTGACATTGTAAGGCGAAAGTTCCTGCGCGGATGAAGTATTCATGGGCATAGTTTGATATGGATAGAAGCTCTCGGCGGCATCCGAAACCAAGTTGGTCGGAGAAGATGAAATTGGAGTAGTGTTCGAGTGTTCCGTTGATGGTGTCTCCAATCTCGAGCTAGGGCGTGATTTCTTTTCGATTGGCGGTTGCTGGTCCACGGGGAAGAATTGACAGTCCTTTCGAAGTCGAATGCAGTTTTCACAGCGTCCTTCTGCATCATCTGGTGCTACCAGGCATCGAATCTTTCGTCGTCGACAATGTACTGTAGATGTATGAGCCTAAGTTGCTGTTTTGTATGTTCGCTATGCCACCCGGAACAGGGCTTCTCGTTCTTGATCGACATATCTGCGCACGACAGCAAGAGGAAGTATGGTTTGGTACTGACCACATGCGACAGATGTCCGATGATACCCCAATTTATTGCGCTTTTTATCGTTTGCGTCCATGGCGGCGCTTTGTGAAGTCGGTGTTGATGCCATTTCGTCGACAACTGCGGGCATCGCTCCCACAGACAAGATTCGGTTGTTATACCACTTGAAATCGCATCAATAGCCCCAGCGCAATGAAAGGGGTGCCTTGCGAGGAACCAGGCTAAAATTGCCTAGAGGGATGATCGAATGCGAATGCGACAATCCCCACCAGGCCATGCAGTCACCACAGAAAGAAGAGAGCCGAGGGATGTATTCGGAGGATGACGCTCTAACCCTCACACCTAGATCCGCAGGCGCTGATATTGCGCGTTTCAGAAAAGGGCAGTCGGAGAGGGGGGTTGTTTGGTGGTGTGTGTTAGGGCCCGCTGAGTCGTATGCCGGTCAAGTGTGTTGCAATAGAGTCAGGGTCGAGGATAAATTGCTTTCCAGGCCCTCAATATCCCCAGTTATTGCGAATTAATCAATGATAATTATAATTAGAGTGTTCATGGACGACAGGCCTTCAGACAGGGTTAGGGTCTAGAAGGTTATCGTGGTTCCAGTTTGAGATCGGGGAAGAAACAGACTAGGGGGAGACCAGTCAAAGGATAATAACCAAAAAGAGATTAGTAAAGAAAAAAAAAAAAAAAAGAAAATAAATAGGCAATTCAAAGGAGTGAATGAAGTGAACGGTGTGAAGGAAAGAAGAAAGCAGGTCGAGGATGTACTATAGTCTCAAGAGACAGAAGCTAATCGCGGGGTGAAACGCTCTCAAGGCCTGGTTTCGGGTTTTTCCCTTTTTTTTTTTTAAAAAAATAGAATTTTGTTAATTGATTTATTTATTTATTTCAGTATAAGTTATCCCACCGGACGTGGAACAAGGTGGCTCTGCATACTAAGACTAACTCGGATGTATCGACTTAAGCCCAAATCAACTGCAGGTCATTGTCAATGGACCACATTCGATGATCAGTTCAGGGGGCGCTTTCCTTGAACCGTCAACCTTAGATTGAACAGGTTGGATTGTAAGATGTCCAGTCGTTGGTCTATTTTCTATTTGTGTTCGGCTACTTGCGTTTTTGAGGGTTCCTGATCTACTATTTCTGATTTCCAGGTTTCTCTTCATCCATCCTGTCCTGGTCAGAGCCAGATGGATTTCCTAGGAACAAATCTTGATTAGGTAACTGTTCAACGCCCCTGATTGCGTACGATAGACCCAACTCATCAAATGAGGTCGAGGCAAGGAACCATGGTCTGGGAGCCCTGACACGGTGGGGAATGTGGATGTTGGATGGTGGCCGCTCATAGTGTACAAGTTGGGCCTAGGGCCAGGAGGGATACCTGTCAATCATTGATGAACTGGGGAATACTTCCTTCAAGTCCCGGCTAAGTGATTGGCGACGCGAGCTTAGGTCGGCACCTACAACCAATAAGCTCACTATTCCGAGGGTCCATTGTCCCAAACCCAACCTTCTGTCTGTGGTCATTTCAAAGGGTGATCCCGAGGAACCCTATGTTGCTTCTGGAAGGGGAAGATAGCTTGAGAATTATGCGCTGGCCTTCTGGGAGACTTGAACATGTACTGTACTGTAGCAATTTCGCTAATCCCACAACCAGACTGAAACGAACCACTGGTTGATTGGTTCTAAAAACAGATTCAGGGTCCACGGCTGATGTGTGTACTGTATCGGGTTTTACCCGAGGAAAAAACGTAGGAATCGGCCCTTTCCTTTCCTTTCTTTTTTTTTCCCTCTTCTTTGTGTTCACGACAGCGATATCTCGTGGAGTTTCCCTTGAAGATTTGCCCCTATTTTTTTCCCTCTGTGTAGCCGGTAGCTTAATCCTAATTTGGCTTCAATGAAATGACCACTGCCGCCACATTTACCCAGCGAACAAGAATTCTGCCCAGAAGATCCAATGGGCATGAGTTGGCTCACCAATGAGAAACGGGGAGACTTCTTAGTCAGGGATCCTACCACCGCGTTCCTTGGATGAAAAGCCTCTAGTAGGTCAATCAGGTCAATCTTAATATTAGAATTACTGTTTCGCTACCGTATTCAGCTTTGACGGAGTACGTGGCCCCTTGTGAAAGCCCTCCAAAGCCAATCTGCCTAGGACCGGTGAAAACCGATGACATAAATGCAGCTACACAGCCCTGGACTACACCCGAATAAGATATCAGTCCGAAAGCCTTAAGACACGCCCTACACAGTAAGAATCAGAAGCGATCTCATCCTGTAACTGTGGGGCTGGTCAAGGTTTAATTAAGGATCGTCTCGACGCTGGTAGCGCGTTACAGATAACTCTTGGCATTTAGGCTGGGGTTTGGCTAAAGCCTCATACTGTATGCATGCCAGATCCCACTAAAGGGGGAAATGGGTCAAAAGATCAGCGATGTGGTCCTCGTGCATGTTCAACAGTACCGACTTATCAGGGGCTTAGAAAAGGGGGGGGGGGGGGGGGGGGGGGGGGAAGGATGATCATCAGAGAAAAACGTGTCATTACTGAAGTATGGCATGGGGAGAGGGGGATTTGTTAGGTGTTTAGGTGTATGGAATGTATGGAATGTATGGAGTATACAGTATGGAGGGGAGTGTATAGTATAGTGGAATTTGATCTTCACCTTCTCCAGGGCTATCACGTCAACAAATCCCCTTAAGGTCAATGGGCGCCACCGATATCACCTCGTAACTCCTCTCCGTCAGAGGCCCATGTGCAAGGTATTGCAGCATATGTATCTTATGCGCTATTATGCCCCTGCTAACTTACTGTACTGTACACTGTACGCTGCACTTGTCCCAGGGGAATGGCTCGACCGCCCTTTGGCGAAGAAACCACATACGCTTCAAGCCCCCCACACCAATAACACTTGGGTTCAGGATCAACACAGCACGGGTCTTGTATGATGGCGAGGAGTCCATCCCATTGGGTCTGATTCCAGACTGTGGGATGCGTGTGCAGCCAAACGATCAACACATGTATCGTGACGCGGCGAATGTCAACTGCGATAGATCTTGCAGTAGCGCGAGGCAGGCGACTCCGCACAAGATCAAAGTCCCAAAATAGGATTCATGTCCGCTCGTAATCGGGTTGGGGCAATTAGGTAAAGCCCCAACGGGCGTCGCGTCGTTGTCGATCGAAGCCAATTGTTAAATGTGAAACAAGGGTCCAGGGCTGAACAAGATCTCGGTTTCTGATCTCGCGAGCCAAGAATATCTTGTTGGACACTGGAATTCCTGACCTTCTAGAAGACGACTCGGCTAATTGGGGCGTTATACCGATATCCCCAGTGGAACAAATTGTACGTCCGTACGTACTGTACAACAATTTGTACATGGCACACTATGCCCATCTAGGATTAGCAGGCAGCCATGTTCTATCCTGCCAAATTGCAACTGCCGAGCTCCGCAGTGGCGCGCCCGTGGTGCCCTGTCAAGGCCATTCGTACGGAGTAGTGAGGTTTCTGATGGAAGTTGTCCGATGCTCTCTGCCCTATATGTCGCGTGGCATTTCGGCCTAAGTGCTGTTTTAGATCGTCTCTTCCGGTCCTGCATGCATCCCCGGAGAAGGGTTCGTTAGAGCAAAGGCTTACTTCTCGACTACCGAGCAAGATAAGACTTGAAACGTTATAGGCGGCATATTCCGTTGCAAATGGACCGAATGTGAACATACCACTGTCAAGTTATATACCAAGGCAGTCAACTGAGACATGTTCGACCCAAATTCACCTTAAACAAATCTAATACAGATCTCTGTGGAGTATCAATGCAGGGACCTCACTGGCCCCCTCTACTTGGACCGGCTGTTTCACTAAATTCGGGGCCCTGGACTGCTTTGGGGCTTTCTCGGCTGCTCATGGGTCAGCCTTTTCAACCTGCAACCTGCCTTACGCGTCCTCCCAAGAAAATATTTCTCTACGGTCCCTTCTGCTATGATTCGTGAATTCTCTTAGGTTGCGAGGCGAAAAGGAAGGTGGTATCTGGTTTATTATTTTGTTTTTATTAAAATTCTCCCCCCCCCCCCCTTCACACAAAGGGGGGGCTTTTTGGGTCTCCAGAAAAGAAAAAAAAATAACGGCTTGGATCCCCTTTCCTTCACGACTCCGGTGAGAGAGAGGACTGGAAGACCAGAGGACCACTGCTGTCAAAATGCTTTTCCGGTCCCAAAAAGGGGGCGTCCCCAAACGTGGCCAACGCCCAACAGTATGCGCGATTATATGCTCGCCCTGAACGCCCTGAGCCTGGGGAGCTCAGCCCCAATGGCTGTTTTGGGCGCAAGATCACTTGGGTCTTTGCAGAAAAAAAAAAGCCATTCTCATATGACAATGACATTCAATACCCAGCCAATATCTACTGCATACTACTGAAACATCCTTTAATCTATCTACAACCCATCAGAATAACCCCGATGTCACCTTAGTCGCTCACGCGCACCACGACTGGAACATTCAGCGCCCGAGCTTGTCGGATACAACACGCGATGCATGCCCGCCCGTATCGACTAATGATCGCATGACACCCGACAGATGCGCACCATGCTCGAACGAACGTTTCCCTGGCCTGGTCGCCTCGCGCATCGATGATGATAATCTCCGGGGTGGAAGGGTCCTTAACTAGCGAGGATCGCGGTGCCTGCGGTGCCGAGGTGTTTGGGAGACAAGCGAGCGGGACATACTTATATGAATAGGAACGGTGCAGTGGATGACTTGGTAGTCGGGTCCATTTAGAATCCGGTGGCTGTGTAGGTTCTTCTGCTTCAACTTGCTTTCGGTCGACGTGGCTTCTGCTGGCGACTCCCAATGGTACACGGCACTCGTGGGCGGATATGAAGCGTACATTATACTTCAGGGCAAACAAAACGGCGGTAGTGCCTCCTTCTTCATCGATGGTGAACGATAAACTTGTCTCGTTCACAGGTATAAGGGTCTTTCCATTGTCGCATGGAGAGCTGGCACGGTTGACCGATAAATCCACCAACTTCACTTGACACGTAGATGTTGTGCGTAACTCGGCTTCTTCCTGTGGAAGCATAAAGGCCTCTGCGGTGATATCTCCCTCGCCCAGCGGTGATGACTCCATCGCAAGTTTAGCACCCTGCTTGATTCGAGGCTTACATGAAATCTGTGGTACCTGCTCAGCAGTGAGATCAAACCAACCACACTCAAGCATCTCCTGTGTATTTTTATCGCGGGGAAGAATGTTGCTGCTGATCCACCCCATGCATGTCTTGGCTCCTGATGCACTAGACAGAACCCGCCCAACGATGCATGCTTTGCTCCACCAAGTACGTCCACCGAAGACAAATCCCCCGTGGAGATTGGCAATGGGACCCAGTTGCCCAAGAGCGTCAACATCATTCTCTAGTATTGTAGCCATGAGAAGATGACTGATTGCCTCACCGGGGATCACAAATCCAGATAACCACGTGCGTGAAATCCAGCCTAGTGATTTAGATTGTGGGTCACCAGAGCTATGGAGCTTCACGCGCTGGCGGCAGGGGTTTCGGGTGTACATATCCTTCTTGGCCAGTGAAGTCCCACTGGATATAGATTCCACCCCCCTGTCATCAACAACCAAGGCTGGAAGGACCGGGTTCTCTGCATCTCCCAGCTTAAAGTTCAGGGTAGCCTTCAAACCATCGAGGTTTGGCCATCCAATATTTTCAGCGAAAACATAAAGCCCTTCCAGCTGTTGTCGGGCGTGCGATGAGCTTAGCTGGCAATCCCAGGCAGACTGCAGGGTCACAGCCTGGGATGACTTGTGTCGAGTGAGAGTCTCCATGAAGGAAAAGTAACGAGCTTTCTCGGGCACCTTGTTGGGTGAAGCGGGTGACCGAGATGCGTCTGGCGGCACTTTTGATTGGGATGATGCGCAAGTAATGTCCAGACTGTCAAGGAACCGACGCACAACAATCAAATCCCAGTTGACCTTTCCTTCTCGCAGCTTGTCGAATTGAGACAGTTCCTGTATTGTAATATGACCCCCATGTGGATCGTGTAACATACCAACTCGAACAAACGCATCCAGCCGAAGAAGCAGTTCTGCGGAGAGAAGCATCTGGATCATCAGCCACTTTCGTTCCATCCCAGACTTGATCAGGTTCTCTTGTGGTGAGCGGCCACCGCTTGACCCAGGCTCGGGACAATCCCCGTCACCCTCGAATGAAGCCTCCCATAGAACCTGCCCGGCCCGGAATCGCCAGTCAGGCGTGCTGAAATCAATCCATGCACCTGGAGTGTTCAGCACAATACCCAATGTCTTGATCTGAGATTTGATGCTATGGGGATGGCCTGCCAGGATGTCGGCAGGTGGCGGGTGGGGGTGAAGAAAGCGAGAATGCAAAGAATCGTGCAATTGATGCGGAGTTTCAATGTCCAAAATTGTCTTTGTTGATCCCTCTCGAAGCATGTCTTGTCTGAACTGCCGCAAATGATTAAGCCGTTGCACGAGAACTTGAAGACTAATATCTCGCACACCAATGCGCTTCCAGGCCTGAGGGCCACCACCGATGAGCTGGTGACGATCGTAAACAGCACCGCTTTGGCATTGAGAATACGGTTTGTTGTAGCCCTCCATCAAATCAAAGGCCTCTGTCGCTGGCAAGGTTGCGACCCGCTGCAAGTATGGTGATTGCCTAGGTTCTTCGGGACCCGTATATCGAACAGCATCCGCCACAGACAGCTCAAGGAAATGTCGAAAGCCAACGGTACCGGGCTCCTTTCCATTGTTAGACAACATGTTGGGCACCTCAAATACCCCGACATCGAAAGTAGCCCTATTGGTAGCGTCTGTTCGGCGCCAGTCGTAAAGTTGAATAGGCACTCCACCTTTCACAGCCCAGTCGTCCGGAACCGGCAAATGAGCATGAAGTGTGCTCAGGGTAAATGAGGCATGTGGTAACGGCTTGCGATCCCACAGATGTTGAACTACGGGGTTTTGCTCATCCCAGGGAAAGATCACTTGGGGATACCACCGCCCATGTTTGCCCTTCTCCAACAGAAAGTGAGGCGCGCCAGAGAGAATTGTCTTCACATCTTTCTTTGTGAGTATTGATTCGTTCGCAGATCCAGACTTGGTTGCCGTTGACCTATTCTTCGGTCTGCTCGACTTATCAAGTCTGTATTCGAGGAGGTCTTGAATATTTCCTGGCTGCTTAGGCTCGGAGTGATCCGGTGTCGTAGATGACAGGCCACCAGGAGAGCTGCAAGGCCGATCTCTGTTGCTACCAGCTTGGCTAGTGTCGCATCGTTGTTTGTGGATGGTGGGCGCCTGGGTTGAAGTAGACCTCTCCGCTCCCTTACTTACCATCAGTAACATGCCCGGATGGGGAGATGCATCATCTTACATGAATTGCCGGCTTTGGGCTGTCACTATTCCTCCGAAAGAAATTTCGAAATGCGCCTTCAGAGCGAACTCCCTGATGTGAGAGCGACCGTGTGAGAGCCCAAGGCTCCTCACGGGATGCTGCATCCGACTGTGAACGGTGTCGGCCAAATAAGAAAGTCATGATGAAGTGGTGCAGCTAGTGCATTACCAACATAAAATATTGAACGGTACTGTACGAAGCAATCAAACACCAATTCTTCAAAATTCAGAGCTGAGAATCAAGAAGTAAGCAATAAGCTTATGGGGACGCTGATCTCGGCTCTTCGGCTCGCAAACGGACCCTGTCAACGGCAATGCGGCAAGTGGACAGCTATGACGCCGAGTTCTGGCCGACAGAAGCAATTTGGCCCGATGAGGATTATCATTGATCTTCCAGACAAACAGGAGGGATCTCGACACATTGAAGGAAAAGTTGAAAGTCGTCCAAGTGATGAAGTAAGTGTAGGAATCGCCGCGGGCGGGGGACATCACGTGATAGGTCCATCGTACGTTGAGAAGGAGAGCAAGTCGAGAAGAGTAACGAGTTAGGGAGAGATGAGGACAGTCAAGAGGTCATTCACAAGGAAATGGTCATTTGTTGAGCCCCAATATCCCGCGATATCCATACGTGTCTATGGAGGGCATTCGTGATATATGCTTCTTCGACGTCATTACTTAACTGCTGTGGACCGGCCATTAGATTTACTGACCGGACCGAGGTCTGGTCAGATCTAGTGGCCGGAGTGCCTCAAGAGTAGAAATATAAGAATTGATGATTCTAGTTTCGGACAGAAAACAAAATTAGGGTGTCACTCTTGCTAGGCGTCCTGAATCGAACCTGGTTCAACATGGAGACTATCAACGTGGATGTTTTGGTCTGTGGAGGAGGAATGTCGGGAATGGCATGTGCTGCGTTTGCAACAGAAGCAGGAGCTACCACATTGATTGTCGAGAAACAATCGGAGGTTGGTGGCTCCTCAAATTACTCCGCAGGAATGTTGTACGTTTTATCCTCACGTTGACTACGTCCATACAATAACAACCAATAGCTGGGCTCCACAAACCTATGATAAGCTAAGGTCTTGGGTCCCCGAAGGTGACGCTGCTTTACAAAAAGCATGGATCAAAGACTATCTGCCCGCAGTGCAGTGGATGCGAGACAATGGAGTGCCTACTGCAAAGCGCTTCGATGGCATCATGACAATAGGTACAATGTGCTCCAGGTCGACGTGTTTGAATGATTGAAGTAACAGCTGATGTGACATAGGTATCGGGTTTCCAATCAAAGTATCCAACCTTCACAGTCTCCATCAAAAGCGCATCAACTCGAACAAAGCAAATACACTTTTCACCAACACCTCAGTGGTGAAGCTCATTCAGAAAGAGCCCGGTGTGCCTGGATCGACCGTGACCGGGGCCATAATTTGTCGAAAAACCCCCAATTCACCACCTACATACTACGAGGTTCGAGCTCAGTTGGTCGTTCTGGCCACGGGTGGATTCCAAGGTTCCCCCCAGATGACATCGAAATACCTAGGACAAGGCGGAGAAAACGTTTTCGTGCGTTCCAATCGTGGATCTGTGGGCGATGGACTCAGCCTGGCTATTGAAGCCGGTGCTGGGACTAGCAGGGGTATGAATACCTATTATGGCCATTTATTGCCAGCGCCTCTTAGGGCTGAGGACGTGAACCCGAAGGATTATCTTCCACTTGCCCAATATCGTAAGCACAGTTTCAAAATGAAATTATGCATATATCTAACAACAGGATAGAAAGCAAACACTGTCTGCTAATAAACGAATCTGGTCGACGATTTGCCGATGAGTCAACAGGAGATGAGATCATTAACCAATATCTTGCTAAACAGGAAAAGCGTCGTGGGTTCATATTGTTCAAGTATGTGAACTTTCACCAAAGAGTAAAGACAGGCTGACCAGATTGTTTCTTCTACAGCGAGGAAACGCGCCTCCGGCACTGCGTAAGTGCGTTGTTCCCCAATGCTGGTGATGTCGATCGTCTGCAGAAAGCGCGCGACCATGGCTGCAACGTGGGAACGGCATCAACGCTGAATGAGTTGACCAAGATTCTTCACAACTGGGGAGTGAATGATATGCAGGCAAGACATACCATCGAGCAATATGATCAAGCGATGCGCTTGGGACAAAAGCATATCTCGTTGGATGCCCCCGTTGGCCGTGGTGGACCACCCCCTGCACCCTTGGTGGATGGAAATGGTCCCTTTTATGCCATAGAGGTCCAGCCCTCGTAAGTTAAGACCCTGAGCCCATTTTGGAAATATTTTACTCATACTTATCAGCATTACCTTCACCTATGGCGGGATCGCAATTGACACCCAAGGGCATGCCCTAACCCCTGATAAATGCATCATTCCAGGCCTGCTTGTAGCGGGAGTCGATGCTGGGGGTTTCAGCAACCTTGGGTATGCTGGAGGTCTTGCTTTGGCCTTTGTGACTGGATTTTGGGCTGCTCAAGAGGTGGCAAAGCAATTGTGTTTGCCAGTCCCTTGTCTGCCTGCTGCCGATTCTCGTGACGGGGAAGAGAAACCAGTCAAAGGCAATCTTTAGAACCAAGTGATAGCGTCCAGTTATTGAATTTTGTAGAATTTCATGACGTTGTAGTCCAAAAAGCTCAATCCATTCAGTCACCAAGGTCCTCCTCAATTATATATTAAGACTGGGTCTTGTACTTCCCTCTTGTCCCTTTCGCCTCATTTACTTCCCTCGGTCTTATGTACGTCAAATGTACCAAAAATTCCAGGGAAAACACTGCTGCCTGTTCACTGATTCCAATAACTAGATACAAAAGCCTGAGGTTTCCATGGTCTTTCACACATAACTGAAGCCAAAAATCAAATTCTAGGCTTAAGCCACAAGAACTCCCCGGTACCGCATTTTGCCCTCCTCCAGAGTCTTAAGACTTTGTTTCACGCCATCCAATGTCAAAGGAAATGTCATCTTGATGGGCTTAATGCTGTGGAACGCAGCAAATGCGAGCATATCCCGGTGGACCTGTCTTGAGGATACGATCCCTCCTTGCACCCGAAGACCATTCACAAGCAATGGCATGTACGGAATTTTGAGGTCGTTGGCGTCTACGGAAAGTGGTGAGATGACGCCGTTGGGGGCCATGACGTTCAGGTAGAGCTGCCAATCGGGCTGGCTGCTGGTGGTCACAATGAGGTTGTCGATAGGAGCAGAGATCTTCAGATCTTTCACGCCCTTGGTCGCATAGAATTCGGCGGCGCCTAGTTTGCGTGCTTCATCCTTTTTACTGTCTGTGCCTGAGAACACCACGACTTCACATCCCATCTTGGCAGCAAACTGGATAGCCAAGTGCCCCAGACCTCCAACGCCAACAATTCCGACGCGAGCGGTTGGACGAACTTGCGCGACGTGGAGAGCGTTGAAAACAGTCGATCCACCACACATCAAGGGGCCGGCGTCTTCGTTGCTCATATTATCGGGAACCTTGAACAAAAATGCTTCACGCCACACCGCATGTGTGCCGAACGATCCCTGGTCAAGGTCGGCGTCGCCGTACATCTTGCGTTCACCACACAGCGTTTCCCAGCCAGTGAGGCATTGCCTGCAGTGGCCACAGCAGTCATGTTCATAACCCCAGCCCACACGGTCGCCCTTTTTCAAAAGGTGAGCGTCGGGACCAGTCGCCTCTACTACCCCGGTCCCTTCATGACCGAGCGCCATGTCGGCGCCCTGGTAATGGACATCGGTCCCACAAACGCCAGAGTGGGTAATGCGAACGAGTACATCGTCGGACTTGAGGTCTCCTCGCTCACTCTCAGCCTGCTTGATTCCATCTTTGGAACCTTTATACACGGTGAACTTGAAAGGCATTGTGTGAAATTGAGTCAAAAATGAACGAGGTTAATGTGTAAAGCTCTGAATTGGTGTCCAATTGTTCTAGGACCAACTGTGAACAGGCTGTACTTTATAGTCCAAAATTCTGGTACGTCATGTTACATCCTTTCTAGCTCACCCAAACCCCGGAGGCTGAATCAGATATTTCACGGAAAAGCTTCTTAAAAACATTCACGAGGCAACATAGGCGTCAGGATCAGGCTCAGAAACCCCACTGATATCACCATATAACAAACTCCCTCGACATTGGTTACTTTCTCATTCACATGTGCACCGAACTTCAGGATTCTAGCCCGTCAGCAATTGGAGCTCAGATCAAGAACAGAGCAATCAAGATCTGGTTGCAGTGGTGACATCATGTACTCATACTGAAGTGGGCCGCACTGAAGCCAAAATTGGGAATTTCGGCAACAAGTGCGATGTGCTTCGGGTGAGGGGACACAAATACGAGAGATTGCTTGGAGCCGAGGGTTTGATGCGCGAAAACGACCCAGCTTAGTCCGGGTGAGTGTGAAGGTATATGGTAGACAGAACCCTGGAAGCATACAAAATGCGTTGTCAGCAGGATAATCCATGGCTGCGCTACTGTACTGTGCTGTATAATGGCCAAGCACTTCAGCCAACACGGATCTCATCTTCCTCCCTCCACTGCAGTACTTTCGTCGAGGTGGCATTGAGATATCTCCTAGCTGGCATTCACTCTGCCAACGCAAGCAATGCCTATTCCATAAGAAGTATCGGGTCTTTCCTATATCTAAGAACATGTTCCATGCCAATAGTCACGTTTTATTAGGCTCATCTTCATAATTAGCTCAGGAATTGCTATCCAAACTGGTTATTCATGACTGTCGAGAACTTGCGTCGATTCTGCCGTAGGCGGTCGGGCTAGCGATATCGGACATCCCAATTGGGCAGATGCGAAGTTTAAACAACAAATTTGTCGCACTCTGCACTCTTTTGCTATTGCTGAATGCACTTTTGATTTCCAGGCCTCAAAACTTCGGGAGACTATAGCCTCGGTCTGTGACTATGATTCAGATCCACGGCATCGCCAGTCCCGGTGATTGCCCTCACGCCACACCAGAAAAGGATGCCGCGTTGGCAGTGGTGAGCGAGGTTGCCCAGGAAATTGACCCCATATTGGAGAAGCGAGTGCTACGCAAGATTGACCTGTATTTGATGCCTGCTATGCTGATCGGTCAGTTTCAAGCTGGATATCAACCCTCTGGACACTATGGCTAACATGATTACAGGCTATGGCATGGTGTACTATGACAAGGTACGATGGAATATCCAATAAACGCATGACCCAAAACTGCAGCTCTGATAATTTCCACAGGCCATCCTAGGCAGCGCTTCACTCTTTGGCATGACAACTGATTTGGCCCTAAAAGTGACAGACAATTCGACATCTCCTCCATCCGTTGACACCTCTCGTTTGAGCTGGGCAACGTCGATCTTTTACTTTGGAATGCTTGCTGGTCTCTACCCGATGACCTTTATTTTACAGCGATTTAATATTCGATCGGTTCTGGGCCCAGTAGTTCTTCTGTGGGCTGTTGTTTGTGCAGCCACCGCCGGCGTGACAACCTGGAAGGGACTTTTCGTACAGCGATTCTTCCTTGGTATGTGTTCGCCTTTAAGGTTACTTCTCCTACCTAACACAGTTTAGGATTCATTGAGAGTGTTATCCCAACTGGTTTCATGACTATAGTCAGTGGTTATTATACACAAGAAGAGCAGGCCCTTCGACAAGCGTGGTGGTTCTCTGGCACTGGCTGGTTCACTATCATCGGCAGCGCACTTAACTACGGATTTGGTCAAATTACATCCGGGCCCTTGAAGAGATGGCAGTACATTTACATCCTGGCTGGTGCCCTGACATTTCTGTTTGGTCTCTGGTGCTGTGCCATGCCGAATTCGCCTGTCTCTGCATGGTTTTTGACCCCTGAGGAACGGGCGGTTGCTGTGGAGCGACTCCGGAAGGGTCAAACTGGCGTGAGGTGCCAGAAGATCAAATCAGAGCAGATCAGAGAGTGTCTGACAGATATCAAAATTTATCTGGTGGCTATTATGATGGCGGCGGCGTGAGTATTCCATTTCATAAATCACATCTTACCTATACACGTTACTAATGATCATATTTAGGTACACTATAAACGGTGCTATCTCGGGCTTTGGACCATTGATCGTGTCAACGTTTGGTTATGATACCTTGGATTCCATTTTATTCCAATTCCCCGTCGGTGCCGTCTGTGTCATCTTTATCCCTCTCTGCGGATACATCTCCACAGTCGTACCCAATACGCGCATTCCCATGTTGATTGTCTGTTGCCTTCCTGTCATTGCTGGCTGTGTTATGATCTGGAAATCCCAGTGGGGATACCACCCGGCAACACCCGTTGTAGGCTACGCTCTGACTGGTTTCTTCGGGCCAGTGGTTAGTCTGATTATCACAGTTGGGGCTAGTAATGTCGCTGGAGCTACGAAAAAAACTGTCATGGCAGCAACTGTCTTTGTCGCATACACTGTGGGCAACATCATTGGGCCCCAGCTAGTGAAAACAACTACTAAAGCCCAGCACTACCCGGAACTGTGGACTGGCATGGTGATCTGGTAGGTCTTCTTTTCCTCAATTTCAATTGCATAGGAATTCTAACGAAATCTAGTTACTGTATCACAATCGCTGCAGCTGCAGCACTGTACCTGGTGCTTTGGCGCGAGAATCGAAACCGGGACCAGTTGGAGCTCGATGAGGTGCAGCGAGATAAGATTGCCTTTGACGACCTCACAGACAAGCAGAATCCGTTTTTCCGGTATGTTCTGTGATTCTTGATAATGGCTTACAGTTATCATCACTTGAAAGGGGAAGTCTCTGCTCCAACCTAGGATCATTCTCATATTCACCACCTCCGACATTTGTGCCGCGAGCATATCAAAATATACGTAATCTGTTTCCTAGTTCTTAACATAATAATTCAATTTAACGGCAATTGCATCCCAATTGATATACCGCAATGTCACTAGAGGTGTAGTATACTCCGCACGATGCGGAATCTTCAAGATTCCGTTTGTCGCAACCCCTCAAACCGCTCCTTAATCGGATGGATAAAAGGACACCCTGTAGTGTACTGATCTCATCTTCCCAAAATCCCCGGTCGAAAAATGAAGGACCCCCTAAAACCCACCGTTGAAGCGCTTGGTAGTAACTCCAACGCGGCGAGGGATTCAAGATATGAAGTGACATGGGAGCCCTTTGATGCAGAAAACCCCCAGAATTGGTCGCTGTGGCAAAGAGTGTTCATTGTTGCATCCATGTCGTATTCCACCACCGTTGTGTCAGTCTTACATCCATTGAATATGCCAACGTATCTTGTCACGTCAAGCTAACCTAACTAACCGCACAATACAGGGTGATATATTCGACCATGTACACTTCTGGTGTTGATGGCATAAGAAGCGAGTTTGAGATATCCTCGAAAATTGTTGTTCTTCTTGGCTTGACCACAAATCTTTTTGGTCTCGCGTTGGGGTCGGTTGTATTGTCGTCGTTGTCCGAAATATATGGTCGCCGGCCCGTATACATCACTTCTGTTCTTCTATTCGCCCTCTTCATCGTGCCAGTCGCCATGGCAAAAAACATTGAAACCATTTTAATCAGTCGATTTTTTGGAGGCTTCTTCGGTGGAGCTATGATCGCCAGTGCTCCGGGAAGTGTTACTGATGTGACAAATGAACAGCATCGCGCGTTGGCATTGAGCTTTTGGAGTCTCGGGACTATGAATGGACCTGTACTTGGTATGTTGATGTCTGCTGCATATCTCCTATTTTGGCCACTGACCTCTTCTTGCAACTCATTAGGCCCCATTATTGGTGGCTTCGTTTTTCAGTACCTTGGGTGGCGCTGGCTCAATTGGATCGTCTTGATTGGTAGCGGTGTCTCGTTCAGCTTGATGTTGTTAGTGCAAGAAACATACGCCCCAGCTCTTCTTCGCAAGCGCACCAAGGCAAAACAACGGGCAACGAGGGACCGCCGATGGTGGTGCTGCTTTGATCACCAAGACACTGCCCTCCAAGTCTTGAAGACTAATTTGATTCGCCCGTTACGAATGGTGGTGCTTGAACCTATTTGGTGAGTTTGACATAGGCCTTTTGCGTACTGATCTTCGAGCTAATCCGATGTTGCAACAAAGTATATTCTGGAATTTGTACGTTGGAATAGTATACGCGGTTCTTTTCTTATGCTTTGTTGCCTACCCTATTGTGTTTCAAGACCACCGCAGCTGGGCAGCTGGACTTGCTGGTCTAGGCTATTGTGGTATTGGCACAGGAACGGTCATCGCTGTTCTGCTAGAACCCATGATCAGACGAATGATCGATCTGCACCCTCGCGATCTAGCCACCGGACGCCCAACTCCGGAGGCCACAGTGATTGCGATTTGCATTGGGAGTATCTTGATACCGATTGGAGAGATCTGGTTTGCTTGGACGGCACGGCCTTCGGTGCACTGGATATCTCCCATCCTCGCCGGAATACCCTTTGGAATGGGGAATGGCTTTGTCTTCATCTATGCAACCAGCTATATCGCCGGAAGTTACACTGTATATGCAGCCTCGGCTCTAGCAGGAAACTCTGTTGTGAGGTATGGCCTTGCTGGACTTTTGCCTCTCGCTGGGGACAAAATGTACAGTACACTGGGCCCTGATTGGGCGAGCACGATGCTGGCACTGATAGAATTCGCTCTCATTCCTATACCCTTTATATTCTACAGATACGGTCACCATATTAGATTGCGAAGCCCAATGATAGCAAAAAGAGAGGTGGACGGGTGTTAAACTTCCCTTGCTATGAGCTCATTCACGACAGCCTTTAGTTTCGAATCATGCGTGTCTAGCAAAGCAGAAAAATATGAGTCTGTCTCATTAACGTCGGAGCAGGATTATACGTAAGAGCGTCAAATTTAATCATTAAACAGCCATAGACAACAAGTTCTTCCCTAGTCTCCTTTGTACACGACGATCTAGGTTCCGGGAGAAACGAGAATAGAAAGAAAACGACAATACAGAAGCAGGGTAAAAGCCGCACATGAGAAGAAGTGATGGCTTCCATTTCCATGTAGAGACCGTTTCGTACTTGATCAGTGCCGCTGCGTATATAGTTATGAGACCACCTCCGTTGTAACAAAAGCTATGTGCAATCAAACGAAATGTGTGTATCTGGATCATTTGCGAACAATGTCTGTAGCCACTCCATCCCACCATCTATCATTTCTCCAGGTAGCCAGACACTTGGATCCGGTACGAAGGGTTCGAGTTCTTGCGCATACAGCCCCGTCACTGCGTTCGGTCCTTTCGCCTGAAAAGCGAGATCCATATTGTGCGTGTGAAATTGATCCGTCTCGCCTTTTCGGAATCCTTGTGCTGTATCACCCTCGTTCGAGGAAACTGCACGCTGGAAACCACTAGAAGCATGCAGGGCTTTCTGATTCTCCTCAACATCAAAGTTGTTGGTCGTCACATCATCAAGTTCCAGGTCTAGTGGCTGTGTGGGTTTAGAACTCCCCTCACTAAGATTTGGATACACCAGTAGCCCTGGTAATGATTGACCGCCAATTTCAAGTTGCGACGTCCCTCGATGAGAAGCAGGTATTTCCATCTCTGCGTTCGGTGTTCTTAATACCGGCTGCTCTGATGGCGCAGAGTAATCCCGAGTATGTTCAAGACTGCCTAGGCTTTGATAAGATTGAGAAGATAAATGTGACGAAGGCATTCTGTGATTGTCATCTTGGTCTTCGGGTGAGCAAAAACTTGGGTTCAGAGTGGCCTCGGCCATTCGGTTTAACTTCCAGACTGCTCGAGCCATTTTGCCTGAAACCCAGGTTTTATGACAGTGAATTTTCAAGGACCTCGCAGTTTCCAACGTCATTTCCCCGTAGTTCTGTCTGAATGAAGGTTGTTTCATTATGAGGCCAAGGGCGATGATAGTTGCACTAGCAAGGTAGTGCAAAAACGGAAATGTGTACTTGGGGTTATGGTCTTCAGGTACATTTTGGAAATCATCAATGATTCCTCGGACCAAACGCATACAGATGACTTCATTCTCGCTTGCTTCGAGTGAATGCGACGAGCCAATTTGCTGTAGCATTGGCTTCCTTATAAGAAGATAAAGAGAAGCCCATCGCTGTTCAATGAATAAGTTTGGACCCTGTGACTGGAAATTTGCAAAATAGCTTAGACAATGAACTTACAGTTCGCATGATGAGTTGCTGCTTGATTTGCCACCAGGCCAATCCATTTGAACTGAAGCATCCTGGTTGTCGAGGGTCGTATGAAAATTCTGGTTGAAGGTCTTTTTGAGACTGCATGATCAGAAGCTCCAGGTATTCGTTAAGAAATAAGCTTGGTGAGGAGTGGGCCGTAGATGCACCATATAAGGCTTCCCATACTTTGCCAATAACTTTCGAATAGCTAGTCATAGCAATCAGATATGGAACTGTTGTATGTGACCTTTCAATGGCTCCATCATCGGCGCGTATGAGGTGAGAAGTTCCTCGACAGCTGCTGAGCCACTCATCACTCACAGTTCGCGGAAGGCCAATGTCAACATTCACATCCTGGATTAGGAACGGGCGGCCTGTTTCAATAGCTAGTCGTCTATCCATAAGGTAGACGCACCACCAGAAACGTCGAGCCATTTCGCTTTCAAAAATGTCCAGTTTCTCCACCACTTGGTATCGTTGAATTCCAATATAATGTGAATGTGATATTGAAAGGGCCAAAAGCTTTTCGGCGGAACCGTGTGCGTCAATACGGAAAAGGTAGACAACCTGCATAGAAAGGAAGTACTGTCAGTCAAGACAGGGATTTCATCTGGACGTCTTTGTGCTCACCATTAGTAATATAGTCTGAAGCAGGAGTATTTGATTTGAACACTCGCTGAAGGCATCGAGAAGATCACCAAATATGTCTCTGGCGGCTCTGTAAAAGCTCCAACCGGCGGAATAATCTTTCTTGGGACCTTTCACGTGCGAGGATCTCACGCATTTCCCATTCGCCAAGCACAGGAGAATGTGTGCCATGGTGAAGCGCGACTCAGCATGTCGATGATAAGGACTCAATTTGGAGGCACCGGAGTTTTCCCACAGTTTCGAGTAGGTTTCCCATAGTGAAGGTAAATGCAAGAAGGGAACCAAAACATGCACCTCATCGCAAAATGTGTGCATGAGCTGGTCCCATTGTTTTCGATCTGGAACTACACCATGGGGATCAAGAAGCTGGTACATGTAGCCTTGAGTATGATCTAAGGGTTTGAAGTCGGATGACTCGCCCGGAGATGGAGTTAATCGAGAAGCGAAGGGTTGATTGGGGGACGTAGATCGCACGCCTGTGTACCTTACGCCCATCTGCTCAAGTCGTCCCTCAACGACTGTCAAATGATGTGTTAAAGAGGTCTCTCCGGAGAATGTTGCCACTGTAGGCGAAGTAGTAGAATTCTGGAGAGGCCGCTTGCTACCTGTTGCAGTCTCATCTGGGAGATGCTCTTGGTTTTGGTGTCTCGTAGTTTGCAATATGGATGATGATCCCAAATTACGCAACTGTCCATCAACCTGATCCATTCGAGAGTTTGGGTTCTTTGCCCTAGATTCAGAATCAGCAGTTGTTTTGCTTGGATCCGAAAAGACTAGATTGGTCGTGTCAAACCTCCTGTGTAGAGAAGTTATGTCAGGCTGCCGCCATTTACCTCTCATATCGGTCCCTTCGCGCTGACATTCACAGTCTCTTCTGACACAATATTTGCATGGAGTATTGCCATCGCACTATTACAGGTTTTGTTCAGTTTACCCTTGTTTGACTGGTGCAGGGGATGTATGATGTGGTACATCCTACCTTGATTTTTCGCCGTTTACACTGCCCACTATTTCGATACATAGCTATGTCAGTACACAATACCATTGCGGGTCAGACAGGATGCGCACCATGCTCTCAAGGCATATTTTCCTCGTTGGGTTCGCTTGGGTTTGGGCTCGATTGATACGCCCTCGTGATCACGCTTCGCATTTCGCGAGGTAGATACGGTACTGTCACCGCCCTCCCCTGCGTCCAAAGACTTGCATCTGGTCCGCACATTGTTCATGGCGGAAATCGTTGCGAAATGGTGGCTGAATATGAGGGGAGAAACCAGGGGAAGTCGGAATCTTCGGAATTTTGGGTCTTGGCACTCGCGTGAAGTATAAAAAAGAGGGCAATTTGCTATGTACACCAATCTGGATCTACCAATCTGGATCTACCAATCTACTACCGACTGAATTCAAATGCCCATGCAGTGCTAGCATCAGTCTGGTAAATAGGGAACGTCAAGGTATCCCCTGTGTAGGTGTGAGTAACCACCCCTCGATCACTAGGGGCATCCACTTCCTCGTAGATCGATGTGCCTGCAAAGCCCCAAGTCTGGATATTCACCGAGCCCGCTTTAGGTAGACCGACAGCGCTCATCTTGTCAACGGTAATCTGCCAATTGCCGGCTGTGATCCGAGTCCCCGAAAGAATGCGTACTTTGTCCGAGTCTACGGTCGCATACACGTCGAATAGACGATCACCGGTACCACTAGTCTTCACTCGGTGCCCTGTCATGTTAAGGTTGTAGTACTTGTATACTTGGTACTCCGGGGCTGCAGCATAGTCGGTAGCGCTGTAGTCCGAAGGATTTGAGACCTTGGTCAGAAGATTGGCCATGAGGTCGTGCAATGTCCAGCCGCTCAGCCAGTTGCCACGAAGTCCCCATGCATCGTACCGTTCTAATCGTGAAATCCACCAGGCGGCTCCTGCAGGTACTTGCTCTCCGTAATTCGCGTATTCGTTGATGTTGACTTGGCGGCTTGGTAGGTTGTACGTTTTGAGAAGAGCCTGGAGTGTCGCATTGGTGTTTTGAAGGTCATTGTCCCAGTCACCGGATTCGCCTTCCAGATGATAAGAGTATTGTTCTGGGATTGTGTCATTGCCCGCAATTTGATCCAGCCAGTCGGCCCACCAAGTGTTGCCAGATACTGGCCGGAAGGCCAAAGAAGGACCGGTTATCTCAACGGCATCATACTTGGAGTTTGCCCTTTCCATGACCGCAGGTCAGCAATCAAAGTCCAAGCCTGGAAAAGAGCAGACTCACCGAAGAAGCTTGTGGGTGCGAATATAAAGATCAATCCACTGCTGCTGTCCGCGGGCCCAGAAGATACTGATGTCGGGCTCATTCCAGATGTCCCAAACAAGACCTTCGAGAGCGTTATTTGCTTCAAGATCGTTCATGAGTGTCGTGACAAACTTGTCCCAGTCTGTCCAATCTCCATTATCGCCGGGCCAAACAGTTGAGGCGTTCGTATGGTCGGTTCCCCAGACATCGTGTGGCAGGATAATAAAGGGCGCGCCATACTTGCGACAGGTCTGATAATTGGACAAGGTAGACTCAAGCCGGCCCTGATAATCATCAAGACCCCAGATCCAGCCGCGGGCCGGCGCATCGAGCTGTGCTCCTCCTGCGCGCCCGTAGTTGAATCCGACCCCAGTATACCAATGGTCGGGAATCTGGTTCGGGGTATCAGGGATACCATAGATGAACCCTGATGCTCTATGTACAGGCGGGCCCTTGGAAACAGCTAGGTCTACCGTAGCAGTGATGTTGTCGGCCGACACCAGTCCGACTGCGAGAAGAGCTGCAAGCAAAGTGAAAGACATAGCTCAAGTAGAGGCAAGCTCGTGAATGCAGTTGGGGGCTGCGAGACTAGGCACCCTTTTATCTCCATGCCCAGCGACTCCCGGAGTTCTCAAATTCCGTAAAATTCACGTTCTTCATCATGCAATCGCATATCTCCACTGCTTCAAGTTGCGGGGTGGCTGCGGAGTTCCGTGAGTTACTGCAAGACAGCGCCAACAGGGGCATTGTCTGCCAAAGGGTCGATCATTACCCCAGATCAAAAAGACCTTGGGAGCAAGCTGTGGCTTTCTCCGGTGGAGGGGTGAAAATGGCAGCAAACCTCCTTGCAGGATTACTCCGGTGGGTTTAAAATGTCGCTTATTGCTGCAAGACTTGACAATTCTGCCCTAAATTAGCTCGAAAATCAACTTCCATTTGATTCCAAGGTTACGAGCAGGATCTATCATACTATGTTTTCAGCCCCCACAGAGATAGCACTTTAAATTCTCACAGCGGATTGATCTACATATCTATTTAATGATCAAATGATCCCCGACGTCTACACAGAAAATGAGAGATTCAGGTTTCTAGATTGAAATATTGATATGGCATTTGCTTTATGCTTATATCGCGAGACTATGTGCATTTCGGATACTGAAAATAGCGTCCAAGAGAGCAAGACTAGGGCCAGATAAAGTGTAGAAATATACAAATGACATTGCATTCAAATAACGGTAACATATGTGCCAATATTTGCAAATCTACCGAGGTAAAAGAACTGGTAAACATAGAAATCCTCCTTTTCAAGTTTTTTATTATAGCCCAGGCGACTTTTCTCTGCTATGAACAATCGTTTCATGAACCACCGTGATGCCTCCACCTTGGCTACTCTGACTGTGAGTCTCCCAATCACCCTCACCAGCGGTACAAGTAGGCGGTTGCTGTCGCGAGGTGGGCAGGATCATTTGCTCGTCACTTATCGTGTTACACTGGGTTTCCGCCGGAATAGATAGAGGATGACGGAACTTCTTACGCTTAGTATAAGCGCCGCCTCCAGTGTCACCATCCGAGAGAGGATAGGCAGGGTAACTCTGTGATCCATTCCTTGAGGTGATGTAAAATCCAGCTCGTCGGGCTACTCGCCGGAACAGAGGGTAGATCATAGGGACATTGCCAATGATGACAGCGACAAAGGTCTCACGACAGGCCCAGCTGCCGGCTTGTTGAGCACCATTGGTACCAGCCTGAATAGACATCAGGCCTTGCGTTCCACATCAAAAAGATCGAACTTACTGTTAATATTAAGACACAGCGAAGAATACCAGCCATCATGACAAAGAGTCCGCCACTGAAAAGAATCAAAAGTTCTAGCTTCTCCCGCCATCTCAACCTAGCTTTGAAAAGCATCTTCATACACATTGATTAGTATCACTTTTAACATACCCGTAAAAAGACTTACCGGTGCAGGTATGCTAATTAGATAGATGTCGGTCGCGACATTGAGTACCACAGTCACGTAGATATCAATCTTGGACACGGCCGGTTGACAATAATCTAACCGGATATCAGCTTGTGATCCCCTCCCCGAAATATAAACAGTATTGTGTAGAACAGAACAACGTACTCCCAGGATCAGGATTGATTTGCCAATTCTTATGCAATGGACGGCATCCAAAGAGGATCGAACAGACTGTCACAATATATGTCCCAGCAATCAAACCATATGCAATGTGGATTCGGATGCGCATATTTATTAGGCCTGCACTAGATAGAGGATAGAGAGTCAGCACAGACAAAGTGGATGGGGCTAAAGCGAGCTCACGTCAATCGAGCATAGAAAATGGCCATGCATGTCTTGAGCAGCCAAAGCAAAAGGGTATACAACGACCAACCAGCAACCTGAACCTTTGAGCCACCCACACGGATACGATACTCTTCGGAGCTTGTTGATAAAGTTTCTCGCTGTTCACGGGTCATTGAATTGTTGGCCAATCCCATATACCACGCGCCAACTATGTATGCGGCGCCAGTTTCGAGTCCATACACCACCTATACACGTTCTGATTAGCAAGGAAATAGGTGATATTGCAATCGATCGTAACTCACACACGCAAGTAGCATTAGATAGTCATCCACCTGAAAGTTTTTGGGGCCAACCATAATCCATCTTGCGGTGGTTCGCAGACCGATAATGACAATAGCTACCCCCAGTAAGGTAAATGCTTCAGTATTGAAGTCACCCATATTTGTGACCCTGAATAGAATTTCTCTATACCATTGACGTCGAAAGAATGCTTCAACTTCAGGTGAACATTGAGATCAAGGAGAAAGAAGGTCAGAGGTCCCCGAGAAGAAAAGACAGCGGCAAAAGGCAGTATGTCAATGTTCTCCCTTGATCTCATTCGTTGACGTTGGACCCAGACTGGACAAAGAAGCAAGCACGCCCTAGTCAATTTACAAACGGCAGCGAGCTAATCAAATGGACGGGAAGAGACTGAAAGTTGAGAATTCCCAACTCCCCGTTGGCGGGTCTCTGGCGGCTTTTGTTAAAATACGCAACAAGTCCCATCGAGTATGGATTCACTGAAGAAGATCCATGACAGGACCAAAGTCCTCATGCGAGAGTGACAGCTCCGACAGTAGCATCCACTATGCCCGACCGGGTGGCTGCGGACTATCTTTAGGGGTGGGCTGGGCTGACTACAGTATGCATCTATCAACGGTCCGGGGAGAAGCTTTGAGGTCGAGACCATTCTTGTATGGCTTGTAATTGACAGGTCAATAACAGCGATCAACATTGAAAGATTCCACACTTCCCTGATCTGACAATCGAATTTTCCCATTGCATACACGAGGCGAAGGGACAGTGGTGCCCTAGAACCTGGCTGGTTATGATCTTCGGTGTAACGTGCAATAGAACTAGTCTTGAGAAAGTGTGCACCGTAGCACAGTCGAATGTAGTGCAGCATACTACAGATAGCCAAGCATCATTTTAACGACCTAAGAACGAGCTGTGTCATGATCACCTTCTCCACCGACCTCACGTTTCACCTGGTTTGGATGTTGATCGGCCCCGGAGATTGCTCCGACTGCTGGATCGATAATCGATCGCGAATGGCCACCGGCTCCAATCTTGTAATGGCCTGACATACATTGAGCCTGCTTTCCATTGCAGAATTGCAACATGTGTTCAGGAGAAGAAAATCTTCAAAAGTACCGGATAAGTCGGGGGGTTCTGGTTCGTCCCGATAGGAGCTTAGAAACAACCCTATTTTACATATCTTAATTCAAATCCCGGTCTTCGAGCCTTGAGCAAGGAAGATGGGCATGTTTCAGGTTCAACCCGAGGTAAGAATCTGTTCCTAACGGTAAAATTCCCGTTTATTTAGGTGGAACCGAAGCGGGTCAATCATATGGAGTCCACGGGGAAGACATCCCGCCCTGCTTCGCCCGCACCATGAGTTCATCTGGACTAAAACTATTAAGTCTTTACCTTGCAATTGACTGGATAGGTTTAATGTGTAGGTAATCGATAGCGAAATTGAGATTCCAACCGGAGATGGGGAGCTGCGTATTGTTGCTTGTCCCAACTTCCTTTTTCTGTTTTTTTTTTTTTTTTGGTGACAAGTTAGTGTCACTCCAAGCGCTGTTGGCCTTCAAAGCCACTAATGTAAGTGAGGGGGGGGGAAGAAAATCCCAACACGTTATATTGCGCCTCCCACGCGCCGTTTGACCCCCTAGAAACGTTCCGATAGGAAAGCGAAATACGGCAGATCACATAGTGCGCTTTGACAACACGACCCAAGGTGTCAAACGACGGAGCAAAGCTAAAATGGTGTAGAGGATCCGAATTCTTTCATGAGGGACAACTCGCCGGTCCGGACTAGCTGCATGCCAAGTGCCTAGCAGAGGCAAGGGCCCCTGGTATTTGCAATTCTGTACATTTACTTGCCTACCGTTAGTGACCCCCGATCAATTTTAATTACTAGTGCCACTAGTTCCCATTCCATTGCAGAAGAACGGCTAAATCAAGAAATCAAAAAGGAAAATTCAGTGAAGCTCAAAGTTCCACGCTAACACTTGTTCGTTTACGCTCAATCCTGAGACCCTGGAGTTCTGTCGCGCACATTTGTCCACTTGTACATAGCTTCCTGCATCAGTCCTGAGTTTCAGCCAGTTACCTACCACACCCTGCGACTGAACGAAGCTATCCAAAATGGATTATGTGGACCTCGTGGTCATAGGCGCAGGTAAGTCGGCTTTGGACTCGAAAAGAGTAAGCATTTCCGAAGTCTGACCTGTCATTAATAGGTTGGAGCGGTCTATCTGCTGTCAAAACATATCGTGAAATCAACCCGGATCACGATGTGGTTTTGTTGGAGGCTGCTAGTTCAATCGGTGGAGTATGGGCCAAGCATCGTCTCTACAAAGGTCTGAAATCGAACAACATGTTGGGCACATATGAGTTTAGCGACTTTCCCATGGATAGTTCGACCTTGGGGATCGCACCTGGTCAGCATATTCCAGGCAATGTCATTCAAAAGTATTTGGAGGCATACGCACAGCACTTCGACTTTGCCAACTGTATTCGACTGGACCACCACGTTGAGAGCGCACAACACAATTTGGATGGAACATGGCAGCTGATAATATCCCACGGAAAGAATACAGCAACAGTCAACACCAAAAGGATGATTGTAGCCACGGGTATCACCTCCCAGGCATATCTTCCAACATTCAAAGGTCAAGATACCTTCGATGCACCCCTCTTCCACTGTCGCGATCTACTACAGTACCAAGATGCCATCCTCCAACGTGACAAGCGTGTGACTATCTTTGGTGGAACGAAGTCAGCTTGGGATGCGGCATATGCCTGCGCAACAACAGGCATGAAAGTTGACTGGGTCATCCGAGAATCCGGTCATGGGCCTAACTGGATGGCACCGCCTTACGTGACTCCATTAAAGAAATGGTTGGAGAAGCTCGTCACCACTCGGCTATTGACCTGGTTTAGCCCATGTATCTGGGGAGAAGCAGATGGATACATAGGCATCCGCAGCTTCTTGCACAGAACCTGGCTCGGTCGTAAGATCGTGGACGCTTTCTGGGCTATCTTAGCAGACGATGTTGTGCAGCTCAATGAATATGACAAACACCCCGAAACGAAGAAACTGAAACCTTGGGTGAGCCCGTTCTGGATTGCATCGTCGCTCAGTATTCTCAACTATCCGACCGACTTCTTTCAACTGGTTAAAGACGGCAAAATTAAGGTACATATTGCCGATCTAGAACATCTTTCGGATCACACTGTTCATCTTTCATCGGGTGAAGCATTGCCAACCTCAGCGTTAATCTGCTCGACAGGTTGGCGAGCTACTCCCAATCTCAAATTCCTACCGGAAGGCATCGACCGCAAGTTGGGCTTCCCCTGGAGCACAGATCCGCTAAATGAAAAGATGGTAAAGGCAGCAGATGAAGAGATCTTATGTCGATTCCCCCGTCTTCGCGATCAACCAGCCCCAAATCCTCTCTACCGCCCCTTAGATGAGCAATCTGAAGCCGCTGTACCGCATCCCTTCCGCCTAGCGAAGTTTATGGTGCCACTATCTCTGGCAAAAGAGCGATCTTTGGCATTCATGGGAATCACTATGACCATTAATACAACATTGATAGCGCAAGCGCAGGCATTATGGATTTCAGCATACTTTGGTGGTGATTTGACTCCGACTGCAACTGAACGCTGCCCTCCTGCTATTGCTGCTGCGTTGGACATCAAAATAGAAGACACCACAGAGCTTGATCTTGCTTGGGAGACTGCGTTGCACTCTGAATTTGGCAAATATCGTTACCCAGGGGGCTTCGGACGAAGGAATCCCGACTTCGTGTTCGATGCAATCCCGTACATTGATCTGATGCTGCGCGACTTGGGTCTATCTCCCGCTCGCAAGCAAGGCTTTCTAGCAAGGTGCTTCCAGCCCTACGGCACGGATGATTATCGTGGCTTGGTCGATGAGTGGAAAGCTAAACGGTCTATCCAATGAACAGTCGCTAAAGCTAGGAGAGTTGCTTCTGTTTTATCACCGATCTTTCTGTTGCCCGTTGCGTGAGGCGAGATACCCCGATCATTCCTTTCATAGCACTCGACTTTTCTTTGAATCAATTATTTTACTCTAAGACTTTGAATTTCTGGGCTTACTAAAAGGTTCCCTGGGCTTCATACAATCTGTGAGCCCACTTTCTAATCACTAACTCTGTGATAACCTTCCTTTGACCTATGGATATGTCACCCGCCGGCATCAACCTACCATATCAAGACAAACTGTTCCAAGACTGCTACTCCACGACGAGAGGAGGATCTAATCCATCCAATTTGTTTATTTCCCCATGGGCACCAATCAGAGTGAACTTTCTGCATCTATCCAACAACAACATCATCATCTCCCTGATCAAAGTTTCTATATATCGCTTCACGATCCTCGGTCACTGTTGCTCTTATCGAAACATGAACATTCAGCCGTCCCTCTGTCGTGAGACCTCATTCTAAGCAGAAATATCTATGGAGCATCATCTAGCTGTGGAGGAAAATGTGTTGCTGTAGCCCCAGGACCGCCTGTTAGGCACATGTTGAATGGTTGGAGTCACAGATTGATATCGCCAGCCTTCTAAGCCCCGCAACCCCATGCATAGGTGGCTTTTCGTTTGGTTCACCAACGGCTCATTCACTTACAGAAAACAATGAGAATATCGCAACGGACGAGATCCAGAAACCAAGGACGAGCGAGTCACCTAAGTCGGTTTCTGACACAACCTCAATTACGACCAGTATTATACAGAGCCATTTATTAGATCAGATTATGGTGCATCCGAACAAAAAATGACTCATTGTCAAGAAGCGATTCAGAGATCTTTTTCCTCGTCAATCCTTACTTGAACCAACAGTCAGCCGAAAGCATGGATATATTTCCATTACCTCCTGCATTTATCTACGGTTGATACATATTAAACGGCGAACTATCACAACGAAACCCAAACCGAGGAGATGCAACTCTCAATAGAAGTATAACTGCTTCAAACTCCGGTACAGGTCGATCATACACATATATGAAAGGGCTCGGGATCTTGGCTTCGGCTTGCAAAGACAATGGCTCACCATCGGTTGAAGCAAGTCTCCCCTTTCCGGAATCCAGTCGCCTCTATTTGACTACCAATCCTCCTGATCCTCCTTTTAGATCTGAATAAAGCCACAGCCGCCCGTTGTAATAAGATGATAATAAGATCGAGACCGCCACGTGGCTGAGTGGCTGAACAATACAATTGCGGGTCAGCCCCGGACAGCCCTACATCAAGCTCCTCCAAAGATCTGGAGCTCTTCGGGCCAATAGGACAGATGAATGTCCTACCAAGTGATCGGGGATCGACTGGCAATGCTTGTTCGGGAAGGTTGTTCTAGGAATTGTTTTTGTATTTTTTTCAAAAATTTTTCTTCCATGTCATCATTGATGCAGGTTGTTATATACCGACGTTGCCCAACCCATTAACAGTCCAATCGCTGAATCGCTTAAAATAACAGAAAAATAGGGTAGATGCACACGTCACACATGAGTCTGGAAAGCACACATGGTAATCAAACAGAAAACCGGATATTGGTAAAAAGAAAAGAAAAGAAAATCAGAAATCAGACCGTCCCATGATGCCCAAGTCACACACCCTTCGCCAACGCAGAGAAAGACACGACAAAAAGAAGGCTTGGTAGTGATACCGGCTGCCAACGCCTTGATACATACAAGTATCGGTTACTTCAATAGAGCAACGTGAATATAGATTTTGGAAAGGAAGGGGGCCGAGGTTTCATAGCGCAAGTGTGAGAACTCAGCTAAACCCGCCCATTGAGAATAGGACTGCCGTCCTCACTCCGTCCTTCCCCTTTGATGTCGCCTCCGGCTTGAGTGCTATTCGCATCTGAGTCGCCATCCTTTCCACAGCCTTTAACCAGAATATGTCGCTGTTAAGTCAGATTAGTATTGAGACATTGTGCAGCGATAAAAAAAAAACACACCTTGAGAGCGTCTTTCCGCGAAAAGCTCTTGTCACAGTGTGAGCAAGGGAAAGGCTTCACAGCGAGATGGATCCGCTTGTGGCGCTTCAAATCATGGTTTCGATTGAAGCTTTGCGGGCACTGGTCGCACTTGAATGGTCGGTCGGCGGCCGGAGCAGACATGCCGTGGGGAGGGGGATGGCCCCCGTACATGTGCTGGGAGCTTGCGACGTGTCCACTGTTGAATCCCGGTAAAAGACCAGGCTGCATGCCCATCATGGACATGGGACCTCCCGGGCTGTGGACATTGGTCATCACCGGCCCATTCATCGCAGGAAGCGAGTATGATGGCCACGGCTGACGGGGATATGCTAGAGGGGGTTGCCCCCCAGTTGGGCTGTGAGCAGGAATGCGGCCTGGTGGGTGAATCCCGAGTCCTCCTGGACCATACATGGGCGAAAATCCGGTTTGGTGTGGACTCGCCATCGGCGGAGAAGCGGCATACATATGCTGGTGTTTGGGGGCATATGGATCGTTGGATGAGAGCGGCGCCGGAGAGGTGGCGTGACCCCCCGAATACATAGCCATATGTTGTTGGCTGGAGGGAGCCAGAGTCGAAGGTGCCGGGAGCGCTTGATAGGATACTGAAGGAGCCTCATATGGATGGGATAAGCCATCCGTCGTCGGGGGTGATGTTATTGATGAGCGAATGTGCATGCCCGATGAAGGCGAAAACGAGCTTCGAGGTGGATAGACTGCATTCACCCCGGATCCCCAGGTTTGACCGTACGGGTTGGCCCCTGACCAATATGCCGGTGGCAGGTCCGCTGAGGCGCCCGTTGAAGGTGCCAAAGGCTGCGGGGTGGCGTGTTCCGGTTGATTGGTGGCGGGCGGTGTTAGAAGATTTCCCACGCTCACATTTGCCGGATGCGAGACTGGCGGATGACTGGGTTGCGCGTACTTGGGCGCGGCGGCCAAGGTGAAGGGCGGCGGCGGCAGCTCGAAGCTGGGCAGTGTCGGGGCCGCAGGGCGACGGACATTCAACGGCGGGGCCGACAGCGCATCCAGCGCCGTCCCCATCGCTGGAACCGCAAGGGTCGCCAGGTTGGATGAATCCCGAACTCCGTAGAACTCGGACGTTTCGTTGAGCTGTAGATTAGGAAGTCCGTTAAAGGAGGTTCCGTTCAGGGCCCAATCTCGATCTAAGGCCCCAGAAGGGCTGGTAGAATCCAGGAGGGGCGATCGATCGCTGGATATCCGCGATCGGAGGGGAGAGTCTCGAAGACTCGACAGAGGGAAGCGGGGAGTAGACGGGTGGTGATATATAGGGTGGAATAGACAGAATAGATAGAATAGAATCGGATATAATCAAGTTAGGGTTAGGGTAGATGGGGGAAAACGGGAGACAGCAAGAAGATCCTAAAAGTGAGGTTATCACGGTCGATGGCGCGAGTAGGACATAATAGAAGATGTGGGGGGGCAAAAAACAAGCCGTGGCGTTGGAAGAGGCGTGAGATAACAAGCGCGGGGGAAACACCAGTTATTATAGTCCAAATGGGAAGAGAAATCTCTGGGAGTCGACGGGAGTCTGGCCACTATGGGGAAGAGAAAGGGAAAAAACCGATAGATTAACTTGTCAGCAACGTGGTTGACAGGCTCTTTTTATTTTCGGTTCTAAGTTGTTCTATATTAACCAGAATATCTCTGAACTAAATAATTAAACGAAGCGAAATCACGATTCCCTTCGAACCCTTTGGAGTCGATGCAACGAGTCCCCCTCCTTACCTCACGCTACTGGAGGCACTGGAGGCACTGGAGACTGTCGACTGAAAGGCCTGACAGAAACCCCAACTCCTACAAGGAAAACCCGATCGAAACCACCAGAGAGAAACCCCCAAAAAAACAAAAGAAAACACCGAAAAAAAAACAGAAAAAAACAGAAGCAAAAATACTAACTATCGCGGTGAGATTCCTATCCAATTAGGGCCCAACAGACCTCAACGCACGGACAAGACCGGAATGGCCAGAATACGAGAGCCATGGAGCAGGCAGAGGCAAGCGAGCTGTCTCGTTCGCCATTCGCTATACTCCGGTCATCTGCTCGTTTCTTTTTTCTTTCCCTTTTTTTGACCCTTTTTCCTCTTTGGCCTTTTTGGCCCCCAATAGCCGAGGCCTGTCATTGGTGTCTTCGGCCATGGTTCCTCATTAACTCTGGCTTAAACTGGCTTAAATTGACTGGGACTGACTGGGACTGGCTGGGATTGGCGTGAATTGGCTACTGACTGGCTTGGACCCCCCCCTCCTCCTCCGTGTACTCCGTAACTCATACTTCCTACTAGAGATCCCTTTCGAGGGAAATGAGAAGAAACGCGATATCGCCACTTGAAAGCCAATCGCCTCCCCGACACCCATTCTCTCGGGTTTTCCCTCACTCGACGCGATCTCGGAATGTTCGTGGGTCTGGAGCACTCCACCCACGCGAGACAGATTCAGCTACTGCTCCGTCCTTGCCTCCCCGTTGGGCCTTATCCACCAATCATGGTGGAGAAATGTGTCTGTCTCCTGCACGGTCGTGACAGATGGTGAAATAGGGGGCAAAATGTGCCCTGTCGATCGTGGTACACTCTACTGTCCAAAAGTGATAGAGCTGATCGCGTCTAAGAATAACATAGTTTCGAAATATGTCCCGACGGGATCGATACGCTACGCGATAGACCATGCAGCGTACTCGGTACATGTAGATGGTGAGGAGCTTGGGACATGTCCACTCGCCCGTGCTTGGAATTAAATATTACGATCCGGTCCGCATTATTCCCCCGTATTTGGTCGCAGTCCGGCTTGAAATCTGTCGTCTTTGAGCGAGGGGGTGGGTTCAAAAAATAATTATAATAATCACAATCCCAATAACAATAAACGTACTGTACAGTACAGTCATAAGAAAGGGGGTCTGCGATCTTGAGACAAGAGAGAGAGAGAGAGAGAGAGAAAAAAAGGAAAAAAAGGAAAAAAAAGGGAAAAAAAGGGAAAAAAAAGGCAGCCAAAGTGGCATTCTTCAAAACTGCATACCTCGGCCCTGGAGGCCCTTGAACGGTTGATTCTACCGTATTGAACACCTGACGTCCAATCTGGACTACCCTGGGTACATTCTGTGATGCTGACATCCCCCTCTACTGTACTGTAGAGTTCGAGGATCTGCAAAATTAAGGTCCATATCACTCGACGCGTTGGTAGCCCCAAACTGGATTTGTGCGGACGATCAGTCGATCATGAATGCCCATGCTCCATCGCTGATTCCCCGATCGACAGTGTACAGGCCTTCTTCCATCGATGAACCCATCCTATCGTGGTGCGCAGCCGATTCGCTCAGAGCTCCCATTCTTATGCAAGGCGGCATTTACCAGCCCAGATGTGACAGCGCGCAAGGATCCACTGGGCGGAGGCCTGGTCTCCTGCGTCGGTTCCTGCCGGTGTGGCTTCGGAGAGGCTCACGGTTGGCGTTCACGATCGTCCCCGGGGATGGCGCTTTCAAAGGTTGGGGGGATTGAACTGTCGCACACGGGAGATCTGCGACCATGAGCTTCCTGCAGGGCTGATGGGTATGCTCGGCCTCTGTGGATTTCAAAAGCCCACATTTGTCTCTCTGTGCGTACACCAGAGCTTTTATTGACTATCTAGTACTAGTCGATGGGTCTGACTTGGGGCAAAAGCAATGGAGCACAGATGTTTTCCTTTGATCTGTGCGTGATCGGTGTCTCAGTTGCCCTCGCTAGGGATTTGAATCTCTGATTCGGCACTTGTTCGTCGAGAACATGTCCAGTTGGCAGCCCCACGAGACGAGCCTCTTTCGGTTCTGAGAAAGCCATCCCTTGCGGCAGGGCACTAGAATGCTGATATCCCCTTATGCGCCTTTTCATATTTCCTCACATCGTTGGTCCAAGATGTTGGGGTCCTGTCTTTCCTCTGTGGATTCCGTTGAGCAGGATGCTACGCTCCCGGGACTTGCTCTCTTTCATTGTCGGGTATTATCATGGATTTCTCTCCAGTTGCTGGGTGCGACCATGTCTGCCGTGCAACCCTCATTTGCGTAAACAGAAAGGTACGATGAGGACCTTAGAAATTAATGCTTGTGATACTTGTCTTTCCTGGGCCGCCCCTATGGGTCGCTATTTGTGCAGACTCGTACCAGCACTGGGATTGAAACAAGCCGATAGAGCGTGTAACAGACAAAACGAAGGTGAAGCGACATCTTTCTTGGTGCTCGGTTGCAAATTACCCCGTTGTTTCTCCGTTGAAACGGCGTGAGGAGTGAAGTCGAGATATATCTCTCCTATAGATCAACTGTCCACCGTCAACAACCACCACGACCACCACCAAGAATTATAACCCCAAGATCTAAGTAATCTCAAATCCAACTCGCACACATGAAGATGAAGATCTCCTCAACCTCTCGAATTGTGCCAAGTTTCACTTCCCGAATTGCCGAATGCTGTCCGATGACGTCGACCGGCGGGGTATCCTTTGCCTCGACGCTTTACTTTCTTTGACTTCGTTCAATTGCTCCAACTAGTTTGTTCGCCCGGAATTTATCTACTTGCAGCCACTTGAAAATCAACCGCACCTCCTATATACTGATCTTCATTGCTCACCATGTCTGGAATCAGCAAGGCCTGTTGCTCGTGAGTGAATCCCAAGCCTATGGTAATTGAATGCGATCATTTTGAGCTCTATTAATAACGAGAATAGCATCCCCCCTGTTGTCTCTAAGGGCTACCAGGCCAAGGGCGAGTACAAGACAATCAATGGCCTGAAGACCTGTAAGTCTTGACTCTACCAAAGGAAGATGCGAATCCCTAACAGAGCGCAGACGTTACTGGTCCAGAATCGGCCTCCAAGGCTATCTTGGTTGTGTACGGTTAGTTGCTCCTAACCCATAGCGAAGATCCATATCTTACTTACATGGCTGTATAGACATTTTCGGCTTTTTTGACCAGACCATCCAAGGTGCCGACATTCTAGCCACCTCGAACGACCAGAACTATCGAGTGTTCATGCCCGACTTTTTCGAGGGCAGCCCAGCTGATATTTCGTGGTACCCGCCCACCACGGATGAGCACAAGGAGAAGCTGGGAAACTTCTTCTCAACTAAAGCCGCGCCCCCCAAAACACTTTCCAAGATCCCGAATGTCGTCGCCGAAGGAAACAAACTCGCACCGGGCGGCAAGTTCCAATCCTGGTCAATCCTTGGCTTCTGCTGGGGTGGCAAAATTGCGTCTCTATCCGCTGGCGCGGATAACAAGCTTTTCAAGGCTGCTGTGCAATGCCACCCTGCAATGGTCGATGCCAATGATGCGAAGGCCGTGAACATTCCTATGGCGATGCTGGCCTCCGGCGATGAACCGGCGCAGGACGTCAAGGACTTCGACGCCAACCTGAAGGTGCCAAAGCACGTGGAGACCTTCTCGACTCAGATTCATGGCTGGATGGCTGCTCGGTCGGACCTGGAGAACCCTGCGGTGCGCAAGGAGTATGAGCGCGGCTACAAAACCGTTCTTGACTTTTTCCACCAACACTCGTAAAAGGTAAGGAGGATGAGGTCATAACGACCGGAAACACAACGACACAAGGGATATACTCCCGAATGCAATGACAATAGCAAGATTAATGGAAAAACAGACGGAACCTGTTGTAGTTCTCCATTTTGTTGTCCAATCCCCTAATTGAGAAATTATATGGCATTCAAGCCTTATTTAAATTGAAGATCTCTGTATAGATATATGAACGTCGGCGTCGTATAAAATTTCTTTGGAGGCAGGACAGTGTCAAAGACTCGATCGAGAGCGGATGACTCCATAGCCGAGAATTTCCCCGGCCATGCGAACTTCCGCAATTTGCTACATCTCCTTCACTGTCTCTGGGCAGTTCCACACTTTCCCTTGACTGTTTGACTCGATTCAATTCCTAAGTAACTGCAACCCTGCCACATGTCTTCAAATGCAGGAGATGAGATCCCCGGAACTCGTCTCCCGGCCGCATGCGAGACATGTCGCAAATTAAAGGCAAGCTTCGTGAATCGGTTCTATCTTCCTCGCTTATACATTGTTTGTAGATGAGATGTATCCGACCAAGACCCCAGCAGAATCACCAGGAGAATGCCTCAACAGAGCCATGTGAACGGTGCAGACGCACCAACCGGGCTTGCAACATTCCAAAGGCACGACCTCTTGGAAGAAAGCGAGGGGCAGTTGGTCGTTACCAGGGGTTCGAAAAGGCATATCGAAAAATGCAGGCTGAGCTCAGAAAAAGCAAACCCTCAGGAACTGAGAATGCCGACGGGAATTCTCATCTCATTTCTGGAGAAATGCGCATATTGGAGCCTTTGGTCCCAAGCCACCCATCTGAGACAGCCGACCCTGGACAATCATCTCCAGCAACGAACCATGAGATTCTACACGCCTCCTGTCTTGGTCCAAGTTACCCGACCGTACAGGATGACGAGTCCCAGATAGACCTTATATCTCATTCGTTCCGCAATGGAACTACCAACCAGGCAAACCAGGAACCAACCAGTAATCCATTGGCCCTGTTAGCCGATGCATCGGATGCTGCGCAGGTATTGGAACTTTTTCCAATGTCTCACAATAACTTGCCAGGGTTAAACAGTGGATCCTCTGCGACAGAGCCTCAGACAAGCCAGGTGCATAGCACAAGTCTGGGCCGTCAATTGCTTCACCGGCCAGGTTATGTATCACTTGGACTAAAATTGGATAGAAAGACCCTGGATCAAGGACTAGATGCTATCCTTGCCCCATCCCCTGTGGTTGAATCCAGGTACTCAAATTATTTCAGCACTGCTCCCCGGGCGCCTCTCCGCGACATTGGCCCGGATATTGACCCGATCGACCTAGGATTAGTTACAATGGAAGAGGCCCACCACTTATTTCCAATGTATGGTATATCATTTTGAATGATGCCTCGTTTCGTCTTGCTAATCTACGAAAGTTATTTTGCTCGCCTGCATCCAGTCAATGGCATTCTCGACCCAATGCTACACACACCCGAATTCGTTCGTGCTCAATCGGCACTGTTGTTTACCTGGATACTGGCTCTAACAGCCCAATTTGATCACGAGTCGGCGTCAATCGCTAAGCGACTGCGGTTTCATGGGGAGAAACTCTCCAAGCATGTTCATACCTCTGGCTACAAATCAGTGGAGATTGTCCAAGGATATTACATATCTTTACTATCGGCTACTCCTGCAGAAACATCGGCTCAGGAAAGATCTTGGCTTTACACAATGTATGCCTTTGGTTTAGCAGCCGAATTAGGGCTGGACCAGGAGTCCTGCGCCGACCACGCGAACTCTCAGAGCCTGTTCAATGTTTCCCATATTGGACCAGACGACATACCCACAGCGAAACAAAACTCACGAGAAATCGCATCAAGTGATCCTGAGTATCCTGCAGAACAGTCAATCTATTTTCAGCGATTATCACGAAATCGCGAAAGAACATGGCTCAGGATTCTCTTATGGGAACGAGCAAACTCTGCAGCGTGTGGTCGGATACACACTTTCCCAGAGACCGATTTAACACACAATATCGAAGGATGGTGGCTACACCCCCTGGCTGATTCAACCGACAAGCACACATGTGCGTTCATCACGCTGAGACAGAGTTTAGCCGCGCTGCACAGTAACCTCCGATATCAAGCGGAAATGGAGCATGTAAATCCTCACTGGGTACGAGGGCTAGTTGACTCAAGTATGCAACCTTGGTGTGATCTATGGCTTCCACGATCTGGCCTTGAGCATATTCAGTCATCATCGGAAATACTGTCCAATATCTTCCTTCGCTACGTGTATTATCATGGTAGGCTTTGGACCTTGTCATTCGCCCTACACGGTTCCATCAATCGTGGTCATCACCTGGATTCCGTCCGAACAGACTGCTTTGAAGCTGCCGTGAGTTGTTGTGAGATAGCAGTACATGACTTGGACGCCATCGGGGAGCCATTGTACTGCATGCTTGCTCCTACTTGGGCAATGATATCTTATGCCGGTGTGTTAGCACTACGACTATTTCCTGTTCTCTACGGGCCCCGTGTTGGAAATGAGGTAGAACTTCTTGCCCTACTTGGCCAAGTTGCCATGCATCTTGAGCGTGCAGGCAAAACACCGTCGCATCGCTTTGGGATTGCTGCGCTGCTTGGACAGCACCTAATGAGAATATTGAAGGCTAGGGCGATATGGATCACGGACTCGACATCTCCTGACCAAACCGAAGGCTCGTGTAGCAGAAGCTACGTTGACAGCCAAAAATCATTCATACCACCACATTCTCCCCGTGTGCGGGCTCACGAGGCCCTGGTTTCGGAGCATGATCCATTCTTGACGACGGCATCTTTGTCTACCCAAGGTGATTTGACAGGTGAAAGCTTTGCTGGGATCTTCAAAGACATGTTTGGACCTGGCTTCAGTGGTGTATTCTAGCAATCTTCACGCCGATACATGATAAAAGACAAGGTCATTCAACAGTCTACTCACGGTAAAAACGCCAGACAAAATAACTGATACAAGCCTACATGGTAGATACACATCGGACATTCCACGAGAACATGAAGTTGACCTTGGTAATCAAAATCCCAATGATTTACCTACCTTTCTCCGACGAGAAAGCTTGAACCGGACAATTCTGAAATGTCGGCGCATTAAAAAAGTGGCCGGGTGAGTGGCGTTCGGATGATGCCCAAGCGGGTATTTAATCATCCCCACGATGCTTGCAATGCGCCAACAGCCAACAATCTGTGATCTCAACTATGCATATCTCCTGGCCTCCATCTGGAGGTAACATGTTTGGTATCGCCACTTTGTCTTTGGGAAACTGGCGAGAACACAAGCTTGAGCCACGCCTCAAGGCTGCCGCAGAAGCGGGATATCAATGGATCGATCTATTTGACGAGTGCTGGGCTGCATACCTAGAGGAGCATGGCTTGCCTGGCGATCAGCTCTGGGAGGCCACGCCAGATAATATTCTGATTGCTCGTCAACTGGGTGATTTAGTCAAGTCTCTGGGAATGCGCATTGCCTGTACGCAGCCTCTCCGGAAAATCGAGGGGATCAAAGATCCCACTGAGCGCCGAACCACGCTCGACCTGGTCGCGAAACGATTTCCTTTCATGCGAGCTTTTGACACCGACCTTGTGTTCATGTGCGCCAGCATTCGAACCGACAATGGCGTGACATCCGATCTCCACACGGTCGCGAGAGACCTGGCGGAGCTCGGTGACATGGCTGCAGCGTACGCAAAAGCTGATGGCGGACCCATGTTGAAAATTGGATATGAAGGTCTATCTTGGGCTGTGCGCAATACATGGTCTGCTTCATGGGAAGCAGTCCGATTCGCGAATCGCCCAAACGTGGGATTGATCGTGGATGCGTTCAATATTCTCGCCGTTGAGTTTGCAGATCCCTATAACCCTGCAAAACACGGTCGCATATACCCAACCCTTGAAGAATCTCTTGAGGTCCTTACTGGATCCCTTGCAGCGCTAGCCTGCACAGTACCAGGCGACCGCATCTTCTTCTTCCAATGCGGCGATGCTGAACTGATGAATCCATCGACCTTTCTCCCACCAACGGATCCAGAGACTCCCTCCTTACTTCCGTGGTCGCGAAGCCATCGTCTCTACCCTCTGGAGGAGTCTCGGGGTGGCTATATGCCGGTAGAGCTTGTTGCAGCTGCTGTGCTTGCTACAGGATACCGAGGCCCAATTTCACTCGAAGTCTTCAATAGCTCCCTCAACTTACCCGGGCCAAGCGTTGCAGCAGAACATGCCACTAGGGGAATTGAGAGCTTGCAGAAGCTGATGGAGACCGCAGCTGCTTTGGATCCGTTCTGGGAGAGTGAAATGGACAAAGCAAAGGCTATTTCGCAGGTGATACGACGCTTACAGCCCATGCTGCACAGGCTGTGAGATCCAAGCAGACTTTGCTGAATTGATCCAGTGTAGCTGAAGTGGATATCAGATAGTTTCAGCCTTGCTCTGTGGTTGAGCAGAGAAAGAGTCGTTTCTTCAACATCACAAGTGTATATAATGTTCAATCCCATCCCCCAGCATATAGATCCATATCCATCTCCACATCCTATAGCTGTCTGGGTCCCCACCTTCTCTCGGTCAAGATCCAGCTGCGCCCTGCAAGCTGAACCGTCTTTCTCCAAGTGTAAAAATATCAAACAAGAAACCCAATGTGGGGAAATGTCATTCTTAGAGAACGGGTGGGAATGAGACCACGCTGGGGAGCTTCGGCAGGCTCCGATGGCCATTATTCAGCTTGCATCCCCCCTTCACTGTTTCCCCCGCCATTCCACTTTCTTCCTCCTTTCACCACTCTGATCTCGAATCTTTGACCTTGAACCTGCTCTCAACAACATGGCTACTCTCAAGTCCGGCGATACGTTCCCTAGTGACGTTGTTTTCAAGTCGGTATCTGCCCCGCATCAAAGAGGCATGCTAATACGGGCTCAGGTATATTCCCTGGTCCGAGGAAAGTAACGACATCACTTCCTGCGGCATTCCCATCAACTACAACGCCTCCAAAGAATGGGCCAACAAGAAGGTTGTCTTGTTTTCGGTGCCTGGTAAGTCAATGAGTCCCAGAGTCCAGTCAGTGCCCGGTTCTCTAACCCGTGAAACAGGTGCCTTTACCCCAACTTGTTCCGTCAACCACGTCCCCGGATACATTAAGAACCTGCCAAACCTGCGGGAGAAGGGAGTCGATATTGTCGCAGTCGTTGCCTTTAATGACCCCTTCGTGATGAGCGCCTGGGGAAAGGCAAACCGAGTTCGCGGGGACGAAATCGTGAGCGCCCCCACTCACCCCGTTCTTGGGACAAGAATTAACCGTGACAGCTTTTCCTCTCGGACCCCGACGCGAAGTTCTCCAAGAGCATTGGTTGGGCCGATGAGGCTTCTGGGCGTACAGGCCGATATGCCATCGTCATTGATCACGGCAAGGTGGGCTATGCTCAAATCGAGACCGAACGGGGTGCTGTTAAGGTATGGACCTTTCCTCTTTGCTTCAGGATTCCGACTAAATTCCGGTCGGCAGAAATCTGGCGCCGATGCAGTTCTTGCCTCGCTGTAAATACCAAAGCAATAGAATTTTGATCGCTACATCACCCATACTTATCATCTTGTCCCTAGTTTTAGCAGGACTGCTCCCATCAGAATATGATTTCTCAATCGAAAAAGAGCCACAAAAGTTGTTAAGCCGATCGCGACACTGGGTGCAATTCATATCTTTCTATCGGGCCTTTGCAGCGAAGCACACAAGGTATATAAAAGGAGCAAATCTTCTATTTGACAACGAGTAATCAAATACAGCTCTATTCTGTCAAACGGGCTGGTGGTATCTTGAACATGGAATGAGGGGGAATAGCAAGCTTCTGGCTTCTGGCAGCTCAAGACGTGGAAAGGGCGCGATCATGGAGATATAGTTCAACACCAGCATTGCAACAATCAATATGCAGTGGTTCGACAGCCTGAAAGATCTTATTGGTCATTGCTCCTTCGGAGATTTCTGGTCCAGGGCTAGTCATCCGGTCATCGTCGCCAGACCTGACATTCTGGAATGCACCCTCAACATTGATGCGATTGAGTTTTGGGAACCGGGTTTGTCGGTTCTTGACCACGATTTGCAATTGAGAGACCAGCATCCCTAGATTTCTCTCTTCACAACCTTCAATGTACAGTGTCGCTAGCGAGGAGGGAAGACATTCCAATAATGGTGTGGTTGGTTCATTCTGATATCGGATATCCAGTAGGTTCGGCAATCGCACGCGCAATTCTCGCAGTGCAGTGAAATCGACCAGCGATCCAAACCATTCATCATGCGATTGATTGAGGCCAGCAGCAGTGAATGGGAAATGACTGCCATGGTGATCCAGCCACAATGTTTCGAGACTCCTCTTGCTATGGCTGAGCGAGTGATAAAAAGCCGAGGGCTGGTATCCATGAGAAAGAACGTGGGAGTCCGAGTGCTGATATTTAAAGGACTTGAGGTCTGCACATGACAGGACCAAGGCCTCCATGCCGTGATTTCCGCTACTTGATCGCAGATCAATCTCAGTAATTGAAGAGCAACCAGCGATGGCGTTTTGGGTCGTTTGTTCGGGAGATGTGATCGCCATGCTGGGATCCACAACCGAGTCTGCGGTTATAACACGGACGGATGGCAGTCTGAAGAATGGTAGGAGAATATTTGACGCTGGCTGTTGTTCTTCACTTGCAGCCCAGTTGCCGTGGCGGTTGAGATTATCCCAACGATGCAGAAAGATCTCTTGCAGGTACTGGAATGCCGGCTGCATCTCGAACGGCCTTTGACACTGGATAGCTCTCCTCATGATCTCATCCAGCCAAGAAGAAGTGCTGGCGTAGATCACCCGGAGAATTCTTAATTGACTCAATAGCGGAAGTATCAACGCAGCCCAGGCATCTCCCAAGCCTTGTCCCAGATCCTCGGTCCATTGCCGACTCTCGCTGTCTGAGTGTGATAGGTAGCGTAACCATTGCTTCACTTGCGCTGACTCTGTAATTTTTTTATCGTGCTCATCTGAAACAATGCTCGCAAGCCAGTCACTTAAGTCCAGCTCCCGGACAGCGCGCGCAAGCGCCGGTCGATCGAGGATGGCATGCAGAAAGGAGCTGGCATCTGGCCAATTGCGCAGGGAAACTCTGCGATAGACAAAGGGGAGAAACAAGTTGTGAAAGTGACGAGAGACGAAGACAAGATTCCAACAATCTGACTTCTGTTCCAGCTGCTCGCCAATCAAGAGCAATACGTCGTTGGGGAGTGCCAGCTCCATGAGACATTCGATGCTCCGGAAATCTCTATAGGACGCACAAAATAGACGTGGAGGAAGGTGCTAATACTGCCCGAACCGCTTATAAGAAGCCTCTTATCGAGGGTGGCGATTCGGGAAGATCAAAATCAATCTACACTTCATTGGCTGTTGCGGTGGAGCCGTGACGATGCGCCGTGAGAGACGGTGAATAGTTTTCAGTTCCCACGAGAAAAAAAAGAATAGATAGATACTTACTTTGGCATTGCAGAGGCGGAGGTGTTGAGCTTATGACTTTGTGATTCCCTCTTCTATAGATACCTGAATCAATTTTACTTCGCAAATGGGGCATTCCAGACAGGTCAATTTTCAAGCCCTTGAAGCTAGAACAATGTCGAGTTCACTACGGGAATAGCCGAATTAATGGAGGTGTGGAGAGGCTGGACTCAAGAGGCAAGAGATTGACACTGATGGGGCCATCTGGATGCATGAATAGCCAGAAAATGCTGGAGATGGATTCCGACGATCCATATTGGGTATAGAAAAATAAGCATGTGAATGCCCATTGTGGAATGTCTGATAATGTGGTAAATGTTGCATTTAATGCAAAATAATAGGAGACTCGGACCTGTGAACACAAATAAAGAGAGCGCATACAGTAGAAAGCGAGGACTACATTACAGTACATGTTAACTTACAGCAAGGGACCACGATGAGGCTATCGAGGCGGGCACGGGTGTGATATGACGGGGGTTGGCGTGAAGTTAGATGCAACCGGGAGTCCGGGCTTTGGTCGAAATGCATCTACGATCGACTTTATTACTAGTCGCCCGAGCGCAAGTCCTGCATAGTGAGCTTGCCGCGATAGCCGGGCTCACCCAGTGCCTTTCTCGATCAAGACATGTCCGTCGTATATAGGCCAAAAGGGGGCAAATAGAGGAAGAACTTTGAACAATACATCCACAGCTACAGTCTGGAGCTAGCAGGTTAATAGTGTTAGTTATGCTATTGAGACTTAGACAATTCTTGCAAGGACAAAACTATCGCAACCGAAATGCAGAGCGTAAGGTCGAATTCCCTCGACTGATTCGAATCCGAAATTTGGTCGTCAGAAAGCCGACAATGATAGTATCGAATCAAGCAGCAGCAGCGCTGGCAGCACTGGTAGAGCTAGCCGCTGTCGCGGAGCTCTGGCCGTCCAGGTACCCCATTTCTATCGCTGACAGGACAGCTAATCTCCCAGACCTCCCCATACGTGCCAGCCAGTGAGCGCACTGCCCATAAAGGCGAACCAAAATTCGTTGGTCATGCTCCATGAAGCATTATGCGCTATTACGGCCACAACCTCTAAGCCATCACTTGTATAACCTACTTCACGCTCGTTTCGCTTTATCCCTGCTATATACATTGGCTCCGTTAGTCGTACCAACTCCTAGCCATATGCATGCCAGGCAACTTCCTTCATTTCATTTCCATGGCTCGGGCGCCATTGGAAAGTCTCCTTTGTTGTCCCCTTGGAGCTCACGGAGGCCGTGAATGTGAAAATGTGCGACATTTAATTCAACGTCCCGGGCGCCATCTCTTCCAGAATGTCGTTCTTGTGTGGGTATCCTGGAAATAACGATAAATTGAGTATGGTAGGTCTGCTTCTACCCCACCTGTCGCCATGGGCAGTCGCTATAACTAGGTCCTTCTCGGTTGGCCGTCGTGCAAAACGACGGAGGGTTTCTTGTTGAGGATGCTGGGGGTGTGTTGATACAACATATAGCTTTTCATCGGCTGTCGGTCCTAGGTGGAATGTTGTAGTCAGTTGAAAGTAGCTGTTCATAGCAGATAGAATCTTAGTTGTGGTGTTGCGCGTTGGTTCACCGATTAATTGATCATAAGGGGGTTCGACATTGCGGAAATTGTGCCCTCACATCTGTCTGTTATGTTCTATATAGAGTGGTGGTGCTGGGTTTCCGATAAGATCACTCGTGTTAAATCTGTTAGATTGCTCGGTCGCTTTATTCGTGATGTGTAGACAACAGGGGGTGAAGTTCAGAAGACCAGCGGGACAGACATGAGGCGCGTTATCGCGTGGTAAGCGGCCCGCCCCCACTTGTCCAAAGAAAAAGCATAGTCTGCAAGCCACAGAGTCACCATTTTTGACTGTGACTTATACAGTACATTTTTTCATGAGAGGGATCAGTGGTGGTGTATCAGGATGCCGTGGTCGTTAGGGTGGATCACCATGACTTCCTATTTCAAGCCTACTATATACCAAGAGACGATGAAGTATTGATTATCGTATGATGAGTTTCAATACCAGTAGCCTAATCGTTATTTTATAGAACAGTGTATACCATATTGCGTAAATGCCGTTATATTTCTTTATGTCCCTTTATGTGAAGCCTAATGGTGTGTGTTTGTTGACAAGGGCTAAGCAAAAGCTGAAACAGCATGAATTCTTTGAATAATTTTTCTTAGGTGTGTTTAATCTGCAATGTGCTTTGGCGTACCCCAGGGACTGGCAGAAACTGGGAAAGCGAAGAGAATATACAGCGAAGGCCTCTATACTCGATGACGCAGCCATCAAAATCTCAACTCATGTCCAGCCGGAAAACAACCGCAATGTGTTAGTCGCGTGGCTTGTTTTATAATGCCAATATGCCTTAATTATCTCGGAATACTGCGAGGACAAATCTGGTATTTCTTTTCTCTAAAGAAAATAGGTTGTGCCAGTGTCTTCCGTACTGGAAGCACACACAAGGTAGGGCGGAGCAAGCATCTTGGATAGCGCAATGCTTGTGATCAATCAAACATAGAAATTCAATAGTCTCAATGCACCATACGTACACGGCAGCGCTCTGCCGTGCCAAGATACTTGGCTATGTCATTGGCGTAAGCTGTGACTGTTGAGGACGTCAGAGGATAGACTGGGCCCCTGAACTGCCAGCAGTTTACGTGGAAATGGGCAATGAGCTAAGCAGAAAAAGGTTACGAGGGAAGCGCATGGGGCGTCAGCCCACCGAGAAGCCACTTAGATTGCCAGGAAATTAGCTCAAATCCAAGTGATATCGCAGGATGTGACCTCGTATTGGGAAAAGATGTCTTACTGCGGATATGCCGTGTCAAATGAGAGCAATATGGGGCTCTCATATTATCAGGATAGCGGTCCTCCAACGGTGCATCTCAGTCGCATGTTTCGGTTGCCAAGGTCACCTACCGCCAGTGAGCGCCACATCCCGATTGTTGGCTTGCTGGTGGATGCTTGGTCCTCCACAAGGGAAACTTAGTCTTTCCCTTGCGTTCACCTCTGAGCATGAAAGGAGGGGAGTGGAAGATCATTGGTCAAGACCAAGAACCCATGCCTTTCTCTAAAGACCCTTGAACAAATCAGGTAAATGCCCGGTCCAGTACCGACGCGATGAAACCATGTGGCTGGCAAACCGACACCTGAAGTTGCATGCACTAGAGGCTAAGCGGGCATCTGACCAGAATGCAATTTGAGATTAGGTGTATGATTGGCTCTCAGTCAAGAAACCCGCAAAAAGAGAGCTGGAGAAAGGATCTGGGGTCCGGGGAAATAGCAAATGTCCCCGCATCCCCCGCGTTTGATTGAAATTTGGCGGGTTACTGGCTTTGTTTGCGCCGTGAGGCAGATCTCGTATATCTAACCCCTTGCCCTTCGTTTTTCCGTTCTTGAACTTGGATGCTCTCAATCTACTTATCGTCCACAGTGGCCCATCATGGGCTATAAGATTACCAATATTTATGTTATCACCACGGTGGCCGTCATCGGCGGTGCCTTGTTTGGTTTTGATATTGCTTCCATGTCTGCCATGTGAGCACATCCATACACCCTCTCAGCTATAATATTGTTCGATTACTAACAGTCCTGACAGCCTCGGCACTCAGCAATACAAATGCTTTTTCAATCAAACTGGTATAAAGGACGGCAACTGCGGTGGCCCGACATCTGCCAACCAGGGTGGTATTTCAGCTGCAATGCCGGGTGGATCCTGGGTGGGAGCCCTTATGTCAGGATTCATCACTGACTGGCTGGGTCGCCGTGGTGCAATCCAATCGGGTTCGATAATCTGGTGCATTGGCAGTGCCATTGTCTGTTCCTCCTTTGGCATCGCCCAGCTTGTCGTCGGTCGTTTTATCAACGGAATCTCTGTCGGCATTCTGAGTGCTCAGGTACCAGTCTATGTAGCCGAGTTGGCTCAACCCAGTAAGCGTGGCCAAGTGGTCGGCGCGCAGCAATGGGCGATCACTTGGGGTATTTTGATTATGTTCTACGTATCCTATGGCTGCAGCTTTCTCAAGGGACCTGCCGCTTGGCGAACTCCATGGGGTTTGCAGATGATTCCCGCGGCTTTGCTATTTTTCATGGTGTTCCTCTTGCCAGAGAGCCCCCGTTGGCTAGCCAAAAAGGATCGCTGGGAGGAAGCCCATGAAGTCCTAGCTGGGGTCCACGCCAAAGGAGATCGCAACGCCCCCTTTGTCCTGACCGAGCTGCAGGAGATTCGTGAAATGGTTGAGTTTGAGCGTCACAACAAGGATGCTTCATACCTAGATCTTTTCAGGGGGAACATGATTTACCGAACCCATCTTGGAATATTCACGCAGATTTGGTCGCAGTTGACTGGCATGAATGTGATGATGCTCTATATTACCTATGTATTTGGCATGGCTGGCCTGACTGGAAATTCCAATCTCATCGCATCCTCGATCCAGTACGTGATCAACGTCGTTATGACCATTCTGGCGTTAGTTTTCATCGATCGTTGGGGCCGCCGCACGCCACTTCTGGTCGGCTCGACCCTCATGATGATCTGGATGTTTGCCAACGCTGGCATTATGGCATCTTATGGCAAACCGGCTCCGCCTGGCGGTCTTCACAATGTCGCAGAGCAATCATGGGATCTCAGTGGCTCACCCAAAGCTGCAAAGGCAGTCATTGCCTGTACCTACCTTTTCGTCGCCAGCTTTGCGCCAACATGGGGTCCTGTCAGCTGGATCTACCCCCCTGAGTTATACCCTTTACGTCTCCGTGGCAAGGCTGTGGCGTTATCGACATCTTCCAACTGGATCTTCAACTTCGCCCTTTCCTATTTTGTCCCTCCTGCCTTTGAAAACATTCAATGGAAGGTATATCTGGTCTTTGGTGTCTTCTGCTTTGCTATGACGGTTCATGTCTTCTTTGCATTCCCTGAGACTGCCGGAAAGACACTCGAGGATGTGGAAACTATGTTCACAACTCCTGGCCTTAGACCCTGGAAGACTACCGTGCAGTTCCACCATGTTAGGAAGCTTGAACAAGGAACCATTCAGTCAGAAAAGCTCGCTGATATTCATGCCGAACAAGGGGATATCCAGGCTCCTAGGTCTGTGGCAAAAGAGACTTCCATCTCTCACGTTGAATAGTCTCGTTTTAACAATTTGTGGGATACCGGGCATATTATCTCTAGCATCCTGAAACCTGAGCCTTTCTTCCACATCACTCATAATTGCTCACTCGAACAGCCTTAATTGTTATTGGAGATTTAGCTATCATGTTGTCGTTGGAAAATTATAGTATTCGATCAGCAGCTGAATAACATTAATTCTTTGCTCTTATAACCAGAGATCGATGTGAGAGTAACTTTGATTTTCATGATTTCAACTTATTCATAGGACTAATGTTAATTAGTCACTGGTAATTACTGCATATGGCCTATCTTGCAAGGCTTCGCCTAGTACACTGCAATGATCTTAATCACAATCAAAGAGCCCTGAGAAGCTAAAATCTCCGGATAAGTACCTGACTGTGCCTTTTGAAGTGGATTAATCAAGTGTGTTCATGAACTATGACTGGAAAGTGGCCTAAAGTTCAGCGAGACTAACAGGGCTGGCACATACTATAAAAACCAGATCTACAGGCAAAGACTTTGTCCTGCATCAAATCAAGAAACAACTTAAAATCGCTCCAATCTCAGATTAGAAATTCTATTCTATAGGCTTTTGAGTATTTCGATATCAAGTCATGCAGCTCGGTGCGATTCAGCACACAATCTAGGGGCTTCATCGCATCCTGATGTCTTTGTTGATAACAGCAAATCTCCCTTGCAATTCTAACGACAATGCAATATTAGTTCAAATTCAAGTTGCAGCGCGAAGACGAAAGAATCTGAAATTCCTGGGGTTCAATAAAATTGTTTAGTTATCTAATCCAGGACAGTCTTCACTGGTTTCGGCGATGATGTCAGAATAAGGCGAAGGATCAGTCCAAATAATGTTATAGCTAGTTCGAAGTCAATGAAATATCTATAAGATCATAGCCCATGTTGGGTACTTACCTATCATCCGGATATGACGGCGCGTCTTTGTCACCAAGCTTCTCTACAATATCTGTCAAGGCGTCATGCTCCCAGCATATCAGAATATTGCCCGATCCATTGTATCCTTCGATCACATCTTTAACACACCCTGGATCATCTCGATCACATGAGGTGTCAACAGTGAGACCAAGGTCCTCGGCCAGTGGTTCCACTGTATCATATGGCCGAGCGCGCTTGCCATCTGTAACGCGGGGTTAGCGATTATTATTTTGCAAGATAATCACCCTGTGGTAAGACGACAGACTCAACATACCACTCTTTGGCGTTTGTGCCATTATATAGCCAATATCATATGTCGAACTTTTACTAAAGACGGATCGCAGGCACTGCGCACGTTCAACCCCCTGGGTACTCAAGCCATTTCCCCCATCACTCGGTTTCTCTCCGTGGCGAATTAAGTACACTGTGGGGGATGATGCTGTCGCGAGGGCTGCAGTGGCAACAACGCATAAATAGGTAAGCCTGAGCATAGTGCAAGTCCTTACAATAGTGTGGAAAGACAATTGGTGTTGATGCTGAAGCTGATGAATTCGATTGAGGTCTCTGACATTTATTTATATGCAATGACCGCCATATCACTAGTCCACAGAGGTCACATGTAGCGGAACCAAACAGTAACATGATGCACAAGACATGGCGTATGTCGCTGATTTGATTCGACGGGCAAATTTGTTTCGACTAAGCCTGATCGGGCAATTAACTACCGGGGACGGCCGCTTATATTGACTTTGGTGATTATATTGGCTTCCCTAGAAGCTCACGCTTGGTTTTGTCGAAAGTTTACTAGACTCGTGCTCATTTTGGGAATGATTTACTAGGTGGTGATTTGACAATACATTTAGATTTTGCAGGGCGGGTAGTCAATACGATCGATACAAGTGCAAGTGATAAAGCAGAATTAGCCAATGACTAGTCCAGTACCCGCCCATGTGCACATGTGCATTTCATGCGAAGCGTGCAATTGTAACACATGAACGGTGTATTTCTTGGAAAGAAGTGCAAAGGAAGCTAGATAAGACATACACCAAGTAAACAGGGCACGTTGCACTAAAAGGTCAGAAAGTTAACATTATTAGCTTCACCAACGAAACACTTACGCACACCGGTCGACCATTCGGAGAACCGACCCGTGGACAAACGCGACTGTTAGGACAACAGCCGATTGTTGAGCTTGCAATCACGCAAGTCGAGTTGACCGCGCACTTTCATTTCGTTAGTGCTTAAACTATAGAAAAGGGATAAATGCTGAAACTCACACATGCACTCGTCTGGGGACAGTAAGCCCCACCCGAAGAACAATTACAAACACCACCAGTGCAGACTTGACCAACAGGGCACTATTTCTCATTCTGTGTTAGCGACAAAGTGTCGGGTATTAAAGAAGAGTATGCATCTAGCGCATATATTTACCGTCACATTGCATGACCCACAATGTCCCGCGTTCGTATTGAGATTGGTGCAAGAGCCAGAACAACAGGTTGACAGTTGGCCGCTGCACTAGGCAAGTGTTAATATCGTAATGTCTTTGTGCGGTATAGAGAGAATGAAGATAAAGAACATGTTATACCCTAGAAGTACATGAGCCGCAGTGCAATGCATCTTTAGCTAAATCGGCTCAAGAGCCAGAACAACAAGCCGGCTGAATGCCGGAACATATACTGCTAGTGCAAGATCCACAGTGATTGATGTCTGTGTTGATATTAGCGCATATGCCAGAGCAGCATGCTGATCTCGCAGCTGGACACTGTAGATGTTCATTATTTAGCCGAAGTGCGAACAAGTGTTCCATTTGACTCGAGCCGAAGACCACATACAGTTATATTGCACGATCCACAATTGGATGGGCTCTTGGCGAGGTCATAGCTGGAGCCCGAACAACATGCAGGCTGACTGCCTCCACAAGAAGGTGCATTGCATGATCCACAGTGGTTTAAATTAGTATTGAGGTCAGTACAGACACCAGCACAACAAATGGAATTTCCAGAAGAACACTTCAAAGGAACACCGGTTAAGGATGAATCAACTAATGCGCTGTATGAAGGACAAATATGAAACACGTACCGAAATGTTACAGGATCCGCAATGTAAGGGGTCAGAACTGAGATTGGTGCAAATCCCTGTGCAGCAAGATGGGTTTGCGAGCGGGCACTATCGAAGCATGTCAGTTTCGGAGTAAGTTATAGCTATCCAAGAGCCAGAAAGCTCTCACACTATAGATGCAAGATCAAAACAAGTGCCAGCACAGCAGCCAGGAATATTTCCGATGCAAGAAGGAGCAACACATGACCCGCAATGATTAGGGTCGGTGTTGATATCAATACATACGCCAGAACAGCATATTGAGCTTGCTAGATTGCACTAGATGCCACAAAATATGTCATTATTAGTCAGGTATCTTACAACAACGAGACAAAATACTTACAAAGTTGTTGCAAGATCCACAATTGATCGGATCAACAGCTAGATCCCGACAGCGACCAGAGCAACAGCCGGGCTGGACTCCAGTACACTTTTACAGAAGGTTTAGTTTAAGAGTAGAAAGGAAAAGAGCCTCAGGCTTAGAAATCGGACTGACCGCTGGCGATTCACACGATCCACAGTGGTTTGTATTACTTCTTAGATCAACACACAACCCCGAACAGCACCAAGATGAAGTAGTATTACACTGTTGGAAAAGAGTAAGATCACGGGTAGACATTCCAAGTTTTGGCGCACTCACTATATCATTGCATGACCCACAGTTCCTAGAATCAGAGGCAAAGTCGACGCATTTCCCAGAACAGCATCCCGGCTGAGATGCTGGACATAAAAAGGTTCAGACAAGAGGCGCCACATGAGCCGCAATAGGTGGGATTACTACTCAGATCCACACATGTTCCTGCACAGCACGCAGGCTCTATACCTTCGCACTTGGACAAAATGTTAGAATATACAAACTTCAAACAGGATTTAAGATGCCTGATCGAGACCCACTTCCGTGTTACATGGCGACTTTACATTAAGGTCCAATTTTAGACCTTCATGCGCTAGTGGACAGGTTGAGGATTTTTCGATGGGCTTCTAATGTGGTAGTCAGAGTGAGTGCACGTCATAGGAAAAATGGTATGACCATGACAAGATGGCTTGAAGCCAAACAGGAAGAACTTACGTTGTTGAATAGAGACGCTATTCCTTGTTTCTCTGTCGGCCAATGGAAACGACTGCTTGAGCAATGAGCTCCAAGTATGTGATAAGAAGCAGCAATAATAACTGCTACAAATAAGTAAGAACAGTTGGAAAGCACAATCAATGTTATCAATAACAGGGCTTGCTGTTCTTCAAACCATCGGTAAGTCCAATTTTTCAACTTACCCAATTTACATAGCCCATTCCTTGTGATCGTCATGTTTAACAAGATACAAATAAGGATTCCTATTGTGTTTCTGATCAAGACTGTCAGCTGTCTAATTCGGATCAAAGCTGGATTGTAGAAGCCGTCCTGACGAGACCGAAAAGAAAACTGCAGAGATAACGAACAAAACTATAGAGGAATGAATCTTATAGTCAGCTCTCTAGAAAGTAAGCACGGCCTAACCGTGGTTTATAGATGCAATGTAACGATGGGTTGAACCTGAAAGCTTTTAAGGTTTTTGTGTCGCACTTCGGTGCATATATGAAAACTATGTTGAGAATCTAGGCAGTTGACTTATGGCTTATGCCATGAATGAGCCATACATTCGACTACGGCGATTATTCATCATTTGTGTATCGGATTTGGACTAGCTTAAGCAGAATTTTTCGTGTATATAAAGGGTTTCTCATAACAAATGAGAAACTCCAGACTTAAATCATCTCCTGCACTGCAGTATAATTCTGACTCGTTATGTCTCTCTTTTGTATTTTCAACAAACTAAATGGTAGACAACCTTGTGGAAATATATCTGACGGGTAGAAAGGGAGTGGCACACTCACTGTCTTATTGATACAAGAAAGCGGAGTATGAATTTCGGGCCAATGCGAACTTTCTTTGCAGTTCAACCCCAAATAGTAATCAATGTAACCGTTCTTAGAATCTTGAACATAATTCATCGCTACGCATAGAGATAACCTGCCCCAAAAATGGGCACCTTATGCCTAGTTTGACTTAACGCTGGGCGAGTAAAAGATACTTTGTTTGCTTTTACTGAAAGTATACCAATTTCTGTCAAACTTATAGTTTGATTACAACAACACGGAATATTTGAGGTACACAAAATTCATATTGAAATGGGGACGACGCGATACTTGTCTGGTCGAGCAGATAGGTCGTGTGAGACTAAGCCAGTCTCCAGGTTTTAGTGGGTAAGCGAGATAGAATCTGATGATAGGGTATACAAAAATGATGGAATCGTAATAAGGGGTAGACTGAACGCTGATTCTAGGAATTAGGGTGGGGGGAAATGCTATTTAACTACTGGCCCTATATGATATAAGTCAGTAAAGCAATGTGTAGGAATTAGGTTAGCCCCTATAACTAATGATAGGGATCTAGTGGCCGATTCCTATGTCAGGCACCCGAGGCTCCTAATATACTTAGCCAGGACATGGTCCTAACAATATCCCCCTCCTTAGAGACCATGTCCCTAGGGTCTCGCAAATTGTAAAGTGTATATACTTTGTTATAGGTGTATAGCCTGTCGATCAGGCAAGAAATGGATACCTCTAGAGGGGGTGAGAGAATAAGTGTATTGATAATGTATTAGAACTGATATTTGACAGAATCACTAGGGTGCTTTATTACAATGAAATCCACGGGCTCCTTATTTTATGATATCCCTATAGCGTCCCCCATAATATCGGTATAATCTACTTAGATGGTTGACGGGTGGGACAGGAAATATATTCTATCTACTATCACTAACTCTACGCCGTCAGAATAAGAGCAGCGTCAAACTGAATGCAAGCGTTTGCCAGCGGGCTAGTTGCGGAATAAAGTGGAGCTATTAACTTATAACATGTGAAACATCTGTTTGCAGCAGTTGGCACTTATGCATTGTCTATCGCTAGGTTGTTGTTCATATAGGACGTTGTTTGGTCCTGAAGTATTCCGAACAAGTCCAGCTAGCTTTTCTTCAATACTGAATGTCAACTATACCTTCTTCATGCTACAAAAAAGATGCACGTGCGATAATAGCTCCGCATATGAGTAATAATTTACAAAACAATTACTTTCTACAAAGAGCTTACCAGAATCGGGAATTTAAGTCGATATTCGAATTTCTTCTGTTCCAATACACATTCAAATAGTGTTAAACATTTAACAATGATACAGAAGACCATATGAGTGAGGAAAGATGCATCAGTGACTTAACTATAGGGTCTTCCTTGTTAAAAGGCTATGATGCAAGTAGGAATGATGACGGGTACGACCGTACAATATTGATAATCTAAACAATAGATTACCGAGGTGTTTAAGTCTGGAGATTCTCATTTGTATGAGAACCTCCTTATATACCAGAAA